ACCCTGTGGCACCCCACTAGTCACTCTTCTCCAGGATGAAGAGGAACCCTTTGGGTTCGGTCAGTCAGCCAGTTACAAATCCACTGTGGTAGCATAGTCAAGACCGCATCTGGGCATTTATGGGTGCCAGATGCATGCTGGGTGCTGCACAAAGCATACATGTGATGCAATCCCTGTGCATGGGGGTGAGGCCAAGGTTTGAGCCACATGCTCCGGAAGGGGATAGGAGAAGGTCAGGAGACAAATAAGAGATGATGTGATGACCAAAACCGTGAGCTGCAAGTCCCAAAGTTCCCTGTTGGAATCTCACCTCTGTAATTCTGTCACCAAGAAGGCAGCTTTAGGCAAGCACCTGTTTGTATGTGCCCCTCCCATCACAGTGTCAGTACAACCATTTTATGCTTGTAAGGGGGAGGGTGTCTTGTGACTGTAGCTATGCCAAGTAGAAGGACTTGTTCTCTGAAGAAAATTGTGGCTTGCATGTGTGGAAGCGGAAGAAAAGAGAATCAAAGTATTATATTCCCAGAACAGCCGCATGAATGTGCTCCCCACCTGCCTCCTTAGTCTGGCTCTGCTTCTGCCTGGTTGCGCCCTTGGTTTCCCCTTGGTTGGGGGAGCTATGGCCTTCAGCTGCACTCCATCACCCCGGACAATTGGGCATGCTGCCTGGGGCTGATGGGAGCTGGTGCCTCAGGACATCGGAAGGGCACAGGTTCCCTGTCTTTGACATAAGGAGAGCCAGCCCTTGTGGGATGAATGACCAGAGTTCACACTTAAAGCGGACTGAGGGCTCATCCCTGGGACTTGCCTCAGTCTTGATGCTCAACCCTGGGCTAGGTAAAGTAGTGAGTACTTTCAAGAGTGTACAGAGTGCCTGTTGCTGCTAAGCAAAATCAGCTGGGGTTAGAACTAGAGGAGCTACAAAGCTGCAGCTGCCTAGGTGAAGCCAAGGAAATGTGAACAGCAAGAGTCTAGTGGACGGGGTGTTTCTGTGCAGTAAACACTGCCCTCTAGTGCGTATTCCCTCAAAGGATGTGAACGCTGTGCTGAATGAAGCAAGGTGGTCATTTGCTTTCCCCCCTTTGGGATCAAAGGGCACTGAGCATTCCTAAACAGAGATGGGGAGACTGAGAATCGTGCCTCCCCGTGCAAAGGACAAGACACCACTTCCTTCCCAAAGGTGGGTCCTCACCACCTCTACACCAGCCCTCGCCAATCTGGTGCTCTCCAAGATGTTGTTGGACTGCAATTTCCATCAGCTCCAGCCAACACACCATCATGGGGTGTTTCTGTGCTGGTAGGAATTGTAGTCAAACAAACAACGGGAGGGCACCAGGTTGACAAAGACTGCTCTATATCTTCTTTTCCTAGCAAAATAATATATGTGGTTTGTAGCATTTCACTCAGTTTTTAAAATACATATTTGTATATGTTTTTGAACTGTGAACTGGGTCAGAATCGGCCTGAATATAAGCCTCACTTTCCCCCCAAATTCCAACGGTGAATAGTTAAAAGTGCGGCTTAAATTCGCAACCTTACAAAAATGGGCTTTTATGATATCGCTGCTGAAACAGACATACAGTAAAACAGAACAAAAAATGTTTCATTGCCGAATTGCGAGCTTGAGGCTGTTCATTAGCCATTTATGGGTGTGAGTGTCTGCAGAATTGTAGCAACTGAATAGCAATTTGTGATTTTAGTGATTGTACGGTAACTTTTGCTTGCAAGTTCAAAGGCTTAAATTGGCTCAGAGTTACAATTCTACCAACCTCAGCGATTTTCAGCCTGTAACCCAATTTTAAGGGAGCGGCTTATATTCTGGGATTGTCCTTTTTTTCTCCCCCCCTTTGAATTTTACAGGTGCGACTTATTTGCAGGTGCGGCTTATATTCAAGCCAATATGATATGTCCTGATCTGTGCATTTATTTGGGACATGCAGATCAGATTGGTTTGTATTGGAATTCATGTAGACTGAATTTCTCAAACATCTTCCTTCCATCCCCTAACCTCCAGTGTAGAGGCAAAGAAAACACCAGGTATGTTCAAGTTGTGCTCAGTGAATTCATGGTATGAAAATGCCAAATGAACTGTCATTGCTCTGTGGTCTGTTACACCCTGACAAAAGAAATTGAAAGTGATAGTAATCAAGACACAAATTCTTCCCTATGAGCCAGGAAGCAGCTTTGTACATGTACATAGAACAAATACACATACTTTCTAATTGCATGCCATCTCACCCCTTAGATCAGAAGTTCTCAAACTTTTTTCTCTGGGCCAGATTAAAAATTTGCTTGTGCCACACTGATTTTTTAATTGATAATAAGTACTTTGGAAAACAAAAGGAAACAACTCTTAGCAGTGCTTGACATACAACCTAGAACACAACTGCTTTATAATATGATCAGGGGACATCCAGAAAGTGTTAAAAAATGCAGCTACATAAGAACATGAATCATTCCCAAAATATAATAATGATTGTCCTTGAATCTTCCCACCACACTTACCATCCACTCCTGCTAGCAGCTAGAATAATATAATGCGCCACACCCTTGGAGAACCACTGCCCTAGATGTTAAAATATTTGGAACTGAATAACTGGTGTACATTAAAACACTTTGAGATGTAATTGGGATCTTTCCTGCTGACCAAAAGAGACCCCCATATTTTACTATGAGTGGCTTGATACAAGCTAGTAAAGCAAAACCTCAGCCTCTCACAATGGATAGGATTGGGAAACCTTATTAGTGAGTGGGTGGGATGGTTGTATACTGTGTATGTGTGCATGTGCATACACAGATTTGCCTATTTACGACTTTGGTCCTTGTAAACAAAACAACAGAGTAGATGCATCAGGTAAAAATAACAGTTAAGCGGGAGGGAATGATATAACTCTCAGAACACATGGGCAGAGGGGGGGAGGAGTACGTTACTTGCCATTAGTTATGCTATGTGAACAAAGCAATTGGTGTTGTCAATACTTGCAAAGAATCTAGCAAAGGCGAATTCTGTTCTTAAGTTTATCTAGATTGGGTGATAGTGGAGAGCTAGGATGAGAGGTATGATGGTAAATTATTAAGTGCAGGAGCTCAATAGGACAGCCCTCATAGCCGTGGCCCCAAGAAGAGGCAAAGAGTGCAGGCAGCTGAGGTTCAGCTTGTAAAACATAGTGGGCATTAGGAAAAATTCTTCAGCCAGCTGAAATGCAATCTTTAGCTTTTAATTACAAAAGGAAATGAAAGTAGTGTCAGCCTCTGCTAGATTTCCTCCCTCATTCTTTGACTTCCTCTATTCTAAGCTGTTAAATCAAAAAACAAATACACTTGAAAGCCTCCTTATCACCTCATTCACTTGCCAGAAAAGAAGGCTTTGATACTTTGGTGCTCAGGCGGATAACCTTCCTGCTCTTAAAGGTCATGGAGCTGCACTCTGCCCCCATTCTGATTCCATTACACCACTGGCCTATATTACTCCCCCCCCCCACACTTTCTGGAATAGGAATCAGTTTTAACTGATGAGGGATAGGGTTGCCAGCTTTTCAATCTGCCTCTGCTGCTGTACCTTTAGCAGTCACTAAATTTGCACACCAAATTTGTGCATCTGCATATTGCAAAAAAGTTCTCTTGTTGATTTCTGCGGATCAAGCAAGCCAGATTTTTGTGTTGGCAATGCTGAGCTGGAGAAGACAGAAGTTCTTATTTCTGTGCCTTTCTTGGTTTCCTTCCTACCACAGGTTGTGGATTGGTTTTCTGAGCAAGTTCAAACAGTGATAGAACCTAGTAAGAGAAACTGACAAACGAGTGGCATGTGTCAGTTGATGTATTTGGGGGTGTTTCTTTTCTATGCAAATGGCCACAGTATGAATTACTGTAAGCTGGGAAGGTACAGGAATGTTTGGACTCTTTGATGGGCTGTGGCTGCATTCAGTAACACCCCTTGCCAAGGTGCCAACTTGAACAAAATATTTGGGGGGGGCAGGTAAGCCCAGCCTGCATAACTGATCACATGATGCGGTGCATGCACACCATTTGCATGGCAATACCCATCACCTTTGGGAGGGCCCAGTCCGCTCAAATATTTTATGGGGGGGGGCAAAGACCCCTTGGCCCCTAGGAGTTGGCTCCTATGCCCATTGCAATGGGGGCAGGGAAATAGCAGGTTCCAAGTCTTTTCATTCTTGTTTGGTTTCTCCTGCTGTTTTGCTAAATTGTAGCGATTTGCGGGTGGCGCTGTGGGTTAAACCACAGAGCCTAGGACTTGCCGATCAGAAGGTCAGCGGTTCGAATCCCTGCGACGGGGTGAGATCCCGTTGCTCAGTCCTTGAAAACACGTCAAAGTGCAAGTAGATAAATAGGTACTGCTCCGGCGGGAAGGTAAACGGTGTTTCCGTGCGCTGCTCTGGTTCGCCAGAAGCAGCTTAGTCCTGCTGGCCACATGACCCGGAAGCTGTACGCCGGCTCCCTCGGCCAGTAAAGCGAGATGAGCGCCGCAACCCCAGAGTTGGCCACGAGTGGACCTAATGGTCAGGGGTCCCTTTACCTTTACCTAGCGATTTGCTGCTGGGTCAAGCATTACACTTATCGTATTATTTTATGTACTTTGCTCTTTTGATGAGTCTGTTCATTTAAAACAAAATTGATATAGGCTGGAAAATGATTTTCTAAAATGGTCTAATGAGACTGAATAGTTCCTTCAGAGGGAAGCGCCGTCTGGATCACTTTGCGTCTCTTCCCCCTCCGCCCGCACCAGCTCAACACCAGCTCTCAAAGATCTTGCCAACAAAAGAACAGCATTTAACATGTTAACTCAAATGCTCTCCCTCCCCCTCCCCTGCCCAGCCCGGGATTTCCGCGGAAGGCGATCAGCTGACGGAGGGGGAGAAGAGGAAGAGCGGCGCCTCGCTTCGGGGGGGGGGGAGATCACCGGCCCCCCGCTGGAAGAAGTGGGTGTGTTGCGCGTGGAAGGAGAGAAGTTTGCGGGAAGAGGAGAGAAAGAGGCGGAGATGGAGCGCGACGTGTGAGTGGAGCTCTGGCGGGGCGGGGACTCTGCCCCGGAATCCCTGCCAAACGGGGCCGGAGAAAGGAGCGGGGAGGCAGAAGAGGGGGCCGGCCACTTTCCGGGGGGCTGGCAGGGGGTAGGGCCCCCCCCCGAGCGTGCATGATGCGCTGGCTTGGTACTTTCCCCAGAAATGCGGGGCTTCTCTCTAGGCCAGGAGTCGCGGCGCCGCTTACTGCAGAAACCATTCCGCCCCCCCACCCCCCCACCCCGCTGCCAGCGCCATGGAGAACCTGGGAGCGGGGAAAGGGCGGAACTCTTTCAAAGCCCAAACACGGAACAGGAAAGCAAGGCAGGAAGAATAAGAATAATACAAACACTTTATTAATGAACTTCTAAACCTCTGTCTCAAGGCAGTTAGCTGGGGAGGATCACGCATATTGCAGCCGTCTGCTAAGCTGAGGACTTTCTCTTCTGGGGCTGTGTGCTAAGATGGGGCTTGTTGGCCCGGCCTGCTGGAATCGCAACCCCTCCCTCTTTCTTATTCAGGGCTGATTCAAGTGTCCCATGGCAGGGCTTTTTTCTTGAATTCCTGTTGAGAGCCATGTACAGACCCCCCCACCCCCGCCTATTTCCCCATCCTTCTCATTCCCTCACTTGAGTTCTTCAGTGTTTTATAATGTGCAGTAAAATATGTACACAGGAAGCAAAACTTATTTATGTTGTTTGTCCCGGGTGTTCTTAACTCTGTGCCTGTGGAGGAAGTAGTGGTAGAAAGAGAAAAGAGAAGACTGGTTGGGAAAGAAAGTGACTGGAGCAGGACTGGAGCAGGAGCAGGCACTGGTTTTGTGCAGAAGCAGCGTGCCTCTGGACAAAGAACGGAAGACCCATCCTTTCGAGTTTTTGTTTGCAAGCAGCAGGAGCAGTGGCATAGCATGGGTTGCTGGTGTCCAGGGCAGGGCAAATGTTGTGCCCCCCGGGGACTGGGCAGCTGGGGTGGCTCCGGAAGACGGCAGGAGCTCAGCAGGGAGCCTGCTGCGGGGGCGCCTGGTTGCACCCGTCTCATAATTTTGTGCCCGGGGCCACCGACCCCTAGCCCCCCTCCCACTACGCCGCTGAGCCACACTTGGAATCAAGAGCAGCAGGTTAGTCATAGGGTTGCCATATTTTGAAGAGCAAAATGAGGATGCTATGACGGCCATTCAAAGCAAATAAATGCAATTCGTCTCAAATTTTACCCCTGAAAAAGAGGACGTGTCCTGGAAAAAGAGGACAAGCCTAGGACAGGCCCGGGTCTTGTTCAGAAAGAAAGTGCTTAGGACCTCTAAGTCCCTTTACTTCTCCTGTCAGTGACTGGGCACTCAGGCCTGCCTTGAAGTCTCACATCTTGGGCTTTGCTTTGTAATCTGCACTGTGTCAGGACTGGTTGGGGTTACTGAGTGTTGAGGCGAAGACAGTCTGGACATGCTCAATGGCACATATGTTACTTTTGCCCTGGCAAGCCACTCATTGAGATGACTCCATAGGAGGGTCAAAGCCTGCCTGCTCCAAAGGGGGAGGCGTAGAAGTTGGACTGCATCTTCCCTCCAGGGTCAGGGTGGGGTAACTTTTGCATCCTGTTGCAGCATTTCCTATAGGCGTCAAGAGCAGCCATTTCTTATCTGGGAGAAAGTAAAGGTGTGCCGGGGAAAGGGGTCGCTGTGCCTTCTGCTCACAGCCTTTGCCAGTTGTATACCCTTTTATTTTGTATCTGGGGACTTCAGTGGGAGCCACTGAGAACCAAAGCTATCCTGATCACCCACCCTTTTACATGCTTAATCATAGCCACTCTGGAATTCCAAGTTTTGGAGGGGAGGGGTTGCACTGGAATGCAATAGAGAGCCCAGAAAGCGGCTTTTAGACAATTAGGCAGATATTCCAGGACTGAAATCTGGGGCTGAAAACAGGATATGAGGCAAAGTCTTGCTTAGGATGAAACAGCACAAAACATGTTGAAATGGACCCGCCTTGAGCTCTGGTGGCTGCCCTTCCCTTCCAACGTTTCTCCTTTACCTGCTTCCTCATTTGGGGTGGGGGTGTTAATCTTCACCCCTTTCTCCAAGTTGGTTGCCTCCTTCATGTTTTGATGAGAAAACAACAGGGCTTTTGAGGGGAGGGAGAAGGGGCTATTATGGGAAGAAATGTGGACCTGGTTTCTCATCCTCTTCAGTGTCACTCTCTTGAGTCGCATAGGGGAGGGTGGTTGGGAGAGGCAGAAACCTGCTGCTCTCATCCTGATCCCTCTGGGTCGCCTCTCTTTGCTCTGAACTCTGCAGTCCCAGTGGTCCATCCTGCTCCTCCTGTGCAGCTTCCCTAGCAGATCCTTCCTTCTGACCTTATGTGACCCAGGCAGCTCAGTGTGCATGCTTGCCAACATGTACATCCTCTCCAGGCTTCCCTGCCTCCCATCAGGTACACCCCCAAGTGCTCACCTTCGGAGCCTTTCAAGTGAGACTTGCTTTTGCCCCAGAAGCTTCTCCTCCTGCAGCTGTCATCTCAGAGGAAGGGGCAAACTGCTGGCTAAGAGAGGCGTGGGATTGGCAGAGACCCACACGGCTGCCAAGAGAGTTCCATGCCATGTTGCACATGCAGCTGTAGTCAACCAAAGACCTGCACATCAGTTTTCCTGGAGGGTGAAGGACCCCTTCGAAACATCACTCCATGTGTATTGCAGCCTAGCCCTGCTGGCGCTTCACCCTCAGCCCTGGGGCCCTGCCCTTCTGACCAGGATCCCTCTGCTCCACTCCTCCTGAGGAACAAGTGCCTCAGCTTGTTGTCAGCATTGTTGGCTCTCTCTGGGCTAGTTCCCTGCTTCTTCTGTCTCGCCTACTGTAGCTTTTGTCTCCTTGATCCCTGAATACCTCCCCACCCAAGTGCTTTCTTGCTCTTTCATGCCAGGCGGCCCTCAGTTCTGTGACCCGCCAAGTGTTCTGCTGCCTATCTCTTCCTGCACCTGTAGCTGCTGTGACCTCTAATCCTTGTCCCCAGGGAACTGCTGCTCTCTGTTTCTCTTTCTCTTTCCCTCCCTCTCCCCCCCTTTCCATGGCCCAGTGTGTGGCTGAGTCTCTTCGTTTGGCCAGGGGGTGTTGCTATGTTTTTTTTCTGTTTGTTCAGTGCTGTCCTTCTTTTTTCTTGACTTTGTGTTTTTTCTTCTCTTCCTTCCCCTCTCTCTGCCCATCCATCCACCCACTCCTTCTGGCACATTCCTTCCATCTGTGTCCACACATATCTCTTCCTTCATTTATTTCTCTACACACATCTCCCTTCCTCTCCCTCTCTTTCTGTCTCTCTCTCTCTCTCTGTTGCTCCGTCTCTCTGCTGCCTTCTATAGGTCGTCCACGTGTCCCACTCTGCACCAGTACTGCTGTTCTGCTCAGTCGCTTCTCCACTCGCAGCTAGCTTCCCCCGCCAGGCACACAGGCTGCAGGTAAGCCACTCACACCCACTACCCGCAACTTGCTCACTCCAAGCCATTCCCATGTCTCAACATGCTATGCTTATCCACAAAATCCAGCATTTCCTAGACTTCCTGGTTCCCATGACAGCCCTGAGGGTTGGGTTGCTTGTAGCTCCCTAGGATGTAGAAGGCTGGGGGGGGGGTCATAGCACAGTGGTGGAGCCCCCTGCTTGGTATGCAGCAGCTCCCAGGCCCTGACATTTCCAGGTAGGGCTGGAAATGCCAACCCCCTGAAGGGTCACTCCTGGCCACTTTAGACAATCCTAAGCTTGATGGGCCAATGCTGTTGCTCAGTGCAAGGCAGCTTCCTTTGTTCTTAACATCAGGCGGAATGGGCTGGATTTCTGGGGTCTTTCCCCAGCAATAGCAGAATGTTCTGGTCACCAAGTGGGAAAAGAGCCAAGATTATGGGGGTACTGCTGTCAGCTGTAGATAGTTACTTCAGCTGCGGCAAAGCGAGATGCCTTTGGTAGTTCCCCTCTTCTGCTCTGCTCTCACTGCTGCCAGGGGGCTCTGGAGGCTGGCCTTAGGCCCACAGGGAGTTAGCAGGCGCCCAGCAAGACAACTGGTGTTGGCCTTGTGAACCTGTGGGGCTTTTGTCCCCATAAAAGGAAATACTGGATTTCATTTCCTCCATGCTTGCAACATCCCTTTGCATTTGCCTTACCTGTGTTTCTCAAACTTGGGTCCCCAGCTGTTGTTGGACTACAACTCCCATCATCCCTAGCAAGCAGGACCAGTGGTCAGGGATGGTGGAAGTTGTAGTTCAACAACAGCTGACAACCCAAGTTTGAGAAACACTGCACCCCTGCCGCAGCTCACTCCACCCTAGACCCTGCTGATCTCCATTAACATCTTAACACAAACTACCTTCTCCCTCACACCACGCTGCAGCCTCAGGTTACAAAATAAGGACACTCTCATCTCTGTTTATGCCATGGAGATAAAGAAGCTGGGGTGTGGGCCCATTTTGTGCTCTGGGGCTAGTTTTGACAAGGGGGCTTCAGCTCACGCAGAGACTGTGTGTGTGTGTGTGTGTGTGTGTGTACGCATGCAAGTGTTTGCAAGAGCCTAGAGCAAGTGTGTCAGACAGAAGCTGTGTGAGCAAGACTGAATGTGCAAATGAGTGATCATAAAATGGGTCCTTAGCGAGTGTGTTGAGGAGTTTCAGCAAGCCTGCCCAGAGTTGCTGTCTCTCTGTCTGTCTTTTTTTCTTTTGCTGATCTTCAACAGCAGTTTGATATACAGACATTAAGTAGATGTAACTTTTCCTTGTATGGAGATAAGAAGAGACGACCAGCTTTTGAACTGTCCCCCTTCTTGCTGTGGCTTGATCTGCAGCAATTAGCATGGCAGGTGGGAACATGGATCTCTGTGCCATGAGAAATGCCACCTGCTAAATCCTGGAGTTCAAAGTGAAACCACAAAGAGATAAGTTGGGGGCTGGGTAGATGGGGGAATGTTTCACGTACTTAATGTCTACCTGTTAGACTGCTGTGAAAAGCAGAGGTTCCCTGCCAGAAAAGAAATTGGCAGCATTATGACTTTTTGTGGGGGCAGGTGTAACTCTTGAACAAGTCTACTTCCTACATTCATAACAATTTCTCTGTAGCAAATAGTCATAGCCAAATGCAAAAGAGGACAGGCTCCTACAGCTATCACTGTTTAGAAGACGGGATTCCAGCAGGTGCTGAAATTGCCTTTTCTACACAACTCTGATGGGTGCAAGGGTCCCCTCTTCTCTGGCCTTTGGCCATGCTGAAAGGAAAGCTGCCTTTTCCACGTAACTTTAAGGGGGAAGAAGATCCATGTCCTCCTTTTTACACATCACAGCTAGCAGAGCTTTCCTGGTTGCTAACACCCCCCCCCGGGTGCTTTTAACAGCTGTGTGACAAAGGAGACATTCAGCTTTCTTCACCTGCTGAATTTCTGTTTATCATACAACTATTAATTATATAATAGCTGGGCAAGCAAAAGTAATAGAGGAATAGAAACAGACAGCTCATGTGCATAACGAGTGGTTGTGACGGACTCTGTGCATACATCTACCAGACCTGCAGAGTTCGTGGCCCATCACAGCCTTTAATGAGAGCTCCACCTCTCTTTTAAATCAGAACCAGTGAAGGCGGTGAAGGACCTGTGTGAGTATCTGGAGGTGGTTGGTGGATGGATGGCGGCTAACAGATTGAGGTTGAATCCTGACAAGACAGAAGTACTGTTTTGGGGGGACAGAGGGCGGGCAGGTGTGGAGGCCTCCCTGGCCCTGAATGGGGTAACTGTGCCCCTGAAGGACCAGGTGTGCAGCCTGGGAGTCATTCTGGACTCACAGCTGTCCATGGAGGCGCAGGTCAATTCTGTGTCCAGGGCAGCTGTCTATTAGCTCCATCCACACAGGCTGAGACCCTACCTGCCCGCAGACTGTCTTGCCAGACCTTTAAAGCCCTAAATGGCCTCAGTCCTATATACTTGAAGGAGCATCTCCACCCCCATTGTTCAGCCCGGACACTGAGATCCAGCTCCAAGGGCCTTCTGGCAGTGCCTGCTCTGCAAGAAGTGAAGTTACAGGGAACCAGGCAAAGGGCCTTCTTGGTAGTGGTGCCTGCCCTATGGAACAACCTCCCATCAGATGTCAAGGAGATAATTATACAACCTTTAGAAGACATCTGAAGGCAGCCCTGTATAGGGAAGCTTTTTAATCTTTAATGTTTTATTATGTTTTTATATATGTTGGAAACCACCCAGAGTGGCTGGGGCAGCCCAGTCAGATGGGCGGGGTACAAATTTTATCATCATCATCATCATCATTATTACATATATCTCACTATGGCTGATAATCCTTATGAGGCTCTAAACAATGTCTTTTGAGCCCCCAGGTATGCCAAGTGGTCCACATTCAGTCATACTTTGTGCAGAGCTGGTCTAAACTGTAGGCTGGTTTGGACATAATACATGTATTTTGGTCCTTGTTCATAGTGCTTCACCTCCCCAATATGAGCTAAGATAGAGAAACTTAATGACTGAACCAGCACAGATGACTAGTAACAATTCCCGTAATTTCAGCAACTTTTCATGTTTCTTTGCAAGATAGTCTATCTCAGGAAAGGCAGTAGTGCTTGTTTTGGGGCAAAAAAAGTTTTGTGAAAACTACCCTAACGTCATGTGTAAATATGGTCATGATTGTAAGTTTTGTGATGGAGAATCTGTGGCCCTCTAGATGTCTCTAGGCTACAGCTCCCGTCATTTCTGTTTACTGGCTATGCTGGCTGAGGCTAATGGGAGCGCAAGTTCAACAACTTCTAGAAGGCCACAGGTTAACCACTCCAGGTGTACAGGAAAGTAAGTAAAAAATTCAGTACTGCACACGAATTACAATTGCCAAACACAACTGTACAATTCATTTCGCTTGTGTTCACGTGGACAAGGCAGTGCTAATTTTTTAAGCAGTTGGCTTAACCATGCAGTTCAGTTATGTTATGTATATGGCTTTATGTATTCCGTTTCTGCTACACAGAAGGTATCCCAGGTCTCTCTGCGTTCTAGAGAGGAAAGAATCATTTATGGTGGACAGAGGATAGCATTCTCATAGGCAAGTCTGTGGCCCTCCAGATGTTCTTGGACTACAACTCCTTGACCATTAGCCAGGCTGGCTGGGGCTGATGGAGTCCAAGTACACCTGGAGGGCCACAGGTTCCCCATTCTTGGTTTAGGAATAGAGAGTTGAACCAGACCTTCTGAGAGGCAAGGTGAGTTGGCTGCTTCAGGTGGGATGGGCCACTAGCTCAGCAGTAAGAGCAAGTGCAGAAGTTTTCTGGTTCAGACCCTGTCATCTCCAGTTGAGCAACCTCAAGTTGCAAGGCTTGAAAGAACTGGCAAGCCACTGAGAACTGGAGAAGATCACACCGAGCTGGATGGACCCAGTGGTCTGACTCGGTATGGCAGCTGCGTATGCTTATATGAATTCCATTCAGGGCTGCAGAGCCCTTGGGCAGGAAAGTGTCCCAAGATTGTTCCCATGTCAGTATGTGGACGAGAATGCCCAGGGGCGAGTGGGGGCATCCCCAACGCCAAAGTGGCTTGGGCTGATCCTGCTTTGTAAAGCTCTTTTCTCATCTTAACCTTCAAGTTAAATTACCATTCATTTAGCCTTCATTTTATGAACAAACACTTATATATAACACAGGGGATTATGGGAGCTGCAGTGCAGGGAGACTCTGGGGTGCTATTGAATGTCTTGTCTGTCACAGGATTGTGGAGTAAAGGTTGAGACTTTTTTGTCCATTTTTTTGTCCCTAAGCCATAGTCAATTTGTATAAGATGACACGCTGGACGTGGTAATATTTGGTGCAGACAGAATCATGGGATCAGTTTCCACAGAGTTCATGTATCCAAGAAACAGTCAAGCATTATGAGCATTCACAAACTTTTGTCTTGATTTGGCTCCAGCTACTATTTGGAACAAAAATTGCAAAGAAATTATGAGGAAAATGCAGGGCCTGGTAACTCTGGGATATCATTGCCTTGTCTTGACCATACAAGGTTGTGTAGTGGAGTTTTGAATATGATTCTCCCTCACTCACTTTCTGAGTAGAATGTCTTACACAAAATTTTAAAAGAACAGTACCAAAAGAATAGTGCAGAAGAGAGTCACCAGCTTTATTTTTCTACAGGGGCTCCTGTGTTGTCTGACATTCATTAGGTGAAGCTTTCTCCCATCACTGCATCTGCCTGCCAATAAAAAAATCACCTGCTGAATTTCTGTTTCTTGTGCTGCTAGGAGGAAAAAATAAACGGCAGCCTGATCTATGTTCACTGATGCCCAGAAATAACCCTGTGGAAGGACTCAGGACTGCTTGCCTTTGCTCTTGTGAACAGAATGAGAGGAGTGGGGAGAGGAGAGAATGAATAAATGGATGGATGGATGGATGGATGATAATGAATATTAATAAGACAGTGATCTATTCTGTAAACAAAGTGTGATGGTGCAGTAGTATTTGAATGAATCGTGTAAGAGAAAAGTGGAATTAAGTTGGCAGGCAGGATAGTTAAACGAGGATTTATTTTGGGTTGCCAGGCTGCAACCCAGAAATCCATGCTGTGCCCTTAAGCAAGGCAACCGGTTCCTTTCCCTGTCCTGTGTCACACACTTGGAGGCTAGGTTCATTACAATATTGGGGGAGGGCAAGAGAACTGAGGGGGGAAGTGGCAGGAGAAAACACAGCTGTGTCCACCCCCCATTTCCTCTGTTGCATTAAAGGTACAATGCAGAGTTCCAGGATGTGACCTGGAGTCAGCAGTCAGCTTGGCCAGGGATGATGACAGTTGTAGTATAACACCATTTGGAGGATGAAGAATGATGGAAAAATTGTAGGTGCATTCTCTTTTGTGATTTGGAGAATTCTGTTAAAGAAATGGGGCTTTTTCCGGGTTTTGGCTTAGCAATCTTTAAATGGGTTGTGGGGAGAAATGAAAAGCCAAAGGTTTGTTAAGTTTCCCTGCTTGCCTTCCAGCTTGAAAGATGCATCACATCACCATCTCCACTCCAGCCATTACCCTGCTGTCCCCCCCCCCCGGCAATGGAGGGTTTGTCTGCAGGATTATAATCCTTCTCTGTCTGTCTGTCTGTCTGTCCCCTTCCCATTTTCTAGGGATGATGACGAGGCTGAGGACGTCCACCAGTTTTGTTGCCCTGCCTCTGAGTGCAGCAGCCCCTCCTCTAGGTAACCTGGAGGGGGTGCCACCATCCCCCTTCCACGTCTTGCACTTCTAACCTGGACCCTGAGACCTCACTACACCAGCTTCAAACCCTGCCCCCCCCCCGGCACCCCAGGGATGGGCTCAGAGGCCGTTCCAGAGACACACTTTCCCTCCTGCATAGATCAAAGGAGGGGTTCATGGCAAACAGTTCCTGCCTTTACTCAGCTTTGAAGCAGGCAGGTTCATCTCATTTGTCATCTCTGAGTTTGGTCTTTTGCAGTCTCTGTTCTCTTGCTCTTTGCATCCTTTTGTATTTTGATATTTTGGTTCTTCGGTTCTGTGAGCTTTCTTACTAGCTCCTATGCCCTTAATAATCAGCCCAGCATACAGAAATTTAGCAGGGGAAGTATTTGTCATCTCCATGACAAAGGGTGGGGGGAAATGTCACTTTAAAAAATTTATTTGCAACAAGAGCAGGGGCCGTAAACAATAGCAACAAAAGTACTTCTCCATTTGAACTTGACGATCAACCACCTTCCCCCACAACGGGGGGGGGGGTGTTGCTTTGACCTCTACTTTTGTGTCAGTGACACTCCCTCACTGTTCCAGACTTTGGTTTTGAGCTTTGAATTGGCTTTTTGAAACCCCAGATTGCCAACATTTCTGCAATTGACCCTGTCTTAAACAGCTACCTGATAGGCAGAAACATACCGGGGACTCCTACATTTCTCTCTGGTGGGGGCTGCTTGCAGGAGCCTGGCTGATACAAAGGTGGCAACCCAGTTTCACTCTAGCCCCCCCCCCCCTTTCTGCTCATCTTTAACCCTCTTAAGTTTTGGTGTAGCTAATCTCTACTGTCCATATCTTGACTTTAGATCTCCTTTTATCACTCAAACTTGCTTCTGCCATTCTGTTGTAACATTGCTAAAAAAAGAAAGAAAAGAGGACCTGCTCCTGCTGCCAACGCTTCCCAGTGGCCATGCTTGCTTTGCTTCCTAAACCCAGACATGGTTGAGTTGCCAGTTTCTACAGTGCCCCTTCTCTGCCTCTAACAGCAGCTGGCAGGCAGAAGTTAAGCTGGTGAGACTTTTCTTGGTGGGGGTAAGGAGATGGGAAAAGCTTCACTTACTATTTATGGCTGGCATAAAAGGCACTGGAGCAGGGCTGTTTCAAAAGCTGGCAACCCTACTGATTTGTGAGGGAGTTGGCTGTGCTAAGGGGCTTGGTCCCAGAGGAGGCAGCGATGGCCACCAACTTGGACGGCCTTAAAAGAGGATTGGACAAATGCATGGAGGAGGAGAAGGCTGTCAGTGGCCACTCGCCTCTGTGGCTTTGCTCTGCGTCCACAGCTGGAGGCAGAGATGCTTCTGAATATCAGTTGCTGGAAACCACAGGAAGGGAGAGTTGCCCTTGGGCTCGTTTCCCACATGCATCTCGTTGGCCAGTGTGAGAACAGAAGGCAGGACTAGATGAGCCATTGGTCCCTCTAGTGGCTTACTGGTGTGGAAGGTGCCTTTCACAGTCCTAGGAGCAGTCTTCTCAAGCCAGTCTGCAGGTTCAGAGGATACAAATCCTACTTAAGGGGCTGCATAGGAGGCTGACACTTGAAGGACAGAGTCTTGCTTTGAAAATGAAGCTGGATAGAATTTTATTTGACCTTTAACCTGTAACTAAATCTTGAGTTGACCTTTCAGCTCCTGTGTCATTTTTGACGCCCTTTGTAAAAGCTGACCTGTATTCTGATGTTTAGTATTTGCTGTTGGTTGTTTGGTCTGTAAGAACATGGTTCTGGCACCAATCCTGACCACACTTCATTCATTCAAGGAAGTGCTCATTTACTTGGGGGATGGGACAGGTTCTGAACTCATAATTTCACTTTCTTCAGTGTGTCCTTGCATCATGGCTGTGGTGGTCTTCTAATCTCTTCACACATTACATTTTAAAATTGTGAAAAGCAAATGTTACAGCTGCTGCATCAGGCAGGCACACTTACTGGGAGGCTCTGGCTTCCTGCTGCGTCTACACTGTACACTTTTACTGCCACATAATGGGGAGACTTCCCCACCCCTGGTCTTGTCTCTGGAACGGACTCTGCCAAATATCCCTAACCTCCCCCAACCTTTTGCTCCAATCTCAGTTTACACATTTTTCTATGCAGACGCATAAGCCTTAAATATTACCCCCCCCTTTCTGCTTTTTCACCACCCCCACGGGGAAGAGCATTTCCAAACAACCTTTGCTGCGCCCCTCAACTCTAAATGCAGTTCTTGCACTGGCCTCTAGGGGTCCCCCTACATGCACTTTTTCTGCCTGTCGCTGCTCCGTCTCAGCCTTCCTTGCAATTTCAGGATGCTACCCGAAAGAACATGGAAACCAACCAAAAAGAAAACCCTCTTTGGAATCAGCTTCGATTGTTTGTTCCCTGTGGGACTCTGTCCAAACTGGGCACCAGCCTCTACCCTGCAAGACTATGTGCCCTTGGGACCATCTCTCTTTTCCTTTCTCTCTGTTTCTCCTTCCGGGCTTCAGGACCTGCTAGCCAACCCCCCAGGGAGCCACCTTGGAAGCAGCAGCTCTCTGCTTAATCAAGCAAACTGTTCCGGCGTCACAGACACTGGGTGTGGGCCGGGAATCCTGGACCCTGGAGGATTTTGCAGGCTGTGAAGTGTGCAGACTCTGCCTTCTTGTGCTGTGGGAGGGGGCACTCTCTGTTTTGCTTGTGCTGTCTCCTGGGTTGGCGCCATGCATAAGATCTTGTATTCCCATCTGGGCCACCTGTGGATTTCATTGGAAGAAAAAAATGGCTAGGTGGAGGCAGGGCGGGCGAAGAAAGCTCACGGGGTGTTATCTACAAGGAGACATTTTGCCAAATCTGCTCTACTACTGCTGAGATTTTGATACTCAGTGTGAGAAATGTTTCCGACTTTCCCCATCTTGTCAATGTGAAAAATGAGTGTGCGAGTGGTGGAGTGTTGGCAAGTTCCACTCGTGGTTCCTGGAGTGGCCACAAGAGAAAGCTGTGTTAATGGCACATGCATTCTCCAGTTCAGCGGATTAGACAAACTGGTGGCTGAGGTGGTGGGACATATGGAATTCTGCCTGATAATAATCCCTGTGTGCTTTTCTGGGGGGAAGAGTCTTCAAGGGATGGCCTCTGGTGCAGACATCTGGGGAAAGTCAGTGACAAGGCCCAGACTTTGCTTGCCAAAGGTCCCAGGTTCTTTTCATTTAAATGGATTTGGGTGGCAGCTGTGGCGTTGCATCCTTTTTTGGTGCTCACGTGTGTGCATGGGCAGGGCAAGCAGGGCTTTCGCCGCCAGCGGTGCCAGGCACGCATGCACAGGGCACAGGGGGTTCACGGAGAGCTCACACACCAGCTCAGCCCTGGCTGCTGAAGGAGGAGGAGCCCGATTGGCCAACGCAGCCCTTGGTGAGCAAATCCCCCCCGATTCAACAAAGGGACTGGGGACGCGGTGGGCTCTGGGACGTCAGGCAGGGCAGGCTGGTGATCCCTGTGTGGGGGCACCTGGCTCACACCCCCTAAAAATTGTGTATCTGGGGCTGTGCACCCCCGGGGTCCCACACTAGCCCCTGGGTGTCAGGGCTGTGAAACACCTTTGCCTGAGTGATGAGCCTTTGAGCCTCCAGGTGCTGCTGGACGTTGCTCCCATCAGCTCCAGCCAGCATGGCCAATGGTCAGGGTTGATGGGAGCTGTAGTCCAGCAGCATCAAGGAGTCTATGGGTTTCCCATTCCTGGAGTAGACTGAGCTGCTTGATGGACCACTGGCTTGACCAAACCAGGTTCATGCATACATCTCTTCTCCTACACATCAATGGTTGGGCAGAGCGGCTTTTTCAAAGGCAGCAGCCACCTCTCCTTTAGTGCAAAGGACTCTGGGAAAGCCACGACTTTAATCCGATTCTGCCGCTGGGGCAAAGCAAAGAGGTAAGCAGTAGTAGTTTAATCCTCACTGGTGTGGCAGTGTGAATTACAGCTGCTGTTGGCAAAGTAGGTGCTGATTCCTGTGTTACCATGGCAACGTGCGTACCATCGCAAAATTGGCGTGTGGTGGGGAGGGATCTACATTTCTGCACAGCTGAGAAAATACAATCATGGTTAGTTCCCATGCCAGCACTTTACCTTCATCTTGGTAGTTCAACCACATGGAAGCACGTTATTTGATGACAACTGTGTCACCGTCGTAATATATGAATCAGGTGACCAGAAAGCTCAGATTATGCTTTTGGACTCCAGAGAACTGCTACAGCTGAGCATCCACAGAACACGACAGTTCTGTGTAGGAAATAATGTGTGATGATAACACATGTCTATATTTTGCTGTGCTATGGCAAAATACATGTGTCCTGTGGTCATGTGGGATATTCTTACATGTGGCTTGCATGTTATTTCCTGCATGGACTTGATTTCTGTTTTCTGGAATTCATCATGTTTGAAGCACTCCTGACCCTACACAGAGTCTGTACATTTGCATCTTAATTGGCTTGCTCTACTATATGTTGACTGTACAGTGTTTGTGCCTTTTCCTAGCTGGGTTTTGTAAAACAAAACAAAAAACAAGATCTACTTTTTTCTTGCTGCCCTAAAACCCCAATCTATTAACTATGGTTAAGTACAGTAAACGAGAGCAGGTCATGGGACCCTGCACTTCTTGATCCCCCTCATCTGGCCGTCTTATTCATAGTTATTTCTGCATTGACTGTAAAAATGGCTGTCCCTAACTAGGGTTTCTGCCTTAAACAGAGTTTGCCAACTAGTTTCAAATGCTGATTAAGATGGGAACTCTGGTTTGCATTATCCATGGTTAATGCTGCTGTGATAAGGGTGTGAGCCCAGTCTTGATCTCCCAATAGTCATGATATCAGGAATGATATCCCTGTCCCTGCTCTCAAAACTACATGTTATGAGGAATTTATGGCTTCTGCAATTCTACATCTCCACAATAAAAATTCATTAAGCAAGAAGCAGGACATGTCATCATACTGAATATTCCCACTCCCTTGGAAGTATTACAGGGGACACAATGGATGGAGATATTCATCTACAACAGCATTCCTCGTAAGATGCAGGCTAAAACAGAGGTTTGCTTGCTCATACAAAATCGTTAACGAGGTGGGGCAGAAGAAAAAAGCATTGGGCTCTGTGCTGGGTGAAGAAGCAGTCCCATTCAAATGCTCCTTATTTCTACCCACTTGACCAATATGTTTTTACACACACACACACACACACACTGCCCACAACCATGAGGGCTAGATGCTTGCTTGTTTATTTTTTTAAACAAAAGCTCAGATTCTCAGGATTCCACCAGTATTGGATTTTGGTAAGCCATAAAGCGCGTTCTGCTGTGCAACTGTGGGCCTTGGCACATTTTAAAAACCACTTTCCTCTTCCACAAAACTATGGCAATCTTCTGCAAATTGTTGAAACTGCACTGAACTCCTCCCCACCCTCCTGTACCATTGGTGTGAATAAGGAATGTAGCTAGCACTACCTGCCATACAGCAGCTGTGCAAAACAGGAGCAAACGTGATGAGTTGCACCATTTCAGGTGCGGTGTGTGCCCCACCAGTTTACAAGTATGCAAAATGAGTGTGTACTGCAATGAGGTTTCTTCATGTTAAGCTGCCTTTGTCCTCATTCCCCTCCCGTGCCCCTCAGGGTTTTCCTACTCCCTGTTGGATCTTGAGGGCACAGTATGAGACGTTGCACTGCCCCTACATGCAAAACAAGTCTGCCTTGCACACCAAGGGAAGGCTGTGTCTTATGAAGCGGCCATAATTACTTTAACACACTGACCAGTTGCTTGGTCCCACACTAGCTGAATAGCCATTTGCCAGCCAGTTATGAAAATGGGCTTGGACATATTGTGCAAACAGGTGCTGCTAGGGGGAGAGACTGGGGAGGAAAGCTCCTCTCCTGCCCCTGCCCCCACCTGCCTGTGGAGCATGTCAGGAATACATGCTGATCCCTCTCTGGGGCAATTCCCTCCCACCACCTGTTTTGGTCCCCTTTGCTCAGCTCCTCAGTTTCCCTGCCAGGTATAGGCTGTCCCATATTGATGTGTGCTGCTTGAAGAAGCCCATTGCTCCATGTCTTCCCACCCCAACTTGTTTCTGTAAATAAGAAACAAAAGAGGCTTTATAACAAATACTCTTGTGTACAAAAATGATTTCGGTCAATAAATCTAAGACTTCTGTCTTCTCTGAACCAAACAATAAAGAAAAGAACAATTAAATGGATCCTGCAGACTGCTGTTGCCTCTCCTCCCTTCTTCTCTCAAATCTCGCATTCTCTGCAAGGCTGAGTAGGAGCTGGGCTGCTGCTTCTGAGACATTTGGTGGGTGGGGAGCTGGAGGATCGGAAGGTAGGGACTGTACTAAAGGAGGGAAATGGAGCAGGTGGCTTCCCTCTGTTTTGCTGTCCTAAAGCTACTTTTCCACAGGCTTTTATTTTTGCCCTTATTAGGGAGCGGGTGGCAGCTTCCTGTCCAAATGTTAGCTTCTTCATATTTCTCTCCCCTCCCCAGTGCCACGTTTGGGGCTTTGAACAGATCTCTTCACCTGCATTTGTGGGGCATCTCCTGGACCACTTTGTCACAGAACTATAGGTGTATAAAATATAAACTGGTAACCACAGCGTGTCCATCTAACCCCATGAACTCAGTAGACAGAGAGAGACAGATGGCAATAAAAACTTCTGCTTTATTCTAGAGGTAGCATTTGAGGGCTGGGTGAGGGTTATCTTTATATGCCTAGTACATTTTGGGAAGGTACAGTCATTGCATTCATTTAGACCAGGGATTCAAAAACACTTCCTTACGGCTCTTCTGCACGATAAGTTTTTTGCCACATAAATGTGACTTTCATTTCTCATTTGTTGCGGGCATGTGGGAAGAGGAGTTGGCTATTCCATATGAACTGCATCCACAAGACATAAGCCTCAGAATTGGCCAAAAATATTGCACCATTTCAGTATAAGAAAAAGCATGCAACGGGGAGCAACTTTCAGTCAAGACAAGTGGCCAGTAACTGTTGACTTATCTAGCTCATTATCTAAAACCCATAATTCAGTAAAATATCTTTTCCAATGGTGAATTCTGCTGACAAGAGGACACAGCCAAATATGCTTAGGGGGTGCGGTGCTGGTCCCCCCCCGCCCATTTCATTGTAATCCTTATCATATCCTCAGCCTATAGCATGTGACAGGGAGATGCAAAGACTAATGTGTCATGTCAGAATGTTAAATGCAGATTAAACCTTCATACACCAAAGATTGGTCTAAGGTAGGTGTAAGTTTAATACATCTTGGTTACTTATGGTGGTTTCCCTCCGCTGGCTGTTGCTGGATCTCATTGATTGCATGCTGTACAGTTATAATTAGCAATGTTTGCACTCTCGGCAGACCCCTATCTAGGAACATCCATAGGGCACCAGGTGGGGGCTACCTTAGGGACACAGCAGCAGCAGGTTTTGAGAGTGGGGTGCACAAGTGACATGGAAATCCCTGCTCACCGAAGCTGCAGCTGGGAGCATCCTCAATGGGCTGTACTCCACTCATTCAGACAGGCCACTTGGATGAGCAAGCGGGATCCCCATCTGAACCAGCTCTGAATCCTCAGAGAGATTGCCCAGGGCCACAGAGCAGGTCCTGAACTCTTGGTCCTCCAGACCAACTTCATTGGTGGATTCATATCTGTCTGAATTTAAATTGGAGCATTCTGGAAGAAGAATGACAGGCTGATGCCAAAGAGCCAATTATGAGTTCAGTCCCAGGCCAGGATCTCATGCCATGAAATGCCTTTGTATGAAATTGGGTTTTACTGTGAGGCAGAGATTCGGCAGGCAAAGCAGCGGCTGCAGGGGCAAGGTGGGGCTGGATTGCCCCACACCCTTGGTGTGTTCCTGTGTTGCGTTTGTTCTCCCAGCAGTTGAGCCCTGAAATACACTTTGCTCTGTAGGAGGCAGTGTGTGGGGTGGAAGAGAAATGGTTGATGCCCTGAGCTCTGCAAAGCGAAATATCTCTAGGGGTGTGTGCTTACCTCCCACCCAGGGGTCCTTTGCTGCTGAGCCACTTCCACAGTTTACCGTAGGTAAGCACATGGTAAGTTTTTGGAGCTGAGGCATTTTTCAGACTTTGTCCAAGCAAGTCTGGATGGTGGATTGTTTGGCTGGCAGAAATCTCCTGGGATCAGATATCAAAGGAAAGGGAGAGGTAAGCAGGTTTGCGAAAGGGTTGTCTCCCATTTGACATTCACTACCCACCAGTCAATTTTACATTGGTTGGAAGGAGATGAAGTAAACTGGGGAGACGGGATTCATGGCTTCCCTAGCAGTCCACCCTATGCAGAAGCATCTGTGGTCATGGGGCTGCAGCCAGGCAGCCCTCCATCGTGCCTCTCAACCCAGTTCCAGTGGAGAAACACTCCTCTCCCACACCATTGTTCTTTACTTTTTAATTGCCATTTGTGCATGTTTAAGTGCCCCCACCCCCAGACCCAGGCTTCTTCCAGTCCCAGCCACGAAGAGATGTCAGTAAGGACGGGGCTCCTGTATTGCTTCAGGAATGGCGCAGAACCAGAGTTTGCGTAGATGCAGCTTGCCAGGAGAAAACCTCCCCCAGCTGAGATTCTACAGAAAGTTGGAAGGTGCAGGAATTCTACACACACATCCTCCAGCATCTCTTTTTCTTAAATCTCTCCCCAGGTTTAAAGCTGCATACAGCACCACATACACGTGTGACTGTTCCCTTGGAGAAGCTGGCAACCCCAACCCACTCCAGCTCCACTTCTTGTGTGTCAGGGGACAGGGGCCCATCCGCTTTCCTGACTTTGTGAAGCCTGCAGCTGGGGTTGCAATATTTCTTTCTATGGCCAGGCTTCTGTGCCATTAAGAGCTGCTTGACGTCCTGAATTCTAACAGTTGCAACTTTCTGCACCACTGTCTCAGTATGCCTGGCAAAGCTGTACCTATTAGACGTCTGTCTGTTGAGCAGCTCTTGGCAACAGCACAGGTTGCCCTGCTGGGAAGATGAAAACTGGCAGCTTTGCTCCAGTTCTTGTAAATATTTCCTCACAACAGCGAGAACTTAACTCGCTGGAAATTCTGTGTTAACACCTGACTGTGTTCTCTTCTTTAGATTTGCTCACTACTGCATCTGGATGAGATCACCAACCTGCCTGTTCATTTTTATTATTGTTTAATTGTACATATCTTAAACTTACCCAGCATTCAGGTTGCATCTTTGCAGTCTTAACACTAGATGGCAGCAAAATTTGAGTTCTGATCTGCCTTCCTCCTACTTGGGGGCACTTTGGGAATTGCATGGTCGTCCACCCCGCCCCCCCCCCCGCCCTTCTCTAGTGGTTAAGGCAAGGCCAGTGTGGTTTCAGGGAGAGATGGGCAAATGCGGGTGCTAAGGAGTGGGGTTGGGGTGAGCAGAGACTGAGCTTTTTCTCGGGTGGGGCGGGGCTGGAAATTGGACTTTTGAATCCTGGCTTTTGTTCACAATGTTGGGCAGTGAGCTTGTGGTTCAGTCACGGAGACACAGACTCAGGACTTCTTCTCTCTGCCCCAGGATTCAGTGTATTCACTCTGTTGGATTTTGCTCTTATTAAGTGCAAAGTAACACATGAGTTGGATGTTGCTCAGTGGGTCATCTAGTTGAACCCCTACCTTTACTACCAAGTTAAAGTGTGTCACCCAGAGGGTTACTGATTCTAAAGAAGTGGCAGGTTTGGCCCCTCTAATTCTGCTTCTAGAAAATTGGAAGAGAGAGTTGGTTGAGGGAGGAGCTTGTGCCAGTGCTCCCTTATGCTGTTCTCAGAGTTGGAAATCACTGTGTTTAAATAATTGTGCAACCCAGAACTTTGGACTCCAAAATAGGTACACAGAGAGAGAGAGAGAGAGAGCGGAAATACAAATATACACAGGTATTCATAATTTGCCGTTCTGATTTCAGTTGAGAATATTTGAAATCAAATGCTTTATACTTTTTGGCATCACTTGACATTGTTTTGTTTTCAGTAGCCATCAAATATGAAATCTCTTCAGCTGTCGTTTCTCAGATACAAAGTACTATTATATGTCAACTAACAAATTTTATTAAAATATCAACTGTCAAATATTAATTATTGAAATAAAATAGCATAGACAGCCAAGTCCACAAATCAAATATTCAGAGACTATCCTTTGAATATGCAGGATTGAAATTCACAGAGGATAATATATAGAGGAATGTTGGGAGCAAATTGATTTCAGCTCTAGTGTTCTTCATCCTGAAACACAGACCCAGTTCACACATCACATGAGATCTGTTTAAAATAAACTGTGATTATCATAGAATTGTAGAGTTGGAAGGGACCCCCAGGGTCATCTAGTTCAGCCCCCTGCAATGCAGGAATCTCAACTCAAGCATCCATGACAGGTGGCCACCCAACCTCTGCTTAAACACCTCCAAGGAAGGGGAGTCAACAACCTCCTGTGGGAGTCTGTTCCACTGTCAAACAGCTCTTACTGCTGGAAAGTTCTTCCTGATGTTTAGTCAGAATCTCCTTTCTTGTAACTTGAAGCCATTGCCTTGAGTCCTACCCTCCAGAGCAGGAGAAAACAAGCTTCTTCCCTCTTGTGTGACAGCCTTTAAGATATTTGAAGATGGCTATCATATCTCCTCCTAGTCTCCTCTTTGCTAGGTTAAACATTCCCAACTCCCTCAACCATTCCTCATAAGGCTTGGTTTCCAGACCCTAGATCATCCTGGTTGCCCTTCTCTGCACATGTTCCATCTTGTCAATATCCTCCTTAAATTGCACTGCCCAGAACTGGACACAGGACTCCAGGTGTGTTCTGACCAAGGCAGAAGAGAGTGCAGTGGCGTGTGGTCCGTGGACTAGGGAGACGAGGCTAGTCCCCTAAATGTTTCCCTGGCACCTCCTTCCCAAAGCCCGGAAAGCTGCTGCCTGGCTTGGGGAGGGAGGCATGATGCTCCCACATGCAACATCACACCTGTGTCACGCCCCACCCCATCACCTTACAAGCTGGTGCCTCCGATCCTAACTGTTCCCCTATGAAAACTTTCACAGCACGCCACTGATAGAGCAGGACTATTAATTCCCTTGATCTGGAAACTAGGCTTCTCTTGATGAAGCCTAGAATAGCATTATCTTTTTTGTTGCTGCATCACACTTTCGACTCATGTTCAGCTTGTGGTCCACCAAGACCCCGTGATCCTTTTCACATGTACTACTGGCAAGCCAGGTGCTCCCCATCTTATATTTGTGCAGCTGGTTATTCCTTCCTATGTGAAGAACCTTACATTTGTCCCCCTTGAAATTCATTGTTAGTTTGGGCCCAGTTCTTCAATCAGTTCTGGAATCCCGATTCTGCATTTTGTAGCATTCGCTACCCCTCCCAGTTTGGTGTCATTAGCAAATTTGATGACCATCCCCTCAATTCCAAGTCATTTATAAAGACGAACAGCAATGGCCCCAGGCCCCACCTGTCACTTTTTCCAGGAAGATTAGGAACCGTTAGTGAGCAGCCAATTTGTCCATCACATGATATTTCAGTTTGAAATAAACAGCGGCTTTAATGTGAATGAGCAGCATGCTGTTGCACATAGCTCAGCCGTTCCCTCAGTGCTCCTCTGCTGTTGCTGCTCCATGGCCTGACTTGTTGTGTCATCAAAACCTGGGCTCATGATTTGTTTTCTTAAAACAAAACATGAGAAGTGAGTCAAAGAACAAGCATTGGTTACTTTGAAGGAAATAAACCACACGTGCTTCTGGGGACATCGGGAGGGCTGTCCTCGTTTTTGTGATGTCTAAAGGAGGCGCCCACAGCTCCTGCTGTGACTGGAGCAGACCCAGGTCCTCTACCAATGTGTGTGGCACCATCAATTTTCGTTCACCCCTCAGTGAGACGGTGATAATTCTGTTATTATTTTTATTTTTAATGGATTTATAGTTTGCCTTCCCATGACAGGTTACAATATACTGTAACAATGCAATGGAGATCTGAATGGAGCTGGGGAGGGTTAGCATCTTCTTCCTGCTCTTAAATTCCATGCTGCAGGTGGGCAGACGCGGGGCAGGGTGAAAGGGGGAGGTTGATTGCCCTGATCTAGCCCCACTCCTCAGCTGGCATTTCAGGGGCTGCCCTTTGGCTCTCCCATTTTGACCCACTTCCCACAGCCCTGGTTATAAAAAGACCGGGGGCGGGGGGGGATGTAGCTCTGCTGTTGCCAAGCAACGCTGCCCTGTGACTGCAGAAGGGAGCAGCCAGCTCTGTGCGTCTGCAGGGATCCTCCGCCTGCCTGCCGAGGTTGGAGGGAGCCGGGCAGCACACAGGACCCTGTGTGTAGAGCCTTTCTTTCTGTATGGGCAGCCATGCAATGCTAGACTTGCCGACACCCATGCCCAGTCTTTGCCAGCACATATGGAGGCAGCTGCCCCCGCACTGCTTTGAGGGCTGCTTCTCACTTGGCATTTTATACTTGGATACAGAAACCAGGTACAAAATTATGCTTGCCTGGTAGCACCTGGCAACAATACCCATACAGTTAAAGAATTGCTTTTCTTGATCAAACACTTGGCATTTTGCAAAGAATTAAGCCTCAGCTTCAGTGTCTTTTGCTAAGAAAAGTGGGTATTTAAACACATACATGATATTTACAGCTGAATTAAGGCAGTTATTTTGTAACTGGGTCCAAATGAAAGAGACATCCAGTCTAAATTGCACCTTAATTTAATTGTTTACATTTGTAGCCTTCCCAGACCCAATAGCTTGGGGTGTGTTAGATAATATTTTAAAATGCTCACCGTATAGATTTGACTAGGCAAGCTTAAGGGCATATTCCCGATTTACTTTAGATGTATTGATGGTATTATTTATTAATCAATTTAATTAATTTCTATGAATTCTGAACTGCCCTTTGCCAAAGGGATCCCAGGGTGATTCTGCAGATCTGCACAATTAAAACATCAGCACATGTAATAAAATCAATCAATCAAAACATTAAATTCTAAAATTAAAGTAAAATAAAATTATTCCGTTTAAAACAATCCAGACAATTATATCATAGTAGTGGAGGTAATTTCTTATGTATGCTGCTGGACACACACAATGATTGATTGATTGATTGATTGATTGATTGATTGATTGGTTGGTTGGTTTGTTGCTCTATTGTTCCTACTTCTATATCCCACCTTTCCTCCAAAGAGCTCAAGATGGCGTCAGTGGTTCTCCCACCTACCCCTATTTCCCCCTCACAGCAACCCTGTGAGTTAAGTTAATCTGAGAGGCAGTAGCTGGCCCAAAGTCACCCGGTGGGTTTAATGGCTGAGTGGGGATTTGAACCCAGGCCCCCCAGGTCCCAGTCCATCACCCTCTTTTAGGCCTCTAGAGGTCATCACCAGCTCTTTCAGTGGAGCTCTAAAGGCAATAGAAAGTCAGTTCATACACTGACTTCCACGTCTGCATATTCAGCTACAGTTTTGATATGCATGTGCTTAATACAGAAGCCCAAACAGTTGCCCATGTTTGATTGATTGACTAATTGAGTGGATATTTTTATCATTGTTATTTGTTGCTAAATTTATCCTTCACCAATGGATCCCAGGGCAGGTTATAACTATTTTTAAAAAAATTAAAACCCGGAGTTTAAAAAGTTAAAACAAATTACAGTCACAGGAAGAGAGTAGGTCTTGAAAACACACATCTCAGGGGTCAAAGACCAGGGGGATTGGATTCTGCATTTACTCCAAGGAGCAGCTTGCTTCTATCTTTATGATTACTACTACTATCATTGTATCTATGTAAATGGAAGTTTACAAAGAACAGGTATGACAAGAGGGTTGCACTCTAAAATATTTCCCAGGAAACAACAGACATAGGAAGGAAATGGAGGCAAGGATGAGTAGCGGGGAAATATGCGGTGATTTCTATTACATGGACCTAAGTTGAAGTATAAGGACTAGCGGGGTATCTAAGTATTTTACAGGGCCTGATCCATATTGCTTTAGCAAGCGGGGATTCATAGATTCATAGAATTGTAGAATTGGAAGGGGCCACGAGGGTCATCTATTCCAACCCTCTGCAATGCAGGAATCTCACCCAATGTGGGGATCAAACTCATGACCCTGAGATCAAGAGCCTCATGCTCTACCAACTGAGCTATCTCAATTCCCATTTTCCAAATGGCAGGGATAATGACTTGCCACAACACATCCATGACAGAAGTGGGACTTGGACTATTTCCCACACCATGCTCACTTTCATTCTGGCATGCCCCCAGGCTGAGAGAGTGGAACATTTACAAGGAAGCAGGGAAAGCATAAACTCTCAGCTCTGCGGGAAAGAGTGTATGGCTGGCATACCTACACCACAAATATGCATCTGTCTTCTACAGTTTAACTGACACAACTTCCTCCAAGGAATCCTGGGAACTGTAGGTTGCTGAGAATTCTGCATGTGAGACTCTAACAACCTTTACCAAACTACACTTCCCAGGAGTTCCTGAGGTGAAATAATCACCATTAATTCAGTTCAAATCAGTAAACCAGAGGGGCTGTTTTGCATCCAGCTTTGCTGAGAGTTTATTCCTCAGCTGTTTTCTTCCAAAGGACAACTTCAGGAGTAAATAAGGTATCTGTGTGGATATACAGTATTGCACAGTCTCTACACCACGGTCAGGTGGGTCTCAGGATGGGGAAGACGCACATTGGCAGTGTGAACTGCTTTACAGGGGCTGGTCCTGTAGTTGCAGACATTTTTTTGAAGCATTGTGCAATTTAAAGAAAAAGATCCATATGAAGGGAGAGCCAGGCCATGGAAGCTGCCCATCAACACTGAACACCCTAGACAACAGGGCACCTGGTCCTAGTCTTCCCCAGCATGGAGAGATGCATTGCAGTGCTATTTAAATTGTACTAATTATTTCTGCCAGTTTGTCTACATATCTATCTCTATTTTCCATTTAAATTATAGTAAAAAGATTCTTTTGTTTAACAAAATGTATATGGTGTATGTTTGTATGTTTAAAGCCGGCACTGAAAAGAGAACAGGGAGGCACCTGCCTGATGTCAACAAGCAGGGAGTTGTTACAAAGTACAGGTGCTGCCACATTAAAATATCACAACTATAATTACTATAATACAACTATTTTAATTTAAATAGAAATACAATACATCTTATCGGGGAAGACTGTGACTAGGTGGCTTATTTGCTTGCTCAGTCTCCTGTCCAGGTGATAACTATTAGTGGTCAACTTCAAGGCCTTTGCTCTCACTTCTTAAGAGTATCTTTGAACCTGATACAAGGCCACCCTACCAAGTGCCCATTTTCTTTGCATGGGGAAATAGCAATAGCTGTTCCCCTTTTTAGAGAGGCAGCAGCACCTTTTTGACATCTGCAAACCATTAAACCAGCCACCACCCACATTTCAGACCTATTTGCACATTTAGCAACCAAAATTGCTCACAGCCAGAAAAGAGGGAGAGAAACAAAACCCTCAGAGTTTCATGTGTAGGCAGTCAGGTCTATTGAAGAAAACTTTGCTGCATGTCATTTCAGGCATGAAGGATTGGTGTGAGAGGCATGGCAAGATCCATAGAAATAATAATAATAATAATAATAATAATAATAATAATGCATTGTACATATATGAACATTTCTTCTATATCTGAGACCTTAGAATTCTTATAACAGCCCCACATTGGAGTCATGTCAGATGATGGGGCATTTAATAAATGTCCATGATGAGACAAGATTGTTCCATGAGCCAGGGGCTTCCCACCCCTCATAGTAAAAAAAAAAACCAATCACACAGTGTTTCACATACTTCCATTAATAAACTTTGAGCACCACTTTAGCAATCATATTGCCATCTCCATCTTGCAGGTAGTGACTTTGTAGCAGAGACATAAGAACATAAGAGCCCTGCTGAATCGGACGAAAGGCAGATCTAATCCTGCAGATATTGTTTCTCACAGCGCTAGCCAGATGCCCATTGAAAGTCCACAGCCAATACCCTTCTTCTGCGCTTGTTCTCCAGCAACTGATGTTGAGGAGCATGATTCCTTTGCTGTGGCTTGTGGCTCACACAAATAAAGAGTCTCTCTCTCTCTCTCCAGGAGAGTTCTAATGCCCCTGAGTCTAGAAGCAGGATAGCACCCTACACCCCCAATCACTTTTCTCCTAGCTGATCCCACTTTCAATACAGGAGATAATTTCTGTAAGATTTGTATACTGAGAGCCCCCTCTCCGTATCCATTTTCTCAACATGGGGGCCAATTATTGAGAGTAGAGAAGATCAAGGAAAGGGGTGGCAGCGGGGTTGGAGATAGCTTGGTTTATGTTATCTATCATATGTTCATATGCTATCGTATGTTCACAAATCAGTAAAATTTAAATTGAGTTATTGTTTTTTAAAGCCACTGACTGAAGAAAAGGGTTGGCATTACAGAGTTCAGTCTGGCTGGGCTTCTTGCTCTGGTTCAGTATGAGGTGAACACGAGATGGATGCTGTTAACTGCTGCAGGAAGGCTGGAATTCAGGAAAAGCCACTTGGAAACCAGCTGTCTGCTCTGTGTTGCAGGACCCTGGGGAGTTTGGCTGCAGCGTGAGCGTGCATTGAGTGTACGTGTTGGCGCGGGAGGTGGGGGGGGCACACAGCTCCCTCCCTCGGCTGGCGGAGTCGCCATTCAGGACAGCAGGTGCTGTTGGGTGTCTCTGGTCGCCGCTCACTCAAACAGGGCTGGAAATCTGGGGGAACAGCTGAGGCTCTAGAGAGCTCAAACGCGGCAGCAAAGGGCTCTGGGAGCTCAGCTCTGCACAGTGAATTTGAGGGGGGGGGGATTTCTACTGCCAAGGACTCTGAGCGTCGGTGTGGACTGAACGACTGGAACTTGGTTGCATTGCGCCTGCTGGGACCTTAATGGGGGGGGGGGGCAGCATGCAAATGATTTATCCTGACACAGCCAAGGAAAGACAACCTTCACTCCTCTCATGCCACCACAAGTAGTTTGCTCCCTGTGACTCGGCATCTGCCCCCGTCCTGGACGCTGGATGTGGCGGTACTGCATCTCGGTGCGCACCCTGAGGTATCTATCCTTCCCAGCATATTGGCATGAGTCATGGGGAACGAGGGCAGCACCAGGTTAGAAGAAACAAAGTGGGTCTTCACTTAGATGCAATCAGGAGGGGGCGGGAGTGAGCATAATGGAACTCTGCAACAGACACTGGGATTAGTTTGGAAGATATGGGGACACCTTGCATTCTGTCTGCATTCCACAGATGGAACCTAAAATGCATTATTTGGTTTGTTGCCTATCTAGCCTGTTCTGTTCCTGGGACTAGGGAATAGCACTTGGCACCCCATTCATCTTCCCAATGTCACTAGGAAGGAGGTTGCTCTTGTTCCCGTTTTGCAGAGGGGCTGGCACTAGAGAGCTAGAGGCTGGCTCATGGCCCAACCAGAAGAGTGGTCTCTGGGGCCGCTCAAAGTTTATGCTGTGTGTCTGCTGCTCAGCCATCCCATTCCAGAGGCAGTTGCCCTTCCACATTGGATTCTGCTTGGGCTAAGGCAGCCTTACCATTACTTCAAATCTAGGTCTGTCAGGGTGCAGATTCTGGATGGTATTAAAGGTGTTAGAGAGAGAGGCAGGCAGAGGTAACCTCTGGAAGGCACAACCCACCAGGAAATGGTCCTCTGCAAGCTTCAGAGCTGGCAGTGATAAGGGGATGGTGGTGCTGGCACCAATGGAGAAAGCCAACTGGCTCTCATCTTTTCTGTGGCAAGAGGTAGTGACTATGGCCCCTATGGTTGAAGGGTGTGAAAGGAGGCCAAGCCAAAGACTGAGAACAGGTCCTGCCAAGGAGGACACAGTGACTCAGGAAGAGAAGAACTGCCTGGGGGATGTGTTGTTTGTTCTTCAGCTATGACAGGAATGCACACTGGCAGGGCACAGTGCTTGGTGTCTACTGGTTCGACAGGCTACTCCAGTCCCTGCAGGGGGCACTCCTAGGGTGCCTCTCAGATGTCTTGGCCTCCTCTAAGCAGAGGTGGCCCCATCATGAGGCCAGGCGTGGTGGTGATTTGGGGTGTCATTAAGGGCTAGAAGACAAGGCAGAGCTGATCCCGCAGGTTCCCCAATGAAATTAATGGGAACCATGCATGAGAACTTCATGACAGCTTGACTTGAGGTTCACAAGAGAGGATGCCATTTAGATTTTAGGCCTCAGTACCAAAATGTCCTGGGCTGGCGCTGGAGGCTCATGATGCTGGTCAAATGAGCCAGCTGTTGCATGACACTCCTGGTGATGATTGGGAAGAATGTATAAGGAACTAGGCTGTGTAACGACTTTGTAATCAAGGGAATTGGGTGGCAGGGGGAGAACTGAAGAGGAAACTGAAAGAGGAAGCAGCCAGATGGGAACAGAACACTTGGGTGGGGCGTCTCAGTTGGAAGCCCCTCCCCCACTACAAGGGACATGCTGAACTGAAGACTGCAACAAAGCCATGTCCTTGATGCAGGGGAGACAAAGGCAGTGGAATTAGAGTGAGGAGCAGCTGTGCTGGGATGAGTCTCCATGAATGATTAGCAAGTAACTTCCTGCTATATCTGTGTTGGTCGGTGTTAAACAAAGAAGTTTGGGAAGCAACTGCAGTTTCCAGGACCAGCAAGAGCAGGGGGAAGTTACAACAGCAGCTGTTCCAGGCCTAAAGATCAGGCCCAGGCTGAGAGGCTGCTATAGCAAGGAAGGGACTAAAGCCTGGGGAAGAAGAGGCTGGAAGGGGGATGTGAGACTTTGGTGCACACCTTTCAACTGGCCGGTTCCATTCCCTAGGAATCATGAGCGAGAGGAGCACCTGCACACCCAGGTCCTGAGCACAGTTACTTCTGGGTTATGCTGCATATCATGGGGTGGGGGCACTGGGTGGGCTGGAAGCAAGGAAAGACAGGCCTGTGCTGCTTCCCGTCTGCACACACACACAGACCCTCCAAGTGTCCCTATTCCTTAGGGTGGCCCTATTTTCATTAGAGAAATGTTGGAGGGTATGGAGTTATCCAACCTGCAAGCCGTCTGAAGGCAAACCTGTATAAGGAATGTTTTTTTAAAATGTTTAATGTTTTATTGTGTTTTTATATATGTTGGAAGCTGCCCAGAGTGACTGGGGCAACCTAGTAAGACGTGTGTGGTATAAATAGTAAAATTATCATGATGGAATGGGACGTCACTATTTTCGTCAGAGAAATGTTGGAGGGTATGCACTGGGTGGGTTGGAAGTAATGTCCAGGCTTGTGCTGCTTCCCATCTGCACACACACCCATCCAGCATGCCCCCCCCCCACATTCACCCCCACTCCCTTTGGCAACCATTCCCCTTTAAAAGAAGTAGCTACCTCCCAGTAGCTTCAGGGAGGTAGCCGTGTTGGTCTGACGCAGTAGAAATATATATAATTATTTTTTTTAAATGTCCAGTAGCACCTTAGAGACCAACTAAGTTTGTTCTTGGTGTGAGCTTCCGTGTGCATGCACACTTCTTCAGATACCAGATATTTCGTGCATGCACACGAAAGCTCATACCAAGAACAAACTTAGTTGGTCTCTAAGGTACTTCTGGACTATTTATTTATTTATTTTATATATTTCTACATAGTAGCTTGTGTAATTTCAAGCCGCTGCTAGGCCACTCCTGCCTAGCAGGACCATGGCTGTAGGTGTTTAGGATTGCAGCTGAGGCAGCCCAGGGCTTGGTAGTTTCAGTTGACAAGGATAACAGCTACAAGAAATGGATGGATGGTTGGGTCTAAGATTGTGGTGGTGGTTGCTGCCAGATTCCAGGTTTCACAGGTTTCCAGTGCAGCAGGCTAGGGCTGCAGGAAGCTGAAAATGGGAGTCCCTCACGTTTTATCTTTTTGCATTGTGACTGTTCTCAAAAACGGAGTGCCTCTGTTTGTTTGTTTGATTGTTTTTTATGAAGTCAACACTGAGATGGGAGCCCTGGCTTCAGTGGGAAGAAGGTTTAAGTAATCAAATGAGGGAAACAGATGTTGGGGAAGGTGTGGTGTCAAGTGGGGCCTCTTGCTGCAGCTGCTCAGATCCAAGGTAGCCTTACCATGAGACCCTGGGCAGTAGATTCAGGTTATACCTGAAGACAGCAGAGTGAGAGGTAGCCAGCTGTGATCCATGAGATGCAGTCAGTTGGTAAGTTCTCTCGTAGAAGGAACAGGAAAGGAAGTTTCAGCAGGGCTTGTGCCAGAGGATTTCCCAGCGAATTTCAAGTGGGGAGTTCACTTTTGCCAAAACTGGCCCACCAATTTGGCTGTATTCAATTTCATTGGGAGGGGCAAAGTTCCAAGGTATGTTTAGTTATAACTGAGGCTAAGGGTGTGCGGCACAGTGAATTTTAAGAGCATTGGTTGTGGTTACTTCTGTTTATCTCTTAACTATAACAATATCATCAAGACAAAACAAGCAGGCACCACATTTTTAAAGCAAATGCTTACCAAACACACAGGACTATTTAATTGTGTATAACAGTAGTCACTCAGAGTGCACAACCTGCAAATTGGTCAGGTCCACCAAGGAGGAGACAGGGGACTCCCCTGAGAAGGAGGCTAGTTCACCAACACAGGAGCCAGATATATGGAGAAACGTGACTCAAAGAAGTAGGAGGCCCAGGGTTCGCTCTGATTGTTTAGAAATACACAATCGCTTTGAGGTCCTCTCCCCTAGCATGGAAGACGAAGAGCAGACTCCATTTGAGGATCTCTCCCTCATTACAGTCGATCAGGTATATGAAGACGAGCAGCAAAGTCAGTCCTCAGGGAATGTGCAGGCGACCTTGGAGCGGACAGCTCACAGAAGAACCCCGACCAAACCTAAGAGGAGGCGTGTAGTGGTGATAGGGGATTCCCTACTGAGGGGACAGAACCAGAGATCTGTGGGCATGACAAGATGTCTCGGGAAGTGTGCTGTCTCCCCGGGGCTAAGATCCAAGATGTAACTGAACGACTGCAAGGAATCATAAAACCCACTGACAAATACCCCTTCCTCTTGGTTCATGTGGGAACCAATGGCACTGCAAGCAATAACCTCCAGAAGATCAAAAGAGACTACGAGGCTCTGGGCAGGAAATTGAAGCAATTAAATGCACAAATTGTCATCTCATCTGTCCTCCCAGTTGAACGACGTGGCCCAGGGAGAGAGGGAAAAATAGTGGAAGTGAACAGCTGGCTTCGCAAATGGTGTAAACAGGAACGGTTTGGATTCTTAGATCACGGACTCTTGAAGATGGACTTCTGGCAAGCGATGGGCTGCACCTCACAACGGTTGGGAGGAATGTTTTTGCCAAAAATCTCAGAAACCTCATCAGGAGGGCTTTAAACTGACTAATGTGGGGGAGGGAGACAGTGCTCCTGAAGGTAGGAGTCTATCAATTGATGAAGATGATCATCCAAATGTCATAGACCAAATGGAGCAAACAGCACGCAGACCTAGTGGTGGGAGGAAAAATCCTTAAATAAGAGACACGGGGAATGATTAATGGACTTCAATGTCTGTACACTAATGCGCAAAGCATGGGAAATAAACAAGATGAGCTTGAGCTCTTGGTACAGCAAACTAAATATGACATAATAGGCATCACTGAAACCTGGTGGGATAAGTCCCACGATTGGAATGTAATAATGGGGGGATACAATCTGTTTCAGAGAAACAGACCAGACAAGAAAGGAGGAGGTGTGGCGTTATATGTCAGGGATGTGTATACCTGTGAAGAGATCCAAGATTTAGAACCTCAAAGCCAAAGTGAGAGCATTTGGGTCAAAATGAAGGGAGAGAAGAATAACAGTGACCTCATTGTGGGAGTTTACTATAGATCCCCAAGCCAAACGGAGGACATAGATGATGCCTTCCTGGAACAGATGGCCAAGCATGCAAAAGGAAGGGAGATAGTAGTAATGGGGACTTCAATTACCCGGATATTTGTTGGATGTCAAACTCAGCCAAGAGCATAAGGTCAAACAGATTCCTCACTGGCTTTGCAGACAACTTCATTGTCCAGAAAGTGGGAGAAGCAACAAGAGGAACAGCCATTTTAGATCTGGTCCTAACCAATGTTGATGACCTGGTTAGTGGGGTAGAAGTGGAAGGATCATTAGGCGCGAGTGATCATGCTCTTCTGAAGTTTACTATACAGCGGAAAGGAGCAGCCAAGCATACTAGGAGTCAATTTCTTGACTTTAAGAAAGCCGACTTCATAAAACTTAGGGAAGTGCTTGGTGAGATCCCATGGACAGTAATACTAAAAGGAAAGGGAGTTCATGATGGCTGGGAGTTTGTTAAGAGGGAGATAGTAAAAGCACAACGTCAGGCAATACCAATGAGACGGAAACATGGAAGGTGCCTAAAGAAGCCAGGGTGGCTATCTAAAGAACTTTTAACTGAGTTAAGATTAAAAAGGATGTGTACAAAAATGGAAAAGGGGGAAACCACCAAAGAGGAATTCAAACAAATAGCCAGCACGTGTAGACACAAAGTCAGAAAAGCTAAAGCACAGAATGAACTCAGGCTTGCTAGAGAGGTTAAAAGCAACAAAAAAGGCTTTTATGGGTATGTTCAGTAGCAAAAGGAAGAACAAAGAAACAGTGGGGTCACTCAGAGGAGAAGATGGTGAAATGCAAACAGGGGACACAGAAAGGGCTGAACTCCTCAATGCCTTCTTTGCCTCAGTCTTCTCTGATAAAGAAAACAATGCCCGACCTGAAGAATTTGGAGCAAATGATTCAGCAAAGGAAACACAGCCCAGAATAACTAAGGAGATAGTACAAGAATACTTGGCTAGTTTAGATGTATCCAAGTCTCCAGGGCCAGATGAACTGCATCCAAGAGTATTAAAAGAACTGGCAGATGTGATCTCAGAACCACTGGCAGTCATCTTTGAGAATTCCTGGAGAACAGGCGAAGTCCCGGCAGACTGGAGGAGGGCAAATGTTGTCCCTATTTTCAAAAAGGGGAAAAGAGAGGACCCAAATAATTACCGCCCAGTCAGTCTGACATCAATACCAGGGAAGATTCTGGAGCAGATCATTAAGCAAACAGTCTGTGAGCACCTAGAAAGGAATGCTGTGATCACCAAGAGTCAGCATGGATTTCTGAAAAATAAGTCATGTCAGACTAACCTGATCTCGTTTTTTGACAGAATTACAAGCCTAGTAGATGAAGGGAACGCAGTGGATGTAGCCTACCTGGATTTCAGCGAGGCATTTGACAAGGTGCCCCATGATATTCTTGTAAAGAAGCTGGTAAAATGCGGTCTTGACTATGCTACCACTCAGTGGATTTGTAACTGGCTGACTGACGGAACCCAAAGGGTGCTCATCAATGGTTCCTCTTCATCCTGGAGAAGAGTGACTAGTGGGGTGCCACAGGGTTCTGTCTTGGGCCCGGTCTTATTCAACATCTTTATCAACGACTTGGATGATGGACTCAAGGGCATCCTGATCAAATTTGCAGATGACACCAAACTGGGAGGGTGGCTAACACCCCAGAGGACAGGATCACACTTCAAAACGACCTTGACAGATTAGAGAACTGGGCCAAAACAAACAAGATGAATTTTAACAGGGAGAAATGTAAAGTATTGCACTTGGGCAAAAAAAATATGAGAGGCACAAATACAAGATGGGTGACACCTGGCTTGAGAGCAGTACATGTGAAAAGGATCTAGGAGTCTTGGTTGACCACAAACTTGACATGAGCCAACAGTGTGATGCGGCAGCTAAAAAGCCAATGCAATTCTGGGCTGCATCAATAGGAGTATAGCATCTAGATCAAGGGAAGTAATAGTGCCACTGTATTCTGCTCTGGTCAGACCTCACCTGGAGTACTGTGTCCAGTTCTGGGCACCACAGTTCAAGAAGGACACTGACAAACTGGAACGTGTCCAGAGGAGGGCAACCAAAATGGTCAAAGGCCTGGAAACGATGCCTTATGAGGAACGGCTAAGGGAGCTGGGCATGTTTAGCCTGGAGAAGAGGAGGTTAAGGGGTGATATGATAGCCATGTTCAAATATATCAAAGGATGTCACATAGAGGAGGGAGAAAGGTTGTTTTCTGCTGCTCCAGAGAAGCGGACACGGAGCAATGGATCCAAACTACAAGAAAGAAGATTCCACCTAAACATTAGGAAGAACTTCCTGACAGTAAGAGCTGTTTGACAGTGGAATTTGCTGCCAAGGAGTGTGGTGGAGTCTCCTTCTTTGGAGGTCTTTAAGCAGAGGCTTGACAACCATATGTCAGGAGTGCTCTGATGGTGTTTCCTGCTTGGCAGGGGGTTGGACTCGATGGCCCTTGTGGTCTCTTCCAACTCTATGATTCTATGATTCTACGTAAGAGTGAGAAGGCACAGCTGGCATGGGGGGGTGCTTCTCTAGCCCCATAGCCAGCCTTATCATGAGGGTTCAGGGTGGATAACATCAACTTTCCCAACAAGAGAGGTCACCCTTATTCCCATTTTACAGGAATGGGAACTGAGGTAGAAAGGGGGCCACTTGCCCAAGCAGGGATGCCAACTTGAATAAAATATTGGGGGGACCCAGGTATGTCCTGCCCCACACAATCACATGATGTGGTGCACACGCAACATTTGAATGGCACTGCCTATCAACTTTGGGGGGTGGGGTTGGCTCCCTCATATATTTTATTAGGGGATGAAGGGACCTCGGCCCCTATGAGTTGGCTCCTATGTGCCCAAGGCTACCATACTGAACTGGGATTTGAATTCAGGAATTCTAAGTCTGAGGTGCCAGCTCCTGAACTATGTTGCCTCCCAGAGGCTCAACAGCTGCCCCATCCCTCTTAGTCGCCATTCCTTTTCCAGACCTGGGGATGGGTTCCCACTTTTTAAAAGAATGACTTTGTTTCTGCAGCTTTTTAACAGTAGCCTAAAATTCAAAAATGGGACGCGGGTGGCGCTGTGGGTTAAACCACAGAGCCTAGGGCTTCCAATCAGAAGGTCGGCGGTTCGAATCCCCGTGACGGGGTGAGTTCCCGTTGCTCGGTCCCTGCTCCTGCCAACCTAGCAGTTCGAAAGCACGTCAAAGTGCAAGTAGATAAATAGGTACCGCTCCAGCGGGAAGGTAAACAGCGTTTCCGTGCGCTGCTCTGGTTCACCAGAAGCAGCTTAGTCATGCTGGCCACATGTCCCGAAAAAACTGTCTGCGGACAAACGCCAGCTCCCTCAGCCAGTAAAGGGAGATGAGCGCCACAACCCCAGAGTCGGGCACGACTGGACCTAATGGTCAGGGGTCCCTTTACCTTTACCTTTAAAACTCAAAAATATAGCAGCGATGTTTTTGCTGGCGGAGAAAAGCTTCTCCTGATAATTTTTTGTATGCTAGGCTGCTATGAAGGCCCCCCACATTATGTCTTCAACAGCTGCATATTGGGAAGAATTTCACATGCTAAATTTGTCTCTTGTGTAACCATTAAAGGCAGAGGTGCTCTGACAGGGGGAAAAAGATAGCAACTCAACTCCCTAATACATTATTTCTGCTCTCAGAGCTGGAGACAGAACTGTTGAAGATTAAGATACAGAACCTTTATCTTCTTTGCAGTGGACCAACTGGCAGCAAAGGAGAGCTTGAAGTCTGTAATCACAACAAACATTGAGCAGTTATTGTGAGCTGTAGCTGGCCTGCTCTGCTCTGAGCACACCTGGTTTTAGTACCTGGGCAGCTGTCCCAACTCCAGGAAAAGGCTCTAGGTTAAAGGCTGCTCTGCACAATGCGATGGGACGTCATGACGTTGCAGCATGGCACGTGCACACCGGGCACCCACAGTCTGGGGCCCAAGTCAGCGCTGCTGGTGGAGAGAGAGCTTTGGCATGCGGGAGCACTCAGTCATGGGGGCCCCCATCTGCAAGCGAAAGTGGAGCAGGCCAGGTTTACCAGCTGAGTCTGAACCAGCTCTCTGGTTTCTGCTGCTTGCTGTGTCTGTCATAGTTTATGGTGAATAGGGCAGCCACTTCTGCATTATCAAAAAGATACCACAGATGGAGGAGAAAAGAGTGCAGATGTGAATAAAATATGAATATGCTAATATTTATGTATAGATACAAATGTAAAAATAATTACTATCAGAACATAAGAGAAGCAGTGTGGGATAAGACCAAAGGTCCATCTAGTCCAGCCCTCTGTTCTCAAAGAACTGCCATCCTACAATGCATCCCTCCCTGCTGGAAAAGACTGTGGCCACTGCAACCAGGTAACCTCTGTGCCTGCTAAGGCTGCTGCTGCCCATGTGCTCTCTGTTGCATGGGTCTTTATCTTTAAAATAGCCCTTCAAAAAGAGGATGCCTTCCAATTAAGGACTGTTCTCTATAAAGTAGAACATATCGTCACTTCAGTAGTGAAAACAAATGAACACTATTCATTCTTGTGGGAGAAAAACAGGGTCTAGTAGTTTAGAGCAAAGGAAGGGGTTTGGGACCAGAACTTGTGGGTTTGTTCCATAGTTAAGACAGATACTAGGAGTTTGTTAGGCTGTGCCAGTGTGAGAGTAATTGTGCATGCAGTGTTTGTAAGAGAGAGAAACTTTGGGCTATTTATAGTGTGGGTGTGACAGATGACATGGCCTTTGTGTTTTGCGTGCTAGGTGTGGAAATTCTGGATTGTGGGTGACTCTTTGGGGGCTGTTCTCCTTGGCCAGTGGTTAAGCCTATTCAATCATGTCAGATGAGTTTAGCAAGTGCTCACCCAACTAATAAGATGCTAGACTGAAGCAAACCTTCCCCAGCACAAACTGCTCAAGCAGGAATGTCCTACAGCTAGTGACCAATAGCCCTTCCTGTTCTGTATCCTGATCAGCAAGGAGGAGAAGGACCACCCCCTACACCTTGTGACCTGATCTGTAGCTGCTGCCTTATGTGGATTATAACACAAGGATTCTGTTGGGTAAGCAAAAGGAGTTCCTTTTGAACACACCAAGCTGAAGGTGGCAGGAAGAGAGGTATAAATTAAGAGTTGCAACCAAAGGTGGTCTAAAGTGACTTTTTGGAAGATGCGGCAGGTCCTGCCTGGGGGGGGGGGTCGGTTCTTATCTCTCTAGTGAGTCTATTTCTCTTTTCACACATGTTTATATTGACTTTAACAACTTAGCTTAATCCCAAGGTTTTGGTGGGATTTCAGTTGACCTGCAGTTTGATACGAAGAAATTAATGTCCTTCTCTAGCCTGTCTCAGTTCAGTGTAAGGATGTCCCCTAGGATTATTGGTATATGAAAACATTAGTTATTGCTTGTGGTTTAGCTCTGTGACTTTACAGAGAGAGAAAAGCATGAGTTGAGGTTCAGTGACACAACAAGCCAGACTCGGTCTTGTTTCATTTGTGGCAATCAGAATAACTTTTGAGCAGCATTTTGAGCACATCAAACCATTAAACTATGCAAAGCATTTTGAATTCTCAAAGTATTTGATCAGTGTGAAATATTATTAATGGTAAGTCACAGAGCTCAGCATGGAAGAGCATAAAGCCCTTGTTGGATCAAACCAGAGGTCCATCTAGTACAGAATCCTTTTTCTAACCTGTCCAGCCCAACCCCTTTAGGAAGTCCATACACTGGACATGAGGGAGGCATCTCTCTCTCATTGTTTGTCACCCAGCAAGCTGGAGCTGCACTGCCTTAAGTGTTGGGTATTCTGTATTTAATAGAGGTTGATATGCCCAACTGCCATAAATGTATCCCATGTTTCTGTCAGATCTGTGCATTATTTAATAAATTGCAAGTGGTTATGTTTCTGGTTCTGCACCTTGAATATATGTCTGTGATTCTCAAACTGTTTTCTCTGGGCCACACTTTCAGGGTAAAATTTGCTTGCATTACACCGTTTTTTTTATTGATAAGGGAAATACATTGGAAAACTCCTGGCAGTGCTTGATTTATAACATAGAACACAACTACCGTACTTTGTTGTATGATCATGGGACATCTAGAAAGTATAAACCAATGCAGCTACGTCCCCCATGCCAGTAATAAGGTCACATAATAACCACCTGTCTCCTTGATCCTTGCCCATCCTGGCTTATAAAAGCTAGCCGGGAAGGGCTGGGCGATGGGCTTCGTGGGGTCGTGAATGCTTCTCTCTGTGAGGGAGCCTTCCCAGACCTGCTGAAAGAGGCGGTTATTAAACCGCTTCTTTAAAAACCATCTTTAGATGCGGCCACGATGGCCAACTATCGCCCAGTCTCAAATCTTCCATTCTTGGGCAAGGTGATTGAGCGAGTGGTTGCTGAACAACTCCAGGCACGCCTGGAAGAAGCGGACCATTTGGATCCCTTCCAGTCGGGATTCAGGCCTCATCACGGGACTGAAACTGCCTTGGTCGCACTGGTTGATGATCTCTGGCGGGCTAGGGACAAAGGTGAAAGCTGTTTCCTAGTTCTGCTGGATCTCTCAGCGGCGTTTGATACCATCGACCATAACATCCTTCTGGACCGTCTTGAGGGGCTGGGAGCTGGGGGCACTGTCATACAGTGGTTCCGCTCCTTCCTCCTGGGCCGTGTTCAGAAAGTGGTGGTGGGGATGAGTGTTCAGACCCCTGGGCTCTCACTTGTGGGGTGCATCAGGGTTCTGTCCTCTCACCAATGCTTTTCAACATCTACATGCAGCCACTGGGAGAGATCATCAGGGGGTTTGGGCTGGGTGTTCATCAGTATGCGGATGATACCCAGCTCTACCTCTCTTTCAAATCGGAACCAGTGAAGGCGGTGATGGTCCTGTGTGAGTGTCTGGAGGCGGTTGGAGGATGGATGGTGGCTAACAGATTGAGATTGAATCCTGACAAGACAGAAGTACTGTTTCTGGGGGACAGGAGGCGGGCAGGTGTGGAGGATTCCCTGGTCCTGAATGGGGTAACTGTGCCCCTGAAGGACCAGGTGCGCAGCCTGGGAGTCATTTTGGACTCACAGCTGTCCGTGGAGGCACAGGTCAAATCTGTGTCCAGGGCAGCTGTTTACCAGCTCCATCTGGTACGTAGGCTGAGACCCTATCTGCCTGCGGACTGCCTCGCCAGAGTGGTGCATGCTCTGGTTATCTCCCGCTTGGACTACTGCAATGCGCTCTACCTTTGAAGGTGACCCGGAAACTACAACTAATCCAGAACGCAGCAGCCAGACTGGTGACTGGGAGCGGCCGCCGAGACCATATAACACCGGTCTTGAAAGACCTACATTGGCTCCCAGTACGTTTCCGAGCACAATTCAAAGTGTTGGTGCTGACCTTTAAAGCCCTAAACGGCCTCGGTCCAGTATACCTGAAGGAGCATCTCCACCCCCATCGTTCTACCCGGACACTGAGGTCCAGCACCGAGGGCCTTCTGGCGGTTCCCTCAGTGCGAGAAGCCAAGTTACAGGGAACCAGGCAGAGGGCCTTCTCGGTAGTGGCGCCCTCCCTGTGGAACGCCCTCCCACCAGATGTCAAAGAGAACAACAACTACCAGACTTTTAGAAGACATCTGAAGGCAGCCCTGTTTAGGGAAGCTTTTAATGTTTGATGTATCACAGTATTTTAATATTCTTTTGGAAGCCGCCCAGAGTGGCTGGGGAAACCCAGCCAGATGGGCGGGGTATAAATAATAAATTATTATTATTATTATTATTATTATTATTATTATTATTATTTAAGGTAAAGGTATATATAATTATAAAGGAGCCTCTCACTTAAGCAGTGCTTTTTTCTGGAGGTACTCCGCTTTTGCTGGGTAAATATGTTTACGTATATTAGGTCTAATTTGAGGCAAACAAATTCTCATCTCCTCATCAACACAAATAAGCCTTTTTCTTTTCTGATCTTTCATATTTGTCAGAGTTGAAAATTCCTGTTTGCAACAGTATGTCATGGTGAACTGTAGAAGAATAGACAAAGCCCTCTCTTCAAACGGCAATTCTGGGTCACAACTAGGATTGTCCTCAGTATCACTTGATGCTTTTGCTCTCATTTTGAAAAAAATGTCAATCCATATTCTAAATAATATCTATATCTATATCTATATCTATATCTATATCTATATCTATATCTATATCTGTATCTATATATTGATACTATGTGTTCAGTGTTTTAATTTGTTGGAAGCTGCCCAGAACGGTTCAGACAACTCAGTCAGATGGGTGACAAACAAACAAACAATTTGTCCTTGAATCGTCCTGCCACACTTGTCATCCTCTCCTACCACACCAATGTGACGTGCCACATCCTTTGAGAACCACTGATACAGATTTTGATGCTTTATTGGAATATACAGTGGAGTACGATCAGTGAGATGCCTTTGCATTGACTCTCCTGACAATAGCACAGTTTGTGCCTTTTATATTTTGTTGCACATATTGTTGATGCATCAGTGAAATATGCAGCTTTAGATATTTGTGTGTGTGGTTTGTTAGTAAGACTCTGCTGTTGGTTGAGTCAATGTGTGCGTTTTTTTAATGTTACCATGTGTCTGTCAGAAGGCATGCGCCTGCCTATGCTCGTGAACATGTGTCAGTGTTTGTATTGGCACCGGTATGGGGGGTGAGGATAATATCCCTAGACACACCAGGACTGACTATCCCCGACATGTGCTCACTCCCATAGCCAATGTGACTTGAGAGGAGTTGTGATTATAATCTTGACTCCAGCAGCAATTGGAATGGCAAAAAGAGTTAATTGGCATCGAAATGTTATTTATCGAGCAGCATAACACCCCTCTCTCTTTTCTGGAGCCTTTCTGTGAGATAGCTATTTTGGAGCTGTTGCCATGACAATGGGCAGGCATGCAACAATTATGGCGACTCCAAATTGCTGTTCTATTTAGGGGTGACATTTGGGAGGGGTTCTACAGCCAGGTAACGTCTGCTAAAATAGAGAAATAAAAAAACCACCACCCTGTGTTTTGACTCCAGGATCCCCTTCTTAAGGGGGTCGACCTTGAGCTTAGGCATAAAAAGCAGGAGACTTGGCTCCCAGTTTCCACTCAATTGCTATCTCTTCACACATGCTGGGAAACTGTAGGTGGGAGTGGAAGTTCCCTTTTCTCAAGGGGCATTGGATCTGCAGCCTCTGCACTGGCCGCAAATCCAGGGTTTCCCAACCTCCCCTCTCATATGTCAGCTGCTTTGTGTGTGCCAGAATGGGGTGTGTGTGTGTAAGACATAAAGTGTCTACTTCATGGACAAGCTACAGCCTCATCTGTATTGCAGAAATAAATGAAGAATTCAATTTGTACAGAGAGAATTCTCTCCCTCTGCTCACAGAAACGTGCTTATCCTCCCATAGTCCAGCCTCATGTGGGAGGGGTGTCTCTGTACTTCTGGGCCGCTCTTTCCACAAATCCAGGCTGCACACCCTCCCTTTTAAAGCTTTTGAGCATCTCAACTCCCATAACATCACTATGATGATGATGGTACCCATCTTCTTCCTTGCAGCAGCCATAGCAACCCAGCATCTCACCCCCTCCGCTCATCCCCATGGCAACCACATCCAAGGCCTGCTCTGCTTCATCAATAATTTCCTAGCTGTGTTGCTGTTGTTGTCAGTTGTTTGAGGATGGGGAACAAGGTGGGAGGGCAGTTGCAGTTCAGCCACAGAAAAGAAGGAAAGATATAGTCTGTCTGCATTACATGCAAGTGGGGTGCAAGGGGTGTGTGCAGAGAGAGGGGATTGCAGTAGTTTGAGGGTTCACTCTGCTCACTGTTTATATATTTGCATAAGGCAGAGAGAGCATTGCTTGTACATGAACACTTTATCTTTGCAGGTTATTTTACAGTTTATGTTTTTGAAATTTGTTTAAGGATTGTGTGTTGGATGTGTGTTATGGCACACTTGCATGTTCCAGGATTTATTTATAGCCTTGTAAGACTGGATAGATGGGGCAATGCTCAAAAGGTGCTCACAACAGGAAAATATGTTTTTCAACAAGCCAATCCTATCTGACTTCTCAGAAGTAAGTCCCACTGAACTCAATGGGGCTTGCTCCCAAGTAAGTATGTATAGGATTGCAGCTTCCATCTGATAAGCTGTATATTGTCAATGATTAATAATCTGGTCTTAGGGTTGTAGGAGTGATAGCTTAGGTGTTTGTGTTGTAAACATGGGTAAATGCAATATTGATCTGAATGTTTTTATCACTTTGTATATGTATGTACATAAACAATTATATAGGCACGACTGTTTGACCCACCCCCGATACTTGTAACTGCCTGTCAGTGTTTCTTCGCTCATATGTATGAACAGTATGCAATCTTGCTTATGTTCATGCTTCTCTGTGTGCGCATGGGAATGACTGAAGGCTTGTGAGTCTTAGAGAGTTTTCTGAGTTGTTTTCGTGCTGCTTCCTCATTGTGTGTGTGTGTAGGTAGGTAAGGTTCCATACTCACAAAGACACACAAGATTTGGGCCAGGAGTGGACCTATGTGAGTGTCTTTTATACAGTAGTAGCACCCACACAGCTGAAGAGAGTACATACATAGAGTGTATGTGCACCTAGACATAACTGTTGATCAGTGAATATATTTGTGTCTCCTCTCTCTCTCTCTCTCTCTCTCTCTCTCTCTCTGTGTGTGTGTGTGTGTTACATGTGTCATAGATGCATGCTTCTGTATGCATAGGCGAACAGGTTTGTTCATTTCCCCCCAGCATTTTGAGTTCATCTCATGTAACCACATAAATAAGTGCATGTTAGCTGTGTGATTAGGCAGTTTATTCAGGACAAACAGAGGACAGTATTTCTTCATGTGACACTTAACCAGCTTGTGGAAATTTTTGTTACAAGACATGGTGATGGTTAGTAGCTTATGTTTCTTCCCCACTGTAATAGCTATGCTTTGTTCATTCACTTATGGGGCAACATTGTCATCAAATTGTAGTTCTCTGTGTGTGCATATTTTAATGAATTTTTAATTTTTTTAAGAAGATCCTGAAATATTCAGGTGATTTGACCCTTCCCTGCTTATGCAGCTATGTCATGTCTGCTTAGGTGGATTGACAATAACAGGATGTAGAAATGTAAAAGAATGTTACACCCCCATAAAATGTGGGATTGCAATTCCTCATGTAACTTACAGCAGGAGAGTGATGATTGGGCAGCACTAGGAGTTATCAGCCTGTCTTGGGAATATATGGAGATTAGAACTGTCAATGACAATAAGCCATGAAGGGTACATGGAACCTCCAATATCCTGGAATATTTAATATTACATGTACAAATGAAGTGTACTTGCCACCTGACCGGGTGGGCGGGTGGGGACATTTTAGTCATGGAACATTTTACTTTTATTTTATTTTGTTTTTGAGCCAGCTGCTGAGGAAGGAAGGAGCATGGCCATTCCCCCCCCCCTTTATCTAAGCCTTGAAAATAAAAACAATAAAATTTTTGCACTGTAGATGACTAGATAGCATTTGTGTAGGGCTCTGCCTCCTGTTTCCACTACACAACCCTCCCTGACACAACCCTCCCACAACCCTCCTCAAGCCCCACCACAGTTAGCAGAATGTTTGATTTCAGCAGCTGGAAGCCGTGAGTCAGGGGAGGGCAGTTACCTTTTCATTTCCTGCTTGTGGACTTTCTGCAGAGGCAAATGGGCTGGCTGCTGCTGAAAAGAAGGATGCTGGTCTAGTTGACTCTGTGGTCTGGATTAGCCTAGGCTGTTCTCTGCAGGATGGTTTCCTTGGCATAGTATTCCAGATTATTTCTTTCCCCCACCCCCACGCCCCAAGATTGAAGCTTGTCAGGCTACCTCTTCAACCCTCTCCCCATCATCTCCCTGGTGTGAATAAGGTGGCATTAAATGAATGAGAAAGGGAAAATAAGCTCAGCACATAGTCTTGGCTTGGAAGGTTATCTGTTGAAGTGTATGACCTATGACCTCCAATTTACCATTTTGCCAAAAATGTTGGCATGATTTGAGAATTAAACAGTGCCCTGTCTGAGGGTGCTCCCTCACCCCAGACATTTTGGTGCTTGAGGAAGACAACCTAAATTGCAACTTCCCTTTCACACACATTCACAGGGAGTGCATTCTCCACTTTCCCCCTTCTGGGGAAGTAATCCCGCACAAGAACAAGTGTTGTGCAAATGCACTGTCAGGGCTTCCTGCAGGGGATGTGGGCCCCATGGGTCAGATCTGTCTGCCTGTTGCTTTTTTGGGGTCTCAAAATTTGCCCCCTGAGACCGCTGTCGACCATATCTCCCCCCTAATTAGCTGCTCGTGTATCTTCCCCCTCCCATCACCACTTGCTTTCTACAGTTGGCAATAGGATAGCAGTTCAAGGCCTGACTACCACAGAGCTATATGACAGGCAGAAATTCAGCAGGTGCAGTGTCTCCCAATGAAACAAGATGCAACAAAACAAAGCTTAAGACTGCTAAAGAGAACTGCAGTTCAGATTGCTTGGGCTATACTTTTCCTTGGTAAGACTGCCATCTTTTTTGTGCCTCTCCCTTTTGTAGCAGCCTGACAGGTAAAAATTTAGCATGCAGAGCTTTTCCTGCACCAGGAGAAAACATCAATCTGCTTAAAGACCTCCAAAGAAGGAGACTCCACCACACTCCTTGGCAGCAAATTCCACTGTCGAACAGCTCTTACTGTCAGGAAGTTCTTCCTAATGTTTAGGTGGAATCTTCTTTCTTGTAGTTTGTAGTGAGGACCTTCAAGGAATTTAGACACATTCTTGAAGGATAAGGCTATCAGTGGCTACTAGGTATGATGGCTATGTATTATTTCTGGTAACAAAGGCAGTATGCTGGTGAGGTGGGAAGCAGAAGAGTGTGCTATAGGCTCTTGTCTGGCTTGTGGTACTGGTTAGCCATTGTGGTAAACAGGATGCTATCTATACTAGAAAGGCCATTGGTCTGATCCAGTGCAGCTTTCTTAAGCTATTACAGTGGAGAAGCCTATATTTCTGGAAGATGTCCCTGTGGATGTGCAAAGTGAATTTTTAAACCACCAGGCCTTTGGCTGAATTAACATCCAGTACCCCTTAAATGTGTTGTGGGAGGGGGTGGGGTTATTGGTTTGATTTTGTTCTTGCTTTTGTTATATATTTTGTGCTTTTTAAATCTTGTACTTTTATGCTGTGAACTGCCCTGAGATCTATGGATGAAGGACGGTATACAAATTTAATTAATTAATAATAATAATAATCACCCTGCCAGAGCTTTCCATAGCGGGTTAAGGGACCTGGCAGCCACCAGCTAGACAGGCGGGCATTTACTCTTTTTTAGAAACTGTCCTAGCTGAGCATAAAACAACTAGGGGTTTTTAATGCCCAGCCGGAATCCTCATCCCAGGAAAGAGAGAGAGAGCGAACCAAGGGGGGGGGGGGGTCACCAAATCCCGAAGCCCGGCTCCTCCCTGGCCCCGCCCGCCGGAGCAGCGCGGAGTTGAAGGGGCTCCTTCGCCCCCATCGCGGAGCCGGCGCGCCTGGCGGAAGCGGGGCCCGCCCGTCTGGGGGTCCGGGAGGCGGCGCCCCTCGGGGCCGGCAAGGAGGGCGGGCCTGGCGGCGCAGGCTCCTCCTCGGCTTGGCGCGCCGCACGAAGGCAGGCAGGCAGGCAGGCAGGGATGGAGGAGCGGCGGCGGCGCTGCTCGGGGGCTCCGAGGAACCGCGGCGGCGGCTGAGACCCCGCGGCGCTTGCCCGCCTGCCCGCCCGCCGGTCGGCCGGACCGGCCATGTGGTGCCTGCAATGCTCGTCCGAGCGCCGCCCGGGGCAGCTGCAGCACAAGCTCCTGCGCGGGTGAGTGCGCCCCCCGCCCCCCCGGCCCCCGCCTCGCCCGGGCTGCGCGGGTGCTGAACTAGCGCGGGGAATATTGCAGCCGGCAGAGAAATGCCGCCGCCTCTCTCTCCCCCCCCCCCCCATATCAGTCCTCTTCGTCAGGGAACTCCCCGCTCCCCATCTGCTTTTTCCTTCAGCGGATTAAATGTTGCGCGCGGGGGGGGCGGGTTCTCCGATACCCCATTGGGTGATGCCCCTTTCGTAGCCTCACATCCCCCCCCTCACAATTTCTCAGATTTTAAAATTTCTTAAATTATCTTAGAAGGAAACCTTTCTGATGTCTCATACGGGTCTCCCACATAATTTCTCCTTACCATCCCTCCCCCATTTATTCTGCAGGAATCCCCTTATCCCCTCCTGCCTTCCTTACCAGTAGCAGGAGCCACACGCCCCAAAGATGCCCCTTGGACAGGAATGCCCCTTGCCCCCCTGCACTCACCCCCCCAACTCAGTGGCTGACCCGCACACTGTGCACATCATCTGTTTGGAACAGCCTGCCTTCTTTCCTCCGGATTTCCCTTGGGTTTCTCAGCAGACAAAGGAACATTGAGACTATTGCTGGGGGGCTGCCCCGCAACCTCAGCCTGCCCTTGGCCAGCCCCCGCCTGCCTGCCCCTCTGCCATCAGGCCTGGTTGCCCCCCCTCTTGTCACCCTGGTAGAACTCCGCAGGAGGGTGGATGGGGACAAACCCACACTGAATTGGCTCCTCCTGTTGCTGGCTCTGGTTCCACCTCCTTGCCTCCTGCCTTGGCAATCCCAGCAGGAACAGTTAGCGCTGGAAGTTACCTTATACTGGATCAAACCACCTTGCTCTGTTGACTTGTAGTGACAACCGAGGACCTTTCCCAGCCCTTCCTGGAGCTGCTAAGGATTGAAGCTGGGGCCTTTTGCTAAGCCAAGGTTTGGTTTAGTGTCTCATGAGAACCAAGGCGGTGCAGTGCAGTAGTGGTTAACATGTTGGACTACGACCAGAGGGATCAGGGTTCAAATCCTTACCCAGGCATGAAGTTCATTGGCTTTGTCTTGAGCCAAGACACTATCTCTCAGTCTAGCCTACCTCACAAGGTTACTGTGAAGATGAAATGAAGAGGGGGAGAACCACTTGTGCCCCCTTGAGCTCCTTGGAGGAAAGGTGGGATATAAAAATAATAACAAAAACATCAGTCAGTCCCTCAACTCTCCACAGGTCACGTCTTTGAATGCCTTTTGCAAACATCCACAGGCTTCCTTTCCATTTCTTTTTAGCTCCATTGCTGGGCTTGGCCTCCCTTTGGCCTTCAGGCCTTGCGCTCAGGCTAGGTTGTGATGTGGGCCTCCCTCCTTTTAGTTAGTTAATATTAATTGTATGAGCGAATTGGTCCTCACTCTGGGTTCCAAGATATAAGGAAGAATGTTTGAAGACCTCACACCTGGATGAGATCCCAACTTTGACCGTGAAGGGAGAAACAGATTTGGGTGGAGAAGTTAAATTCTAAAGCACTACAGCAGTCATGAAATAGGTTTCATCTTTGTCCCAATTGAGTTCCCCCACCCCACCTTCACAGCTGTGATACCACCTACCATCACAATCTCTTACTATGCATTAATTAATCTGGAATGACAGCTGTACCTTCCTCTGTACACACAATCGCCAACATGGATTTGGGTCCCTTACTTTGCAGGGATAACATTTTGGCATGTCTCTGCTTGTAGACAACTTTCCGCTTCTAAACTCAACATTGCGTCTGGCCATGTGGTGGTGTGAATCCTTACATTATGCAGTCAGCAGTGGCAGCGCTTATTTCAGGTGGAACTCGCCAGAACTGCAACCCGGCATCTCTCTGCTGGGCCCCGGAACTGGGGGAGGGACCTGACCAGCCTGAGCAAAGCCCAGCTGCCCCTCCGGCACGTGAGGAGACCCCCCTGGGGCTCCAGAGAGGGGCAGGTGAGCTGGAGGGGCAGCAGGGCTTTGCTGAGGCTCCTCAGCCTCCCAGCTAACAGCTGGCATGCAGGAGAGCCTCACCTCAGCCCAGGAAGCCCCCTTGTTGCTCCAGGTCACCTGAGAGGGCAAACTGCTCAGCTGAAGTGTGGGGCATCTGCGTGCCACCAGCCCCCCGACAGAGGCGGCCTCTGGTTCCCTCTTGGGGCTCTGGGGTGGGTCTTCTGAGGAAGTTGCGTTCCAGACCCTTTTTGTGTAGAAAAAAAGCACTGAGTAGTAGGGACATTTTAAAATGTCTCTGTCCACATGACTGAACTTTGCCAACTACAGACTTTCCTCATGGTTGCAGTGTAATCCCCCACCCTTAATCTGGTGACAAATGTGGTGGTCATACTTGTAAGAAGAGTGCATGTACAAGTATGCCAAAATTTAGCAGAAATACAGTGGAAAAAATCAGGATGTGGGTTTGGGTGTGGCTTCCTAAAAATCCTAACCTTCATAAGGGGGTGGGAAAACAATCTAGTCCTCATGTTTGTGAAGATTTGGCAGTTTCTGTTTATATTTTGACTATGTATTTTGTGGTTTTATATTGTAATTTTATTTTACCTGCAGGTATAGGGCAGAATTAATAATAATAATAATAATAATAATAATAATAATAGCAGCATCCTTGAAGCGTGTTGGGAGTGCTTGCTGAAATCAGAAACCAGAGGCGTGGTTGAATATAAATCCCAGGAGTGACATTATAGCTCCTATATAGTCCCTTGCCCCTCCCCTAGCAAAAACAGTATAAATAGGAATAATAGGAATAATAAATAGCAAAAACAGGAATAAAATTACAGAATTCAGCTTTTGATGTTCAAGAGTTTGAGTTATATTGACAAAGAATATGTGTAGCCCTTCTCATAAGTATTATTATTATTTATTGAATTTGTATACTGTCCTTCATCCTAAGATCTCAACATAAAAATACAAAATGAGAACACTAAATACATAATATGTAATCAGACAAAACCAAACCAAATAACTGCCCTCTTAGGACCACATTTTAAAAGCCATAGAATGTTAATCACAGCTAAAGGCCTGGTTATAGAGAAACGTTTTTCCTGGTGCCTAAAGGTGAACCTCCCTGGGGAGAACCTTCCACAAGTGGGGAGCCACTGCAGAAAAGGCCCTTCTCATGTTGCCACCCCCTGGACTTCTCATGGAGGCGGCACACGAAGAAGGGCCTCAGGTAATGATCACAAGGTCCAGGTCAGTTCATATGGAGAGAGGCAGTCTTTGAGGTATAGCCGCCCCAAGCTGATTTATAGGTCATAACCAGAACTTTGAATTGGGCCCACAAGCTAATTGATATCCAGTGCAGTTGGGCCAGGATTGGTGTAATATGGTTCAAACCATTTTGCCCCCAGGGAGCAACCTAACCACTGAATTCTGCACCAGCTGAAGCTTCCAAATCATCTTCAGGGTACTGACCTACATCTAATTCATTGCAGTAATTCAGCCTAGAGGTTACCAGAGCATAGACAACAAAAGTTAGGCTATCCCTGTCCAGATAGGGGCACAGCTGGGCCACCAGCCAAAGCTGATGGAAGGCAAACTGTTTCTCTCTCTCTCTCTCTCTTTCTCTCTTTCTTTCTACAAAACAAACTTTGCTTGTTTCTTTTAATTATATTTTTAAATAGATGAAAAATAAACCTAGTGTTCTACAAGAAATTCAAATAAAATATTGGAAATTGAGATTATATATGCAAAATAATTAAAAACTCTAGTGAGGAATTGTTTTGGCAAAGCCTCTGAGCAGTTTTAACCTAGCTCCGCTTCTGCCCCTCTTCAGCAGTTGTGCCTGACTTCAGAGGAGAGGAGGTTGTCTTTGTGATCATTTGTTTTTCACTCTATTTGTCTGAGGCAGCTGTTTCACAGTTACAGAATGCAATCCAGGCATCCACTGACAAGACACCTGTTGCAAGAAGATCTCCTTTTCCCAGCATGCAAGCCACAATTCTGGGGAAATGCAATTTTATCTATCCCCAGCAAATGCACCTGTAGCGGGTGTAGAATGCAACGTGGAATTTGATTGCTTAAATGTCACCTTGCATTTCTTATTACTTTGCGTAAAGACCCAATGTCCTATTGCATCATTTTGTTTCCCAACATCATTTTAAAAAGTCTTGAGAAGTTTGAATGTTTCCTGTTTTATAATGGATATCTCATGCAATATAACGAAAAAGGTGAACCCCACAAGGCTGCCTTGCAGCAGAGCATGGGCGTAGCCAAGGGGGGGGGCAGGGGGCAGCTGCCCCCCTAGATCAAGTAAAGCAATAGAAATACTTAACTAACTGACCAATCACATCAGTTCTGCCCCCCTAGCAAAAGCCCCACCTCCTCCAACAAAAGTCCTGCCCCTCCCCACAGAGATTCTGGCTGTGCCCCTGCAGCAGAGAGCCCCATATTTTGGTACACTTCTTCATTACCATTTTTTCAAATGGCAGCAAATATTCAGTTGTCCCACTGATCAAAAGTATGCCCCCCCCCCCCCGGAACCATACACTATTTGGGGTAAAGTTGGTTCTGAATCTAGGCTGGCAAAATAAAATAGGGGTTTTATTGCTGCCTGGAAAGGCTCTAAGAGAGACCATGTGATTTGGGAAGGGCAGCACTGGCAAGAGTTTATAAATTCCAGCATGGCACCCTATTAGCAGGTGTGATCGGAAGCTCAAGGAGGGGCAGCAAGGGGAGCCAAGATGCTGCTTCCCCCCCCCCCCCGCTGCATCCCTTAGCAATAGAACAAGGAAGTCGACCTGACAAATGGCATTCCATCTCATCTCCAAGGGAAATTGTCATGCCTGGAGCCCAGCCATATGGAATTTCAACTCTCAGCAAGATGCAGCCGCTTCCAGGGTGGACTGCAGCAGTAGCAGCTGATGTCTCTCAGCCCCATAACATTTGAAGACAAGGAAGTAAAGGAACGTTCTGTTTCTGGTTGGGAACCTTTGTGGGGTGGGGGAGAAAAGGAAGCATATTTAAAGGACCAGAGGATTGAAATCCCTTTAGCTGGGATGCAGCCCGGAAATCTGGTAGAAAAGAGTGTGGCTTGAATATGTTGAAATGTGAAGGTGTATTGAGGCAGGATGTGCTGGACCCTGGTGCTAATGACAAGGAAGTGTCTTTTCTTTCTCCGGCTTTGACCAGGAGAAGACAGAGAAGGGCTCTGCTGAGATTTGAACTTGCAGCTGCCCAGCGTACCAGAGTTCCAAGCTTCTGTTTCAGCTGGTGACAAAGGCTTAACAAGGAGGGAAAGAGGAGCCCTTGCCTCTACCGCTTTCTGTTCTGTTCCTTGGTCTCTGGCACAGTCCAAACTCACCATTGTTTGGGGGTCAGGATGGAGGCTGTGATGTTACATTGCCTGCTGGCACCTTGTACATTCTCTTTGGTTTCCACGATGGTATGTGTTTTTTACCTTCTCTGTAGTATATTTTGCTCTGTACTCTCTTTGTTGGACACTCACTATCATTCCTCTAGATTTCTTGGGAGTTTGTGGGGCTTTTTTTTTTTGTATGTGTGAGTTATTTTTACGAAACAAAGTAATATTGTTCATATTGCAAAACTTAAATCATTTTGTTTTTTAAAGCATTCTCTCTCTGTGTGTGTTTATCAAAATGATGTACAGTGGAACCTTAGTTCTCGAACTTAATCCATTCCGGAAGTCCGTTCGACTCCTGAAACCATTCGAAAAGCAAGGCACAGCTTCTGATTGGCTGCAAAAGCTTCCTGCGCTCAAGCGAAAGCTGCTGACCTTCTGGGTTTTTGGCGTTCAGGAGCCGATTTGTTCATCAACTAAACCGTTTGAGAAGCAAGGTACCACTGTATGTAGCACACCTACCACAGGAAAACATTTTTTTTCTTTTGAGCAACATTGGACTGTTAACCCACACTCTTGTGATTTTCTACAGTGTGCTACATGTCCATTGTCCTTTTTCCTCACAATGGTCAATGAATCTTGTGCAACACTTTCTCTACCCCCCCCCAGTCTGTTGTGTGTCCAGGAAAGCTTTTCTTGATAATGCTGGCACATCATGCTTATAATTATTTATTGCATATGATGCTTGCTGCTGAGCTTTCTGATAGCATACTGCATGCTTCACAGGGTTTTCACAATGACAGTTGTGCATATTTCCTGTGAATCTCTCTCTCTCCTCAATCTGCACCTCATTCACCAGGGTTCAGTTAGTGAATGCAAAATCTGAACTAAATTCATTCTCTGGTAATCTCTCGGTCTCTGCTTTTCTCCACCCCCCATCTGGCACGTATATTCTTTATGCTCTCTAGCCTCTCAAGACTTAAGAAGACCTCAGGGAGCAATTTGGCCTCTTCTTATGTATTTTCTCTCTCCCTCTCTCTGTGGAATCAGCTAACCCATTATTCTCCTATGAGCTGGAGACCTGGCAGATGTAATAATGCCTGTGTGTGGCAGAAAGCAGTTGTGGGGAAAAGGGGCCCTTGGTGAGTGTGTGTCAGTTTGAGGCCCCTCAGTTCCCAGGGTAGTTAATCGTAGCGGCTGTGGGCGGCCCACCCTTTATGGCTAGGGCTTAATAGGACCCCAACTGGGCTGCTCCCTTTGATGCTGGTTGATGACTATCAAACAAAACAAGAAAACTGTCCTTTTACGGCCTTTCTCCTGAATATCTTTTAAGTCTGGAAATGGGAAGGGCCAGAAATATAATTAAAGAACTAATCTGGGACATAGAATTCCAAAATGATTGTAACCGATCTTCTAAAATCTATAAATCTCTACATGAACCTCATCCCACAAATTACTTAAGTGCAGTGGATAACCCTATACATCATTGGGGTTTTTCCAGAGCCCGTTTTAATGTTCTCCCTTCAATAATAATAATAATAACAATAATAAATTTATTTATACCCCGCCCATCTGGCTGGGCTTCCCCAGCCACTCTGGGCAGCTTCCAACAAGATATTAAAATACAGTAATGCATCAAACATTAAAAGCTTCCCTAAGTAGTGCCCTCAGTACTAGGTTGAGGGCAGATATCATGACATCCCAATTGAACAAAGTTTATGCCCATGCAACTCTAATGAGATTGAATCCATTGGGCACGTTCTTCTATACTGCCCATTGTACTGTGATACCTGAAGAGAGCTTATTTTACCATTGTTAAGGAAATTACCTGGCTGCTCAGAGGAAACTTAAGTTAAATACCTTCTTGTCGATAAAGATCTGGCTATCATTAGGACTGTTGCGAAATTCTGTTTTATGGCAACTAGGACAAGACAGGCCGCGGTGGCAGTCATGACTGGCGAGTGAGTACTGATTTTAATCTATGGAATACAGATTTTAGCTGAAGGAGTGTTATTTTTAGTGTAAATAAGCTTATAGGGAATAGTTAATTACATCCACTTCTTCATGTGAGTGTGGTATATGATGCTGCTGTTGTTGTTGTTAACTTTGCTGTCTGGTTTTTGACCGTAATAAAGATTGCTTGCTTGCTTGATTTCTGAGATATGCTCATCATCTTTCTTTGTGTGGGTATTGGTATAGCCATGTGGCTTGTGTTAGGTGTTCCCAGAATCCTTTACTGTGTGCTGGAATTCTGGAGTAGGATTCCAGGGTTCCTGAACAGTGAAAAGTTTGAAATCATTGCCGCAGAGCATGACAGAGTTCTGCATTTGCCGAAGTTAAGAGGCATTCCGCCTTCTTTCTTACACACAGAAGAGGATGCCACATCTAAGATACTGCAACTGTTCGTGCATCTTCTAAGAACAAAGTATGCTTCTTGCATCTTCTCTGTGTTAGAGAGGTCTACATAACCTGTGACCCATTGCCTTATATGGCAGCGCACCAGAGACTCAAAAAACTGGTTGTTTGCCTGCTGGGACTGCAGAAGCAGGGAGTTGATAAGAACCTCACAAGTCACTGTTTGTGGCTGATGGGCTGTGCTGAATTTGGTGGCTCATAAGTTTTAGAATTGAGTAAGTGTGCTTTTTATTAGCTCAGGTATGGCTTCTTAAGCAGGATGTACATGTGTGTGCTTTGCCACCCAAGGCTTCGTTAATTAAAAAGGAAGATGCAATGTTAGAACAGGAACAATTTCACCAGATGCATGTCTGCTTCTAAAACAGAATATGTGTGTAAGCTCTGCAATGTAAAACAAACAAGCAACCCAACTAAAGTCCTTTTTAAAGGAATGGAAGGATAAAAAAAGTAGTAGTACTCAAAGTACTATTTTTTTAAAAAAGTACTCAAAGCATTTGTACTTGTTTTCTCATTGTGGCTATATAGATATACTGTGTGTGTGTGTGTGTGTGTGTGTGTGTGTGTACACACACACACACTCTCTGCAGGTGGCCTTATCAAAATCACTATTTGATGGGAGATCAGAATTGAGCTAGGCACTCTTGCTGTGCTCACCCTTTCCTGGCCCTGCCTACCATTTGTATATTAGAAGTACCATTAGCACTTGGCCCTTCCCATGTAGAGCTTCACACTCGTGGATCTGCTTCGTGCCCTCCAGACATGGCACACTCAAGGCAGCCTATGCTGCATGGAACAGACACATGCAGGAGCCTATGGAAATTCCAGCTCCTTCATCCAAATAGCAGGCAAGGCAGCACACGGAGCAGCGCATGTGAACATTTGCCTATAGCTAAGATTGTCTTGTGAGCTGGATGGGGTCCATGAGCTTCACCAGAACTAGAGTTAGCAACCCATCTTGATTATTGCAACGCAACACAGGTAACAATGCTATTTAAAAAATTTATTAGAATGTGATTGTACAAATGTCATTATGGGTGCCTAGTGGGTAGTGCCTATGATTAAGTTCCTGCAGAAGGTCAGTGTCAGGAGAATTCAGAATGGGAACTCACCCATCCCATAAAAGTTTATATATCAGACTCCCAACATTTAAGAAGACTTTTTGGGAGCCAAATGGCCAACTTTTGCTTCTCAAAACAAGAGCAGATGCATCATGGGAGATCAGACATTGCATCACCTGACTATTCTTCTCTCTCTCCCCCCCCCCTTTTTAGGTCAGAAGCAGCCTGGGGTAGTAGAGGGGCTCTAGCTTTGATTGGATCTGTGATGCTGCGGGTGTTTAACCCTTTCCCCTTATGTTGCTTCCTGGATCTAAATCACCCTGAAGCTGCTGTTAGCCCCACTAGGAAAAGAGTATAGGCCTGGTGGCCCAGCAGAGACAATAGCAGCTTCGTGGTGCATGTTTTCTGTCAATCAGGGAAATTACGTGACTGTGTGGTTAGCAGGCAAAGGTTCATCCCTTTCACCACCAGCACTTCTACTGTGGTGATAATATTGGCAGCTGATTGAATTGGCTAGTTTAGGATAATGGGACAAAAGAACCACAGATGGGGTGCAGTGACTATGGTGTGTCCCCCCCCCCACAATCTTTGTCAATGGAGCTGCCAAGTCTTGACCTTGGTGTGTCAAGCCCCCCCCCCCGCAGCTCAGGGATGAGCCTCTGTTGGCTCCTGGAGCTGCTGGTTCTCTCTCTCAGCAAAACTGCTGTGCAGAGCTACGGTTCAGATTTTAAAGGGCAATCAGAGGGGAGTAAATGCATTTTAAAATCCAACTTGGTGGTTTTGATAAGAGACCAGATCAGCCAACAGCATTTAAATAATGCCATTTTAAAAAAGGATCTGAGGCAAAACAGGAAAGGAACTATATTACACGATTCCATGGCATAGTTCCCTTTCTGCTTCCTCTGCTCCCTTTTTAAATGGGCAGCTAGCTACCAGCCAGGACTACTACTGCCACCGTCTCTCTCTCTCTCTCTCTCTCTCTCTCTCTCTCTCTGACAGTGCTGGGGCTGCAGGCTGGCACCACAGAGGTCGCCATTTCAGAGGTGGGTCAGGGCCAGCCAGATAAATGTGGCTGCCTGAGGCAAAAGACAAGGTGGCATCCCTGCCCTGCCTGCCCTCCAACAACCACTGCATATAAAGAAAACCAGGCTAGCAATTGCATCTGACTTTGATACTGGCAGTGGGGCAGCATTCTCCCCTGCACCTGGAGGCAGCAAGCGAGCTTAGGTGGCTCAGCATTTTCCGTCTGAGGCAGATGCCTCACTCTGCCTCCTGGTAAGGTCGGCCTTGGATATAGGAAGAAAGCAAGGCATCCAGAGGCCCAGATGAAACCTACCTAGGCCCTTCTCAAACCTAGCATGGCTTCTCTTCTTTCCCAGTCTTCCACAGTTTGTTGAATCTCTCTTCCTTTTTTCTTCAGCGTGGAAGGAGACCCGCCTGGAAGTGAGGCAGGCACTATTATAGTGGACAGCCTGGGCAGTCAGCCTCCATATCGTTGTACCCCTGAGGTGACCAAGATTGAGCACTACGATTTGGCACCCTCTTCATCGTCCTCCTCTGTCTGTCACACTCCATCACCAGGCATTCCGTGGGCTCAGCGTGCTCGGCTCCAGCCAGCCAGTGTGGCACTGAGAAAGCAGGAAGAGGAAGAGAGCAAGCGTTCCAAGGCACTGTCAGACAGCTATGAGCTCTCAACAGACCTCCAGGACAAAAAGGTAAGCGGTGTCTTCAGCGTGCACATTTTATAAGGCCAGAAACCCCATCTATAGCAAGAAGCCCAAGGCAATCTAATGTGTGCCACTTGTCTCCATGATTAGGGCCAGATGATTTCAGAAATGAGAGCCAGAGGCCTACTGAGGCCAACTAGACCAGCTTCTACTGCCATTCTCACTTGGCACAGTGCAGTCAGGAAAGTTGAGGCCATTGCAAGCCTTTGCTCTTCTCGTAGGCCTCCAGGTGTTGTTGGAATATATCACCCATTATCCCTGGCCATTGGCATGCTGGCTGGGGCCAGCTGGATTTGGAGTCCAACAATATCTGGAGGGCCACAGGTTCCCCTAGACAAGAGATGGCCCAGTAGTCTGACTCAGCAGGAGGCTGATTCATATGTTCTAGGGGATGAAAGTGAAAGCGCTGTCCTTTGCTGTGGCATCTTGCCCATGGTCCTCTAGAATCCTGCCCCCTCCTTTGCTGATGAGGTCTCTCCCAAGCTGCCCATCTCTCTTTTCCATAGAATTCATTGTTTAATCCAAATTATTTCCCCCACTCCCTTGCCTAAATCCCTGTCCTCACCACCACCACCGTTCCTCTGTTGCCTACTGCAGGTGGAGATGCTGGAGCGGAAGTATGGGGGCTATTTCCTGAGCCGACGAGCAGCTCGCACCATCCAAACAGCCTTTCGCCAGTATCGCATGAACAAGAAGTTTGAGCGTCTGCGAAGCTCGGCCTCTGAGAGCCGCATGTCCCGGCGCATTATCCTCTCCAACATGCGGATGCAGTACTCCTTTGAGGAGTTTGACAAGGCCCAGAATGCCCCTTACTTTGAGGGCAAGCCAGCCTCACTGGATGAGGGGACCATGGCCGGTGCTCGACCTCATCTGCTGGACCGTGGCCTGCCCTATGGTGGCTCCTGTCGGGCTGGCTTGGACGGCAGCTCCCTGCATTCCTCTTCTGGAGGCTTTTGCAATGACATCACTGAGCTAGAGGACTCCTTCTCCAAGCAGGTAGGCTGCGCCAAACTGTGCGCCACCCTTGCCTTTTCCTTTGCCCAGTGAAGACCTTTCAACAACCCCTTTGGCTGTTCTCTTGGTTCCTTTGCTTAGTCATGACCTCAAGCTCCCCCCTCCCTGCCCCATGGACTTTCTTCAGCCCTTCACAAATCCCCTCTGTTGCCCTCCCACCATTGTGAATTCAGCTTCCCGGGATCCAATAATAACAAGTTTTAAACAAATCTGGTAGCTTCCATTTACGTGAAAGGTGATTCTAACTAAACATCAGGGAAAACTTTTTGTTTGACAGTGAGACAGGCTCCCTTGGAAGGTGGTAGGTTCTCCTTCACTGGAGGTTTTTATGCAGAAGTGGCCACTGATGCTTTAGTTCAGTTTCCTGCATCGCAGGAGGTTGGACTAGATGGCCCTTGGGGTCCCTTCCAACTCTACAATTCCAAATGCACTGAGTGCCAGCACGGGGGGTACCTGTTTTTGATCAGGGCATAACCAAAGCTCTTCTCAGATTTCATTGAAAGGAAAAAGAGAGATACAAGGAAAGACATGCAGGTGGTATTGCCACTGGTCTTCAGCTGTTGGGTCGGGACCCACTAATGTGTCGTGGCCTGATCTAAGGTTGGTCACAACTGCCACCCTGCAAAGATTAAGAAATGGGTCCCCAAATGCATGTTTGGGGTAAAAGAGGATTCTGGGTGTGAAAGCACTTGCTTTGTAAGGAGTGAATCTGCTCTGAACTTCTTGGGTTCTCTTGGGTTGTAACTCTGAAAGCAGGCTTTGGTCGCTTGCTAGTTTGGGTTAATTTTATTAGGAAGTCTTGTATCCTGCTTTTGACTCCAAAAAGGTATCCTAAGAAAAAAACCCAATGCAAAATGGGTAGAGAATGCAACTAATATTTAAACACTTACATTTTCTGTGCTGGTGTTTTCTTTCTGCTGTAATACTGTTGCTTCCCAATGTTTTCTGCAATATCCTTCATTTTTTTTATAGATCTGATTTACAGTGTGGTGTTGGTATTGGCGGATGATTGCACCATTTGCCTGTTCACTATGGAACAGCACTATTAAGGATGTTCAGGTCTATTTACCTTCGATTAAAAGGAGTCCTTGCACTTTTTGCATCTCAGTACAGCTGGGGGAATTAGTGAAGAATTTCCTCTTACTTGGTTAGCTTCTGTCCCCTGAAAAAGGGAAGGGACTTTAATTATTGGTTTCTTTTCATATTGTTTTTCTTTTATACATTATAGTAGGTTCATGGCCAAAGCCATTATCCAGCATTGCTGGATAATATGATGCTGTATTAAACACTTCTGTAGAACTCACATTTTAATTCCTTTTCCCTCCCCTGGCATAAAAAGCAGTCCCTCAGCAGTGCTCAAAGGTTCTAGCATGGTAGAGCCCCAAACTGCAGCCTGCATATGAAATTGTGTATTGTGTTTCCTTTGTTGTCTTTAACTGATTTTGATAAATGGATAAACTTCTATTTTTCTACAATACTACATGTCCTGTGCGATGATAGAATACTGCATTTGGCCTCCTGCAATTGTAGCATGCTTTGTAAAAGATTATTCAAAGTGTGATTTGATTTTCGAATAGATGCTTAATTTGTATAGTGCACAGAAGGTGGGTTTCCTTGATGCAACAATTTTTGGTTCCATTTCTCCCCCTCCCCCCATTTTCTTCTTACAAAGCCCTGAGTATAATCCCTCCTGGCTAACTTCCTTCTGTGCCTCCCAACAGGTGAAGTCTTTGGCAGAGTCGATTGACGAAGCGTTGAACTGCCACCCCCTGGGACAGGAGGGGGGGGCTGGCGGACCTTCCTTGGAAAAGAGTGAGTCCAAGGAGCAGCAGGGGGACAGTGCTGCCACCTCGTTCAGTGATGTAACGCTGTACCTGGATGAAGGAGCTCCCACGTCGCCCATCTCTCTGGAGCGCCCACCCAGCACTGACCCACCTGAGCCCACCACTGTGCCAATCCCACCACCACCACGGCCAGAGTACTGGGTTGGGCCACAGCGAGAGGACAGCCGCGAGAACGGTGGCAGCCGACGCAGCACACCTTGTATGGAATGCAGGGACTATCGATTACGCGGGGCCCATCTCCCGTTGCTCACCATCGAGCCTCCCAGCGACAGCTCAGTGGATCTAAGCGACCGCTCCGATCGAGGTTCTCTCAATAGGGGTCTCATATTTGAGCAAGATGGTTGCAGTCCCCATGGCACCCTCAAGCACGCTGGCGGACCCACCCGTTCCCCACACCCACACCGGCATTATCACCCTGAACAAAACCAGCCACCCCCACCTCTGCCAATACCTCCCCCTCAAGTCCCTGGGCGCCTGCCCCCACCTCCGCCACCGGACAACTCTGATGGGGACAACGACAGCCTCAACAGCACCACCAACTCCAACGAGACCATCAACTGCAGCTCGGGCTCCTCCTCCCGCGACAGCCTGCGCGACCCTCCCCCACCTGCCCCAGCTGCCTCCTCGGCTCCCGGGGGGCCCTGCAAACAGACCTACCAGCGGGAGACGCGGCACAGCTGGGACTCTCCTGCCTTCAACAACGATGTTGTGCAGCGTCGCCAATACCGCATCGGCCTCAATCTCTTCAACAAGTATGAGATGCTTGGGTGGAGTCATGGGGAGGTGCCCATGGAAGTTTCAGTAGTAGAAGGGTAGCCATTTTGTAGGGAAGCGTTGGGCCTTACAAGGAAGCAGTGGGCTTATTATGGAGAAGGCTCTGTTGGGCCTGTTTCCCCCTGCTCTACAGCTCTGTCTCCCGCACTCTTTCCACACAACTCTCTCTTCAACTAGAGTTGAAGGTCCGAGGCCAGCTGGAGGACATGAGAGAAAGCATGAGGGAAAGCGGCGGCAGCGGTGGTACTACCCCGCATGCCAGCTGTTAGGCGGGCAGGCGGAGCAGCCAAAACAAAACCCTGCTATGCCTCCGGTCTCTCTGGGGCTTCCTCTGCCTTCACAGACATCCTCTTCAGGCTCCGGGGAGGGTCTCCTCATGAGCCATAAGGACTCTCCAGCTCTTTCCCGCCATTCCTGATATTTTTCTATTTATCCCCCCCCCCCCCCCGGTGCTGCAGGTATATGCAGCCAAACATGAGTAGAATGCGTGCAAGTGGAGGAACGATGCCTGTACCCAAAGTGGCCTGTGGGCAGCTTGCAAGCAGGATCTGCGTGCAACAGTGCTTTCTCCCCACTTGTGATTCCCAGCAACTGATATTCGGAGGCTTGTTGCCTCTGACAGTGAAGGTAGAACAAAGCCTCCATGACTAGTAGCCATGGATAGCCCTTTCCTTCACGAGCAACTCTTCCCCTGAGCTGACCCACACCCTGAGCAAGCAGGGCGTACAGCTAGGCAGTGGGGGAAATGACCAGATCGCTGGATAGTCTGTTTCACCCTGGGGGGGGGGGTGTTGTGGGGTTGCTCAAGCACATCATTTACTGTGGGGCATCAACAATTTCTCAGTACTTCCTAGTTGCCATGGTTTTTGTTCCACCCCTTCCCCTCTGGCTTCCCCTTTTTGTGTTTTGCCAAAATAATAATCGGAAGAAACTTAAGATGCAAATGTGAACAGATAGGCTCACACTGAATAACTCCTATTGATCATGTGGTTTGGGGTTTCCTGCTTGCAGAATTTGGATGTTTGAGGAGAACAGTGTGCATGGACTTGACAATAATAACTTCGATGAAATTGCTGGGCAATCACAATGTACAAGCATCAAGATGGCACAGTTCCTCTAACTGAGGATGGTTTCTCTTTGTGTGTTGTCTCCTCTCCTTCCAGGCTCAGCTAACAGGCTGAACCCAAACAATATTTGGCAGAAACAGGCAGTTGAAGGAGGAGAGAGACTGATTAGTTGCTGCTGACTTTTGGACTGCCAGGCCAGGTGCTTGAATATTGGTAGAGAGGCCCAGGCAGAAAATTTGGGGTCAGTTTAGAGACTGGGGAGTTCAGGTGCTGAATTCCGGTTGAAATTCCCGTTTTGCAAAAATCTTATGTTGTAACAATGAGCCACCTCCCCGTGACACCTCATTCCTCAAGAAGGTTACAGCTTTTGCTCCATTTTGTCTATTTCTGCCTAGCATTACCCTCCCTTTTTTATTGGCCATGTTTCTGTGCCTTTATTTATTCACCTTAAAGCTTTTACATACTGGTTTTCCTCACAAATTGGTTTCCATTTATTAACAAAACAATATTTTTAAAATGCCCCATCATAATAATGCAATTTAAACACCAGTAATTAAATGACGACAATAAATGTGGAAGAAATAATCAAAGTAAACACTGCCTTCAAAGGCACAAGAAAGGCTGGAGCCATTGTTGCTTCTAAGGTTGGGAGGGAGTTCCATAACTGAGGTGCCACCATAGAGAAGGCCTTGCTGCAGGTCTCCACACTGAACTGCACTCCGTGGTGGAGCTGCAAGCAGGACCCCTCCTGTTGATCTCACGGTGCTGGGCAGAGGTGCTCCACCAAATAACAGGCTGACATGCAGAAATGTAAGCAGGTGAAACTTCCCCCACCTCTTGTCATGGAACTAAGTGATGGGGAAAAGTTCCACATGCTTAAATTTCTGCACGTCAGGCTGTTATTAAAGGCACTTGTAACACAGCCAGTAGAAAGGGGGCAGCCCAATAGCCTGCCTGTGCCCCCTTTGGTCCCAGCCCACTTCCCTTCCACCTATCCCAACTGGTTGATAACTCCCTGCAGTGCACACTGGTCTTCTGGGCCAAGGAAGGGGGCGGGGAAGGCTCAGATCTTGGCTTCCTGTTGCTCTTGGTAATTTAATTGCTACTGAGCAAGACAGCATCTGTTCCACTGGCAGGAGGCAGGCTCTTGAGGGCTGGGAGGCAGCCATCACAACATATTAACCAGCTGGAGTCATGACTCACGTTGAATCCTTGGGGCAAAGCGCCAAGCTGAGGGAGCTGCGTACCCTCCCTCCCTGGGAGACAAACCCTGCTCATTTGCAGATGGTTTGCCTGGCAGAAGAGGGATTAGAATGAGGCCCACTCAATATGTTTTGGTACTGGGAACAGAAAACCCAGAATGGTAACACCCCCTCCCCCATTAGTCGAGGTAGATTGCTGTCCATCAGGGCGTTCTCTGCTGGGAGCCCCATTGTAATGAGCAGGAACTTCTCATGTGACTGCCCTGTCAAGTCAAATCCAGTTGCCTCCTCCACTTGGTGGCTTTTAATCATGGCTCAGAATTTGCTGCGTTGGCATGAGTGCCAGAGCTTGCTTCATGGGACTTGCCATTGCAGGTTCTCATTTCTGGAGAGATCTTCACCGTGGTCCAATATCATCCAGTGGGGGCATCTGCTCTCCAGCACATCTAGAGCAACTTTTGTGCCGTATCAATACCTCATAATTAACACTTCCCTCATTGCTTGTGCTATTTGGGAAATACTGGTAAACCAAAATGAGGCTGAGAAAAACTTTTCTCTTTGGGACCCAGATGTTAAGTTGTATCCCAACACACAAACACAAACAGGCCCCATGACCTCTTTTTGCCTCTTTTCCATATTTATTGGGGTGTGGGGAGACATGGTTGATGGGGAACAGTATTGCCTACATCTTGTGGCCACTGGAAGAATTCAGTACTGAAACTTGAACCTATAAGCATGTGACAGAAAAAGATGGTGGACAGTGCCATTTCAGACTGCAGGAGAGGAAATTTTGGTTTTTAAAAACCAATTCTCTGTTAAAACTCCCTGAAAATGGTTCTTGTTTACTTAAAGAGAAATTATGTGTCTTTCATGAGGAAACATTCAAAAATGGTACCTCCTATATGTACCTCCTAAAGACTGTATGTAGTACAGTCTAGTCTTATCGCCTCATTCTGCTGCATGTGTAGACCAGGTCCCAGCCAGTGGAGAGTTTTTAAGACCAACTTTGTGACTTACTGAATTTGCACCCACCCCTGCACCAAAGTTGGCCTTAGCCTTTTCACCCTTTTGCTGCCAGAGGCAAAGTTAGTGCCCCAAATCAACTAAATCACATTCAGTCTCCTTCCTCCCCTGTGGGGGATTGGGTTGAAAAGGAAAAGGGGAGCATTATGTGACTCCATGGTAGGAGTTAGCCATGGTCTGTAGAAATGGCAGCCCAGCTATCAGGATCAGCAAGGACTCAAACTTGGAGCCTCTTGGTCTATGCAAGGTGGAAGGAAAAGGGGCATAGTTTTCCACCAAGCCAAGTGGTGTTGATCAAGTTGATTTATGTTCAAAGCTGCATGCTCCACTGTTGGAGCTAAGTGGTCCCCACGGTGATTATCCATTACCATGTCTTGGCTATGGGGCAACTTGCTGTAAGAATGTGATGTTAGCCTCTTCCAGCAATCTGGGGTGTCTGCTGCTGCAAATGTTTCTTACCTGCATTGACCCTGGAACAAACAGCTCCTGTCAAGGGAGTGCAAATGTAACCATTGTCTTCACAATGTGGTTTCCTTGATACTTGCGTATCAGCTGTTGAACTAAGCGAGAACACATTTCCTGGTATTCAACTACGTTTCATTCAGCGTAGACCCATTGAAATTAAAGAAGATAACTCATTTAGGTCTGTCAATTTCCATATGTCTACTCTGAATAAAACCTAGTTAACACCATGCATTCTGTCCTTATCCTTGGGAACAGGGTGAGATGTATTTAAGGATGCTAGTGAAGCAGAAGACCACCTGAGAGTTGCTTCCCATGATTTTTTGCAACATCAGTAAGGACCCTGGGCTGCATCTCTCAGATTTTGTGGTGCTGTTTCTTGGAACAAGGAAGCAGCTTGCGCCAGCCTAGTTTGCAGATGTATTTACTGGGTCATTTATAATAGCCATCGTTTAACTTATACCAGCCTTGGGCTTGTGCACATAACCAAATGGCAATGTGAAGGCTGAAGTGGAATCAAATGGAGAAAAGAGCCGTTAAGTAGTCTGCAAAAGCCGTTGACTAAAAGCAGTAAATACAAGACACATTAGGTAATTTAGTCGTCTTCCCTCACCTGTTCCCGTCCTCACCCCACTCCAGATAAGCGCATATAGAAACCATACCAGGCCGGGTCCTTTCTGCAGTCCTGTCCTCTGCTTGGAACATGTGGGTTTAGGTCCCCTGGCAAAGCTCCCCCACCCCACCCGGACCCGGATATCTTCTTCTGAGGCTCTCCTTTGTGTGCCTCTTCCTCAAGAGGTCCAGAGGGTGGCAACATGAGAACGGGGCCTTCTCTGTAGTGGTTCACCGTCTGTGGAATGCTCTCCCCAGGGAAGTTCGCCTGGCTCCTTCATTACACACCTTTAGGCGCCAGGCAAAAATGTCGCTTTTTAACCAGGCCTCTGGTTGACCTGTTTGACATCCTATACCTTTTTAAAATGTGGCTCTTTTCGGGGGGGGGTATTGGGTTGTTGTTTTTATTCTGATTATATATGTTGTGATCTTTTCTGTGAACTGCCCTGAGACCTTCAGATATAGGGCGGTATATAAACTATGATGGTGGTGATGATGATGATGATGATGATGAAATAGGTGTTCTGCCCTGTATAACTGAGCTGGGGGAAGTGGGCTCCAGGTGAAAATGGTTCCAGGTGTGCATAAAGGCTCCTTCTCATCCCACCGGCAGGAAACCAGAGAAGGGAATCCAGTATTTGATTGAGAGAGGCTTCCTGTCAGACACACCGGTTGGTGTGGCACGCTTTATCCTGGAGCGGAAAGGGCTGAGCCGGCAGATGATTGGTGAATTTCTTGGCAACCGGCAAAAGCAGTTCAACCGGGACGTACTGGAGTAAGGAGTTCTGCTTGATTCCTTCCCCCTCCCCCTCACCACGGTTTTAACTTTTATAGCTCATCCTGTTCCCCAAGGCTCACAGTACTTACTGTTGTTACATTTTTAAAAGAGAGAGAAGTGGTAGAAACACCATAAGCTACCTTACACAAAGTCATAAGCCATCTCTCTAGCAATGGTGCTCCGGGGTTTGGGACAGGAATCCCTAGATGCTGGGGATTGACACATGTCAGGCTAGCATATCTCCCCCCCCCCCCCCGCTGCTGTGTGTCACTGTCTGTCTTCTCTTGCCTTACAGTTGTGTGGTAGACGAGATGGACTTCTCCAACATGGACTTGGATGATGCATTGCGAAAGTTCCAGTCTCACATTCGGGTGCAAGGCGAGGCACAGAAAGTGGAGCGCCTCGTTGAGGCCTTCAGGTAAGTTGGAGGTGCTGCCATCTTTCCGAGGTTTCCTTCTTGACCTGGTCTAGAGCAGTACAACTCCCTATGGCTCTCACCATGTTGGCTACTGGGAGTCCAACACCCCACCAGGTGAGCACCAGGTTGAGGAAGCCTGGTCTAGAGATCGAGCCATCGGCAATGAGGAGCATGTGGTTCTGTCGCAGAATATCTTTGGTTAATCACTGCAGTAAGAGTGAGGTTGTACTGTGATGCTACAACATATCGTGCCTGAATTATCCTGGACCAAGGGGCATGTAAATAATTTTTTTACTGTTAGCAATGATTCCTATATATATTTAGATGGAACACTGAATTTGTTTTTGTTGAAATAAACTATGAGCAAGAGGAAAAACACTAGAGTTTGAAGGATAGCTAAATAAACCATTCAACACTTAAATGGGCAGGTTTATGTGCTGACTCTGGTGTATAAATTTTGACTTATGTGGAGCTGGAGTAAGTCTAGCTTAATTAGATCCCTTTCTACAGCGTTTAAAAGCTGTTGTTTTGATTGGTCATATATGCGCATACATCTCCGTTTGCATGTATCCCACCCACTCCATCCATCTGCTGCAAGAAAGAGCGGACAGGGAATATGTGTGTGGCTGTACATGCGTATATGAGTGTGACAAAGCAGTAGGTGGTGGGCAGGCACAAGCAGGAGGTGCCCTCTTTCACCCCATTGTCTGTTAAGACTGCAGAGCATTGGCCAAAGTGGGTAGGCTGTAAATCTGACTGAGTAGTATTTAAGGACTTGACCCTGGATCCTAATACCACCTTTTCAAACTGTGAACTCTGTCCTGCAAATCCATATTTTTTGTCTAACTTAAAAGTTGCATGCAATTGATGGTAACTTAACCAATCTGTCACTTGATCTTTTACCTCTCCTCACTGTTTCAATTTATATTCCTCCCTGGTAACAGTTAGCAAGTCTCTATATGTACTCCAATTTGTCTCTGTGTTAATTTTTTTCCGTGACAGAGCTTCCATTGGTGACAACCACATTGGTGTTTTTCTTTCTAATAGGTTTTTGTATTTTCCCCATACCCTATAAAGATTTTTTTCTGATTATATGATTTGAGAAGCTCTTATATATTCTAGCCTTCCTGTACCACAGGCACTCATGCTATCCCAATTTTAGGTCATACCCTTCCAGATCCAGCAAATAACTGTCCTTTAGTAAAATCCATTATTTCAACCAACATAAACATGATGTGTCAAAATACAATTGTAAGTCAGGGAGGGCGAAACCACCTCTCTCTTTGCTATCAATCATAATCTTATGTTTTATCCTGGGTTTTCTCCCCTGCCAAATAAACTTAGATAGATCTTCCTGCCATTCCTTAAAGTTTCATGTATCATTGACTATAGAGACTGTCTGAAATAGAAATAGCATCTTTGCAAATCACGGACCTGTCCCTAGTAATCACAACACAAACTGAAACGTGGATAAGCCCTAAGTAACTGAATTTGGTACCCATTGAAAAATGGGACAAATTAGTTGTGACTTAAGTCCCATTTATTTCATTGGAAACCAAGTGCAACTAACTCAGTCTGGATCCACCCTATGTCTCTAAATAGATTAATCAGTGAATTACCTGCTTATAGTTACATACATTAGCCTGTTACAAAGCATTTGTAATATGAGTTTTTGAATTGTGATATTGAAGAGAATGTGAGAGAACTTGTGTTTTAATAAAGAAAAGCTACTATTAATTGTTAGAAGAAAAGGCCATATTTTTCTTTTTTTGTTCCATATTATAGTAATGCACCAGCACCAAAACAACCTCAAAAAACAAAGAATGTCTTTTAATTTTCAGCTTCATCGATTTTAAAATTGGGCTCCACCAGTAAATCAGCTTAATCCTTTGGTAATGAATCTGTTGATTAATCCAGCTTAGAGTGTTCAACCTGCTATTTATATGACTAGAAGGCTGCTTGTAAATGAATGTAGTAGCTGTGAGTTGCATTCTTCCATAATGGGATGTGGAATGTTCATACATATTTATAATTTGAAAATAGAATAAGAGAGCCAATGAACCCCTTTAATTTTAGAACTTCCTGCCACAGTATGAATTATACGTTTTTTGGGGGGGATACTATTTTTAATTTAGAACCCAGAATGGTTAGATAATGTCTTTTACTTTCAGTCCTCTAAAACCCCCCTCTACACCATACATGTGAAGTAGTATCCCACTTGTAGGATCCTGGGACCCCCATATCCCTCACAGAGCTCAGTTTCCAGAGTTCACTGGGAAGAGGGATTGACGGTTAAACCCTGAGGAAACCACTCACCTTCAGCAGCAAAATCTCTTGAGCTGCTTCGGACTCTTCTCTTCCTCTGGCCTTTTGTGCTGATGGTTGCTTTCTTTTCGCCTTGACTTCCACCGCATTTCGTTTCAGCCAGCGCTACTGTGTGTGCAATGCCCCATTGGTGCGCCAGTTTCGGAATCCAGACACGATCTTCATCTTGGCTTTTGCCATCATCCTCCTTAATACCGACATGTACAGCCCCAGTGTCAAGGCGGAGAGGAAGATGAAGCTGGATGACTTCATCAAAAATTTGCGAGGTAAGCAAGAACAGCACTCAAATGATCCTTTCTGGCGTTGTCTCTTACGCTTGGCTCCTCATGATCACATGGTTGGAATCCCAAAGGAGTCCCCTGCTTCCCTGGGAGTTCAGGGAAAGCACAAAATGTGTCAAGCATAAAATGCAGCTTCCCAAAAGCCGTGTGTGTGTGTGCGCGCGCGTATGTGTGTTTTAAACCCAACAGGTTTCTTGCCATTGTGGCTAAAAAGGCAGCTTGCAGGTGCATGAACAATGCCTGCTAAAATCTCAGAAGCCAGAGAGAGATCTGTAGCATACATTCCAAGTGTCCCGACTTTCCAGGGACAGGAAAATCCCAGAAGTCATCCCAGTTTCATTTCACCACTGGCAGGAAGTGAACTCTTTGGAGACTATACCTGGCATAGGACAACCCCTTTATCTCCAGTTCAGCTTCCTGCAAGCCACTGGCAGGCTGTTTTGCCGGCTGCTCTGAGCGCGGCAAAAGAGAAGAGGTGGGAACGCCAACTTGGAAGGGATTTTTCCTTTGTTTGTTTGCTCCTTACCCTCTTTCTGCTCCCTTCCGCTACTCCTACCGGGTTCTCATTTTCTCCCAGCTCCACAGAGCTCTGCTTTCCCTCCTCCCAGCATCCATATTCTGGGCCCTTTGTTCTTTGTTTTTCGGCCTACAGCAGGGGTCAGCAAACTTATCGCGCCTTGGGCCGGTGTCTCCAGCGTCGATCGCGCGGAGGGCAGGGGAGCGTGTGCCCATACGTGTGCGCACACGCTATTTGCATTGCACTTCCAGGTCGGAAAAGCACTGGAAATAGCTTGTGCGCATGTGCACGGGCTTCCTCCAACCCGGACGTGCACCGGAAATAATGCTTGCGCATGTGCACAAGCTATTTCTGGTGCTCCTCTGACCCGAAAGTGGGCAGCTGCACAGCGCAGCGTCGGTAAGAGCGGGTGGCGGGGTTCGCGCGGGCCGGATAAACGAGTCTCTCGGGCCTTATCCTGCCCACGGGCCTTAGTTTGGGGATGTTCTGGATGTTCTGGGGGGAAAGAGCTTGAACAGGCGGAAAGGCATTTCTCAAGAGGAATCTTGTTTTTGGAGATGGATCTTTCTGCAGACTCATCGGAGGAGTCACTGGGCGCCTGTGCTAAGGGGCCCTGGGGTTTGTCCTGACTCCCGCAGCAGCAGCAGCGAGTCCCTCAGCTGCGCATGTGTGGGGGCCCTGAAAGGCCAGTTCCAGCACTTCCAGGAAAGGGGGGAAGGGGACCCCTTGCAGGATGGCCCTTGTTTGCTCTTGAAGGGCTGGCCTGTCTGGGACAGACTCCGGACCTCCCTGCAGCCCCACAGCCTCCCTCCGCCTGCCACGGGCCCTCAGGGCCCCTTCAGCAGGGGCAGCAGCAGGAGAAGGGCCTCGGGAGAGCAGGCATGGCTCCAGCAGGGCTGCGAACCATCTGGCCAGATGCACAGGAGAAGAGAAGGAGGGCTGACCCCTCTCCTTCCCTCTCAGACTCCATCCATCCCCGCATGCTACTGTCAGGAGGGGAAGTCTGCAATCCGCTGCACCTGCTGTTCCTGACTCTTCTCTCCCTAGGCTGACAGTGATGGGCTACAAAAATAATGATGGTGGTGATGACCAAACAGTGATTGGTTACTTCAGCAGAACAGCCACCACCCTCCTATTGAAATGAGAAGAAAGCACAACCTAAGTTAAAGTGCATCTTGTTAGTGTGCCTTGTGGTATTTTTAAGGCATAGAAAATGAGGGTGAACTTAACCTCCCTCGCAGACAACCTTTCAGATCAAAGGAAAACTCTTACATGCACTTACAGATTGTACAGGAGGGCCAGGAATGGATGGAGGGAAGGAAGCAAGCTTTATTCTTTATTGTTTGTGCAGTCTTACTTTTTTGCAGCACCACAGATATAATAATCCTCAGGATTTAGCTCACTCAACTTCTGTCCCTGTAAGTCCACATGTTGTGTCTTGGCATAGATGTTTTCTATAATTCCATTTCTACCCTTCATTTTCAGTAGAGTAGGCCACGCTTGGGACAGGTGGGCAACCTCACAAGCCCTGTGATTTTCTAAGCCAATACTGACCTAATTATGTTGGTTATCTGGGTATTCAATTCATTTCCTCATGAGTGAAAACTCTTTACTAATATGTCAGTCTCAGGTAAACCCAGTTCCCCCACTTGATTCCACTCATCAGCTTTATAATTCTAACAAGAAGTCTTCATTAGTATATCAGAAAGGACCCAGGATCTGGAAGAACGTTAATTAAGGCTGAAGACAAATAATTGTTTTTTCAGAGTCCTGAAAGCAATTGGAAAGGATTGCTACTTGTGATGCAAATGTCCAGGAATTAGATATATGATCTGTGCTGGGAGGGCTTGCACTTCCCACAAAGGAAGACGTTTGTAGTCTGGGAGTCCTCCTCAGGTGGAATTCAGCAGCATGCTAAGGAGATCATTCCATCAGCAGAAGGATGTTTGCTTGCCAGACAAAATGTCTCCCCTCTCCTCCCCCTGCACACTGTTCTGGGGGTTCTCCCAACCCTCCTGAGCAGATCTGAGGAGGGAGGAGAGGGGCAAAGTGCCATTGCACCAGCGGGAGTCCTTGTGCTGGCTTCTGCTAGTGCAACAACTTAACTGAATCCAGCCCTTGTCACTGAAGTCTCAAGTGGTTTCTATGGCTAAAAGTGATTGTGCCCAGTAACTCAAAGCAGGGTTTTTAGTGTGGCTGTTCCTGTTCTGTGGAAGAGCATTCCTGTTGAGAGACAACAAATGCCCAGTTAGCTGCACTTTCTGAAAACAACTGAAGACATTTTTGTTCTAACGTGCTTTCCTTAGCTGGATAAATGGGTCTTTACCATGGATGTCAGCTTTCTATGGTTTTGTTTTCATTTTAAATGTATTTGCTGTTTTTGTGTTTTTAATTGTTCTTAATTTCATTTATTGTACATTACCTTGATATGGTTTAGAAAACGATTAATAAATCATTAATAGTAACAGACCCCATCATGGAACTGAAACCGCCTGGTCCTGCTGGTCGATGATCTCCTGTGGCCCAGGGACAGAGTTGAAAGCTGTTTCCTGGTTCTGCTGGATCTCTTAGCAGCTTTTGATACCAATGACCATGGTATCCTTCTGGACCATCTAGGGGATTTGGGAGCTGGGGGCACAATTATGCAGTAGTTCCATTCCATCCTCTGGGGCCATGTCCAGAAAGTGGTGTTGGGGGATGACTGTTCAGACCCCTGGGCTGTCACTTGCAAGGTGCTTCAGGGCTCCATCCTCACCCTAATGCTTTTCAACATCTATATGAAGCCTCTGGGAAAGATCATATGTGTTTCACAAGCATTCCATATTGCTTTTACTAAAAAGAGATCCAAGGTTTGCTGTTGGCTTATTAAACCTGGCATGTTAGGGTGAAATAAACCACAATCCTTTATTCAGTCATAATGCTAGCCTTCCTGGTTTGTTTACGCCCCTTGTGCAAATGAAAGACCAAAGCAGTAGTGATCAGGCTGTGTGCACCAGCAGATGTAAGCCTGGCTAGTAGTAGCATCAGATAAGTCATTCATTGCTCCAACCTCTGTCTTCAGTAATGAAATAATATTATTAGCTTACTTTGTTGCAAAGACTCATGGGAATAACCTATGGAAAGCACTTCACAGAGCTGCTTTTGCTTTTGAGAGTGACTAAATCTGGCCTAGTCTTTTCCTGCAGCCTATGGACTTGCTCTTTTGTTGTTGCTTCACCAGGGGTAGATAACGGCGAGGACATTCCCCGTGACCTGCTGGTAGGGATTTACCAGAGAATTCAGAGTCGGGAGCTGCGCACCAATGATGACCACGTATCTCAGGTCCAAGCAGTGGAGCGAATGATTGTGGGCAAAAAGCCGGTGAGTGGGAAGAGGCTGTCTGAGGAGATGGATTTGGGTTTACTGAAGGTTTCTGCCCCTCTTTTTGGCTCCACTCCTAACATTTTCTGTCTGTCTGTCCCACCCAGGTTCTCTCTTTGCCCCACAGGCGCCTGGTTTGCTGCTGCCAGCTGTATGAGGTCCCTGACCCCAACCGGCCACAGAGGCTTGGGCTGCACCAGAGGGAGGTCTTCCTGTTCAACGATTTGTTAGTGGTAAGGGCAGGGCAGGGAGCTAAGACCAGGTTTTGGTGGTGGAGGGAGGGTTAGATGATGGAGTTGCTTGTTTTGAGCAGATTTGGCTGCCTCACCATGCACCTGCTTTGACATGCCTGGGTGAAGTTGGACCTTGTGGACATTGTCACAAAAATCTTCAAGATTTCTTGGAAGAAGCTATGACTGCTGAGCTGTGCTTTATACTTGCCTGTCTGTCTGCTGCTTCCTGGTTCTCTCCCACAGTGCTTTTGTGATGCCACATGGCCATTGCCATGAGGTGATAGGCTGTCTCAATGCAGGAGACTGACTAATTAAAAAAAAATGTTTTTGTCAGTAGCACCACATAGTAAAGAAAAGGACTCTGTGGATAAATTAAATTAATGAATCTGTTTTAAACATCCATGCCGCATTCCATCCAAGCTTCTTCTGAGCTCCCACTCTGCTCTGAAAACATCCATAGGAAAATACCTTATGGGTTGAACCGACAATAAAAGCAAATAAGTTCTTAACTTGTAGGTTAGACTGTTGCAACTCAGGAAAGAAGCAGGAAAGAAGCAGCCAATTGGGTGACTGAGCACTGTGCTTGGGTTAGTGAACAGTTAGCTCACTGCTCTCTCTACTCCTCATCGATCCTTTGCTTTCCCACTGCATCTCCTCACACCATTTAGGTGACAAAGATATTCCAGAAGAAGAAGATCCTTGTGACCTACAGTTTCCGCCAGAGCTTCCCTCTTGTTGAGATGCAGTTGCAGCTCTTCCAGAATTCATGTGAGTTTCTCTTAACCATAGGAGCCTAGAAGCCTGGTTGTTGCACCCACCCAGGGCTCAACCAGCACAACATACTATCAGCTCTCCCAGATCAACATCTTTTCTCCATCCTCTCCGTGATTAGCCCCCTGAGCTCTTCTCAGTGATCCACACTGATGTTGTGCCTTCAGCCCCATACCTATTGTGGACCTCATTACTGCTCATGCCTTTGTCTGTAGCTGGAGACGTTCTGGTTCCCCATCTTGGAGCAAACCCTTTGCCTGGGCCCAGCTCTGTGTTGCCAGTTACCCGCATTGAAGGGGAGGGTGAGTAGTGGGGCCCACAGTCACCCAGCATCTCACTCTCTGCCACCCAGATTACCAGTTCGGGATTAAACTGCTCTCAGCTGTTCCTGGTGGGGAGAGGAAAGTCCTGATCATCTTCAATGCCCCCAGCCTGCAGGATCGGTTGCGCTTCACCAGTGACTTGCGGGAATCCATTGCTGAAGTGCAAGAGATGGAGAAGTACCGTGTGGAATGTGAGTGATGGGTGGGGATTGTTGAAGGACAGGAGGGGGGACATGGATAGGAAGGGAGGCAGCGGGTGGGATAATGGATGAGGGTTGCTGATGGCATCATTGGGGCAGCATCCAGCAGCCCAGGTTTGCCAGAGTGGACTGGAAGACATTCAGGGAATAGGATGACTTCTCCCACTGGGCTAGATAGGCAGGGCCTTTTGAGTCTTTTCCTCCTCTTCCAGGGGCCACCCTCCAGTTCTGCCCTACTTCTGGTCAAGTTAGCAGGTTCTTTTTTTTCTCTGTGAGGAAAACAATTCCTTTGTTGTTTCTCTTTTGCCTTAATTCTTGCTTCTTCTGTGTTGTTTATTGTCTGTAGGATTTGGCTGAGACCAGGTTTTGTTTTGTTTTATTTTTGGTGTCATGGCTGCTGAGCCATGTTTCATTGATATTCTGCCACTCCCACTGCAGCCCACTATGGTTGAGGGGCAGGATCCTGAGGGTTCTCTTTTGAAAGTCCCCAGACCCAGGGAATATTTCATATTGCCTTCTCCAGGTGTCATGAGTGGGGTCCTCAGCAGTGCTCAGTCCACACACCTTTCTGAGGTTTTCCCAGGAAAAGGGAATTTCCTAAATTTATGTCATGGATATATATATTTAAATTTATGTCATGGATATATATTTCTAAGGAAATTAAAGGCTCTATACACAGGTCTAGGGGTCATAAGAGAACCAGATCCCAATCTAGAAGGCATTCTACACATAAGTACAAATGCAAGCACCTACCTAAGAGACAGAGGGACGCGGGTGGCGCTGTGGGTTAAACCACAGAGCCTAGGGCTTGCCGATCAGAAGGTCGGCGGTTCGAATCCCCGTGACAGGGTGAGCTTCCGTTGCTCGGTCCCTGCTCCTGCCAACCTAGCAGTTCGAAAGCATGTCAAAGTGCAAGTAGATCAACAGGTACTGCTCCGGCGGGAAGGTAAATGGCGTTTCCGTGCGCTGCTCTGGTTCGCCAGAAGCGGCTTAGTCCTGCTGGCCACGTGACCCAGAAGCTGTATGCCTGCTCCCTTGGCCAATAAAGCGAGATGAGCGCCGCAACCCCAGAGTCGGCCACGACTGGACCTAATGATCAGGGGTCCTTACCTAAGAGACATGAAGGGGGCAGATCTCACAGGTCTCAAAGCCCATGTTTTCTGCCATGGGGTCTTTCCTCTCATGGGTACTGCATTGACAAAGAGATTAAAGACTCCCTTCCTCATAGCAAACACAGAAGGGAGATCTAAAAGTCATAAAATGAAGAGATCCCACAGATTTCCATCAAATAGCCTATCTCCTCTTTTAAGCTCCTCCATTAGTTTTTCTCAAGGCTGCTTCTGCCAAAAGTGTCAAAGAAGGAGTTGGAATCTGCACCTGAATCCCCCCCCCCCCCCACAGGCCTTTCTTGGCAAAAGCCAGCCAGATTTTTCAGCTTACTGAGAAACAGCCTGTTGAACCCTCAGCCTGCTCCCTGGCTACGGGTGTTAAATATTTTTTCCTTCTGCCAAAACAGCTACAGTGCTTTTTCTATAAGCCTTCAGTTGTGTTGCAAGACTGAGTGGGATTTTCCCAGTAAGTTGTTCTAGCTTTCCTTATCATTATTCCCCCCATCACTAATTCCCTCAGGGTTTTTTTTAATGAGATTCAAAAGCCCCCCCCCCCCCAATTGGGTAACTTGTTTGTTTTGTAAAATTTATGTATGACTTGAGTGTAAGAACAAAAAAGCTCAAAGCAGTTTACAAAATGAAGGGGATGCCCCTGTTCTGTGTGGAGGCATTTACAAGCACAATTGGTCCTTCCAGATAGCTACAGTCTGAAATGATGATGTTTATTTAATTACCTCATGAGGATATTTAGGAGTTCCCTAGAGGAATTACCCTGCTGGATGAAATGGCAAGATGAGCTTGTCATTTTTCGAGTTTCAAGAGGCTTCTTCCTTAACTATTAAATATATATAGTTGCCTCTCTTTTCACAGTTTTCAACTCATTGTCTTAAGCAACCCCTGAAATACACTCCATGTAGTTTTCTGTACAGTATGTGTAACTTGGCTATGGCTTATGCATGAGGGTAGATACAACCTCAATATGCTAGCCTGTTTTTTCTGCCTACATCTTGACAGTTCAGTTAAATAAAGTGTACATTATTAATGCAAAATAAATTTTCCTCATTCCTTACTTTGACAGATAGTTCCTTTGGAGAGTTTTGAAGATTTTTTAAATAGAATGAAGGACAAGAAGATGCTTTCCTCCTTCTGTTGCCTAATTAAGTGGAACAGCAACTCCCAAGCTTTGTAGTAGTCCATTACATCCTTTCAAGTGGTAGTTCAAGTATGGGGATGGCTGGCACTGCATTGGCCCCCATTGCATGGCAGGATCCTGCCACTGTGCAGAGGTTGAGAAGCTTATCTAGCTAGAGAAGCTGGTACTAAAACATTCAGGAGTATTGTTAGCTGAATGTACTGGTGTATATTAGGCAAGTTCTTGCTCCTCTTATCAGGATTCAGTCCTTTTGGGCAGAGGTGATTTTTATAGCTCCATTTTAGCTCAGGTCTCCAAGGTTTCCAGATCTGCTGAATCTGTTGGTACATGGATCTTCTCAGTTAGGGTCCAGTGTTCCATCCTCACCCAGACCTCTTCCACCTGACAAGATCTGGTTGACCTCACTGGATTTTACTGGCTTCCAGAAGGGCATCAACCAAATGTATTTACTGCACTACCTGGAAGTCTTACCTGTCTTGGTGTTCCTGGTCTGGAGTGGGTCCTCTCTTGCATGACATTCATGATTTTCTTCCATTTCTTCAGGAAGGGATAAATAAGGGACTTAGCACCATCACCATCAAAAGACAAGTGGCCTCCCTTAGCAGTGTTTTTTTCTTGTCTGGATAGGGATCTGTTGTCTTCCCATCTGATGTTTAAATGTTTCCTCAGGGGGGTTATTTGTCCTGCACCCTGGTCATATATCGATTCCTTTCTTGGAATTTAAATTGGGTTCTTACAGCTTTCATGAGTCTGCCTTTTGACCCCTTGGTTCCTAATCCAATTTTTTTAACGTTGAAAATTGTTTTCCTAGTAGCCATTACATTGGCTCATTGGGTTTCAGAGTTGGGGCCTTTGTCCTCTGATCCACAGCTCAGCATTTTTCATCACAATAATTTGTGTTATGTCCAGACTCTTCTTCCATGTCCAAATTTAATTCAGATTTTCAGAGAAACCAAGAAGTGGTGCTTCATTCCTTATATCCCCTTCATTCTCTTTTGGAGTGTGAATTCACATATTTTTGCTGTCTTGGTTTGAATGAGAGTATAAGTGTTGTGCTATGTAATTTCCAAATGCAAACTGTGTCTGTTTTGGCATAGGTTTTTGTGCTGGGCATCTTCACCATGGCTGTGCTTATCTTGCGGGGGGTGGGATGAATTATCAACTCTGCCAGGTAGTTCTGGGGGGCAGGATGGCTCCTCCCCTGGAAGAGGAGGCAAAATATTTGAAAGGCCCTGCCTATCCAGTCCAGTGGGAAGAGTCATCTTACTCACTGAATATCCTTCAATCCATTCTTCAAACAGAAATTCATGGGAAGCACCACTTTCCATTTTTTGAAAAGAAGCCCTGACTCAAATAATTGTGAGGCTGCTAGGTTAGCCTGAATTGAGGTTTGTAATAAGCCAAGGGGGGGGGGTGAGAAGAGGGTTTTAGAGCAGAACTGTGTGCCTTACACAATACTTAAGTGATTCTAGTCCTCATTGCTATGGAAATGGATATGAAAATGGGTAGTAATAATAATAATAAAAATAAAAATACCCCACCCATCTGGCTGGCTTTCCCCAACCACTCTGGGCAGCTTACAGAATATATAAAACATAAAAAGCATCAAACATTAAAAACCTCCCAATACAGGGCTGCCTTCAGATGCCTTCTAAAAGTTGTATAGTTCTTTATCTCCTTGACATCTGAAGGGAGGGTTTTCCACAGGTAAGGCGCCACCTTTGTGATTTTCCATTCCTTATACATGCCCTTCTTACATCTCAGCCCATCTGTAAGCTACTTATACAGCCACGCCAGTTTCTTTAGATGCCTCCCACTGTTCAGGGATGATGGGTATTGTAGTTCAACAACATTTCAAGGGCTGCTGGTTCTCTTCCCCTGTTTCAGATAAAACCCTACAAATGTTTCATGGTTTTTGTTTATTATTTCCAAGCATCACTTATAGACTCCTTTAGTGTAAACTGGAAGCAAGTCCTGTTTGTCGGGGAGGGCTGAGAAGCATCCAGCAGAATGGCCCCCAAATCTCACCGCCTCTCTCTTTTTCTTCTACACACAGCGGAGCTAGAGAAGCAAAAAGGCGTGATGCGCCCCAATGCCTCCCCCTCATCTGGGCCCAAGGATGCCGTGAACGGGACCCTGACTCGCAGTAGCCTGGAGGATGCCTACACTGTGGGAGAAGGGCTGAAGCGGAGTGCCCTCAGCAGCTCCCTTCGGGACCTCTCGGACGCTGGTGAGGGGCTGGGGGTCAGGACCTTCCATGGCTCCAGGAGGAGAGAACCTAGTGGGCTTCAGGCTGGGATGAAGATAAGGAAGGAATTTCTGGGTTTATGCTGATGAGAACTTTAAAAGAAACATCACTAGATTCCACAGGAAATTAAATTTGTGAGAGGTCTTGGGATCTTTCTAGCATGCCAGGCTTTGCCAGGCATCCTTGAGGGCCTCTAAAGTAGACCATCGCATGACATCACTGACTGCCCCCCCCGCCCCCCAGTGTGTTAGAGGCCTTTGCATGCCTCTAGTAAAGCTTCGTGAGCCATTTTGGGTTCCTTTTTTGTAGATTCCAGACTTTGGGCCACTTCATACCAGTTTTCTGGTAGGGCATTTTTCGAGACTACCACTTCAGGGTTTAGATGTGGCAGTTGCTTATTTGAATGAAGAAGTAAAATCCCTACGTGTAGGAAAATGGCCGGCCATGGAGAAGTCTAGGCTGAACCTTCTCCTTGGCATGCTAGTCTTTATTTGCTGATGTCGACCACACAGTGCCACTCGCAATGCACTGGAGCAGGGGGTTACCAGAAAAGCCTTTGACACTTGATTCCACTGAAGACTCGCTGTCTTTCGCATGGATGTTTTGGTGCCATCCAGATTTTTTTTAAAAAGCTCAGTTCTTCTCAAACTTTGCTTGATTTTGGTTCCACTCCAGAAATCAGCCCATCTCTAGAATGTAATTATTGTGGCTCCCTCTACTGGCTAAAAAGAACATGTAACGTATGGATAATGTTTCATCCACCATGATTTTAATTCTAATCCACAAATCTGACTAAAAGACATTGAGCCCCAGGATTTGGGATTCGTAGTGTTGATTGGGTGGCTGCTGTTTGCTGGTGACTCCGTGCTTTTGGTGGATGGATGTGTGTCTCTCTTGCTTTTTGGAGCCAACCTGATTGTGAGGAAGGGTGCTTATTGAGCATTCTGATTTGTTCACAGGGAGATTATTGCTTAATGCTGCCTATCCCAGAGGTTAGATGACATTGCATCAAAGCAAAGTGCTACCCCACACATTTTCCTATCACTTCCCTTACTGCTAAAGTCTGAACTTTTCAGGAAATGGGTTTGTTGCACAAGACCTCTCACTCAGCTATAATTGCGCAGCTCGAATGCAGTGGTCTGTGACTGAATCCCACCTAAAATAGCAGCTTGGAAGTGCCTGAAGAAACCCAACGTGTGTGTGTGTTAAAGAGGGGGCAGGACACTGCCGAGGGCATACTTTGACACAGATAATGACACAGAGCAGAAGAGGCCCCCTGCTTCCTATAGGCCCGTAAGACCATGGCCACCCTCCATCTGACTGAAGTGGGAGAGGGGAGGAGACTCTCTCTGTGTTTTAGGTCCTGTCTTCTGCTAACTCTTCCTCTGCTCTGTTGCTGTGCTTTGTGGGATTGGGTTGCGGGATGGCGGGGGGCTCTTGGCCTGGGCTCCCCTTTTTCCCTCCCCTCCAAAGTGGGAGTGTTGGCTGTAAGGGAGGGGCAGGGTGGAGTTCAGGTCTCGCTAACCCCTGCTCTGTTGCAGGCAAGCGGGGCCGCCGTAACAGCGTGGGATCATTGGACAGCACAATTGAAGTAAGTGGGCTGAAGGAGGAGGAGGAGGAGGAGGAGGAGGAGGAGGAGGAGGAAAGGGAGCCAGAGATTGAGGGGGGGAGGGACACAGGTGGAGTTTCCCCAAGCCTTCCCACTCTCTGCCTTGCAGCCTCTCTCTTCTCTCTTTCTTTCTCTCTTTCGCATTTACTTCCACTCTTAGCAGAGGAAGACACAGAGGTTTAAGGGATGTGGGAAGTCATTTCTTTGGTGCAGAAGAGTTGGCGGACTCGTCCCAGTCTGAATTACTTTTAGTTAAAGCCAACCCTTCTTCAGGCAGGCAGAAAAGTATGGCCACCTGTGAGTCTCAAGTCCTAGCCCCATAGGTGTGGGGGAATTATAGGAGCCAGTTGTCTAATACCCCATCTTTCTCTCTGTGTGTGTCTCTCTTTCTCCTTTCTGCTTCCTCTCCCTCCACCCACCTACATCCCTTCAGGGGTCTATTATTAGCAGCCCACGCCCCCACCAGAGAGTGCCACCGCCTCCCCCTCCCGAGGAGTACAAGCCCCAGCCTCGGCCCCCCTCAAACTCCTCGTCTTTCCTGGGCTCCCTTTTTGGCAGCAAGCGTGGGAAGGGCCCCTTTCAGACGCCCCCTGGCCAGGCCTCAGCCTCCTCCTCCTCGGCCTCCTCCTCTCACCACCACCACCCTCATCACAGCCACCCGTCCCTCCCGGATGGCAGCCAGTCCAAGCTGCAGGCTCTCCACGCCCAGTACTGCCACGGCCCCTCGGCCCAGCCCCCTCCTCCCTACCCCCAGCAGCCCCCTCCTCCCCAGCAGCCCGCCCCACCCCCGCCCCCACTAGCCCTGCCCTCCAACCCCCTGCCTCCCCAGGTCCAGCGCTACCACCACTCCCAGCAGCCCCCGCTCTCCGCCCCACCACAGAAGCAGGCCGTCCCCGCTTTCCCCACACCACAGCCCCACCACCACTACACCCTCGGCCGGCCCGTCCAGCAGAAACGTGCCCACCAGATGGCTGCTGCTGCCGCCGCCGCCCAGCACCCCCCTTTCCTCCATGGGCGCCAGCCCACCTCGCCGCTGCCCCTTTACAGCCCTGCCCCCCAGCATGCCCTGGCCCACACTTACCCCCAGCAGCTGCATCAGTCGGGGGTCAGTGGGCAGCACACCCTGCATAGGCCCCAGGCCCCAAAGCACTTTATCTTCAGCCACCACCCTGCCCAGCTCATGCAGCGGCCACCTCCGCCCCCCAGCATGGGGCCCTATCCTGGACACCACGGCCACCCTGCCCACCCGGCTCAGCAGCACCACGGCCAGCCTCCCATGCCCCCTCCCCATTCCCCCATCCCCCCACACCCTTCCTACCCACCCCTCCCGCCTCCGTCCCCCCACACGCCCCTCAGTCCCCACTCTCCGGCTGCCCCTACCTCCCCCCTGCCCCAGCACATCTCCATGCACCAGGGGGGCCCTCAAGCCATGCCCTCCCAAGGGCCCCCCAACCCAAAACAGAAGCCGGTGAACAGAATCAGCACCGTCGTGTGAGGAACACCGCCACCACGGAGTTGATAGGTTATAAATATATAAATATCGGAGCTCGGGGCTTCTCCCATCACAGCTGTGAGGTGGTCAGGAGGGGTGGGGGCCAGTGGGTGTCTAGACCTTTTTGGCCATTCCCCTTCTTCCTCCCCACTCCATACCCCCTCCCTCTTTTTCCTAGGATCAGAACTGAGAGAGGGCATCCTTCCAACCAATGCCTCGGAAAGGAAGAAATTGGGATCTGCAACCCCACTCGTGGCCTGAGGGTGGCGCCACTTAGCACTTGGGCTTCTCTGTTCCCTTCGTGTCACCCCTCCCCCTTTCTGGTCAGAAAATGGGGTGTCTGAGGACTATGCGGCAACTTTTCAGAGACGTTGAAAACATGAGGTGCGAGAGGGGAAAACGTCTGCATTTGTGCAGCCATTGTGATCTGTTGCCACGCAGAGTGTTTCCCCTTGGACTCTTCCCTAAATGTGCTACAGATGAAGATGGTATGGTGTATGTAAACCTCATTCATGCAAACAGCATGCGAAGCAGTAAAACTGTTTCTGGGTGGTCTAAAAAACCAGGTGCCAGGGCGGATTCCAGCCTCTCTTCCCTGATACGCTAGCTGTGTGTGCGGGGGGGGGGGGGGTCTGACAGTGCAGTTTCCCCTTGCAGTTCAAAGTGGAACAGTCCAGGAACAGTTTAATTGCACCATCTGCTGTTTTTGTGCAAAGCAAGTCAGACATGCTAGTGCCAGGGACAACTTGTGCAGTGTGGCAGTTTTGAAGGCATAAGAATAAGCTGTAGAGTGGAACTTGCACTTTTGCACGATCCCACTCTCTCGAATGACTGATACTTCTTTTGCTCCTGGCATTGGACTGTGCACCAGCCTTTGCCCACCTGCACCAAGTCTCTGTGAAATGTTAGCCAAGTAGCAGGCAGTCCCCCATGGCTGCCTTCCGTGTGTCTTGTTTACATAGCAGGTGGCCATTTATCAGACCTGCCCGAAGAGCATTGCTTTCAGCTCAGAAGGATGACCGAAGGAGAGCCTCTTGCTCCCCACTCCCCGCCTAACTTAAAATATCTGTCTGCTCCAGTTTTTAATAGCAGCTGTGAATGAACGGTAGCAGATGGCCACAGCAGCAAATTAAAGGTGGGTATGTTCCAGAGCAGGGTTTCCCAAACTTGGGTCTCCAGGTGTTGTTGGACCACAACGTCCATCATTCCTAGCTAGCAGGCCCAGAAAATAGGGATGATGGGAGTTGTAGTCCAATAATGGCTGGCGACCCAAGTTTGGGAAACCCTGTTCTAGACCAACAGTTCTGTTTGCAGCCAATTCCCCACTTGGGATTTGATGCCACAAAAGGCTAAGGAAGCTTTGCTACTGTATTGAACTCTCAATTGAATGTTCAAAGGAACTGGCTGAGGCCCACTTCACACAACCTAGGAACTGCTTCTCTGCCACATCTTTCAGGCTGCCCTGATAAGCCTTGTGATGATGAGTCTGCTGGAGAAGCTGCTACTGCCCTACTCCCAGCCACCGTTAGGTGGGCCATACACACGCAGCCAGGCCAGTGGTTCTTCTACCCCAACAGCAGTTCTGAAAGCTGTCTCTAGCATGACTTCCTTTTTAAAAAGCAATGTTCAGTCCATCTAAAGCACTATTTCCATTAGTTTCTCAGGGCTCAGCCCTGAACATCCCCAGTCAATTGAAGATGGGAATGTAGTAACTCTCAGCTAGACAAAGAGGAGCAAAAATAGTTACCAGTCTCTCTCTTTTTTGAGCTGTGTGGGCTCCTGGGCTTGACTTAAGCATGTAGTAGTTGCATGGAAGAGAAGCCTTGCTCTATGCCAACAGGGTCTGGCACTTTTTTCTGTTTTTGCAGGTGGGAGCAATGCCTCCCTTGCCCAGGTGTTCCTGTTTGTGTCCCCCTTGCCTACCAAGCAGCGGGGGGTGGGGGGCGGGGGGGGTGGAGAGGTCTCAACAAGGCAGGGCAGCTGCAGGAGATCCCTTGCTTCCCAGTGAAAGGCACTGTAAGCGCCTCGTTGCGCTCTGTGGCCCGGTGTGTCCTGGCACGGGGCCTGCAGGTTGCTTCTCCCCTCCCCCTCCCCAAGCCTTTTAATGTTTTGCTGCCTGGATGCTTCCAGCATGCTTTCTCCCCACCCCTGCTTGGTGGCATCTGTGGTGGTCGCCAGGGGTTTTATCTTTCTGAAGGATAGTTTTTCATAGTTTTATAAAGTAGCTTTTTCCATTTCTCTGCCTGTTGGCTTGTTCTGTAGGAGGGAATGGAGACGGGGGCTTTGGTGCCCCTTGGCATTTTGCAGAAAGGAGGCTCTCCTTTTTAGTTTGCACAGAGTTTATGAGTTTCTGCTGTTTACAAGGAAGGAAGGAAGGAAGGAAGGAAGGAAGATAATATGTAGAGCAGGGCAGATCATCAGTATTTTGGGGGAACATGGGAAGGAATCTGTCTTGCCCTCTCAGTTCTTATTCACAAAGGGCTATTCTTACTCCCTTCCCACCCCTATCAAGGGGTTTGCACTGAAAACATTTTAAAAGGGTGGGGGGTGTTATATATTCTTTGGATATATTCCCTCACTGAACTGCATAGAGAGGAATATAGGAGTGGAGGGTGGGGTGCAATTGTCTCCTCCCACCCAGTTTGTTCTTTTATCCTAGAGTGTTTCTCTGCCTACCAATAGGGGAGAGACACTACCACCTGCCACACACACTGGTTCCTTGGGAGCTTAGATGCACTTTAACCCCCTACTTCCTCATTCTTTTGCTTCTAGAAAAAGGTGGGATCCGGTTTTTTCCTGTCCCAAACCAAGCTAATGGAGCCCATTCATGCCTAACCTTTCCTCTCACTCTCCCTTCCCCAAAGACATTACCTTGAGCCACTACCCTCCCCAGTCTAGTCCGTGTGGAGACAGGACTCCGGGCAAAGGGACATGGAGGTAGGCTCAAGGGTGCCAGAGGATGATTTCAAAACATAAAAGTTACAGTGCCTCGTCTGTATATTTTTAAGGAGATGCTATGAATGTTGGTGGAAGAAATTATTTTACATTTTAAAGTGGTGCTTCTGATAGTCGAAGCACACTATTTTTCTAAATAGAAAAGTGGAGGCCCAGCCAGAGTAGTGACGGGCAACGGCTGACCCTCTCTGAAGGCAGGCTCTTCTTTCTGCAGTGTGTGAGCAGAAGGACCCGGCTTCAGAGGCAGCAAAAGCTGGAACCTTACAGGAACCAGAATTATTTAATAAACCTAATTGTTGCTACACTCTACACGTGAGTTTCCTCAAGTCATGCCAGTGGGTCACATCAACCAGTTTTAGGAATAACTGCTCAACAAAAGCAGGCAGGATTTCTGGCCTCTAGCTCTTTGGAGGATGGGGAAAAATAATCAGAGGACCAGTTAATGGAGGGTTTTAGGAGGCTCACTGACTCTCAGCCTCCATTCCTCAGCTTCTCCATCCTCCGCTAATTGACTCCACAGCCTTGAAGGAACTCAGGAGTCCTGCCTGTACCGCGAGTAGGTGGTGGTGGTTTTCGCCCTGCTGTGGTTGCTCCCAGTTCCATCCTGCGGGGTCTGGGCTCCCTTCTCCTTCCTTCCCTCCCTCCCCCCATTCTCCATATCAGATCTTCCCACCCTTTGCCCTCCCCCCAGCATGCACTTTATCCCTACCCTGCACTGCACTTCCTGTGTTGGGTTTGTTGCTGTACAGAGATTCCTGTGTATATACTATATATTATAAATAGCAACCTCTTAAGAGAGGAGGGGGGGGGTGGGCTCCAGCCCATGTCTTTTCTGCAGCATGGGCCACTCTCTGCCCTTTCTCCCAGAATTCATGGCTGGAAGACTCCAAACTGACTGCATTTTTTTTCTTTTTGTTTCTTGCTGTCTCCCACCCCCTCACCTCTGGTCCACTTTGTACATAAGAAACTGTATATTTGATGCTTCATAAATTGACCAAATGTCCTTGCTGTGTGAAGGAAGATGTCTTGTGTGTTATTTTAAGATTACTGGGCATTTTGGGGGGAGGGATGGGAAACAGAGTGTTGGTCCTGCAGCAGAGTTCCTCCTTGTTCCATAAACCAGCCTAGTGCTCTCTTTTCCCACCTGGTGTATACCGTTTCAGAGTGTAGAGGAGATGTACGTAATTCACAAGAGCCTGCCAGGGCAGCAGGAGCACCACAGAAACAGCAGGCTTTCTCCAAAGCTGTACATTTACCATAAATTCAGTAAGACAGGTAGCCATAGAGTACTGACTACTGCTAGAGGGCAAGTCACCTTTTGTTTAACCTTTCTAATCCTTGTGACTAGAAATAAGCTATGTGAGTGTTGAGACTTTCAGTCTTTTGTCTTAATTTAGAACTCATTTTTAATCAAGCTCTTTCTTCTCAGCCTCTTTGCACACCATACATACAAATAAAAACCATCAGCACATTTGTAACAGTACACAAGTTTATTCCAGGAAACTAGCAGGTGAAGCCTGGGTCCTATGTGGCTCAGAGGTGCATGCAAACTTGGGGTTGTGTAGAAGTTGTGCCTCCCCTTTCCTGCCAACTAGGACTGGGATAGTGCCCCCAAATATGTGGCACTATTGCACACAACTCCTGGGAAAAGGTAAGGCTAGATCTCCCTCTGCAGCAACTCTCTTATCATCATCTGCTCTGCAACAGTTGATGTCCCTCCTCTATAATTGTGAGCGTCTTCAAAGCTACCTGTGCCCATTTCTCTGCCTAGCCAGCATCAACCACTTTCAGGGCAGTAATGAAGAATAAAGACATTCAGCAGCAGAGCCACATACACACCACTGCCTGCTTAGTGCTCAGGCAGACACACATAAACAAATTGCTTCACTTCATATTTTTAGCAAATGCACCAACATTTGGGGATGGAAGAAAACTCTCCTGCACTTAGGACAAAAGCTGCCAAGAATGTAGACTGGCCAAACCAGCAATGACTCAAGGATACAGCTGTGGAGAGAAGGAATTCAAAATGTGGACAAAAACAGTAATTTAATACCGACTGGACTAGCAAGGCTGGAAAAGCATGAATGACCAACGAGGCAGTGGATGAGGACCAGGCTTCAGTTCAGCACAGAGATGCTGGCTCCATAGTGCCAAATGCTCAACTAGACAGGCTCTTGCTCTGGGCCAGAACCAAAGAGGGCTCAAGACCTCTCCGCTCCAACTGGGAAACAGCACCAGAAGGCTCAGAAATGAAGGCTGGCGTGGCTCTGGGTGAATGGTACTCAGTGGGTTGGAGCCATCAGAAGCAGTGGGTTCCCCTCACCAGAGCTGAGTCTCACGGATTTCTGAGATAGTTTGGCTGGCTTTTTGCAATGCCTATAAGAGAAGAAAAGACCTTGCTGAGTGATTAATAGATGTTCTAATGCCATCTTTCAACCCAAACGGGCTGGGCTTTCAAGGTAGTGGTGCCAGAGCATGGACGCTAGTCTGACTCTGAAGGCAAGGGGACTTGCCGCAGGGTTTCATTTGTGAAGAGTCAGTTCTCCTGGATATCGGCTTTTAGAAGTTTTCAAAAGTCAGAGAAGCAGTGCAGTTCTTTCAGTATTTGGGAAACCTGAAAGTAAGAAACTGCTGCTGAGCCAGAGAGAACTTTCCCCATCTCCTGTCAGTCCAAGGAGCCTTGCCCTCCTCCCCTCACCTTGAGCATATTGGCAGCCTCATTGCGCTGCTGAGCCATGTCCTCGGACTCTGTCAGCAACGTGTCGAGGAGCTGTGGCTTGTACAACTGGCCCACGAGTTCACTCTGAAGGTGGTCTTTGACGTAGTTCACCAGGAAGTGCATCACTGTTTTGGGGACACTACAGGGGGGAAATAAGATATATTTTGTTATAAAGCTTGTGAGATCTTGCAGACATCCAAGGCTTACCTTGCTAGGCCACAATTCCCTTCTTGCCCCAACCTTACCTCCCCTGCTGGCCCTACAGGGCTAGGTAGATCCATCACCTCTTTAGGTGACACCCTGGACCAACAGCTGCTACTTACCCAATTACATCATTTCTTATTCAAAAAGTATTGAGCTGTGAACTGGTTGCAATAGTCACTTCTGTAGAAGTCGGAATATTTTAGTAATTCTGAGTAACGAAGAGGATGGGAATCTTTAATTTACCCACATACACAAAGATCATGAAGAAATCCAAATCTACAGTGTACATATGAAGGTCACAGACATCTTGTGCTATCTCCCAGTACTTTGCATGCTCCTTTCTCAACTCCTAAGGAATCCTCCCCCTCCCCCAAGTAGGGAACATTCACTTTGTACAAAAGAATCCCAAACCCAGATGCTCTCACAACTGGACACATCTGGCCCATATGTGCCCATGCTAAATCCCTTGCCAACTTGAAGTTACCTGTCTTGTATGCTTTTGCGCACAATGAGGAAATAGGACTTGATAAGACGGCGGATGACCTCGCAGTCTCGCTGTTCACGTTGGCTCAGTTTGCGTGTAGCAGGCATGGGCTAGGGAAAGTCAGGGAAGACTACTGTGAGAGGAAATTGCCAGAGGTGGTGGTGATAGCAGACCTGGTGGAACAGTTTCTACGCACTTGGCCAAGATCAGTGAGACAAGATATAGCATATTGCATGGGGTGGGCAGAGAACAGGTAATCTGTACAGGCAACTCCCAAATTATGTGAGGGTTACATTACAGGCCTCCCTGCATGTAACCAAAACTGTGCATATTGGGAACACCCTGGAGGAGCAGTGGGGGCAGCTGAGCTGCTCAACAAGCCCCACTGTCCCTCCAGTTCGCAAGAGCTTGGGGGGGGGCAGCGGGGCTTGCTTAGCTGACATGCAGGTAAGCAGCTGCTGTGCTACCCCACACATCAGCTGTTAGGCCAGACGGCCTCAACAAGGCCCAACTGGACCCTCCCCAGAACCCAAAGAGGATGTCCTCAAGCCAGTAATGTCCTCTTTTCAATTAATGTTCTTGCCTCTAGGTCACCAACCCACCTCTCCACCTCACCAACCCTGTACTTCCAGGTTCCCGCACAGCTGACCGTGTCTAGCAGGTTGACTGCATGGGACCGACTAGGGCTGGAATAGACTGAGGTCTGTGAGGACCCCTTGGGTCTGTCATCTGCACTAGGTTCTTCCGCTTTTTCACTTTTCCATCGGCGGGCACCATCTGGAACAGATTCAGTCTGAGAAGGGAATAAATGTGAGAGTGGGCTGTGGGGTTATTCTTAGGGCAGGCGTCAAGGCAGTAGAAAGGGTGGTAGTGGTTGGGTCATACCTTAGAACTGCTCACTGAGGCAGAAACGAGAGCTGTGTCAATGAAGTCTGGGTGCTTGGTGTTAATGTAGGCCAGTTCAATTGCAACCAGATTGTGCACCTAGGAGAAAAGGCATTGGCTGTTGGAACATTTGGCCCCAAATGTGGAACAGGAACCAGCTTCCACTCCTCCATTCTCTGAAGAAACAACCATCATTACCATCTCATTTGTGATGGGCAGCCTCCTGCGAAGGACTCCCGTCACCACCTCCACAATCGCCTCATGCAACTTAGGGAAACGCAACAGCTCCTGAAAAAGGGATGAGGAGGAATTGAGAGAAGCATTTGGACATTATTTATTTTTTAAAGACCTACCTTTTGGCTCTACAATTTGTTTGCCAATGAAGCTTACAAAGACACCAATTGAAATACCATTGTACTGCTAATACACACAAAAGATACATTTAAAAAAAAACAAGCACAGCACAGGATATAATAAGGAAAAATCTTTATAAAAAGCATTTTCCATAAATACTCAAACTTTGTTCGCTCCCCAGCCACTGGAATTCAGACTATAAGCTTATGGAAGGCAGGAACCTGACTTTTGTTTATTTTGCACCATCAGCTTATGCGAAGCAACATGAACCAACAACAACTTGTAGGAAAAGTTTTAAAAAACTGTATTACTTATTTGCATCATTGTATGCTGAAAGAATGATTTTATGGCAAAACCATCAACAATATGGGAAGAAAGACAATGTTATGAGGCTAGCTTCTCACTTATTTCAGTATTTCCAGCATAATCCAGAATCATAGAGCCGGAAGGGACCCAAGGGTCATCTAGTCCAACCCCCTGCAATGCAGAAATCACAGCTAAAGCATCCATGACAGACGGCCATCCACCAAGGAAGGAGAGTCCACAACCTCCCAAATGAGACTGTTCCACTGTCAAACAGCTCTTGCTGTCACAAAGTTCTTCCTTATGTTTAGCCGGAATCTCCTTTCTAGTAACTTGAAGCCAGTGGTTCCAGTCCTACCTTCCAGAGCAGGAAAAAACAAGCTTGTTCCCTCTTCCATGTGACAGCCCTTAAGGTATTTGAAGATGGCTATCATATTTCCTCTCAGTCTTCTCTTTTCCAGGCTAAACATACCCAGCTCCTTCAACTGTTCCTCATAAGGCTTGGTTTCCAGACCCTTTATAGCATCTTGGTTGCCATCCAAGAAGCTTGTCAACATCCTCCTTAAATTGTGGTGCCCAGAATTGGACACAGAATTCCAGGTGTGGTCTGACCAAGGCAGAATAGAGTAGTACTATTACTTCCCTTGATATTGACACTATACTGCCTGGAATTGGTTAGAGCATGGTGCTGATAATGTCAAGGTTGCAGGTTTGAGCCCCAAATGGGACAACTGCATATTCCCACATTGCAGAGTGTTGTACTAGATTGACCCTAAGGGTCCCTTCCAGATCCACAGTTCTATCGTTCTATGATGCGTTCTAGAATAGCATTAGCTTTTTTTACTGCTGCATTACACTGTTGACTCATGTTAGCTTGTGGTCCGCCAAGACCCATAGATCCTTTCACATGTACTTCTGGCAAGCCAAGTGTCCCCCATCTTATATTTGTGTAGCTGGTTCTTCCTGTGTAAGTGAAGAACCTTACATTTGTCCCTGTTGAAATTCATTGTTAGCTTGGGCCGAGTTCTCCAATCTGTTAAGGTCATCTTAAATTCTTACTCTGTTTTCTACAGAATTAGCTACCTCTCCCAGTTTGGTGTCATCTGCAGATTTGATAAGCATCCCCTCAATTCCTTCACTCAAGTCATTAAAAAAAGATATTGAACAACGATGGGCCCAGGACAGAACCCTGTGGCACCCCACATCCCCCCCAGGATGAAGAGGAACCATTAATGAGTACTCTGTGGGTACGGTCTGCCAACCAGCTACAAATCCACCAGTTACCTCATTCATTTCACATTCTACCAGCTTGCTTGCAAGAATATCATGGGGGAACTTTGTAAAAAGTCTTACTGAAATCAATATACACTATGTCCATAACATTCCTCTGATCGACCAAGCTTACTCCATTAAAAAAAAAAAAAGAGGTTTGTCTGACTGTGAAATGACTTATTTTTTGAAAAATCCATGCTGGGTCTTAGTAATCACAGCATCTTTTTCTAAGTGCTCACAGACCAAATGTTGAATTATCTGTTCTAGGACCTGTCCTGGTATTGATGTCAAGCTCACCAGTTGGTAGTTACCTGGGTCTCCTTTTCTTCCCTTTTGAAGATGGGGACAACATTTGCCCACCTCCAGTCTGCAGGGACCTCACCTGTTCTCCACAAATTCTCTGAGGCCCTGAGATTACACCCACGAGCTCCTTTAGTACCCTTGGATGCAGCTCATCAGGCCCTGGAGATTCAAATTCATTTAAAGTAGCTAGGTGTTCACTTACTACCTCTTTTCCTATCTTGGACCATAGCCCTCCCCTTACATTATTTATTCTCTTAACACCACGTTTGGCATTACTTTCCTTTTGGGTGAAGGCAGAGGCAAAGTAGGTGTTGAATAGTTAGTTCTGCCTTCGCTTTGTCACCTAATAGCATTACTCCGTCTTCGTTACTCCATGTAGAGGACCTTCCACTTGCTTGTTCTTCCTCTGCTTCGGACATAGCTAAAGAAACCTTTATTATTGTTTAACCTCTCTTGCAAGCCTGAGTTCATCACAGCTTTAGCCAGCCTGACTTTCACCCTGCAACTGTTGGTTACTCATGTATACTCCTCCTCCTTTGTGATTCCCCTTTCTTCCATTTCCTATACATGGCCTTTTTAACTCCCAAGCTCATCTCTCCATTTAGAAACTCACATGCAACTTGGACTCCCTTCTCTTTGTGTATTTCTGGCCAAGGAATCTCACTCAATTGTTCCTTCAGTTTTTTGAAATTGGTTTTCTTAAAGTCCAGAGCGCATGTCCGACTACACCTAGCTTTCCTTTCCTCTGTTTCGTGAAACTCAGAAGGACATGATCCATTCCTCCCAAGTTGATTGATATGCACCCAGTTTGAGCATTTACAAAGAATGAAAATGCTAAAGGTCTCTAAACCCCACAAAATATTGTTAAGACCTGGAATGTAACCAAGTGGGAGCCACTTACCAGTCACATGTCTGAAAATGTGTGTTCAAAGCAGGACTTGCTGCATTACTCTGGGTAAACTTCTAAACAAATCATTAGAAGATTTACTTATACTGTACCTTTGAACCAAAGTTGTCACTCCAAAGTTGCTCATGATTACAATCCACACATGAAGTGATAATATATTAGGGATGGTGGAGGTGTTTACTTTTACAGCCGCGGCCCAGTATACCTCAAGGAGCGTCTCCACCCCCATGGTTCAGCCCGGACACTCAGGTCCAGCTTCGAGGGTCTTCTGGCGGTTCCCTCACTGCAAGAAGCGAAGTTACAGGGAACCAGGCAGAGGGCCTTCTTGGTTGTGGCGCCCGCCCTGTGGAACGCCCTCCCGTCAGATGTCAAAGAAATAAACAACTACTGTATCTGATGTTTAGAAGACATCTGAAGGCAGCCCAGTATCAGGAAGTTTTTAATGACTGATGTTTTAATGTATTTTTAATATTTTGCTGGAAGTTGTCCAGCGTGGCTGGGAAAACCCAGCCAGATGGGCAGGGTATAAATAATAATAATAATAATAATAATTTTTAAGGGGGGGTATTATTCTCCTTGTGAGGTAAGACTCAAAGTGATTTTGAGATAGTCATGTACCCATAGAGATTTCAAAGTATGAGAGGCTTCCCCCCCCGCCTCTTCTTAAGATGTTATTAGTGGCGCCTTCTTAATGCACTTCATTGTACAGTGGTACCTCCGGTTGCAGATGGGATCTGTTCCGGAGCTCCGGTCGGATCCCGAGGTTTCTACAACCAGAGGGACCGCTTCTGCGCATGCATGCATGGAAAACCCGGAAAAATACTTCTGGGTTTGCCGCGTACATATCCCGAAGGATACGTAACCGGAGGTGAACGTAAGTAGAGGTACCATTGTATTTGTCTACAATTGACCAGTTGAAATAAGGTCATCAGCAGGCTACGAAGGCCTCTCCTGGAAGGCAACTCCTGAAGGCCTTAGGCCTTGGGCACTACCACCCAGGCAGCAACCTACAAAAAAGCAATGATTGCCAATGAAGAGGATTCCCTCCTCTTCAGCTCAGTCAGCAGGGTAATAAAAGACAAAGCAGGAATCCTAAGGTGTGGAGGTAGAGGAAGGAAATTGGGGCAAGTTGCTCAAAAGGGGCATCTGGGAGTGGGCTCAGCCAATGATCTTTCTGAACTGAAGCTCAGCAGGGCTTCCAGAGTAAGGAAGGGTGTGGAGAAAGGAGATGCAGGCTGCAATTTTCTCTTTCTTTGCAATATATACAAACCATTCCAGTTACAGAATGGGATTGAGCAAAATATTTCCAATTCTAACGAGCCATGTAGGGCAAGGCTCTGTTTCTTCTGTTTGAAGTGCAGCCATTTAAAGCTGTAGAGCAAGATTTAGCCAACAGGGCAGCTCATGAGCTGCTCCACTATTACACAGTAGGACATCTTGACAGGTGGTGGGGCTGCTACCTGTCTATCACCTGATATCATCAGGACACCAGGTGACCCAACTTCGAAGTTGATCCCAGTGGGGCTTTCTGCAAGCGCCAGTCATGACTGCGTGCCAAGCAGCAATAGGGAGTGCACTTTAGAGTTCTCAGTTGTTCCTTTGCAGTTGTAATTACCTGCCTCACACATGATGTCCACACATGAGGCGTGGGGCAGGTGGCTGTGGGGAAGACAGCCTCTGGAAAATTAGGACCTGCTGGCTAGAAATTTCTCAGTGCTGCTTTAGAAGGCCCAAAGTTTTTGGAAATGAGCACAGTTCTTTGTGAGATCATCGAGCTCTTTGGAAATGCAAAGGTCACTTACAGTTGGCAGGAGAGCCTTTGTGAAGCAAATGTTTTACACAGATGCCCCATGGAGTTAATGGTGTTTACTTTCATGTAATGCATGCGCAGGCCCTGTTTTAATCTGTAGAATCACAAATGCCTGCAATAAACCTCTGATGGTTCAAAAGGCCAAACAAATGGAGTTCTGGAACCCTTCTAACCACCCATGCTATTGGGAATGGCCCTAGTGTCAGGAAAGCCATACCTGCGTGTTGTAGGTGGAGCAGTGCTGGATGATGCGCTGCAGCTCCTCATGCACCAGCTCCACACAGCGAAGGCTTGGCTCCTCCAGGCGCTTGATCTGACGCTTCACAAGTAGCTCAAAGGAGACTTCCGGAACAAAGAGGGCTGGACGGGGTCCCTGCAGGGTGGAGAAACCCCATCAGTATAAACTGCTACCCAGGGTTGGGCAGGAAGCTGACCAGCTAAGGCATGAGAGGCCAGAAGGGGCCATGATTTGAGCCCACCAATGCCTAGTTATGGGTTGCCACAGGCAGCATCTCCCAAAAAGTCATATTCAGTTGAAGGGTATTTCTGCCTTAGAAGGGCTCTGCTAGTTCTACTGGCATTTATATTTTCCAAAGGAATTGTAATCACTGGCTTCTTTGTCCCAGCATGCCTTGCTGCAACCAGAAACCTTTTTTTGCACCAAGAACCCAAGAACTTTTACTCAGAAACGACTCTCACTGCATTCAAGCGGGTCAGCCCAAAATAAATTTGCAGAAGAATCGCAGCTCAGTTCTGCAAAAACTCCCCTTCATTTCATTTTTGGACATTACAAATGGCAAGCGGGACTTCCAGCATCCGCAGCAACATTGGTCTCTCTTCCTGCATCTTCTTAAAGTGCTTATCACCCAGCTCTGGTCAACTTAAAAGGCTACACATTGCTTCAAGATTTTTGGTCGGGACCAATAAAGCTGGTTTTACTTTATCATCATCATCATCACCATCTCTCCCTTCGCCCTAATGTCCCAGGGTGTGTTAAAACAATTTAAAATACAACACTGAAAATGGTTTAAAAGCTTAACAGTTACAAAAAAGAATGCAATCACAAAAGGGTGGGGCCTGAAAAATACAGCTCAGTTGTCAAATGCCAGGGCAAAGAGCTCCATCTCCAGCATTTGCCAGCAGCTGTAGAATGAAGATGCCAGGTGCTCCTCTGTGGGGCAGGGAGTTCCACAAGTTAGGGGCTGCCACAGAGAAGGCCCTCTCCCAGGCCACAAACACACAAGCTGTTAACTACCAACTGCTCCACCAATCTTTTTGGGGGGGGCAATTGTTTTTATTGGTTTTCCAAATTATTACAAACCATTACCAAATTGATTCAATTTAATACTATTTCCAAAACCAGTTTCCCGCTCTCCTTACAAGATATGTCTAAGATAGACCCCCCTTTGCTGCGTTCTCAATCTCTAGTTGATATCACTCTGTAGCTGCCAATAATATTTTCCATCAGCTGCCCCTTTACAACTCTGCAAACAGCAAATAGATCAAATAAACCTTAGTATAGATATTCAATAATGGCATGAGTGGTATTTCAGTAAGTTCTTATTTCCAGATTTCGGTGTGGTTTTTCAGCTTGGATCTTCTCTCATCCTTGTTCAAATCAGTTCTTTCCCTGCTTAGCTGATTAATTGCAGCTCCTCTGGCTCTGCTCACACTACTCAAGGTCAAACGTTTTCTTCGCACAGATAAAGAGTCAAACTGCAGCATGAAGTAGCTCTTGAAGAGAAAAACGTTCTGGAAGCAGCCTGGTCATTTATTTCCAATACAGTGGTACCTTGGTTTACAAACTTAATCCGTTCCAGAAGTCTGTTCTTAAACCGAAACCGTTCTTAAATCGAGGTGCGCTTTCCCTAATGAGGCCTCCTGCAACTGGTGCCCTTCCACCATCTGGTTTCCATTTGTAGACCAAGGTAAAGTTTGCAAACCGGAACACTACTTCTGGTTTTGCGGAATTTGTAAACCGAATTGTTCGTAAATAAGACTGTTCTTAAACTGAGGTACCACTGTATTGCGATGCCATATAAACATATCTTTTTCTGTACAGATGTACCTATTATGATATGTGCCACTATGTCAAGCTGCATCCCATTTGATTCAGTCTCTTTGTTGCCTCCATACCTTCCATCATAGCAAGGCCAGCTGTGAATTTTCTTAGTCTAAAGAGTTGTAAATCACAGTAGTTGCATTTCTTCCTCCCGCAACACTGAACACCGTCAAAAGATGGTCATCAATATCACCCAGCCACTCCTTGGTAGAAGGGGGGCAGGCATAGTAGCACCTGTCAGGGAGGAATGGTGGAGACCTCCATCCCAGGAAGCTTCCAGTCAGGGCAGACAGTAGCTGCTGGGGGAGGAGCGGGCACTCTGAGCTCAGCTTTGAGGGAGCACATTCCATGATCTCCATATACTTCTGTAAATTCTAACAAAAGGACTGAAAGAAGCTCTCCTGTGTGTCTGGTTTCACCCAGCAGTCAACCATGTGAGCTGTCCATTGGCTTCCTCATGACAATACCTTTTCCAATACTTTATCCAATTCTCCTGTTTTCCTCCGCAAAGCAGTCTTTTATCAAACATCACATGCCTCTTTTTCTCATTATTCAGAAGAGGGCAGAGAGAGCCAGATGCAAAAATCGTAAGAAAACATGAAGTCATCTCTCCTCCTTTTCCGTTCACAACTTCTGCAAAAACATCAAAATGCCATTCAAATACCTTTAAATGTTCCAATTTTTTAGGTGGCTGATTTAGTCTCAGTATTTGCATATCTTGCACAGAGAGTGCTTCATACTTTGTCCAATTAGCCAGATTAGGGAGGAATCTTTCCAAAAATCATGTTGGTAGCGGAGGCTTGTTCTTTGGCAGCGGGCTCACGCCCAGCACCACCCCCATTCTGCCTTCTGAAGGAGAAACAGGGTCAAACGGATGCTCCAGCAATCTTGACACTGAAGAGGGTCTGTAAGGAAGGAGGCAGTCTTTCAAATATTGGGGGCCTAAGTTGTTCAACATTATAAGAACTAACATGAGCACTTGAACTGGGCCCAGAAATGATCTCTCAATCAGTGCAGCCATTTGCAGGACACGGCACTAGTCCTAGAATTGCCCATGGGCAGAAGCCAAGGGGGCTTGGCCTGTGAAATAAATAAATAGTGGAAGGGTGATGGATCACTCAAACATAAAAATCAGGCTTCGATTAGAAAAGGTGTGGCTTCCAGTAGGAGCCAGAAGTATACATTCAGGTTTACAAAGCCTTATTTATTAGAATCATACAAGTCAGTAGAGCATGAGACTCAGAATCTCAGGGTTGTGGGTTCAAGCTCCACTTTGGGCAAAAGATTCCTGCATTGCAGGGGTTGGACTAGATGACCCTCATAGTACCTTCCATCTCAACAATTATATGATTCTATAAGTGGGGATTGTAAGAAAATGTTGCCATGTATCCATATAAGTGCTCTTGTTCAGGGTTCCAGGCATCTGCCCTCACCACCCACCTTTTTTTAAAAAAAAGTTTATATTTATGTCTGTGTCTCTTTATATATGCAAGCCTCAGGAAAGTGGATAACCCCCCCCCCCTTTGTTTCTCAGTGGCTCTATTTTGGCTGCAAAACCATCAACACTTATGACCCGAGTTAACAGGAGGAGCAGAAGGCCACCATGACATGGGCAAAGACTGGGTTTTTATAGGTATGCCGAAAGAAAGAGGAAATGCTCCAGTTATTACATTACTATAGATTTGGGGGGTAGGAGAAAGAGCATAGGGACGCAGGTGGCGCTGTGGTCTAAACCACTGAGCCTTGGGCTTGCCGATCAGAAGGTTGGTGGTTTGAATCCCTGCGACGGGGTGAGCTCCCATTGCTCTGTCTCAGTTCCTGCCAACCTAGCAGTTCAAAAGCATGCCCAAAAGTGCAAGTAGATTAATAGGTACCGCTCCAGCAGGAAGGTAACTGGCGTTTCCGTGCACTGCTTTGGTGTCGGTGTTCCTTTGCACCAGAAGTGGCTTAGTCATGCTGGCCACATGACCCAGAAAAACTGCGGAGCAGACAAACGCCGGCTCCCTCGGCCTGTAAAGCAAGATGAGCACCGCAACCCCAGAGTCGTTTGCAACTGGGCTTAACTGTCAGGGGTCCCTTTACCTTTACATAGAATCATAGAATCATAGAGTTGGAAGAGACCACAAGGGCTATCGAGTCCAACCCCCTGCCAAGCAGGAAACACCATCAGAGCACTCCTGACATATGGTTGTCAAGCCTCTGCTTAAAGACCTCCAAAGAAGGAGACTCCACCACACTCCTTGGCAGCAAATTCCACTGTCAAACAGCTCTTACTGTCAGGAAGTTCTTCCTAATGTTTAGGTGGAATCATCTTTCTTGTAGTTTGGATCCATTGCTCCGTGTCCGCTTCTCTGGAGCAGCAGAAAACAACCTTTCTCCCTCCTCTATGTGACATCCTTTATATATTTGAACATGGCTATCATATCACCCCTTAACCTCCTCTTCTCCAGGCTAAACATGCCCAGCTCCCTTAGCCGTTCCTCATAAGGCATCGTTTCCAGGCCTTTGACCATTTTGGCTGCCCTCCTCTGGACACGTTCCAGTTTGTCAGTGTCCTTCTTGAACTGTGGTGCCCAGAATTGGACACAGTACTCCAGGTGAGGTCTGACCAGAGCAGAATACAGTGGCACTATTACTTCCCTTGATCTAGATGCTATACTCCTATTGATGCAGCCCAGAATTGCATTGGCTTCTTTAGCTGCCGCGTCACACTGTTGGCTCATGTCAAGTTTGTGGTCAACCAAGACTCCTAGATCCTTTTCACATGTACTGCTCTCAAGCCAGGTGTCACCCATCTTGTATTTGTGCCTCTCATTTTTTTGTCCAAGTGCAATACTTTACATTTCTCCCTGTTAAAATTCATCTTGTTTGTTTTGGCCCAGTTCTCTAATCTGTCAAGGTCATTTTGAAGTGTGATCCTGTCCTCTGGGGTGTTAGCCACCCCTCCCAGTTTGGTGTCATCTGCAAATTTGATCAGGATGCCCTTGAGTCCATCATCCAAGTCGTTGATAAAGATGTTGAATAAGACTGGGCCCAAGACAGAACCCTGTGGCACCCCACTAGTCACTCTTCTCCAGGATGAGTGACTATGCTCTTTACCTTTAGAAAGAGCATAGGTTCTTGCACCAATAGGTCAAAGTATTATTACAGCATTGTCTGGAGAGGATACGTATCATTACAGCAAGGAGTTACTCTGCAATTTGGACAGGCGGTTACTACAGCAACTTCTGGGAAGACAGGTTGTCATGGCACTATCAAGTACGGAAGAGGGGTTGCTCTGCAAATGAATGACTACAAGAAAAAGAGGGATTTTCTACAAGTCTGGATCCCTTAGCTGAAGCACAAAGAAGAGAGTAGATGCTGTAGAAGTAAGAATGGCATGGACATTCCTTGCAGGGCCATGAGCAGTATGCATGAAAACAATGCTAAATTGAGCAGATACCCGGAGGCTGTGCACATTATTGCGGGGGACTTCAATCACACAGATGTGAGGGCAGTACTCCCAAAATTCCATCAGCACATTGAGTGTGCAACAAGGGGAGAAAATACTCTTGACAAGGTGTATACGAACATTAGACGGGCATATGAGGTCAAGACCTTGGCGCACCTCGGTGGTTCAGATCATGTGTCCCTGCTTCTGACACCAGTATACACACCCCTCAGGAAACAAGGCCAGATACAAACACGGATGGTTACGGTGTGGCCTGAGGGAGCCTCTCAGCAACTGCAGGACTGTTTCCAGGAGACCGACTGGAATATCTTCGACCATCAAGATCTAGAAACTTATACATCAACGGTCCTGGATTATATTAGATTCTGCACAGCAAATGTCACCAGGGAAAAGTATGTTAAGTTGTATCCGAATAGGAAGCCCTGGATGACAAGAGAGGTTGAAGGCCAGAAATTCTGCTTTTAGAACTGGGGACCGGGTATTGTATGGCATAGAAAGAGCGAACTTGAAGAGGGGTATCAGGAAAGCAAAAGCGGAGTACAGAGGAAAAATTGAGGACCATCTGAGAAATCATGATACTAGACAAATGTGGCAGGGAGTCCAACATCTGACTGGTTATAAATCAAGGAATTCATCAGTGGTAGAGAGTACTGCTTCCTTGGTGGGAGAGTTGAATACCTTCTTTGCCCGATTTGAGGTGACACCAACAGTGACTCCAACAGGGATGCCAGAGCTATTGGCGTCACTACCTACAGGAAATGCTGTCAGGGTGGAAGAGGGAGAAGTGAGGCGAATATTAAAGGAGGTAAACACGAGGAAGGCTATGGGCCCGGATGGGGTGGCTGGCTAAGAGATTGTTCGGACCAACTGGCAGGAATCTTTACGAAGATTTTTAACCAGTCTCTGGCCCAAGCCACTGTTCCACCCTGTCTGAAATCTGCTACCATTATACCCCTGCCAAAAACATCAAAGATAGACAGTCTGAATGATTTTCGCCCTGTGGCACTGACACCCATTATAATGAAATGTTTCGAAAAACTGGTGAGAAAGCGCATCTTATCTTGTCTGCCAGTGGGACTTGACCCTTACCAGTTTGCGTACAAGGCAAAGAGATCCACAGAGGATGCTGTGGCAATGGCTTTACATGCTGTCCTGACTCATTTGGAGAAGCAAGGGAACTACGCGAGACTGTTATTTGTAGACTTTAGTTCTGCATTTAATACTATTCTTCCGCATAGATTGGTGCCCAAATTATTAGACCTGGGACTTCCACCATGTTTGTGCAGGTGGATATTAGACTTTCTATCAAACCGTTCCCAAAGGGTCAGGTTGGGTTCCCACGTCTCTGCGGATCTCATCACGAATACGGGGACGCCTCAGGGGTGCGTGTTGAGCCCGCTTTTATACACGCTCTATACAGCTGACTGTGCCCCCAAATACCCCACTAATAAGGTCATTAAGTTCGCAGATGATACAACAGTGGTTGGTTTAATTATGGCTGGAGAGGGGGAGACGGCCTATAGGAAGGAAGTTGAGCAGTTGGGGGAGTGGTGCAGGAAAAACAACTTACTGCTTAACTTAAAGAAAACAAAAGAGATCATTGTGGACTTTAGGAAATGTAAATTGAATATTCAGCCACTTATTATTGAGGGGAAGTGCGTGCAACAGGTCTCAGTGTTTCGATTTCTGGGAATGGAGTTGAGAGATGACCTAACCTGGGGAGAGAACAGCAAAGACCTGGTGAAGAGAGCACAGCAGAGGTTATATTTTCTGAGAATCCTCCGGAAAAACAATCTCTCAAAGGACCTGTTGATGGCATTCTACCATTGCACTGTAGAGAGCGTACTAACTTATGGTCTGTGCGTGTGGTTTGGGAGCTGCACGGCCAGGGGAAAAACAATGCTATCCAGGGTTGTAAAGACTGCGGAGAGAATTATTGGGTGCACTCTTCCCACCTTAGATCAAATCTATGCTGCCAGGTGCCATAAGAAAGCGGCAGAGATAGCACATGATAGTACGCACCCCGGAAATGATCTCTTTCAGCTTCTGCCTTCTGGAAGAAGGTATAGGGTTATAAAGGCCAGGACTAGCCGCCTGAAAAACAGTTTCTACGCTAATGCAATTCTGGTTCTAAACTCAGCATAAGGGGTTTCTGTAGTATAGTGTGTTTTAAAATGGGGTTTTAGAGTTTTTAGGGGTTTTTGAATGTTTTATGTAGTTTTGTAGTAGTTTTTATGTAGTTTTATGTAGTTTTGTGGTAGTTTTATGTAGTTTTCAATTTCATTGTTCCGCAAGGGACAATGACAATAAAGATATCGTATCGTATCGACATATTGCAACAAGATTGCTAGACTAAAAGGGTTGAATTCAAAAAAACCCCATAACTGTTGCTTTATTCTGAGATTCCAGCTCTGTATCAGAAGTGCCAAATTGAGACACACCCCTCATCATTTACCTCTGGAATATCAGGAACATCTACCACAGGGTGATGCAGCCTCCACCCACTCAGCATACTTAGACAACACATTTTGGCTGGCTCAAGACTGCCCCCACCCAAAATCGAACTAGCAAGAGAGCCTGGGGGTCTCTTTGCCTTCCCCTCTACACACGAATGGGGAGTCATCCCAAATTACAGACATGTAGCATGTACATCGCGCTTTAGGTGAAGTGTTCCTGTGTCTCACTCCTCCTTAGAAGGCTGCAGTCTGGGCCCATATCATCATCCCTTTCTTAGAGACTGCCAGAGGGCATGTGCGAAGCGAGGCTGAGAGAGTGGCTTGCCTCAGGCCACCTGCCAAGTTAACGGCAGAGGTGAGATTTGAATTGAACTCAAGTACATAAGAGCAGCCCTGGTGTATCCCAGTAAAGGCCCATCTTTTCCAGCACCGTTCTGTGACCAACCAGATTCCTGTGCTGGGAGCCCCACAAGCAGAGTATGAGAATGACTGCCCTCTCCCGACCCCCGTTGGGCCACTATGCAATGCAAGCTCTCTTAGGCAACGTGCCTCCCAATTTATTTTGGGAATTCTAGATGGCATAGGATGATGGGAGAGAGAGAACAAGCTGAAAGCAGAGGCCAATGGGTGAATGGCCTCAGAGGCATCCCAGCTCCACAATGGTGGCTTACGGTGGCATTTCGGATGGCTGTCAAGATATCCAGCATTGTAAGTCCAGCCAGAGGATCAATGGACTCCAGGGTGCGACCAAACGTCTCATGGAAAATGTAGCACATCCGGGCCCCTCCGCACCTGACAGGGAGGGAGAGTAGGTCAGCTTCAGAGTGCACAATCCCCCTTATTGATCCACATTGTGAGGCTCCTCCCCAGTCCCAGCCCTGCCAAGAGAGGTCACTCACAACTCAGATGTCTCAATGTTGCGTGCCGTGCCCTCAATTGTGTTGCAGTACTCGGTGGCAAATTTGGTGATGATCTGAAGCAAGGTGGCGTTCTTGTCCTCAATAGGCTGCCCGTAGCTCTGTAGCACAGACTGGTACTGGGCTGTCAGCACATTCACCCGGGTCTTTAATTCAGGCAGGCAGTCACGAATATGGTGCATCAGCAGCCTTGGAGGCAGGGAGGAGAAGGAAATAAAGCAGCATTCTCAGTAGTTGCTGACACGGATGACCAGTCTGGCCTAGACTTTCAAGGTTTCTAGTCTTCAAGGTTGTAGAAACTGACTTTCTGAAGCACCAGATGCATCAACAAAAGGTTCCAGTGTTCAGAGCATGGAGCCTTCTGTACGCAAAACAGATAAGCCAGATACCTGCACCAGATCCTGGCCAGCCCCTTCCTGCTCACTCAGTCCCTCCCAACATCCAGCTTCTTTATAACCGCTGTGCCTTGGCACCCCCTCACCTATTGAGAGTCTTAGCCAGGTGACGTGTGCCATTTCGGTTGGCAAGCGATGGGTACTTCTTCTGCAAGAAGCCCTGCTCATCTTGGAGGGACTCACTGATGCTCTTGTTGCTGTTGATATCATGTTGACTCCTAGTACAGGAAGAAGGGAGATCATAGCAACAAACTAACCTACACAAGTTGGAGTGATGTCTTGCAGCAAGCGTCTATTCCCCCAACCGTGCCACCCAAGACAATAGATAATACATCCTTCAAGAACGTCCTGCCCTACTGGAAGTGGGGTTCTGCCATCAGACACTCCAAATCTGAGCCAGATCCCATATTCACTGTTATCCAGCACTACTGACCTGTTGACCACCCCAATGATGCCCAGCTTGACAGGAATAACCCGACCCATTAGCACATCCATGGCATCTGTCCCAGCATCCATCAGGTCCAGCTTGGTGATCACAGCCAGTGTCCTTCGCCCTGCACAGGATCAGCACAGGATGAAAGCCTGCTCCTTCCTTTATTCCCTCTGCCCCACCCTAGTCTGCACATTCCTTGCTCCATCCCCCTCCTTTCCCTACACATGCATCCTCTCAGTTTCCATCACTATTGGTCTGCCCCAGTTCTCCCACCCCATTCCAACATGTGCAGCAACTTAGCTCCATCATCCTGTTGCTCTTCATGGGGACCAAGCACTGACCTCCTGACCACCAACACATGCTCCTATTAAACTGAGGCACACGACAACACATGCCATACCGTCAGGGTCAACATCACGTGCCAGCTTTAGTGCCTCTGACGTGGCCATGTCTGTATTGGCAGCTGTCACAGCCAGGATCAAGCAGTTTGGGTTGGAGATGTAGGACAGGATCATGTCCCGTACTTGAACCTCAATATCGTCGGGCTGATCCCCAACGGGCACCTGCAGTATACAAAGGAAAGACTAGAAATTGCTGCAAGACTAGGGAAGACACCCACAAAAGATCACACTCCAGGTTCTCTTTCCAGCTTGGCATCATAATGCACCAAGCACTGGAGTGAAGTTTACACAGTTGCCTCCAACTGTGTTTCCACCCTGAGAGCGGAAAAGCCAGATGAAAGATTTCTTACTGGAAGAAAGGAAGCCAAGCCTCATAGGAAGAAAGAAATCAGAGAAAGAAGGCCTGGGCTCACCTACCCATGGCCCCATGAAGCTAGCCCATCACATTCACAGTTACATACACAAATGATGAAGCTGAATGTAGTTGGGCATGTACTCTTGACTTTAAGAAAGCCAATTTAAAAAGCTTAAGGAGCCACTGGATGAGAAACCATGGTCAAATATACTCAGAGAGAAGGGAGTCCAAGGTGGATGAGAGTTTCTTAAATGTGAAATATTGAAGGTCCAAATGCAAACAATTCCAACAAGAAAGATGGTCCAACATGCCAGACAAATCTCATTTCACATTTTCATAAGCATTACAAGCTTGGTGGATCAAGGAATGCTGTGGACTTAGTGTAGGGTTGCCATATTTCAAAAAGTAAAAACCAGGACACCCCAAAAGAGCTTTTTTTAGACAAACCCCCAAAGTTGTTGAGCCCCAAAAACATGATTTTTTGATAGACTTGTCTAAGATCCAGGGCAAAGCATGACATTTCGGAAATTCTCCCCAGACGTCAATTCCACCTTTGAAATCCCAGTAATGTCCAGGAAAATCCAAATGAATGGCAGCCCTAACTTAGTGTGTCTTGATTTCAGTAAGGCTTTTGACAACCCCCCCCCCCGTTATATTCTTCCACAGAAGCTGGTGAAATGTAGACTGCATGAGATAACCATTAGGTAGATTTGTAGCTGGTTGACTGACCAAACCCAAAGAGTGCTCATGAATAGTTAGTTCCTGGAAAACATGGACAAGTGCGGTGCTGCCACAGCATTCTGTCGTGGGCCCGTTGTTTAAATGACTTGAGACGAAAGAATTGAGGGGTCGGTGTCCTCCCACGATAGGGTGTTTAATCTCCACTCCTGCTGATAAGTAGCTGGTAGGTTCAGTTGAGCTGGAGCTACCGTAAATTTCGCTCCATAACACGCAGTTTTTTCCTCCTAGAAAGTAAGGGGAAATGTCTGTGCGTGTTATGGAGCGAATGCCTACCGATGGCGGGGGAATCTGCTGCAGTCGTGAGCTGTCCGTGGCTCGCTTTGAAACAGCAAAGCGGGTGTAAGCGGCTCCTGTCAGCTAGCGGAGCCGGGGAGGAGGGAGAGACGCAGAGCGGGAGTTGGCTGCTTTAAAACAACCCCTGCTCTCTGTCCCTGCCTGCAGTTTTTTGCTGTCCGATTTTGGATTAGCCACTGTAGGGGCTGTGTGTGTGTGTGCTTGAGCTATCGTTCTCCTCCTCCTGCTTCCCCTTCACTCTCCCAGCGCCCCTGCGACTTTAGAATTGACACTCTGTGTGTCTCTGTGTGTGTGAGGGCTCCTTCTCCTTCTCTTGCTTCCCGTTCACTCCCCCAGCGCCCCTGCGACTTCCAGCGCCCTGCGACTTTAGGGCCAGTTCTCTCTCTCTCTCTCTCTCTCTCTCTGTGTGTGTGTGTGTGTTTTGACCTCACTGCGCTTGTTGGGGGAGAGTGTTGGTCACAATTTTTCTTGATTTGTCTCAGAGTGGTTATTATCGTGGTTTTCTTGCCGGGGAGGAGGGAGAGAAGCAGAGCCTGCTTGTTCTAAAGGAGCAAAGCCAGAGAGGAGCCTCTCCTGCATTATTAGCAGCATCCTTCTCCACCCCCCCCCCCACGCGTGCTCCTTGTCCCTTGAGTGCTTTTCCTTCCCTCCCCACTTAAAACGTGGTTACAAAGCACGGATCCACATGGATCCTCAGGATTTTTGCACTGGGTCACCCCAAATTCACCATCAGATCACATAGCATGTCCATGACTACAGCCTGCACCAAAAAACACACGCACCCACTGTTTCATGGGGCCGCAATGGCGCAAAAACGTGGTTACAAAGCATGGATCCACATGGATCCTCAGGATTTTTGCATTTGGCAAACTCACCACCAAATGACAGAGATAAAATACCGCGGCTGATAAAAGCTAATAAAAGACTGATAAAAATAATAAAAATCGCATCAACTGATGCGGAGCTCAAGTCGATGCTACCACTAATGACGCCATCTTGGAGCTCATGTGAGGGGGATGCTAATCAAATTTGTAGATGACACGAAACTGGGAGGGGTAGCTAATGCCACAGAAGACAGAATTGGGATTTGAGATGAGCTTAACAGGTTGGAGAATTAGGCCCAAACTAACAATGAATTTCACAACTGTCATGTTCTACACCAAGACAGAAAGAACCAGCTGCACAAATATAAGATTGCGGGGGGGGCACCTAGCTTGCCAGTGGTACGTGTGAAAAGGATCTAGGAGTCTTAGTAGACCATACATGAGTCAACAGAGTGATGCAATAGCAAGAAAAGTGAATGCTATTCTGGGCTGCATTAACAGAAGTATAATGTCCAGCTTAAGGGAAGTCATAGTCTTGCTCTATTCTGCCTTGGTCAGATCACACCTGGAGTCCTGTATCCAGTTCTGGACCCCACAGTTTAAGGATATTGACAAGCGGGAACTAGCGTGGAGGAGGGCAACCAAGATGATCAAGGGCCTGGAAACCAAGCCTTATGAAGAACGGTTGAGGGAATTGGGTATGTTTGGTAAAGGGAGACTGAGAGGAGATATGATAGTCATTTTCCAATATCTAAAGGGTCATCACAAGTAAGATGGAGCAAGCTTGCTTTCTCCTGCTGTGGAGGGTAGGACTCGAACCAATGGATTCAAGTTACAAGAGAAAATATTCCGACTAAACATCAGGAAGAACTTTCTGACAGTAAGAGCTGTTCAACAGTGGATTCTATGAAGTTAAGTGTGTGCACCAACTGTAGCCTTCATTTTCACCTATTTCCTTGCATTGGTCTTCTGCTTCCCCCTTCTCTCCTGCTCTTGATCCCCTCTCACTTGTAAATAAACCTCCTGCATTTCAACTGAGTTACTTTCAAGTGCAGCATGTATTTCTTTCCCAGATGTGGAGCGTTCACAGCTCACTGTGCCAATTGCCAGCTGCTCCCCTTTCCACAACCACCTTAATTTTCTGTGTTTTGCACAGAAGTGGCAGCTTGTACAGGGAGCGGAAAGCCCCTCTGTGCAGGCTGCCACTACTGCTCAAAACACAGAAAACTAAGGTTGTTGGGGAAGCCAGCATCACCTCTTTTCCCCTTCCTGATCTGTTTATTGTTTTGAACTGTATACCATATGCAACAACAGCAATGCAGTTTCTGCAGGATTCTTTGCTATAAGAAATAGGGATGACTCTTCCGTGTGTGTACAACAATTCTCAGGATGCAATTGTCTAATTCGTGTCAGGTGTCAAAATGCCTCAGGCCTGCCCTCACTCTTCTCCCCTCCCACTCTCAGCTGTTTGTCAGTCAACTGGGAGCAAGTGGCTGGGCAGAGGGGTTGCAAGGGAAGGGAGTGCAGATGCGACCGCCTCATCAAGTCTGCACACTTGATTCTAAGGCTAGAAATCCCATACTCATTGCCAATTGCAATTTCCACTGTTAGCATTGCTGAGGAAGTGGCCAGCACCTCCCCGCTTTCTCTGGAAGCCAATTGCCCACTTTCTCCAACGCCTCTCACCTTGGTGATTCCTGGAAGGTCAACTAGTGTCAAGTTGAGTACATGTGGGGAGTAGATCTTCAAGTACAGGGGCTCTGGGCTGATTCCCTGCATGCATTAAAAAAAAAAATCAGTTAAAGAAAGATCATATGGCAGCTCAAAGAACAGGGTTCTCACCAGAGTGGGGAGGAGCTAAGAAATGCCAGTACCTTATTGGTCCCAGTAGTCCGCTCCGTCTCAATTTCAATCTCCTGTCGAATCTCGCTGAAGTCAGTGAAAGTCTGGGGGGAAAGACAGGGACCAAGAGAGCTGGCTGTTGCCAGTCTCAAAAGTTTCCAACAAAAAGAACAAGGCCAAATCCAAAAGATAGAATCTGGAACACTGGTAAAAAGGAAATTTGGCTACAAATTTCGGAGTGAAAAAAGGGAATCCATTCCGGAACTAGTTAAAACTAGTGGGAGAAATCTGACTGAGGAGGGCAAAGGAAAATAACGAAGAGCCTGCTACGAATGTATAAAATGGGGGGAGGGGAGGGCAGAAAACGGAGACAGACAGTACTAAATAATACTAGAGAACAGCAGTGAAACTGGGGCTTAAATATCATTAATTCCAAGTAAAAGGCTGATAGAGAAGACACCCCCAACTCCCTATAATAATGTGAAAAATCCAGCAATAAGAGTAACAAATATTAAAAAGTATGGGAGAAAGGAAAGATAACTGCTAGAATGTAACAACCTTCTCCCCTCCTATGCACGTTTCTGTTTTTATGTCTAAAGAGGACACACAGAACTCAGAAGACAGACTTGTGTCAAGGAGGAAATATAACAGTATTTTTTTAAAAAAAGAAGAGAAGGCCTAATATTTATTATTTATTTGATACCCTGTGTTTTCAGGAGCAAGACAACCCCCTATCTCCCCTCTCCATTCATATATAAAGGGGGAAAGGTAGACATTTAAATTACAGAATTACAGAATCTGGAAAATACTTGCGTGCAAGCAGGAAAACAGGGGGAAAGGGAGGACAGTAAATAGAATTAGCAAATAATTTACAAACTGGACTTTAAAAAGAACAATAATATCCTAATAAGCAGTGGTTTTATTCGTGTTGGAGTGCCCCAAACTTCACCTAATGAGAAAGTTAGGAGTAAAAATCTACAACAACTTAGACAAAACAACAGCTGCACTCAAAGACAAGGGATAGTATCCATAGCAACAGAACTGTAATAGAGTAAAGGAATAAATTAACAAAAATCAAAGATGACTGGTGACTAACACCAGGGGATAATGACGCTACGGTAGACTTAATAGAAAGAAGGAAAAGGCAAGTGAGATGACTACACAGAAAAAACACCCACCCCAGGACAAGCGAAAAGAGGGTCCATGCAGGAAGGAGAAGTTAACATCGCAGAAATCCAAATCATTTATGAGAAAATCTAAAAAAGACTTTGGAGAACTAGTAGAACATCAACAAAAGGACGTAGACGAAGGAGAGAAGATAGGTACAGATGGAGAGGAGCAATAAATTATTTACGACTATATTAGCAAATAGGCTTTCAAAAGTGTTGAACGAGTTGATCCATGATCAAGCAGGATTTCTACCAGAGAGGCAATTGAAAAATAACGTAAGAAACATTAGAAATATAATAGAATATTTGGAGGTACATAACGAAAAACAGGCTTCCCTGATCTTCCTCAGCGCAGAAAAGCATTTGACAATATCTCCTAGGCATTTATGAAAGAAGTGTTTAAAAAGAATGGAAGGTGACACCTTCTTAAGAGGCATTATATAATGAACAATGGGCAAAGATTATAATAAACAATATCATCTCAGAGAAATGCAACATCAAAAAAGGACCAAGACAAGGGTGTCCATTCTCTCCGTTATTATTTATCCTTACCTTTGAAATTTTATTGTAAAACATTAGCAATAAAGTCAAACCTCGGTTTTCGAAGGTATTGGCTGCCAAACATTTCGGAAGCTGAACGCTGAAAATCCGAAAGTGAACGCTTCCCTTTTCGAACGCGCCTCAGAAGTCCAATGGCTTCTGAGGCGCGTTTCTCCATTTTCCCCATTGAACTTGCTAACAGCCCTTTGATCCTCGGTTTCCAAATGTATCAGAAGTCAAATGGACCTCCAGAATGGATTACGTTCAAAAATTGAGGTTCCACTGTAATGATAAAATTAGGGGAATGGAAGTGGGCAAACAAAATGATAACACAATAGCTTTTGTGGATGATATTGTCTCAACCCTGGAACAACCTCTAGAAGTTATACTAGAATTATTAAAGGAGATAATTGAATTTGGAAAATAGGTGAGTTTTAAAACCAAAATGTTAGTTAAAAACGTGGATAACCAAGTTAAAATGAAATTAGGGGAAATTATTGGCTGGAAAATAGTTAAAAAAGTGAAGTATCAAAAAAGTGTGGGTATCAACAAACCATCATAACATCTATAAGAATAACTATATGAAAACTTGGAAAAAAAATTTAATAGAAGATTTAGATATATGGGGCAGAATAATTATCATCTTACTATCATGTGTTTCGCTGTAAAATACTACGCATTGATGATATGATAAAACAGAAAAGCAATAAACAAATATAAAAAACAGAAAGGAAGTGAGAATGGAGAGGAAGAAGAAAAAGAAGAAATTGGGCTTTTTGCTCAATACGTCACTGAGCAGAAAATCACAACATTCGGGAAATGGCCCTTCTTAAGATAATTTCTAGAATTCTTTATTGTGGTTTATTATTTACAAAACACATACTCTGGAAGAGAAAGCATAGCAAATAAAAAAAAATCAGGTTTTGTTTTTTTAAAAAAATAGGATACAATATGTAGAAGAGTCATTCAAGAACTGCATGCAAAAAGGGAAGTCAATATTAACAAACAAGATTTTAAACTAGGTCAGAAATCCTGCCATTCCTTACTGCTTCAAGCTTAGAGAAAAAATACATATTTTGTGTGTGTGTGTGTGTGTGTGTGCGTGTGTGTGTGAAATTCTCCCATCCATAAAGAGGTTGACTAGCTGCAAGCTCAGTCTCTAGCTTAACAGCCTCCAGTCCTTTCCCTTTTGAGGCACTCTGAAGTCCTGAACTCTTTGGACAAAAAACAGAGAAGGAAACACCGGATGAGTAAAGTTGACAGGCTGGTAGGCAAAGTAGGGAATAGCTGCCTCTTTCCCTCAACAGGGACATTACAGCTCCATTTAAAACATGAATGAGGAACCTATGTCCCTCCAGATGTTGCTGGACTCCACCTCCCATCAGTCCCAGTCCACATGGCCAATGGTCAGGGATGAAGGGAGTTGCACTCCAATAAAGATCTACCTGGAGTGGCAGGAATTCCCCATCCCTGGTTTAAAATAAGGAGGAAACAAGGTGGTGGAGCAAGGCAAGTCTGTCTGAAGGGCTGCAACATCCTCTTTTCCTTCCCCACCCTATGTTTCATTCCAGGTGGAAGTTAATTTTCCTTGTGGCATGCTGCAAGAGGAACTGCTCTTCCTCCTTGAGAGTTGTCCCAATTGCTCCATCTTGTCTGCACTTCATGGAATGGAGAGTCTTGTGTCATTCACTTGCAGAGCATGAGAGAAGAGGACCTGCCATTAGAAATCACCTGTGTCTTTTTCACAGCGATTGCCCCCATGCCTCAAACCCTGTTCCCCCGTGATTTGGGGGAGAGGAGAAACAATTGAGTTTGCCCCTGGGAGGAGAGTCCTCTGTTAGCCTGAAGCATTTGCACTTTTGTCACAAGGCAGCTGTCTGTCCTGCCTAGGGGACTGGACCTGCTCTGACCACTGCTGCAGCCCTTTACACCACTCATGCTGTACCTTGTGCTTGCAGTGCAGGAAGGTGGCCCACTCATCAGCCTGGACTCCTGAAAACAAAGAAAACCAGAAAAAATAATGTCAGGGAACCTCTTTGGTATCCATCCCTCTCATGGAAGGATGCCAACTGAAATAAAATATGGGGGGTGTATAAGCCCCACCCCACATAATCACAAGACAGAGAAAACACAGACCATTTGAATGGCAATGGCTATTAACGAGGGGGGCTCAAATATTTTATTGGGGGTGCGAAGGGACCTCAGCCCCTAGGAGTTGGCTCCTATGCTCATGAGATGGAATACTACATTGCAAAAACACTTCCCAACAGCCAAAGGCAGGCTACTCCACCCACCATGCTGGCTTTGTGAAACAGACAAGCCATTGCCTTCTAGAAGAAACAAATCCAAACCAACCCTAGTTCTTCTCCCAATTCCCATTCCAATGATCAATCTTGCAAATGGTTGTCTCAAACACAGGGCACTCATCCCCAGTTCCTCTTGCATCCATCTTCTCTCTCACTCAGGACATTCTGGCCTAAAACTCTCCACTTAGAAGCCTTGCCCCTGAACTCCCAGGTGTGGACTTGATGGCTGGGGCTACTCAGGGAGGGGATAGCAACCTGCTCTTTCTCAGTTATGTGCTTGGTTTAATTTCCACTAAATTTTTTGCCATGGTCAACTCCTAATAGTCACAACGGAGTTGAGCTATGGCTCAAATTAAGCCTTTGTTTGGGTCTCTGTCAGAGACGACCCCCAATCCACACATCTTAGACGTCCTGCCTTTAGCAAAAGCCAACATCTCCAGCAGCTATCCCCAGAAAACAGTCTATAAAGTGTAAGCAGTGACAAGCAAAGCAGCATTGCCAGGAGCTGACCTTTTCAACCCTTTAGTGGAATCCCTAAGTTTCAATAGTTTTCAAGGAAAAAGAACTAGTTCTCCTCTAGACTGGAGGAAAATAACAGTTTGGATAACTTTCAGCAGGACTGGACCCACTAGCCACATGCACGATCCAACACGCCCCTCTCAGAACCAAAGCCAAGCCCCAGGCATCCCCTGGTGGGATGAGGACCCAAATCCCCAGCTCTTGTCTTACCGCTTTCTCCACTGGCTGTCCGCCTTCTCTCCTCTAGTGTTGGGACATGCACCAGTTGCAGGATGAGAGGCCGGCGTGTGACAATGCCAGAGCCACGAGGCAAGAAGTCCCGGCCTACAATGCTCTCCAGCACAGAGCTCTTCCCACTGCTCTGTGGAGACAGGCAGTGTTAGAAGCAGAGGATGCAAAGTAGTAATAAGATGCAATGTTGTCCTAAGAGGAAAGCAGTTTCACTCTAGGGAGTTCTAGCCTGTGTACTGGTTCAGAGAAAGACTGTACTGCATAACATAAAGCATTCCTGGTGTTCTTGAAAGCTACGACATAGATCACCTCAAGGTACCGTATCCATCTTATATGAATAGAACAGGTGGAGGGGACACAGTTCCAACCAACGTTTTCTTCAGCTCTTGCTCTTGTACCGAATGGCAGCTTGAACTACAGACATTAGCAGGTAAGAATGTTTGTTTCCATCCCTTGAAAACACCAGCCTACTAGTTTAAACAACAACTTATTCTGTGAAAGGAACAGGACAGACCACTTTTTAAGGTAAGATGGCAACCCTAATTAACACTTATCTTGGGACCCCTGAAAACAGTGCAGTTGTGGCAGGGTGAACATTTGAGAATCTTAGAAGAATTCTTCATCAAACAAAAGTTGCCAGAATTCTAAGAGAAGCCATGGCAATTAAACAAGGATAATAAAACCAGTATTAGCTACCACTATAATGGGATGGCTTTTTATTTCAAAATCAAGAGATAATACAGTGGTGCCCCGCAAGACGAATGCCTCGCAAGACGGAAAAACCGCTAGACGAAAGGGTTTTCCGTTTTGAAGTTGCTTCGCAGGACGAATTCCCCTATGGGCTTGCTTCGCAAGACGAAAATACCTTGCGAGTCTTGAGATTTTTTTCGCTTCCCCCTTTATCTAATCTGCTAAGCCTTTAATAGCCTTTAATAGCCTTTTAGCAGCTAATCCCCTAAGCCTTTAAGCCTTTAATAGCCGCTAAACCGCTAATAGCGCTAATAGCGCTAATCCGTCAATGGGCTTGCTTCGCAAGACGAAAAAACCGCTAGACGAAGACTCTCGTGGAACGGATTAATTTCGTCTTGCGAGGCACCACTGTATAAAGAAAATTGAGATAGAGATCAACCGAGTTGCATCTATTACATCCCACAGAAGGGGACACTGCTTTCATGGCACTGCTGAAATGATAGGCTATTTTTAACTCTGTGCTTTTCTGTATCTATCCATCCCTCTCTCCCAGGATTGACAAGGCAAGCCTTACCATTGGAAACAGTGAGTTGGCAGTTTGGGAAGCATTAATAAATGATCAATTAGTTATTCTTATCATTTTGTTACTGAGAGATGAAGGGGAGGAAATTGCCAAATAGATTTCTCCACCTTGGGCTGGCCCTAGCAGATCCACCTGTTTTAAGAAAGCCCCACAAGTGAGTTAAATGTGGAATGGTACCATTAGCAGATCCTTCCATTTTCATCAGACAGGCACTGATGCCTCTACAAAAATTCCTTAGGATTAATTTGCTGTCAGTAGAACTGGAGGCTTCCACACTACACTGCGAAAGCCACTGCATCAGGAACGAAAACAGCCCTGCCAAAAATCCATATAATGCAGTAGCTTGATTTCCAACACAGTCAACTGTGTTTCTAGCAAGTCCACTGCTGGTCACACATGTAATACCCCCCCACCCATCCCTTCCAGGGTACTCAAAGCCAGAACGGCTCAGAGCCTGGAAGTTGAGCTTGACTATCATGACAATGAGCCGTTACCATAGCCTTGTAACAGGGCTTATGCATTCCATGAAGCAATGCTTTCTTTTATCTGTTCCTACAGCCTATGGATTTCACTGGGGAAACCCAGCCAGATGGGTGGGGTATAATACATTTATTGATTGATTGATTTTTCTCCACACTTTTCATACCTTTTCCCTGCCCCCCCCATTAGTGGCCGAGCAGCGGGGTCAGGGGGCGGCTGGGCTGCGCGGGGAGCGGAGGCAGCAGCAGGCGGGTTCTCACCTGGGAACCAACTACCGCGATCTGGGGCAGCTGGATGACTTCGGCTCCCACCGTGTTGAAGATCTCTTGCAGCTTGTTGATGACGGGGATGAGAGTCTCCATGGCGACGGAGGCGCCGAGGGAAAGGGGCTCCTCCCTGCGAAGAAAGGAAACGGGGAGCCGGCGGAACTCCCCGCCACCCGACCCGCGCGGGAGGCAGGGCTCCAGCTCCGCTCTCCGCTCTCCGCTCTCCGCGCTCGCTCCTTCCCCCGGGAAGCGCGGCCCCCGCTTCGCCCGCCCCGACCTCTGCCTCTATTGGCCGGCATTTTTAGCACCGCTTCTCTCTACAGGCTACCTTCGTGTCTCTCAAGCGAAAGGTCGGCTCCATTGGCGGCGAGATTGACGGCGGGGCGGGACTACAGCTTCATTGGCCGGCTTGAGCACCAATCGACTGAAAGGGTTTTTCAAAGGCCCGACCATAGAGAACGCTTCAGCGGGGCAGACCGGCCTCCGGCACCCGGAGGAGGACCCTCTGGAAGGCGGGGCTCGACGCCTCGCCCGGAAGCGCGGCTGCTGTGGCGGATTCCCTCCGGCCGAGCGGCGGGGGGCGGGGGGCGGGCTGGCGGGGGTCCCCGAGAGAGAGCCCCTTTCCCTCCGGAGCTCCAGGCGGGCGGGGCGAGGGAAGGCCGGGCGCCGCCAAACTCAGAGACGGGTCACGTTCAGCTTCATGAGACGCCCCTGAGTTGTCACATGATGTGAGAGAGAAAATCCTTTCTCCGTCGTTTTCTTCGCTCCCTCCTCGCTTCTGCCCCGTCTGTTCTCCCTCATTTCTAAACCGAAAAGTCCCAGCATGTTTTGAGCCCGCATCGCAGGAGATGCGCTTCAGCCCCTCGATCCTTTCAGCTTCCCTTTCCGCACTTTTAAAGCCCGCTCTTCCCCCGCGGCTTCCCCGCCCCGCCCCCCTCGCCCCTTGAGAGTCCTGGAAGGGGGTCTGCCGCTGGTTTTTAACCCCAGTCCAACTAGTTCATGTTGTAAGACCTGGTTCCCTCATACCGGCAGGGCTGTAATTTACAAGGATGCAACTATGGACATAGGTTCTGGAAGCGGGTTGTCATGGTTGGCAAACAAGTTATTCATTTTTTGATGGAGCCGATGCTGAACTTCTCAACAATTAATTCTGTTCATCTAGTGATCTCTCATGGGTGGAAGGTTGCATCTTGTTATTCTGTGGATTCTATGGTTTTAAACAGTCATTCAGCCATTTCTGAAAAACTGACTCACAAAATACATGCTGACCCCTCCGACTTGCTTCTGCTTGGGGGCAGTTACTGATTTATATGACCAAACAATCTCATTTTTGGCACATTCCCACTAAATTTGAGTCCGACAACTTTCCTGATTATTTGATATGTTTGGTATAAATATGAATTTTGTATTCCATTATAGAATATATTTTACATCACTCAAACTTTTATATGCTTTCTATGATTGTAATTCTTCCTGCTCATGTGACTTCTTTGATTATTACTTTTAGCTTGCTGAATAAAAAGAAAACAGCAGCTGAGTACTCTGCTGTAGTTTCCTGGTACTCCCTTTCAGTACAGTGGTACCTCGCAAGATGAATGCCTCTCAAGACGAAAAACTCGCAAGACGAAAGAGTTTTTGGTTTTTTGAGTTGCTTCGCGAGATGAATTTCCCTATGGGCTTGCTTCGCAAGACGGAAACTTCTTGCAAGTTAGTTTCCTTTTTCTTAAAACCGTTACAGTAATACAGGGTGCATTGCTTGAAGAGGTGCAGTTGCGACTTGACTTCGGGGAGCAACTCATAGCACGTGGTGTGGTAGCCTTTTTTGAGGTTTTTGAAGATTTTTTTGAAAAAATTGAAACCGTGCTTCGCAAGACGAAAAAACTCACAGAACGAATTAATTTCGTCTTGCGAGGCACCACTGTCCTTTTTTTTTTTAAATATTTTATTAAGGATTTTCTTGTTTTACAGAAGTGTAGTGCCTCGTATTTTTTTTTCCATGTAACATTTTTACAAATCCGTTTCATTTGTTGAGGCATTAGGGGGAGAAGAAAAAGAAAGAAAGAAAAAGAAAGGGGGGTGGAGAGAGGGAAGATGGATGGGGGTGGGGTCGGGTGGCGGTGTTTCTATTATGTTTAATGTATGTAGAGTTTGGTGTCAGCGTTGCTTGTGTTGGTAGAGGGTGGATGAAACCCTTATTCTTCCTGCAGTAATGTCACCTCCTCTAACCAGTACTTGGCATATCAGGAAACTTTATCTGAAAGTCTGAAGACTTGTTAATCCAGAAGAGGTGCCTGAGGAATTAAGGGGGGGGTGTTTTCCCCACTAATTATTTGGGGAAATGAAAAGTATGCACATTAGAGCTGTGGGAGTAAATGGGAAAACCAGGATTAAGTATGACCTTTGTAAATGGAATTACTGAGTAGTAATCAGTTGCACAGGGTGATGTATACCCTGGGGCTTGACCCTGATGTTGTAAGCAGAGGCTATGATGTGGAAACATAGGGAATCTGGTGGTTTGTGTTTTTGGAAATAATACCTGAGACTCCCAAGGAGGAAAAAGTAATTGCCAAGCAGATAAGTGAGGCATTCAGAGAGTGCTTAAGGCACAAAGAAGTGACCCTCCAAAGGCAAGGAAGGTATTTACTGTGGACTTCCTTGTTTTTGCATTTGACAATTCTGGTTTCAAAACTTTGAAGCCTCACGCATGTCAGGCACTCCAATGCTCATACACTTACAAAACAATTCCTCTACCTTTCATTCATTTGTTCACACACCCCCCCCCCCCTGGTTTTCCCTGACAGGGACTCAAGTAGTGATGTTAAATTCTCGAGAATAATTTTGATTAATGAGAATATTATCGAATCTTCATTTAAAATATAATTCACCATTCTAAGGTGATGGCACCAGTAATTGTCATGTTAAGGTTTGTTATAAGGAAACTCAGTAGTTAAATCATATTTTATTCTTCAATTAGAACATGTACATATATGATAATATATTTCAATATGTCAATCTCTGGTAAATAGCACCTTGTACCATTGAATGGCACTGCAAAAACCAGTTACTGGCACTAAATAAAAATCTAGAAACATCAACTGTTTATATCAAGGCCACCTCACATGTTGTTACACATAATTGTATAGGCCTAGGTACTTTAAGTGTACAGTGGTACCTCTGGTTATGAACTTAATTCGTTCCGGAGGTCCGTTCTTAACCTGAAACCGTTCTTAACCTGAGGTACCATTTTAGCTAATGGGGTCTCCTGCTACCGCCGCTCCACCAGCACGCAATTTCTGTTCTCATCCTGGGGCAAAGTTCTTAACCCAAGGTACTACTTCTGAGTTTGCAGGGTTTGTGTTTGTAACCCGAGGTGTTTGTGACCATTTTTTGCTCTTCAAAATATGGCAACCCTAATTTGCCCCCACCTAAAAGAAATCCTGGCTACACCCATGGCAGGTGGTCATAGCAACAGTGCCAGTTTGTTGATATAATCAAGGAACAATTACCATGTACTAAGAAACTTATCCTTCTTACCCAGCCCATTTATCATCATGCTGCTGTGTTGATTCAAACCTGCAATTTCCCATATCTGGGTAAAACCAAGATCGTGAAGTGAGGGCTTCCCCCCATTTTCTACCTGGCAGCTATTTTCATTCTGGCAGTGGCTGTCAAAAAAGAGACCATGGAATATTGGGGTTAAGATCCCCCCAAAGAACCAAAACTTTGAGCCATGGATCCATGTTTATAACCAATTACGATGGAGATTTCAGGATTTATTTATTTATTTATTTAGCTAGCTAGCCAAAATGGTGCACAAGTGTTTTTGCACCATTTGTTCCCCACCGGGATGGGGCTTTACAAACCATTGAAACAATGGAGAGACAAGGAAGCAGTCATTTTTGTTTCCTCTTCTTGGCAGGCCTATTCACACAACATGTGCATGGTTGGTCCTTAATGCAGGGGCCGGGAAGCTGTGACCCTCCAGACGTTGGAAGCCAGCTCCCATCATCAGCCCCAGGCAGCAGGGATGAGGGAAGCTGGAAGCCAACAACAGCTCACAACAACTACTGCGGTTTTGTTCCCACAATGCTCGTCACTAGACACTGTAATATTAGAGGATGAATTGCTTGTGTGGATCAGCTGTCTTGGGTTTAAGTTCATATATGAGACATGCTAAAACAAAGGAAAGACTGTAATTCTGTGAGCAGGGTCTGCATTGTTTTAGAAAATGTTAGAGAGAAAACATTAGACTGTTTTATTATGATTAATTCTTTGTTGATCTTCTGTTTTCTTTCAGTTTCCTTTTAATTTAAAATGTATTGCCTCTCGTAACACTTTTTAGGGAGTTACTGAATTAAGATATCTATCTATCTCTCTATCTACAAGCAACATTTAAAATTGCCAATTATGGAGATCACAAGTGAAATTTGTTGTATCTCTTTTTAAAGTTGTAAATAACAACTTCAGCTCTGACCCGTGAGAGGGCTAAAACCAGTATTATTGCCAGGGACAGTCTCACTCATTACATCCAAAGACTTGTTGGTCGAAAGGTAAATAAACTGGATTTCGCCGCTCACGTTTTTTCATTTCTCTTAGTTTTCCCTTGGGTTTTCTAGTCATCAGGTGTATCTGATTTTCTTGATTCTCTTTAAAATCTTCTTCTTGGTATTTTTATGAGTTTTCAATTTAAATTTGGCTAAGCTTTCTTTTGGGGGCTTTCTCAATGTCCATCATCTGCCCCCAATTTACTCTCCCTGTTTTATTATGATTCTTTGTTGGTCTTCTATTTTCTTTCCGTTTCCTTTTAATTTAAAATGTATTGCCTCTCCTAATACATTTTAGGGAGTTACTGAAGTAAGATATCTATCTATCTATCTATCTATCTATCTATCTATCTATCTACTATCTACTATCTATCTATCTATCTATCTGTATATCTAAAAGTAACATTTAAAATTGCCAATTATGGAGATTACAAGTGAAAATTTGTTGTATCTCTTTTTAAAGTTGTAAATAGCAACTTCAGCTCTGACCAGTGAGAGGGCTAAAAACCAGTATTATTGCCAGGGACAGTCTCACTCACTAGAATCTGGCTCGCTCCTTCCACCACCTGTTGGTCACATAAAGGCCACATAAAAAAGTCCCTTGGCGCATTAAAACAGTGGATACAAATGGGTTTGTTTTCAACATAGGATCATTGTGCATGGGTGAGAAAGTAGTACCGGCCCCACTCCCTAATAACAGGGTTGCTGGGAGGGGGCAGTAAGCCCTGCCCTACATATTCACATGACATGGCACACAATTAAATGGCAATGCCCATGGACTTGGGGTGGGTGTTTCCCGGCCTCCTCAAATATTTTTTTTTGGGGGGGGGGGCTTAAGGGGAGTTAACTTCTAAGCCAGGGTATGTATCATTCCTGGATCGATGTCTTTGCTTGCTTGGCTATGTGTAGCACCTGCTGTGCCTTTTAATGGCATTTTGCCCCTGTATCACACTGATCTGAGCATTAAAGATTTTGGTAGACATTGCAGCCTGAGTTTGATTTCTTCTTTGAGTGGGAGCCAGGAAACTCTCCTCCACAGTGTGCCTTTTTGGAGGTTCTCCCTATGGGAGGGCCCCCAAGGGCCCCCAAATGGATAGCCTATCGCTTTAAGAAAATGCTAAGAAACTGTTTTATCTATCTATCTATCTATCTATCATCTATCATCTATCTATCTATCTGTCTATCTACAAGCAACATTTAAAATTGCCAGTTATGGAGATCACAAATGAAAATTTGTTTTATCTCTTTTTAAAGTTGTAAATAACAACTTCAGCTCTGACCAGTGAGAGGGCTAAAACCACTATTATTGCCAGGGACAGTCAGCAGCGGAGGAAGCCGCTCGGGCGCCTGGTGTGCGAGCTGACAATAGGGGAGAAAACATTAGGCACTTTATAATTAATATAAAAACCCTCTCCATAATTTCGTTTCTCTGCATTTACCTGTTGAATGTGCAAACTGACTCCATTGAGGGAAAACAATATTGCATTTGAAGCGTGGTAAAAGTCCCTTCTGTGGTGTCCATTCACCGGTGAAACGTATTGCTGGGCGTTGCAGTGATCTGGTGATGAATATTTGTGTGTCTACCAGTCCTTAAAGCAAACTACAAAACTAAATACTTGTGTCTGCACTAGTCATTTCTGAAATGGTCTTCAAGGATTGCCCCACTTACAGCGCATGGCAGTAATCCCACTCTGGAGGTTACCAGAGCATGGATAACGGGGGCAAGACTGTCCTGGTTCAGGAACAGCAATGGCTGGCAAGAAGCACTCTTGGGTCTTTTTACACAAGCACAAACCCAGGTTGCAGCACGTGTGCCTTCAAGAGGGAGCTGCAAGCAGCTTTATGATGAGTGTAAGGTAAAGGTAAAGGGACCCCTGACCATTAGGTCCAGTCGTGTCCGACTCTGGGGTTGCGGTGCTCATCTCGCTTTATTGGCTGAGGGAGCCGGCGTACAGCTTCCGGGTCATGTGGCCAGCATGACTAAGCCGCTTGTGGCGAACCAGCGCATGGAAACGCCGTTTACCTTCCCGCCGGAGCGGTACCTGTTGATCTACTTGCACTTTGACGTCCTTTCGAACTGCTAGGTTGGCAGGAGCAGGGACCGAGCAACGGGAGCTCACCCCGTCACTGGGATTCGAACTGCTGACCTTCTGATCAGCAAGTCCTAGGCTCTGTGGTTTAACCCACAGCACCACCCACGTCCCTATGCTGAGTGTACCTTACGACAAATGTCAAACAGAAATTCAACAGGTGAAGCTTTCACCAGAATGCAAAGGTGGTGACAGAGTTGGGAAAATTTTGCTTGCCGTTTAAAAGTAGGAGCCTGCCAGAAAGAAAGAAAAAAGGCAAATCTTCCTATATAAATGGGACTTCAAGACCACGGCATCCATTTTGGCTCCTCTGCCACTTGGCCCCCTCCTCTTCCTCACTGCCAGCTATTAGCTGCTTTCCCCCTGGTGGCAAGAGAGACAGAGAGACGCAGCAAGGGGGATGGGGAACCTGTGTCTCTCCAGATGCTGCAAGGACTACAACTCCCATTAGCCCTGACCCTCGGCCATGCTGGATGGGGCTGAAGGGAACTGGAGTCCAGCAACACCTGGAGAAACACTATGATTAAGATTTTGCTGGTGTTTGTGTAATTGATCAATATGGTAAACCGGCTCAAATATATTTAATCAGTTAACACATGCAGACTATAAAGTAAAGTACAATGGATAATTTATTAGTGCATCAGATTCTATGTACTTTGTATTATATCAAGGCAGTCCCAGGCTTGGCTGCTTCTCAGCACCCAAGATTTATCAATGTCCAGTAGTATGTCCAGAACACAAAGCAACATCTTGTCTCTAAGGATGGCATGTTCAGCGCCTCCTCTGACATCAGTAGCCCATGGGCAAGTCCAGAGTCCAGCCAAGACTATGGGGAAGCTTCCTGTTGCAACCATCTGTAAAGCCACAGGAGGCCCTAACAGGTCCATAGTTTCCACCACCAAGCAGAGATGCTCCAGGAAGGAGCTGACGGACACACGCAGAATCCAGGCTTCATCTGCTCTCCATCGACTGCAAAAAAATAATATATATATATTTTGTATAGAATGAAACATAAAACGTCAACACTACACTTAACAGTCCAATGAACATGCCACTCCTGCCAATTCAGTGGTACCTTGGGTTACATACGCTTCAGGTTACATACACTTCAGGTTACAGACTCCGCTAACCCAGAAATAGTGCTTCAGGTTAAGAACTTTGTTTCAGGATAAGAAAAGAAATCGGGCTCCGGCGGCGCAGCAGCAGGAGGCCCCATTAGCTAAAGTGGTGCTTCAGGTTAAGAACAGTTTCAGGTTAAGAACAAACCTCCGGAACAATTTAAGTACTTAACCTGAGGTACCACTGTATCCTCATTCTATTCCAGTCCTTGAGCTTCCCTTTTACTCTTGGCAGACACTGGGTACCTGGTCCAATACATTTTGAGACCAGAAAATATACTGTCTCAATTAATTTATTCTTATCAAAGCACCAACTGAATGCAAAGGACTCAACAGAGAGGAAGGGAGGAATTATTCTTATTATCTATAAAATAATATTTATTAATAGTTTCAGAATTACAGAAAAAAAATAAAAAATAAAAAAACACTACAATACATAGAAAAGAAGAAAAAAAGCAAAACATAAAAACCAATACAACAATACAGCAAAAAGATAAAAAAAGAAGAAAAAAGACACAAATCCCATATTACATATCTCTAACTTCCATTTGCTTGTTTCATTGACCTCCTCACACCTCCCTTTTTGTATTCTAGTTTAATTAGTTATTTCAGCAAATTCTTTCCATCTTTCTCAATTTTTATTAAATGATTTATCTTAACAATTTAACCTATTACTTAACAAATCCTTTCCATCTTTTCCCCATATTCTGTTATTCAAATTACCTTAATTTATTTAACCTTATCTTACCGTAAAATACCTTAGAGCTTGAAACTCAATTATACATAACTCCTGATATCATTTCTACTAGAGCCATATAGTTTCATTCCAACATTTTCCCTAATATTCATTAATTTTAGGCTAATTCCCTAAATAAAAATTTTTCTTTATAAATTTTCTTCCAATCTTCATCCAACGTCTCTTCTTCCTGGTCTCGGGTCATGTCAGTCCTTACTGTCCATTCCATCTAGTCCATCAACCTGGTAGTCTTATGTCCGAGGCCCTTAAGTCTCTTCCATGTCCCTTCTGCAGATCTTCTTCTTCTTGTTTATACCTGCACTTTTCCTTGTCTTTTGTTGGTCTCTTTCTTAATTTCTTTCCTTTCTCATTGAGGAGTAGGTCTCTGGGAGGTTCCAACCCAAAATTATCTCCGTCTCCCTTCATCAAACCAGCCCATTCCCCACAGTCCCACTCCCCACAGTCATCAATGTAATCCAAAAAATATTTAAGAGCATATTTCAAAGTCTCTCCAAAGTTAAGAACCTCCTCAGCTCCAGACTCCCCCTGGCCCACTCCAACTTCAATCTTCAAAGACAGCGGCTTATGCTCCTGTAGGGCCTCGGGTCTCTCCATTTGTATTATTTGAGGTGCAACCGCAACCTCCTCCATTATCTTCTGCACTTGCCCAATCAATACAGGTTCCTGATTTGGTCCCTGAATGGTTTATGTATCAATATTCCCTGTTTGTCCACAGTTATTGACCACAACAGTCATCAAATCCATTTTCTCATTCATCAAATCCACCTTCTCATGCATCTGTTCCAACAAAGCACTTGTCTTGCATAAAGCAAGCACCAAAACTTCCTCCCAGCTCATATTTAGTCAAGGTCAAAAGGACTGGTCCCACGATCTTAATCTCACAGCTGTAGAGTCCTCAAGTATACTGCAGCAACAATTTAGCAAGCTCCCTCTAGAGGAGACAATTTCTATTTGTATCCATCTTTTTAAGGCAAGTCCAACAAAGGAAAATTACTTTCATTTTTCAGATATTTTGTTTCTTTAGAATGCAAAAGGCAACATTGGAATCAGTTTATTTCTCTTCTTTAGCTATCTGTCAAAGTATTCCATTCACAGTCAATGAACCTCTCCAACAATTTCTGTCTCTGACACCCCGTTCCCAGGTTAGAGACGGTGGAAACTTATCTTTCTTCACTCCCTCTCCTGCAGGCATTAAACAAAGTCCCCCCCCCCTTTTCTCCTGCTTCCAAGGGGGTTTCAGTAGTTATAAATGAAGGAAATTTAGACTTTTTTAACGACTTTCCAGGCTTTAGCTTACAAGGTTTTTGCTTCAGTCTATGTACAAAAAGCGGAAGGCGGACTTCCTGTTTTGAACCTTCCCGCTTCGGTGCCAAATTAAGATATTTCTTGATCCAATTTTCCGTTTCTACTCACGGGTACTTGTTTTAAATCCAATTGTCCACAGGAAAAAGTCAGCGCTCTCCGGCAATGGCTATGCGGCTTCACTCCGTGAAAGTAGCAATCAGTTAGCAGCACTGCGCCGCTTACCCCACTTCACTCCGGAACCCCGAAATGGGGTTCCCCGTGAGTAGGGGGGGCGCTCCTGGTGCCCTGCCAAACCCCACGTTCCCAGGCTTCCTCCGCCTGGGATTTCTAGCGGGTCCCCACCTTCGCCGCGGCGGGAAGACCCAGTTTCCACGGAGCCAGTTCCTCCGGTCGGAGGAACTCCGCCATTCGCTGATGGCGCTAACCCGGAAGTCCGAATTATTCTTATTATCCTCCTCCTCCTCTATATAGTATCATCAGCATGTGTAGCACTTTGCAGAAAATACGAGGGGAGAGATCTCTGCCCTGACGGGCTTACAGTGCTCAGGTTTAGTTAGAGGCCTGGCTGCTGCAGTGTCCCTGCTCCAAGGGCTTCATGGGAAAGGTGATGGGAGGGAGGGCTTGAAGGAAATGAGGAGGATGCACAGGAGTTCTGAGAAGTACCAGGCATATGGGGCCCCAGGGAGGAAAAGGCAGAGTTGTTTCGGGGAACAGGAGACGTCTAGAGGTTGAAGAGCGAAGATCACAGGCAGAGATGTCTCGGGATACAAGAATGCTGTCCTAAGGATGGGAGAGCATGGCCACAGAGGGCTCTGAAGGCAAGAGCAAGGCGTTTGTGATACATCCGAGGGATGAGCATCGTGTTATCGGAGTGGTGAGAGAGATGAATGATTTTGGCAGCTAAGTCAGCAAGGGGAGACAACAGAAGGTCAGGGTGCAGAAAGGGCCCAACTCAGTAGGAGAGCAGCCACTTTGCATGCAGATGGTCAATCCCTGGTATGTCTGGGAGCTACGCCTGTCTGGCCACCTGAAAAACTGCAGATGGTGCTAAATGGATGGTAGGCAGATTCCTACGTCGCCAGGAAGTTGTCCTGTGTGCAGAAGCACACGGATCAAAACACACATCTTGCTCAGCACCCCACTTTATTTTACTTGCACCCCACTCTTCCTCCAGGTAAAGGTAAAGGTACCCCTGCCGGTACGGGCCAGTCTTGACAGACTCTAGGGTTGTGCGCTCATCTCACTCTAGAGGCCGGGAGCCAGCGCTGTCCGAAGACACTTCCGGGTCATGTGGCCAGCATGACAAGCTGCATCTGGCAAGCCAGCGCAGCACACGGAAACGCCATTTACCTTCCTGCTGGTAAGCGGTCCCTATTTATCTACTTGCACCCGGGGGTGCTTTCGAACTGCTAGGTTGGCAGGCGCTGGGACCGAGCAACGGGAGCGCACCCCGCCGCGGGGATTCGAACCGCCGACCATGCGATCGGCAAGTCCTAGTCGCTGAGGTTTTACCCACAGCGCCACCCGCGTCCCACTCTTCCTCCAAGTTATGCGCAAAACAACCCTGCACGAATAAGGTCACACCAAAATAGAAAAAATAGGCTATTACATATAGCTGAAATACACACAAATTCAAATGTTCATCTAATTAAATGAAAAAATTGTTTTCTGTAATTCACATTTCAGAACTGCCAGTGGTAAATGACACAATGTCCAGTAATGTAACTGGATCAAAAAAATCATGATTCATTACTTACACTGGCAATATCACAGTTTGACTTTTTATTTTTTAGATTTTTTAAAATGGGGGTTGTAAAACTGGTTCTTACAAAGGAATTTACAGTTTGTGGAGAATATTCTCCGGAGAATTTTCTAGCAGAGAATATTCTCGAGAAAATTTTCATTCTCGAGAATATTCTCCGGAGAATAGTCTCACCTCACATCACTAGACTCAAGGCGGCTTACACATTCCTTTCAGGAGTTTAGTTGTCAGATTTCCGCAAGAGTCTAGCCACTGGGGAGCAGAAGGCTAGGCCCCCATTTCCCAGCCTTCTTATTGATTTGCTGCCAAAACATAGTCCCATACTAGTGTTCCATGCCAGCCCAAGCTCCACAAGTGGTGCAAGATTCCAGGGGTTGCAGGTGTGCTTCCCAGGGTCTGCGTTCCCTTTTGGGACAGTGAGGCACAGCAGAGACTGTAGTGCCTTTGTGATACATGGCTTTACAGTGGTACCCTGGTTCCCAAACACCAAAAACCCGGAAGTAAGTTGTTCCAGTTTTCCAACATTTTTTGGAAGCTGAATATCCAATGTGACTGTCAGCTATTGTTTCTGGGGCGCCTGCACCAGTCAGAAGCTGTGCCTTGGTTTTCGAACATTTCAGAAGTCAAATGGACTTCCAGAACAGATTAAGTTTGGCACTTTGTTTTTGCTATTTATTTTGCATTTTTGTTTCTGAGGCTTTTTCCGTTAATTTGTTTTTGTGATTGTGGGGAACCCAGTTCAGCTACTGATTGATTGATTGTGTGACTGCAGAAATGGATAAAAGCCCCCCATGCAAACAATGACTATCATCAGTGCAGGTAAGGAAAAATAATAATTTTAATCTCTATCATCTATAATACTGTCTTATTTGTTTTATAGTACAGTACATTCATTGATTATTGCTTTCATTTTATGGATCAATGGCCTTGTTAGATAGTAAAATTCATGTTTAATTGCTGTTTTAGGGGTTGTTTTTAAAAGCCTGGAACTGATTAATCCATTTTGCATTACTTTCTGTGGGAAAGGGCACCCTGGTTTTGGAACATTTTGGTTTTGGAAGGGACTTCCGGAATGGGTTAAGTTTGAGAACCAAGGTACCACTGTATTTACACATAAATACAACCTGCACCGAGATGGAGGGATTGCAGAACATTAATAATAATAATTTATTATTTATACCCCGCCCATCTGGCTGGGCTTCCCCACCTCTGAGGGTCTGGGTTCCCCCTTAAGGGGGGGATGCAAAGGACAGCAAAAAGCCATCATCTGTGTCTCTTAGTTCCAGCCTGCCATTCCCAGCTCACCTGGAGGTCCGCCCCTCCTTCTCCTTGCTGCTGACTCCAAGGACATCCCTCCAGCCTATGTCATTCAAAGTTGAAACCTGAAACCTGGCCTTTCCTCTGCCCACTAGCACCCCATCAAAGCAGGGGTCCCAGTACCCCATGCCTGGCAGTCTTGCCCTCTGATGGTTTCCTTAAAGGTTCCTGCCTTAAATCCATACTTAATCTACAATTGGCCAGGTTTATTGACTTCTTATCAGCCATTGTTGTTAGGAGGATCAGTTCTCAAATCCAGCCTTCTTCTCTCCTACTTCCCCAGCAAAAAAACAGCAATGAACAAATCTCTTAAACTTTTATCTTTTGTTTAATCAATGAAAGGAACGATTCTAAAAACAAAAACAAAACAGATTTGAAGCACATTCCTCTCCTTAAAGAATTCTGGGCGCTCTAGTTGTAATTCTCAGCAACCATTAATAAACTACAGTGCACATTATTCTTGGGGGAAATAATGTGCTTCGAATGTGCTTTGAAAGTATAGTGGGTGCACAGACACCCCAGCCCAGAAAAGAGAGAGGACATAGGAGGACGAGAGCTGCTTATGAAGAGGTTCCTTCCTGGCACTGAAGGTATTTTGCCTTGTAGTTAGTAAGAGGTCAGTGCACACAGTACATCCTTTACATCAAGGATGGGCAACTTGTATCTGTTAAGGACTGTATATGGCTGAAACCTATCTATTTGTTCTCCAGCAGCTGGATTGAGGATCTCTGACCATGGTTGGATCCAGGGGTTTTTTCCAGCTGGAACTTGAAGGAACTCAATTCTGGCATCTCTCAGGTGGGCACCATTGCCATTCTAAGTGAATGAAGGATGTGTTCATGGTGAGTTCTGGCACCTCTTTTTCTTGGAAAATAGCACTGGTTGTCTCTGCCTTGCAGTCACCAAAGTAGGCTATCCTCTTTGTCCAATCCAGGATCTTTATTTACACTACAGATTATAATCAGAATCAATATCAACTCAACTCTACAAAGGAACCCAAGCAGTTGCGATCGGTAGCGATCATTCCGGAACGCCAGTGAAAGCAGCTGGGAGCAAGGTGGGTTGCTGGCAACATCCCAGAGAAGAAAGTGCTGTTGCAGCCCTCTGCTTCCCGCAGCGCAGGAGCCAGCTTCATTCCCCCGCAACAAAATATTGGAGGGGGCTGTCCCCCCCCAAAGTTGATGGGCATTGCCATTCAAATGGTGTGTACGCACCATGTCATGTAGTTGGTTATGCAGGACGGGGCATACCTTGCCCACCCCCCATATTTTATTCAAGTTGGCACCCCTGTCCCGCAGTTGTTTTCCAACATCCTCAGGCCGGTTTGCAACCTCGGCCTCGACCAAGGAAGCCCTTCAGGCCAGGGACCAACTCCCTGCACCGCCTGAGAAGGAAACTGGAGGAAGTTCAAGCTGAGATGCAAAGATCCTCAGCAGACGGCCAAGTGGCTGCCCTGCCTGCCGTCCAGGGCAAGGTCTGCTGCCCGCCCGCCCGCCCGCCCTTCGTGGGGGCCCTGGTCCATGAAGCCGGGATGCCGGGGAAGTGCTCTCTGCCCTCCCGTGGAGAGCAGTGGCTTCACCTCCGGCCAGGCGGGCTTACTTGGGGTGGCTCCTCTCGAAGAGGGCACCAGCGAATAATGGTGCTGGTGAGGGAAGAACCAACCACGACCCCCGGGGCCCTCTTGCCTTGTTGGGGGCCCCGCGGAGAGACTGTGCCCTCTTTTGGCTCGCCTCGGGTCTGCGCGGCGCCTCGGGCTTCCCCGGCGGAGGCTGGGCGGGCTCCCGGGCTCCCCCGCCCCGGGGCGGCGCCCTGGCCGGCCCGCGACAGGTAAAGGCCCTGACCGGGCGGGCGGGCGGGCGGCGGCGCCAGAGGAGGGCGAGCGGAGCGCGCCATGCGGGAGACTTTCCTGCGCTGCCCTCTGCGCACGGCGGCCGGGCGGGTGCTGGTGTCTCTGCCGCCGGGCGGGGAGTTCCTGCTGGGCACGCCGGAGCTGGTGGGCCGGACGAGCGGTGAGTGTCCTGGGCCCGGGATCCCGGGGGTCATCTAGCGCAACCCCCGGCGGGGGGGCTTCGGGGCGGCCGCCTTTCTCGAAGACGGGGCCGCTTGTCGGGGTCTTGATTCTTCAGGTTTCCATCAGGGTTTGAGGGGCGCCCGGTCTCTCTTCCTTAACACCATATATCTGAAGCAGAACACACACATTCACCCCCAAATTCTGACACTGGTTTTCTCCCCACAAAGCTACAGGTCCCAGAATTCGGGGGCGCGGGGGGTGTATGTGCTTTAACGAGATGCTGTGGATGCAGCCTAAGGCTGCGATCTTGTATACACTCTGGAGGGAGTAATCGTCACTTCATTTATGGGATTTACTTCTGAGTAGATTTACACAGGCTTGCTCTATCCAGTGTACTTGCCACTTTGTAAAGGTGAACGTTGGTAGTATTCCATAATTATGGCCTTTCCGGGGACTCTTGTTTGCTTTAAAATCACTTTCAATGCTGAAAACAACCGGTAGGAACTCCACTGTGTGACAGTTGCCTGGGGGGAGGAGCAGTGTCGGATTTACTATGAGCTATACAAGCTGTAGTTTGGGGCCCCCAAAAAATGTAGAGGGAAAAACAACTGGATGTACATTTCCAAAATATAATGGCTTTAGATACCTATTAGGTATCCATAAATTACCATATAGCATATATTCAACACAAAAAACAGTGACAATTGTTGTTGACAAAGGACAGCTGGACACATAAAGGGCCCCATTACCTTCAGGAGCTCCTTAGGGCCACATCAAACCTAAATCCAGCCTTGGGGTGGGGGTGGGGGGTGGTTCTGTAGCCAAAGTCTGGCAGGAACATTTCCCACTCCTGCCTAGGTTTTGCAGAGAAAAGATGTGACATTGTTGACAAGGCTGCCCCATTTTAGGAACAGAGGAGCCTGCCTTGTATCATGTCAGACTCTTTGTCCATCCAGCCCAGTTGTGCCTCCTCTGACTGGCAGTGGCTCTCTGGGGTCTCAGACAGAAAGGTATTTCCATCACTTACTACCTAATCCTGCTTAAACTGCAGGGAAGGAAACCTGGGACCTTCTGCTTGTACTCTGCCCCTGGGCTGCACTCTCTTCCACCAGCAGACTTTGCTTCTCCCTCTTCCCCCAGTTGCATGGCAATAACTTCAGGGTTTGCCACATGCATATCCCGAAGGATAAGTAACCAGAGATGCTTGTAAGTAGAGGTCCCGCTGTATTCATGTTAACGCAGTACTAATTATTTTAATGTTTTATTAAGGGTAATGCTGTTCCATCCTCTGAATGCAGTTAGTCTTGGTTAATATTTGCCCTACCTTTCCGGGTAAACAAGACAAATTATCTCTCCACTCTTAGGACCAGAATAGTTTCCTCACTGAGGTTAATCATTTAACACAGGTGGATGTGGAAAGAATGCATGCAGACTCACTAAAGGAACGCAGGGCCAGAGGTGTGTGAGAGTAACTCCTATTTCCAGGGTTCATGTTGAGAGTGCTGTTTTGTTTTACAGCCAAAACAGCACGAACCATGCATGAGACAGGTGTCAGTAGACATGGGGAGGATGGGACAATGTGAAGTTTATAGAAGTACGAAAACAATAAGAAACAAATAGAAAAAAGCAGTAAGGACCCCCAACAGCCCAGTGAGAACTGAGCTCCTTAGTGGTCATGGATTGCAGTCCAACTCGCAAGTGTATATGTGCAAATGTGTGGGAAATCAAGAGGACATTGAATGGAAGAGGTGGAATCCTGAACAGGGAGCACTCCACACAGACCAACATTTTGTTTTAGGTCTCACTCATACTTCCCTTTTTGAAAAGTCTTGTATATGTGTGTTTGCAATGTGAGAGTTAAAAGCCCTTTTATACTGAGGAGTGAAAATTCATTTCAGTGGGGCTTGAGCAGGAGTAGATCCTGGGGGTTTTGTTTTATAAAGGAGTAAATCTAGTTGTCACCTGCATGCATATTATATTGTATTTCATTGCTTATTATGTTTGTCAATAGATCCCTTTGTGTGGGATCCCTTTGTGTGGGATCCCTTTGTTGGGATCCCTTTGTGTGCATGCTCTCTGGCGTGACTCTCATGCTCTCTCACAACTATCCTCTAGGGCAGGATAGAAGTAATAATACTGAGAATTTTATAGAGAACATTTTAAGATTTCAAAGTGTGTTTGTTTTATCTGTAATCCTTTCACCAGCCCTGTAAGGCGGGTCAATATTATTCCCACCTTGCAGATATAGAGGTGGCTGAGGCTGTGAAAAGAATGGATTGTCTAAGATCACCCAGTACATTTATTGAAAAGGGTGATAGCTGAATTGGGGAAGCTTTCTAGCTCACATCCTTATCCATTATATCAGTTAATTTTACTCATTTCACAGATTGGGAAAAGAAACTGAGAAAAATTCGGTTTACTTAGTACTATCTAGAGAGTTTGTGTAGCAGATCTTGGTCTATATAAAAAAGTATCTACTATAGCTTATGAACTTTCTCTGCAGATGTAAAGATTAAAGGTAAAGGTAAAGGGACCCCTGGCCATTAGGTCCAGTCGTAGCCAACTCTGGGGTTGAGGCGCTCATCTCGCTTTATTGGCCGAGGGAGCCAGTGTACAGCTTCTGGGTCATGTGGCCAGCATGACTAAGCCACTTCTGGCAAACCTGAGCAGCGCATGGAAACGCCGTTTACCTTCCCGTTGGAGCGGTACCTGTTGATCTACTTGCACTTTGAGGTGCTTTTCAACTGCTAGGTTGGCAGGAACAGGGACCGAGGAACGGGAACTCACCCCGTTTCGGGGATTCAAACCGCCAACCTTCTGATCGGCAAGCCCAAGGCTCAGTGGTTTAACCCACAGCACCACCCGCGTCCCTATGTAAAGATTATTTAGCTTTAAATTTTTTTATGGAGGATAGGGTTATGGACAGCTGTCATGACAGCTGAATACAGTCCCCATGTACAGAGTGTAGCAGGCGGTAGGCAGCCTTCCCTGTCCTGATGCCCTCTAGTCATTGTTGGACTACAACTCCCATCATCCTTGACCCTTGGTCAGGCAGAATGGGGCCAACATCTGGAGGATGCCAGGTTGGAGGAGAAGGCCACAGTCAAGGGTAAGTTGTTTCTTTCTTGCTCTGCAGTCTGCTTGTGAACTTCCAAGGCTGGGCACTGTTAGAGTGCTGGAATAGATCAACCCTTTAGTTTGATCTGTATTATATAGTTGTTATATATTTGGATGGGGAAGATGGATAGAAGGCTTCCAAAAGGTGAAACATCTATCTAAGCCATGTATAAACTGCCTGTTCCTCCTTAGTGGCATTTTGCTTTCAGTCTATGATTCTAAACTAGTTTCAGAATCAGAACAATGCATGCAATTGGAAGCTCTTGCAGAATAAGAAAACATTTTCTATCCTGTGTTGCAATTTTGTTTGTCCTCCGCTTCCCACCTTTGTGGAAGCTTTGCTCTAGGGTGGCTGAAGAACAAGCTGCGGGGTTCACTGCAGGAATTGCAGGGTCGGATTACTGCAGCATGGCTTTCACTAAAGGTCACACTAGCCTCCTGGCAGGAATTTTTATTCACATCTGAGTGAAACAGGTCAGTTTACTAACATACAAAGGTCATTCAACTCACCTAACAAGGCTTGGAAGTTGGAATAGCTAGTTCCTCTCACTGTTGCTGGTATTCTTGCTATCCAGCAAGAAATCAGGACTGTTGGCATCCTTTGATCTTAACATTTCCCCTGTCCCTCCATTCTTAAGCAAGTGGCATCTGATTAGAAGATTGAACTGAAGAGGAACATTGTTTGTGAAAGAGCCAAGTGAGGTGGAATTGGGGTTAGCTCAGTGCTGCAAGTGATGGGGCCAGGGCCGGTGGCTTCCTGAAGGACCCCTAGATGTTCCCACTGACTCCTATGGGGAAATGAAATGCTGCATATGTCAGCTGTTGCATTGAAGGGACCAGGTCTTCACAGACAGACCTCTTGGAAGTTCTCAGTGACACTGTGTGGTTCCTATGGGCCCCCTCATTCTCTCAACCTGTCCCTGATATTTTGTTAGTCTTGAATCAGTAATAAAGTGCTCCCAGATTTATGTGGGTACTGAATCTCACAAACTTGTATACTGCATTATGACATTTATGATAATCTCACAGTATTTTGGGAGTTACACGTACTTACAGTTCAAAAACACATAATTATGAACAGTGCTTTTTTTCTAAAAAAATGTTTAGGAGTACTCTCATTTTCCTACTCATATTGAAATACTGCCCCTCAATGAGGCCAAACTTAGATTCACAAAATGTTTAGGAGTATGCGTACCCCCGCATCCCCCCCGAAAAAAGCACTGATTATGAAAGTGAAGTATGAAACATGCATTTCATCTTGTTGGAAAATGGCGTGTGACTAGGCCAAGCTTGGAAATCTGGACAGTTGAGGTCATTAGTGCTTCTTTGTGAGAAGATCATATTATATCTGCGTTAAAGGAGGAGAATACCTGTCTTTTGAGTAATTACCTGCCTAGAGTCTAATGAATAAATATTGGTCCTCTTTTTGGTGCCCTCAGTGAAGCTGAGTGCAAGTCAGCTTACACAACCATTTGGGTGTGTAGCAGCCATGGGAGTGGGGCTTTGTCTTTCAGCTGCCTCAGTCTGGAGCGAGCTAATCATGCACCACAAGGCAGTCATGCAAGGATCTCACTCTCAAGAAGGGCATGGTGGAGGTAACTCATCTTTTGTCTCTGACATACAGACACATGCCAGTAAAATGAAAGATCAATTTTTATTCATCAAGAATAACAGCCCTCAGTAAGCCAAACCTCCATGAACCTGTAAAATCCTCTTAAAAAGTTACCCGTGCTCGTAGTCACTACTATCATGACTCTCTGAGTGAGTGCTTGCCACAAGTCCTGCCGAGCCAAGCAGGATGGGGCAAGGGTAGAGGAATGGGAGGAGGAGGATTCAGAGCCGGGGGTGTGGCTGTAGACAGCTTGGGCAGGGATCAGAATGAGGGCCCTATCCCGGAGTTGCCAGATGTCCCAGAAGAGGAGGGAAGTCCACTGGGCCCATCTCTCCTTCGCCTCCAGAGACCCAGCCAGCTAATCAGTAGAGCCATCTGGGTCTGGGGTGGAGGAGGAGTCAGAGGGATGGACGTGAGTCCTATAGCCAGCTTCCCTCCCCCCAGCCCCTTAGGAAGTGTTAAGTTGCAGAGTCAATCTTCTTTTCATTTGGCACAAGAACCATGTGAGTGACAGGCTCTGCCTTGCTCCTTTAAAAGTTGAGCAGACAAGGCGGTCAGGTGTTGGGTCAACTGTATTCTCGTGTCTGCTAATGTACCCCTGGCCTCAGGGGTGTTCCTAAGAGGTGGCCCACTCTTTGCCCATCTATGCCCTTGCTTTAGCTGCAGGGCTTCTGCCTGCCAGCTGTTTTGGCTGTCTGGGCCTCTTCTTAGCATTCAGCTCTCTGCTGTTCCTTTTATCAGAAGAAGGAGTGCACTAAGCTGATGCTAGGAAGAGGCAGGCCTTCTTTCTACCACTATGGGGAAAGTGCTGCCGTGGGCACTTAAGTCTGGACCTGGGTTGACCTGAAAGCATGTTGTTTGTGCATGCGCTTCCCTTCCCTTGAGGCTGGTGCAGATGCCCTGGTGCAGAAGTGTAGGAAACTGAGGGGGTGGGTTTGGATGCTTGCCATTATGGGTGAGAGCTGGTGCTCAGAGAATGTGTCCCCTGACCATTCATATATATGTGGCTTTCTCGGTCACATCAGCTTCCTCTGCAGCAAAGACGTCATCGGTGCCACAACTGGTTATTCTAGTTGACCCCCTAGGGACTGTATAGGGTCTGAAAAGGTCCAGTTTGTTCAGTGCTTCATGGGCCTTTGACCAGAATTTTACTGGCCTGACCAGAGTTTTAAATTTCCTGGCCAGCTGAACTGGGAGCTATTAAAAGCCGGAAAAAAACGAGTGTCTGTGGCCCGATGGCTTGGCAGCTCTCCCTCCTGCTGTTGCTGATTTTTTACCTGCCTTCAAGTGTCAAGGCTGGCCTGAGGTGAAGGACAGGATGGCCTCTGCTATTCCAAGTACAGAAGCAGATTGGATTGAGGGTTCAAGGTTATTTCAAAACTTGTGATCAGGGGTGTCAACTTGAATACAATATTGGGGAGGCCAGGTAAGCCATGTCCCGCATAATAAATCACAAGACGCAGCACACATGCACCATTTGAATGGCAATGCCCATCAACTGGGGGGCTTCAGATATTTTATTGGGGGGGGAGGGACCTCACCTTGGCCCCTAGCAGTTGGCTCCTATGCTTGTGATGGGACAGCATCCGCTTTAGGGCAACGGACTGGCATTACTACTACTACTGTTTTATTTTATGTTCAGTTTCCTATATAGAAGGGGGAAAGGGGGAGAATACAAAATAGATAAAGCTGCAAAATTTAAAAAAAAATATCCAGGCCTAAAAACAAGAACATATTTCAAACAGAACAAATTGAAGTCATAAAGTTTCAAGTAACACAACTGGGTTTACATTATCTAGAACGTTTTTGCTCCAATAAATTATAAACACATGCCATTTTTTACACACAAAATGTTACCTGGCCAACTGCCTTCTCACCATACACACAATATCCCAGATGTTAATTATCCATTCTCAGTCATTTTCTTCCAATTAGGCTTCCTCAACCTTGGCCCTCCAGATGTTTTCAGACTACAATTCCCATCAACCCTGACCACTAATCCTGCTAGCTAGGGATCATGGGAGTTGTAGGCCAAAAACATCTGGAGGGTCGAGGTTGAGGAAGCCTGAATTAGAGAACATAGTATATTTCTGTCAGCCATCAATAAATGCTGTGTGCCAGTACTGTACCTTTAATATAGCTGAGTAACACCCACCTAGTGGATGCAGGGCAGCCTGTACGGCCCACACATCTGTCCTGCAGCTCCTTCTGCCTGAAGGAGCATCCTCCTCCTCTCCCTCCGCATGGTTTGTGGATTGGACTCTCAGAGGGAAAGGGCAAATAAATGAGCAGAGATGGTGAGCAGGGGGCCCCAGCATCCAGGAGCCAGTATACAGTCCTGGCATTCCTCCTGACAAGGGTGTTCTAACCTCCTCTCCCCCAGTGTGAAGAAGGACAACAAGGACAACTGTGAAGTACTTTGCAATGGCCAGCCAAGACCCAGGAGAGTAAGTGGGCAGTTGAGTCATACAGCACAGGAATTTTGCATATCTGCAATCAAGAGCCCTTTGCTTGCAGTCTGGTTCTGAAAGAGAGTGAGAGAAGGTGGAGTCAAGGGTTTCTAACCCATCAGCACTTGCTCAGCACCTGCGCCCTCTGAATAATGGATCTCCCCTCTCCCCAGGTCAGGGATTCTGCATTCCAGTCCAGGAGATGGTTGCTGTAAGGCTTGGGGCTACCAGGGATGGAGAGGAGGATCCTCCAGAGGCTGAAAGCTGTTTCACAGGTGAGCAGGATAGAGCAAAGCAGGAAGCTTCATAGGAACCTGTATGGGCAGTTTTATGCTACAGAACATGGCATGCAGCCTCAAAAGTCAAATATGAAAGTTACTGTAAATCTTGGGTGGAAGGTCCAAACAGTAGAGCTCACTTCTGGGGGTACAATACCTTTGGTGGCGTTCGGAATAAGGTTGGATGGACATCAGTCAGGGATTCTTTATGTGGGACATGCTATTTCTGGTGAAGAGCTATTGGACTAAGATGGGCCTTTTGCCACCTTTCCTCCCCTGTGTGCTCCCCAAATTGGCTCGCTGGGTTTTAGCACTGTGCTTAGTTCCTCCCCAGATGTCCCATTGCTCTCTTCCTAGTTCCATGGTACAGTGAATTTTATAACTGCTATGAACTCCTGCCCACCTGATCATTGATTTAAATTTAAGTTTCTAGTCTTTACGGCAGTAAGGGGGGGGGGAAAGAAAAAGTTATATTTCTGCCACATAGAAGAGGGTGGAGCCTTGATTAACCATAGAAATAGAACTTCTTTACTCTAGGCATCTTCCTGGTTCTACTGTTTCCAGTCCTTGACTCTCAGTCCTGTCAGGGAGGAGGATTGAGAGGTAATCTCAATAGCCCCTCTCTTTCTTCAGACTGTGAGCAGGAGTTATACAACTATGTATACATATGGAAGTAAATGTATATACTATTTCCAATGAAAAATGTGTAATTAATGCCCCAGGCCATCTCCTGTATGCTCCACAGCTTTTAAGGGTTGGGCCACAGGAGGCCTCTCCCTCTTGGCTTCTCAAGATCCCACACCAGCCCTCTTGTCCATCAGTCTTTCTCACTTCCTCTTTCCCCTTCTTCCAGTTTTCTTTGTGCAGCGGGAGAAGCAAGAGTGTTGGCGCCTGGGGATGCTGGAGTTCACTGCCCCTCCCAAGTCTCAGCTGGCAGTACGCTGGGTCAATGCCCTACAGAGCTGGATCCATCACCACGGTCAGTTCTCAGGTGGCAGTGGAAAGGGCTGGTAAAGATGGTGCTTTCCTTTTGGATGGAAGCCTTCAGAGACAGGCCATGGTTGCCATGACAGAGGAAGGTTGCTCCTGAGAGCAGGGCTTAGTTTTCAAGAGGAGAGAGACAGCAAGGCCCTCCCAGTGTGTGTGTTTGGTGGGGACTGTGGTAAGTAAGTAGTAAGGGAAGGTGGGCTTTCTTCATGAGCTTGAAGGCACTCATGATGGCTATTTCAGCTAGTTCAAGGCTGGACTCTGGTTTGGATTATTAAGTTTTGGAGTTTTGACAGTGACTTTAAATCAAGTCTCCACCCCTCTCATGTATGGACACTGAGCAAAATGATAGCTAAACGGGACCCCATGCTCAGAAGCGATGTACCTCTGAATACTACTTTTTTGGGGGTGGGAGGCAACATTGGGGAGGACAGTTTTTTCATGACTTGAATGTGTGCTTCACATGACTTGAATGTGTGCTGATTGATGCTTGGCTAGATGGGCCTTTGGTCTCATCCAAGAAAGTTCTGATGTTTTTTGTCCCTCTGCTTCAGGAGTTACACGGCCCAAGAGCCTCCTTGTCTTCATTAACCCGGTTGGGGGACGCGGGCGAGCAGTGGAAATCTACCAGGGTCAGGTGGCCCCACTCTTCACCCTTGCCGGGATCCATGTTCAAGTTCTGGGTAAGTCCCATTTCTCTTGACCATCACTCTCCTGCTTTCTCTGTGACACGGGCCTCTTCCCCATTCCCAGTGACATGACCTCTGACCTTCTCTGCACCTTCCCAGAGACCTGCCATGCCAACGAGGCTCGTGACTACATCCTGCAGCAAGACCTCAGTGACTTTGATGGGTAAGGACTAGCCAGCATCTAGGATGGCCACTTTTGCATCACCAAAAAAGAGGACAAAGGAGAACATATATGTTAATTTATACGTATTGATTTAGAAATACTTACAGCTTAAATAGAAATATCAAGGGAAGACTGTGACCTGGTGATCTGTTTGCCTGTTGAATCTGCTATCTAGCTACTAAATGCCCTCCTCATTAGCATTCTTTATATTGCCAGACTTGGAATGGAGAGCTCTTCAAATTGAGAACTTTCCTCTGTAAAAAAGGACATATTGTCACCTTACCTGCATCTATGTTCCCTGCTGTCTTGATGACCCTCAGCATCCTGCTTTGAGACCCCACTAGAAGTCCACCGACATTGTGTGCTCAGATCAATCTAGGGCATAAATTCTATGGAATCCAGAGCAATCTGCTACAAGTGGACACCAGGAGTCCTGCAGAAAAGTGCTTGCAGGCCTTGTGATGGGTCAGACTGGGCCGTGGCTGTGCTTCTGGGGTGTGTCTGTAGCTGTGGTGGGTCCCAACAGAGGCCCCACAGCAGAGGGGGAGGTCCTGGCCCAGTCGCTGCTGCGGCGCTGAAGAGTGGAGGCCAAACAGCACACACAACATGACACAACCATGATATTTTTTCAAATATTCTACAAAATATTTCCATTCTTCAAGTTTTTTTCCTATTCTGTTCTTTAATTCTCACAGTCTAGCCCTCTCAGCACATTCCATTATTTTCATAAGCCATTCTTCTTTCCAGTTTTGTTCATAGACTATTCTTGCTGCCATCGTAACATACATAAACAAATTAAACAATTCCTTCAGAAGCTCTGATCCAATTAAACCTAACAGAAAGGCCTCAGGTTTATTGGAAATCATCACTTTAAACATTTAAAAAAACTCATTATACTTCATTTCCCAATAACCTTTCGCCTTTCTGCAGGTCCACCACATATGAAAAAAGTTCCACCCAACATTTTACACTGCCAAAAGGTACTTGATTTACTCTTATACATTTTTGCAATCTTATACGGTGTTAAGTACCATCTATACATCATCTTCATATCATTCTTTTTTAATGTACAGTGGTGCCTTGCAAGACGAAAAGAATCCGTTCTGCGAGTCTCTTCGTCTTGCGGTTTTTTCGTCTTGCGAAGCAAGCCCATTAGCGGTTTAGCGGATTAGCGCTATTAGCGGCTTAGCGGGCTTAGCGGATCAGCTGATAAGCGGCTTAGCGGCTTAGCGGATCAGCTGATAAGCGGCTTAGTGGCTTAACGGATCAGCTGTTAAGCGGCTTAGCGGATCAGCTGATAAGCAGCTTAGCGATCAGCTGTTAAGCGGCTTAGCGGCTTGGGAAAAAGGGGGGGGGAAAGGAAAAAAACCCCGCAGGAACTCGCAATACATTTTCGTCTTGCGAAGCAAGCCCATAGGAAATTCGTTTTGCGAAGCACCTCCAAAACGGAAAACCCTTTCGTCTAGCGGGTTTTCCGTCTTGCGAGGCATTCGTCTTGCGGGGCACCACTGTATAATAGACTGTAAATTTTAATTTAACTTTCCAGAGCTTCTCCCAAGTGGCAAATTCTATATGATAGCCCTGGTCTCTTGCCTATTGTATCATAACTACCGTATTTTTCGCTCTATAACACGCACCTGACCATAACATTCACATAGTTTTTAGAGGAGGAAAACAAGAAAAAAAATATTCTGAATCAAATGTTATACTAAATTATTTAATAAACAACCAGTATATCAGAATCATATTACAACCATGTAAAGTGAACAGCAGTCAACAGTGGCATTAAGAAACATCATCACTGTCATTAACAAATGAAGAGAGAATTTAGCTGCAGTCTGTGAGATGGGGCTTACCTGTACGTGCCCCCCCCCAATATTTTATTGAAGTTGGGAGGGAGGGAAGGAAGAGAGATGGAGAGCTCACATTTGTCCTAGGCAAAGCAGCCAACTCCTATGGGCCTAGGTGCCTTCACCCCCCATTAAATATTTGAGGGAGTCATCCCCCACCCCTCATTGTGGTATGTGAGGTGGGGCTTACCTGGCCGCCCCCCAATATTTTTTGAAGTTAGAAGAGGGAGGGAGGGAGGGAAGGAAGGAAGAGAGAGGGGGAGCTCACATTTGTGCAGCTGCCTTGCCTCGCTGGAACCGGAGCAAAAAAGAGGAGGAGACGCAGGGGCAGGAGCCTTGTAAGCCGCTTTGCTTGAATTTACCAGTGAGGTGCTGGGGGAGGGACCGAAGGGGATGCCCTCTTTGTCCCTCCTTCCGGCTTATTGTAAAGAAAGCAGAGTAAGCGGCTCTCCCTTTCCTTGAATTACAGTCAGCCCATCAGACTATAAAGTCACCTCGCCAAAAAGCCATAGAGCAGGCAGACACGCTGCGTGCACCTCTTGTTTGAAAGACTGCTGAGCAGAGTGTCAGCAGCTCTTGCCGGCTTCCCAGCGAGCCGGAGGAAGGGAGGTTGCTTTCCTTCTCCCGCCTCGCCGAAAAGCCAGCAAGAGCGGCTCCTCCCGCCTGCATTCGCTCCATAACGCGCACACACATTTCCCTTTACCTTTTTTTTTGGGGGGGGGAGTGCGTGTTATGGAGCGAAAAATACGGCACTTTAACCATTTTGTCCTTTCCATTCCAGAAGTATTCTATACATTTTCAAAATTAACTTCTCATATTTGTCTAACAAATTCATATCAAACTCTGTTCTACAGTAAGAAAACCCATTCACCAAGTCCTTTACAAGTACTTCATTCACTTGGTAATATTTAAAACAGTCAGATACCCATTCCCGAATACAATCTATTTTTTTTTGTAACTTGATACATTCCCCCCCATATTTAATCCCATCATGGACCTTTCCACTTGGGAACCACAAGGGAGGTTCTCTCAGTGCCTAATGTAATCTACCTCATTTCTCCACAGACTGGTGAGTGTGGGGGGCGATGGCACCTTTAATGAGCTAATGCACGCCTTGATTAACCGGACACAGCAAAAAGCCGGGGGATCAGAGAATGACATTGATGCAGAACTCTTGTCCCCAAGGCTTCGTATTGGCATCATACCCGCAGGTGAGTATATGGGCCCTGGGTGCTTGAGAGAAAGAGTGTTTGGGATTGAGGACCTGCAAGATAGCAAGCACCTGTGGGCACCCAGTGCTTTCAGATGGTCCTCTTAGTGCCTGCCAGGCCACTGTGAGAACAGGATACTTCAATACGACAGGCCTTGGGTCTGATCCAGCAGGCCTCTTATGTTCTTGAGATTTGGCTCTGCTCATCTGAAGATGCAGGAAAAAGTAAGGTGTATTTCCAGGGGTTTTTTTTGCAGCCAGGTAATGTCATAATAACTATTTAAATAATAATAATTTATTATTTGTACCCCGCCCATCTGACTGGGTTGCCCCAGCCAGTCTGGGTAGTAATCTGTTGCTCTCCATTTCTACCTCAGGTTCTACAGACTGCATCTGTTTTGCAACTGTGGGAACAAACGACCCCATCACCTCTGCTCTGCACATTGTTATAGGTACTGATTTCCCCTTTCCTACCCATTTATTCCATGGCTCATGGCATTCAACTCTTGAGAGATGGAGTATTGACACATCTCAGCTGGGAACTTTGCAAGGCTGGGTTGGGGAAGCAAATCCTCCCGGGTTTGAGGAACCCCCCACCCCCACTAAAGTAAAAAAGTTGGGAGGCCAACTGATAGATGAGCAGGGTTAGCACAGAAGATAAGGACATCCTTTTGGAGGCCCTTAGCCTTTGCAAATGATACTGTAGATCTCGGCTACTGTGTTCCAGTAATTGCTGAGGAATGCAAACAGAGATCTGTACCTTGGTAAATATAGATGCTACTTCTTTTTCTGATGGAAAATGTGTAGCAGAACACAATACTGGGTGGTGGAACTTATATATAATCTGGAACCTTGGTGGCCTTTTTCTGTTTTCTAGGGGACAGCCAACCTATGGATGTCTGCAGCATTTGGCACAATGGAAAGCTTCTACGTTATTCAGTCTCACTGGTTGGCTATGGCTTCTATGGTGATGTAGTGAGCACCAGTGAGAAGTACCGTTGGATGGGCCCGATGCGCTACACCTATGCCGGTATGCAGGGGAAGGAATCCACTGTGATAAGCTGAACAATGATGCCCAACTGACAGAGGGAGCATGTACACTGAATATCTGGACCAGCCCACTAAAATCCTCTTTCCTAGGCTTGACAGGGCTCTCTGGCTTGGGGCAGGGGACAAGGATAGGCCTGGCCAGCAGTAAGATGAACCTTATTGCCTTATAACCAGGGAATGTGGTACCTTTGAATTACGAGTGTCTCCGTTTATGAAATAGTGTTAACTGTAAACTTGATGGATAATTTGCATGATGTAAATTTGGCCCCTTTTTTGAGGTACATTTTCTCTTTATAGTTGTACTTATTGATTTTCCCATAGTAGTTTGCACAGCCTCCCGTTGGCATGAAGAGTGGCAGGAGAACCATTGCCAAGACAAGGAAGCTACCCAGAAGCGGCAGTCTCATAATTTACAGTGAAGAATTGGCCTAGCCAGAGGAGCAGCATGGGAAGGAGGAAGGCGGCCGGAAGTGGCAGCCAGCTAACCTGGTAATCTGCCCCTGGTCCAGATAAGGCAGTGGTGGCAGCGCCAGAAGATTTCAGGCTGGCCAGACAGCACTTCCAGCCTCCTTCCTTTGCTCCTCCTCTTGCCAGACCAACTCTTCCTCCCACTCGGCTGTGGTGGCAGCATGAGGTGGGAAGGTAAGGGGTTCATTTGGGGAGGAGGATGTGGGGTTTGGCAAGGTCTAGGGGGAGTGAGGGTGGGAGGATTGGTGACAACCAAGGAGCTGGGGGAAGGCAGGGTTGGCAAGCAAAGCAAGCCAGAGCACAGTCCTTGGTATTTAAAGAAAAGCTGAGATTGTTAGGATTATGTATCAGTTATTAGAATCTGCTCTGAAGTGCTGCAGGCTGCCAGTCAATTGAAAGCAACTCTCTCCCTGTTCTCTCCAGGAGCCAAGGCACTGCTGAGGAACTGCAGCTATGAAGGCACCGTGGAATTCCAAGTGGCCAGAACGGAGGAGGCAAACCCAAGGGACCAAACACGCTGCCGCTCTGGGTAGGTGGAAGTTTGACAGTTGGCTTTACAATAAAGACAGAGGCTGGAATCAGAAGTGACACCACCCCTCTCTTTCAGGTGTGTGGTCTGTTCAGAGTCTAGCAAACAGTTACCGGCTGGGACAGAGGAAGAAAACCTTTCAGAACCGGAGCAGCACATAGGTGAGAGAACTAGACATTGAGACTGATACTCAGCCAACTGGCTGGGGCTAGATCTGGCTCAGTTCCTTCATATGCTTTCCTGTAAACTGAAGCTGCTCTAGGGTCTGGGCATAGAAGCCACGTGCCCTGGATCCTACTTTATTTTTAAAATTCAGCTGCACCCTCTTGTACCAGAACCATATATGGGTGTGACATGCAAATGTGAGACAATGATCTGATTATATGCATGAATTCCATAGGATTGAACAGATTAGAAATTCTAACTTTACTGTCACATGTTTTTAAGCAGAATTCAGTACTTCTTTGTCCCCGTTCCCCCATTTTAAATGTATGAACAGCATCTACAGAGGCCTCAGAAACAAGAGAGACATTTGCCCTGATCCAGCACGCTTCCATGAGTGGGCACGTATCATGTGTGAATGTGTATGTTGCCTCTGTGCATCTCGCGACACATCTATGCCTGCCGCTAGTTGTATGCAACCAGAGCTGGCTTTGGAATTTTCCTGAGAATATCCACTTACCTTTTAAAAATATTTTTTAAAAACAGGTTTCTTCTCCTTATAACTGCAAAGTATATAAAATAATTTACATAGTGCTTTTAAATATTCAAGGCACTTCACTTACTCAGGTGTTGCCAGCCTTTTTGGGCTTGTGGGCACATTCGCAAAATAGAGAAACCACACACATACCACTAATAAGCACACACTGCAAACTATTCTATGGGATACCTAATTTTTTTGAAGATGGGGGAGGGGGAGAGACCCTGCAGGTGCCAGGGATGGCCTATGAACGGTGTGTTCAGGGGCTGCCAGTATATCAGCTGCAGGTGTACATATGCAAAATATTTATACCCACTTTTTATCCAGAAAGGTTCCTAGAACAGCATCCAGATAAATAAAAAACAGTATACAGTGGTACCTCGGGTTACATACGCTTCAGGTTACATACACTTCAGGTTACAGACTCTGCTAACCCAGAAATTGTACCTCGGGTTAAGAACTTTGCTTCAGGTTGAGAACAGAAATCGTGCTCCGGCAGCAGCGGGAGGCCCCATTAGCTAAAGTGGTGCTTCAGGTTAACAGTTTCAGGTTAAGAACGGACCTCCGGAATGAATTAAGTACTTAACCCGAGGTACCACTGTACTAAGCTATGCCAGCTCTTTGCATTTTCAAAGTGCACAAGCAGTGACTGCTCAAGAATTACAAGCTAGAAAGGTGACTGAATATGAAAAATGCAGCACTAGAAAATGTGCACATAAGCATAACTACAACAGTGAGGCTTTCAAGGTAAAAAAAAAGTTGGCTTTGCTGAGTATAGAGTTTTGCATTTTTCCCCTGTTTTGGAATATGCAGACACCAGGTGATGCCCCAAGCCCCATGTCTCACTGCAGTGGCCAGATCTGATTCAAGAAAGTGTTCTTTTTCATCTTGCATCTGAGCAGAAAGCTTTATCATAGCTACATTTCCCACTTCTTAAGCCAAAAGCTGTGCATGCCCAGGAACTGTCTGCCATGCCAATGTTAAAAACCCAAAGCCTTTTTCTCATAAAAGGAATGTCATGGCAAAATGCATATGGCATTCTATCCCTGATTCATATCTCATCTCAACCACAAATTTGTCGGGTGGCCTTAAGCAAGCTGCCATCTCCTGCATTCATGCATCCTACTTACAGCAGGGAAGACTAGTTCTGGCCTACTTTACAAAATCGTAAAAATTACTAAGCTAATGAATGTTTAAAGCACTGTGGATCCTAAAGTACTATAGAGGTGCTATTATTACACACAGAATAGTCTTCTAGGGCTGTGTAGCCACCCTGTTAATTTCCAGGCGCAGGTGTCACAGCACTGTGAGGCAAGGAATGGCCAGAGTGAGGAATCAACTCTTTATTGTCAAAAATACACTTACAATTTAGGGAAAGGCAGGTCTATCAGGCCTACATCTCTCAGCTATTCCTAGGTGTGCACCCAATGAGGCAGTTGGCACAACAGAGAAGCTCCACCCCCAGCCTCAGTTTATGGATCTTCCCCACCTGAGCTGCACATAGGCAGGTGAAGACTCCACCTGCAGGCAACCTGTTTCTGCTTCTCCCTCTTCAATCCTCTCCTGGTGCTGGGAGCCAGTGGAGCAGCAGGAGGAGGTGTGGAAGCCCTGGACTCTACACTAGCCTAACCTCCCTCTCCTCTTGCAACTGTTCTACGTTCTCCGTTCCTGCAGCTCCTGCTGCCTCTGCCTCTCTGCCTCCCTCAGATCCCTTCTTCCCAGTCAGTCTCCAACACCCCTTCCTCTGGTGTGTACTCATCAGAATCCAGCCAGTCCCTCACATCAGGATAGACTATATAGACCCTGCACTGGCCACCTCACTTGCAACAACCACTTAGAGGTTTTCTCTACAATCAAGCAGTGTATAAATTTTATGAAACCAAAAACATGTCTTCTATTTCATTGGGAGACCTCAAAAGCAAACCCAGATTGTCATCTCCCTGTTCCTGTAAATGCACTGAATTAAACTGGTTTGAGATGCTTGCCTTTGTTTGGGGCAGAATGTGGTAGAGAAACACAGAAGGGAATCCCTAGGTCTGAGCAAAGTTTGCAACCTCAAATAGGAATTAATTGCCTGCTCTAGGCTAATGGGCATTGTTGCTGTCTTTAATCTCCCACCATCAGGATTTACTGAGCCAGGGCTTAGCCCTGGAAATAGCTTTTAAATGCCAGTGCTTGGCTGCAGCACATGGGAAGTTGTACTGAAGGAGGGAGTTCCTCACCTTCACTTCCGCGCAACAAACTGCTGCTGCCACAGGGCTGTCAGGAGTCTTGCACCCTAGAAAAAACATTTTTCAAACAGGCTGTCCAATCAGCTGCTTTGTCCCAGCTAAAGCTGCCCAGGATAACCTCTCTCCTCTTCCACCTCCCCCCCCCCCCAGATGGCGAATGGCAGCAGGTTCAGGGTCGTTTCCTGGCTGTCAACTTGACCTCCATGAGCAGTGCCTGCCCCAAGAGCCCGGAGGGACTCTCCCCCTGTGCTCATCTGGCTGACGGTACAGCAGACCTCATCCTGGTGCATGAATGCTCAGCACTCTCCTTCTTGCGACACTTGACTCGGCACACCAATGGCTCAGACCAGGTATGGAGAAAGCCTCTGCCTCCCCTGCCCTTGTCTCCCCACAGAGCTGGGGGCAGAACCTAAAAGGCCACGCCTCTTTCTGACAACCGCAATTCTGCCCATGTAGATGCAGTTACAACTATGAAAACTCAAATATGCGTGAAACTCAGCACCCTGTACAACAGGCATATATTTATTCCTGCTTCAGAACTGAAGCCCCCTATTTGACACTGGAGGTCAACTCTTTATTTTAGAATTTGAACATCTTTTGAGGCAAAGTCTGAAGCCCCTGGTGGAGGGTTGAAGTGGTAGGGGGTACAGAAAGGGGCTTGAACACATTAAACTGGCAGTTGGAAATCCTGTCGGAATATAACCTGAACACAGGAGACTTTTCTAGGCAACTACATTGTCCTGTCTTAAGCAAAATGAGGAGAACTATGCCGTCAGATCCAGGGGACACCTTTCCTTAACAGCCCCTCCGACGATTTCTTTCATCTTGGGCCCCCGGGCCCTCCTCTCTTTAGTTAACAAAGAACATCCTCCATGCATTTAAATGGTGAGGCCACGGAGGCTTAGAGTGGGGCTCTGCTCTCGTGGCACCACTGCCCAACTTAGGTTGGTAAACACACAGGATTGGGCCTTTTCCATAGTGGCACAAAGGCTTCGGATCATCTTCATCCGAAAGGTATGCTTGGTCCCTTTCCATCTATTGCTAGGGGATGGTGAAAGCTAGTTTTCTTCTGGGCTTCTAAAAGTGGCTGAATTGTTCCGGTCATGATACTCCTCCTTCTGGTATTTTATTCCACTGCAGTGCCTTGAATTGACACGATTGTGTTTTCTTACATATTCTGCATGTAACTTTGGGGGCTCCCAGGTCAAAAGGCAGTATTTTAAATAAGGGGAGGAGCCACAGTTCTCCTTCAGTGCATGCGCTTTTGCACGAAGAGCAGCCGAGGAAATGCAAAAGGCACATTGGGTATTAAGAGTTGCAAAATGCCACCTGCCTACTGCTAGTCTGCCTTGGGCTGAAAGGACGACTGCTCTGACAGTAGAAGGCAGCTTCATACAGAGCTCTGCTTAAAGCCGCAAACGCTTGAGTCAGAGCTGGAGAGGTTAAGACTCCTTCTGGTAATGCCATGAGCTTCAGAGATCAGAGGGTTTAAAAAAAACCCTTAAATGTGCTTTTCAGTTTGACCTGCCTTTTGTGAGTGTGTACCGGGTCCGGGCTATTCGTTTCACCTCAAAAGTGGAAGACCATAAGGATGGAGAACCGGTTGTACGACGACGCAAGGGGCTGTGTGGGGGGCAGTGTCAGGAAGAACCACCCACCAGCTGCTGGACCTGCGACGGTGAGACCCTGCAACATACCGACATCAGCGTCAGGTAGGTTGTCTGGATAGTTGTGGCAAATATTCTTCTGCTGTACTTCAGGGGCACAGGTGTTAGTAGAGCAATCTACAGACAGCACTTAGAAGCTTGTGAAAGAGACTTCAGTGCCACACAGACATAGACAGAAGTATCAGAGCAACAGCATGTGATCAGAACTGGGACTGGCAGGTTAAGAACCAGTAAAAAGCTTACTGTGGCCCTTCCACAAAGTGTAGCCTAGTCAAGCACAGGCATGGAAGTTGCCAAAGATGCTTAGGGAACTGGACAGCTGTTATACAGCAGTCTTCCTTCTATCCGGTAGTGCCGCTAATGACTCTCTCTGCCTTTCTCTCCACAGAGTCCATGGGAGGCTCATCCATCTCTTTGCCCGTGGCATCGAACAGGCACCCTGTAGGCTTCCTGCTGATCCAAGAGAGGGTCAAAGCTAAATGACAGCGCAGCCTGTGACTGCTGCTAAGAATCCACAAGGCCATGAACACTGAGGAGCCACTGCCTAAGCATTGTTGGGGAATAAATTCCAGACTGGTATCTCAGGACCTGTGAGTAACAGTGCAGCTCCAGAGAAACTGTAACCAGACACTGCTGCTCCACGTTCAGGTTTGCAGAAGTGCCACCTCACACCTGCCATTTTAGGGTGCTGACCCTGGAGAGGAACAGCCCATGGTGCTCTGCCTGCTGTGCAGATACCAAACCCCAGTGTCCTCCTGGTCCTCATCACACTGGAAATCAGCTGGCAGAATAAATGAATATCTAGCTCAGCAGTGCAGAACCTCTGACCTGTGGGCCAAATTTAGTCTGCCAGGCTACTTCCCCCAAACCACCCCTCCCTGCCCATTTGTTCATAGACAGAAGTGGTTTTTGAGTCCCCCCTCAAGCCACTTGAAATAAATGCAAGGACCACGGTCTCCTTATAACAACTTCCATTTACATACCAGCATCATATATAAAACTGAGAAGCAGTTTGAACAGGAATGTAACAAGTAATGCAGCAAAAGCAGAGCTAGTGCAATTGAAAGAGCAGCTTGTGTAGCTGAACAGAGGGCAAGGGTGCTGCCTCCTGCGCCACCACAGACTTCCCCCATAGAAAGGAGCAGAAGTTGAAATGGGACATCTGGCCCAGCTGCAGCCAGCAGTCTAAGAAGGAGCGAAACTAAAGAGGCAGAGCCCACAGTAGAGAAGATGACAAGGCCCACACCTAAGCGCAGTGGATGCTGGAGGAGTGCACTGGTGTCCAGGGCCAGCAGGTGGTCCTAGGACAAAAACCACGTTTTTCAGGTGTAGGCAGCAGGAGTTGGGGCAGAGATCCCTTTGCCCAGCCCTGGTCAGCTTGGCTTCTGCAGCGAAGAGCAGCTGTCACCCCTTCATACAAGCTACCCAGTTGGAGGTCACAGCTTGTGAGGATTGACCCAGCGGTAGGTGCCTTCATACTGGAACCCCACCTTCTTCATCAGCTCATCTGCCTCGGCGGGGCCACGGCTAGAAAGGAAAAAGGCTCCCCGTTAGTAATTCTGGTTGCAGCCAATAGCGAAACCATCTGAATGCTTTAGGGTGAAGTATACTCTGTGGATATGAGCTGAATTTGTAATGTAAAAGTTTTTCTAAGTTGGTTTTGATGCTGTATGGATGAATGCATACAAGACTTAACATATACAGTGGTACCTCCGGTTGCGGACGGGATCCATTCCAGAGGTCTGGCCGGATCCCGCGTTTTTCGCAACTGGAGAGACTGCTTCTGCGCAAGCATGTGGGGGAAAAACCCAGAAATATACTTCTGGGTTTGCCACTTACGTATCCCGAAGTTTACGGAACCAGAGGGATACATAAGCAGAGGTACGACTGTATACATGTATTTGTCTTGGAAGACACTTTGTGTTTGGTAGTTGTTTTTACAATTTTCAATGAAGTTGGTTTAAAAAAAAGTAATGCTGGATGCAGTTGTTTCCTACTCATGGCTTTTTACATCTATAGGCCAAATGCAATTGTCTCCATCCCTGAAACAGCATAGCAGCAGCATTGATTATGATCAAAAGTTGACCAGAATCCTTTTTTTTCCATTTTCAGACATAAGTACATAAGTATATAAGTACTAAATACTACCCCCCTTTGCTGATTTCTGGGTATCATACTCACTTAGATTAGCACCCCACATCAACTATAAACATGCACTCAAAACACAGGTAAGTGTAGAAGTGCAGATGGCAGCTCCCTTTCCCAATGTACTAATTAACTGAGCCAGGATGCCTGGAATTCTGCCATTGTCTCTACCATTGGACCAGCTCTCCTCCCAAGCCACTGTGCAGTTCCCACCATCTGGGTATCACTTAGACTGGGGATCCAAGAAAGTTCACCATGCATTACAACAATCACATTGGAGAATATATTTTCCGCTCAGTTCTGCTCAATTTGTAGGGTGGACAGTACCACAAGGCCACTCCCAGAGCCCCCACCGCACCCCACTACCCAAAGCCCAGTAAGCAAGGAAAGCCTGCTGGGGGTGCAAAAGCGAGGGGAGAAGAAATAAATGGACAGGAGGGAATGGTGGGGGTTCCCCACTCTTTATTTATTTATTCCTCCTCCCGTGTAAAGTTGTGGTAGTGTAAGTAAAGTGAATGTAAGTCGCAGTCCCACTGTTTCTATTAACCAAATAAAATTAATTTGGTCAAATCTTAACACAAACTGGATTAATTTTAATCAAGTTCATATATAATAAAAGAGCATATAAAAACACAAGCTCTGAGACCCTTAACACAATTTGAAAAATTTATTCTGCATAATGGGTAGAGGGGAGAAAGGATTAGTTTCTAAATAGTACCTTATATTGCTTAATGTAACTTAAAGACCTACGGAACCCCTTAAAAAGATAGGGGAACTATATATTGGCACACAAATTCTTTCCAAGGATTGGAATAAAATATGGGTGTTGTGACCCATATTGTGAGGGATATCACACTCCTTGCAAATGTCAAAAATGTTTTGTTTTGTGTTACCTGATGGTTGGAGGGGTTGCAATAAGCTTGGTACATTTATGTTGGAAATGTAAATTGATGCAAGGTTTTTGGAATTTAATTTTGACAGAAATGATTAATATTACTAACAAAACTATTGTTGTCCAAAAGTAACATTACTGAATATTTTTTATGATACTGATGTAGATATATTGTCAAAAGAATTGGTCTTATATGTTGTTGGCAGCTCGAATAATAATTGCAACTCAACGGAAAACAGTCCCAAACCTTACACTGGATTCTGTTATCACTCATTCTGGAATGTGGCCATAATGGAGGAAATTATCCATCACTTCAGATTTCAGCAGGGAATAGAACCTCCAGACACTTTTAATATGATTTTGCCTTCTATACAGTAAAAACATGGTTTTCAAGATGACCCTCGTCACAAACCCGGCAAATCTGGAACTAGATTGATAACACTAATAGTTTTCACTTAGACTCTGTTATCTTAACCCAGAATGTGCAACTGTCCTCATTCTACATATCTATTATATAGTTTTGTTCTCCATGTGTTAATTTTCACATGTTGTTACAATTGCTCTGTCTGTTTTATATACACGTAAGACAAAGTATTTTTTAATTATTTTTTTTTACCAAAAAAGAGAGAAAGCCTGAGGGCCATGGCCAAGCCCATTAAGGGAGGGGGGGGGCAGGAAAGGGGTTTAGGGGGCCCATATGCAGTGTTCTAGGCACATTTTGCAACAGGGAATTTCGTTAGCAGTTTCTGAGCTCTGGGTGCAGTACTGTGCCTAAGATTTCAGATTAAAACTGCAGAGTGGAAGGAAAGGAGGACCTTTTTCCCGCCTCCCCACTTCCAGCTACTCTCTTAAGGACTGGAGAGGACACCCTGTGAGGGGGGTGGGCAGGGGAAGGACTAGACCATGTAACACATGAACACAATATTTTAGCTGCAGTTCATTCATTTTCAGCTTTGAATTCTTGTTATAAAGAAAAAAATGTGCCTAGGCATTCCGTTGTTGCGCCCATAACCGAGGTTTAAGGTGCCATTTCACTCCTAGCCTTCATGTCTGAGTTTCTAACACTGCCCTTATGCACATGTTGACAGCCATCACCAAGATCTCCCCTTGAAACCTCAGAGTGATGGGCCAACCATAGAGCCTGTTTTAAAAGAAACGACTGCCATACGTATTTAAGCTCACCCCACTCTCTCTTCCAAACTCACCTGCCGTAGCAATAGGGAATTGGTTTGGTTTTCTCTGCCTCAGTCTTATGGAGCAGTGGAGTGAAAATTCGCCAGGCCTCACGCAGCTCATCACTGTGGGGAGGAGGAAAGTGCTGGGTTGGGTTACTGAACTCTGAAGAAGTTCTCTACCTTAAACTGCAGTAGTAGTTCAAATATTTTTCAGTCATCATGTCTTGTGCCAGAGGTGGGAAACCCGGTCCAGGGGCCTCATTAGATCTGGCAGGGGTCCTCATTTGGCACATGAGGTCCTCTTACTCAAACCATTCTCACTTGTCCCACATATGTAATGTCAGCTGTGAGGCAGATAAAGGCGCAGCTGCAAACAGAGCTCAAAGTGGACTCCTGCTGATTCCTTAGCAAGTCGTGCCTGCAGACAGCAAGTTCCACTTTGCCTGCTTGCAAATGGACAACACAGGGGAAATGCCCATTTGCACCTGTGGATCGAATGCAAACCGTGCCTGCCAGCAGACAAAGCAGGGCTCCCCTGGATCCCCCCAATATTTTATTCAAGTTGGTACCCCTGGGTGCCAGCATGTACCTGCGCACAAAATGCATCTGACTCCCACAGAAAACATCCAAGATGAGGCGCTCATAAGCATCTGGGAGCTTCACATCCTGTAGAAAGGAGACAGGAACAAGAGGTTGAATGTGCTGTGTACCACGATGTACCTCCATTTTTTGAGAGGGTGCCTTCTATTCCTTGTAACTGTCACTGGAAGGAAAGAATTTGAGAAGCAGGCAGGACACCTCCTGAGCAGAACACTGCAATGCTAAGAAGCCTGGGAATCTAAAGCGCTGATCCCATATGTCTGTCTTCAACATACTGGCTGCCACACAAAGCAATACACTTGCATGTCTGGAAATGTGCCAGCAACAGTCTCACTTTCCAGAAGGCGGAGATGGTGGGTGACAACCGCACCCCTCAAGCCTCCAGACCCTTGTGGTCCCTGACACTTCTACCCCTCCACCGGCACTACTGCTCATCTCCTCCTGCTACCAATCCACACACTGTCATGCTTCTGCTCAAAATAAAGAAACAAAAATTCCACAAGGTCTCCAATAGGTCTGCCATGCACCTTTTTAACAACTGTGGAAAGGAAGCCTCTTTTACAAAATTGTTATTACTCAAGCACAGAATTTGGGAGTTTCCTTAGCCTATAAAGAGAGAAACTCTTGGTAATGGTACCTTGTAGCGGTTGCCATAGGTGAGGTCCAGCTCAGATTCTTCTGGGTTGAAGAACATGCCCGGCTTCTTGGTCATCATCTTGGTATAGACGGCCTCATTGGGCTGAACACGAATCACCAGTTCATTGCGCTTGCACTGGCGCTGGAAGATGTCGCCCGGCACCTCCCGGAATTGCAGTCGCACCTCAGCCTTGCGCTCATTCAGTGCCTTGCCACAGCGCAAGACAAATGGTACTCCTGGGAGAAACAGGTTCAAGAGGGAAAGAGACAGAGACAAGTTGGGACTCTGATCCCGGCCTGGCACCCCAAATCAAGGATGTCCAGGCGTTGGTCTTTTACCCCTCCCTCCTACTGTACCTACCATCCCACCGTTCGTTGTCCACGTAGAGCACAGCGGCAGCAAAGGTGGGGGTGGTGGAGCCAGCTGGGACTGTGGGGTCATCCAGGTAGCCCTTCTGAGCCTCCCCTTTGCCAGAGGGATCTCCCACATACTGACCAAGCACCACATTCTCAGGCTTCACCTCTGAGATACACTTTAAAACCTTCACCTGGCAGAAAGACATGAACACCGTCTGAGAGCCTCACGAACTACCAAAAGTGATCTGAAAAGGGTGCGGGGTGTGTGTGTGACTGTGGGGACTCAAAGCTAAGAACTCAGTATTAACATAAACCACTTGTTTCTTGGCAATTTCAAGATTACAAGTTTCAGAATTAATCTCCTACGTGGAAATGGCAGCTGTTAATGTGCCACAGACATTTCTTCGGTGGGCACTGGGTTTCTGTGGCATGTACACATGGAAAGACATACGTGCACCAACCATTCATGACTGAGTCCCCTGCGTGAGCACCATTTCCCACCTAGAAGTGACAACCACACAGAAAATTAATCTTGGCTGAAAATGCTCTTATGAGTACTAGGAAAGGATAGAAATCCTGTGCCCCAAAATAACTAGCCTAGTTCTGACAGCCAAGGGTGCTCAGCCACTATGGGGCACCAGTGTCTCCACTCAGGGCTTGTGAGCAACACCTTTTCTATTTTTATTTTCTTCTTGTGATCTAAGAGGATTTATATACCACTTCATCCTCATCATCAATGACCCAAAGCAGCGATAAACAGTTTAAAAATCAATACAGTATATGTGTCTGAGTAGGCTTGCCTAAGCAGAGAAGTTTATAGTAGGTGTCAAAAACAGCACAACCAAAAGGCCTGCCTAATGTTAATTCTGAAGAGAGTGGACCTTCCCAAGGCAAGCAGGCAATTCATTTCCAGTTGGAAGCGAAGGAAGACAGACACAGAAATAGTAATTTGCTCAAGGACATTCAGATCAGAAGTGCTGGGTCCAAATTCTAGTTCCCATCCGATACTCAGTCCTAGAAATGCTCCTACCTTCTCATCACGCACATCATTGGAGTTGGTAGAGGTTGGTTTCTCCATGGCAACCAGGCAAAGCATCTGGAGCAAATGATTCTGCATTACATCCCTGCAGAGGTGGCAGAAGGAATCAGTATTAGCTACAGGAACAGTACTGAAATCACCAGTCATGCCCCTCTCTCAGTCATCACCATCCCTATGCGCTTCCTGCTTCTGTTTCTGGTGGCCTGATGCAGCCTAACTGCGAGGTTTCCTTGTATATCTGCACACAAGCAGCGTCTTGAAAGCAAATGGGGTGACTGGAACTGGGGCCCAGACAAGCATGAGGATCAGCAGAAAAACCCATGTGGCTGTCCCCTGCAGCAAGGCAGCCTGTGCACAATAAATTTGACAGGAGCACAAAAATCATAGAAAGCTGGGTTAGGTGAAGAATTTCAAAGCCAAACTATGTTTTATCTGGGCAGATATGGGGTTTCTGCTTCATCTGTCATCTGAGTGAATTACAACTCTGTGGAATTTTAATGCCACATCTGCTGATCACTGTAGTGGTTTGCACACCTCAAACACACCAAGTAAATGATTCCCTCGCCCTGTCTCCCCACTCTCTCACCGGATAATACCAAACTCATCAAAGTAGCCACCCCGTCCCTCAGTTCCAAATGGCTCTTTGAAGGTCAGAATGACACAGGCAATGTTGTCACGGTTCCAGATGGGGCTGAAGATCCGGTTTCCAAATCTGCAAATGAAGGGGGAAATGACCTGAGACTCAGGCTGAGGCTGCAGGGCAGAGATGCCCCAGCTGAGCAGCAGAACAGAAGGGCTCCATCAAACACTACTCCAATGGAGACCACCCTGCCCCTAATCCACTTGAGAAGGTGCTTTATTGGCACAAATTTGAAGAGACTTTTGAAGCACATGAAGGCATGTGCCTGAAGGCAAGCCTGAAGGCATTTGTCAGAGGACTGAACAAAAAGTGCTTGCTTGAGCCCAGGTAGTTGCTGCCGAGGTCCCATGTATACCCACTACCACAGCCTTTGAATGCTGTCCCCCAAACTCCTTGTTTTACCTGAGCACCATCAGGTTTTGCACCATCTCCTTGCCCAGGTAGTGGTCAATGCGGTAGATCTGGTCTTCACTGAAAAGTGCGGAGATGTGATTCGACAACTTGTCAGAGCTTTCCAAGTCCTTGCCAAAAGGCTTCTCCACAATGACACGGTTCCAGCCCCTGGAGAATTGGGAAGCAGAAGATGGCAAAGGCCAGTTTTAAATGTGGGGTGTTACAAGCTGGTGGGGGGGGTGAATCTAAGTGAGCCCTAGAGCCCTCTCCTCATACTGCACACGCACATACACCCCCTCCTGAAAAGATACGTGAATCAAGCAGATTTTCATAGGTGTGAATTATGTTTCTTTGCAATATTTATTCCATTTTTACCGGCCTTCATGAGGTTCAAGGTGTTTTGCAGAGCTCTGAAATCCTACACCAGGATAACCACAAGTCTTGCTCAGCTCTTCTCCAGTTTCCAAGGTCACCAGTCACAGCTGATGCATTTTCAGCCATACATTTTCAATCCATTTCCCCCCACCAGATTATTTCCTCCTGCCAAATGTTTTCATTAGTTTTCAATATAGCAAAATACAGATTCAACCAACATAACCTGTATAACCAATGGGTAAGGAATGTATGCACATTTTACAGTACTCCTCCAGTTTATTTAAAAATAAACATTAAAAGCACAGAATCTCCAGATATCACAGCCCATGTCAGTGATGTGTTCAACAGTCCTGCCTTTAGCAGTTCTCCACAGCAGGCCTTCCACCACCAATTCTCAAACTGCCACTTTGAGATGTTTTACAAATTGGTTTTGAGGCACATGAATATCAGCTCCCAGGAGTGGCTTCCTTGTGTGAGCAGAAGAGCACAGAAGCCTACTTCTGGGAAGTATACTGGCCAGTACTATAAGCTGGGATTTCTGCAGCTCCAAGACATGCCCTCTGTTTCTTTCCAGAGTGCACTTCTTCCATGTTACACAAGCTGCTCAGCGCATGTGAGGGATCTGCATTCACACAGATCAGGTATAAATCAGCTCTGAGCTGCCCTCCATAAGAGAATGAACCACCTGCTCAAGAATGAACTGGTTTGGGGGTTCCAGCTTCAGCTCCAGGGAAGATGACAAATTAACCTGATTGCTCTGACCTCCTTCCTCCCCATTTTAGCAACTTGAAGCCATCCATGAGTAATTAATTACTCCAATAATTAAAAGCATAAGAGCAAAAGAAAACTGCTGATAAGCTACTACTTTGAAGTGAAAGACAGAGCTATAAATCTACCTACAGAGGAAGAGAAACAAGCTTCTAGAATGGCTTCAAAGTCATCTTACTCCTCAAAAGAAGACTGTGAATCTCAATAGGGGATTTTAAAGCAATTAATTATATTTAGAACTCTTGTTATAGATACAGTGTAGAAGGCAGTGAGAACGGATATAGGGCTAATCTTCTAATTAGCTATAAGTCAAGTTTTATGATTGATTATTGCTGTATTAAAAAACTTAACAAAGATTTTACATGCATGGAATAATAAAGAAATGAGATAGATGTTTTGTTGAAATATGACATCCTTTTATAAAATACTTTACTGATAACCCTGAAGCATGGCAACTACTGAAATCACAGACTGGACTTTGACAAACTGATCCATCCTGAAGGGGAGAGGAGTGAGTTGGGATTTTGCTTTGTAGCCATTTCTCTTCTCCTGTAATTGTTATATAATGGAAATAAATAAAACTATTTTTATTTGTTTTTTTAAAAAAGAAGAAGAATGACCTGGTTCAAAACAAAGGACAGCCTGGAAGTTCTGGCTCTTGCTCAAGAGAGTAAGCGAAGCACCTCAAAAGAAGAAAGAGTCATAGAAGCCAATGGCATCCTTTGGGCAGCGATGCCAATGAATCAGAGGCCGGAGACCAGCACGCTCTACACTACACTGAATGAAGGGCTGGGGATGGCAGGCTTGCATGTTATCTCCTGCCCTGGATGTACATACTGAGGCCAGGAACGGCTCACACCTTCCATGACAGCAACTCTTGCCTCGTCTTCATCGAAGCTGGACTGACATTTAGGGCTATTTTTACATGCATCACGTGACGGCAAACTTGGAGCTTGTCACTGACTGTGTGCTCAAGAGGGAACAAGCCACAGCCAGTTGCTGTTTCCTGGGGACTACCTGTGCTAGTAAACCAGTGGCAGAGGTAGCAGATTCCGGAAGCACTCTCTTCATCCCACTGCCACCATCTGTGCCATGAAGATCACTGCTGTGCTCACTCCTTGCTCTTTTAATTACAGTGGTACCTCGGGTTACATGCGCTTCAGGTTACAGACTCCGCTAACCCAGAAATAGTACCTCGGGTTAAGAACTTTGCTTCAGGGTGAGAACAGAAATCGTGCGGCAGTAGGAGGAGGCCCCATTAGCTAAAGTGGTGCTTCAGGTTAAGAACAGTTTCAGGCTAAGAACGGACCTCCGGAACGAATTAAGTATGTAACCAGAGGTACCACTATCTGTTCTTGCTATTAGTGTATGTGAGTTTAGGCATGCAAAGAAAACGGACAAGAAAGGGTTAATTTAGGTGTGTTTGTCCTGCACCTTCAGCTGCTCCTGAGTGAGTGAGCAAACTTGTGTGAGTGAGTCAGAGAGTGACCAAGCAGAAAATGAAGTAAAAAGACCCTTGTGTTTCTAGAAAGTTAGCCCCCACCCTTTGGCTAGAACCTAACGTGTTGGACTGCTGCAGGGAGCAAGTGTTGCTGGAAAGACCTTTTTTTACTTTTGCCATAGGCTGTCTGTTGGGAATTAACAGCATAGTAGGATTACTATACGCTACAACTGTATGTAACTGCTAAGCTGAGGAACTGCATTATACCTGTCCGTTAAAGAACTGACCCTACTCAAATTGTCCAACGTTTTTCTTTGACACCTCCATTCTGGGTTTTCCATTTGCATAATCTGGTAGCATGTCATTGGGTACTCTGTACATGCCCCAACACTCGCTCTCCCTACCTGCCCACCTGCCACCCCATATAACAGGATCAGGAGAGCCAGCAGAAGCCTTTTTCCACATGACTGGAAGGGGCCCCCTGCAGCTCCTCCAGACGGCCACCAAGGGAGGGAGAACTCCAACCAGACACGGCCTCCTCTGCCTGAGCAAACTTGCCCCAGTGCCCTCCTGCTAGCCCTGCCCCCACCCTGATTCCCTGCCAGGCCCCAAGTCTTACACAGTGCTCATGCAGGTCTCCCGGATGTTGCCAGTGACGTCTGCATAGACACTTGGCGGAAGGGCCAGGTAGAAGAGGCGGTTTGCCTTCTGGCCATTGTGAAGGCTATTCAGGTGAGCATTCAGACCTTGGAAAGAGGCCCGGTCGTCATACTTTCCTGAGACATAGGAGTTGCGGGCAAAGAAGTCGTTTAATTTCTGTTCTTCTTCAGGGGTGGCCTGGAATGATATATAGATCTGTTATGCTGCAAGGAGGAGGGCTGCCTGTACACCCCCAATCTTTACATCCTAAGAATGTTTCAAATTGCCCAAGACAGGAGCCGTTTCCCACCAGCCAGCCAGGCAGAAGAGATCAGCTTATTAGCAATCACTCCTAGCGGCAAATGCAACAAACTTAAGCATGTGAACAAGTCCTGTGGGCTGAGGAGGCAGCAGGTGAGGAGGAAAGTCTCACCTTGAGGTGTGGCTGGCTCTGTTTGCGGATGTCGGCAACAGTGAGCTGGGACCGGGCATAACCCACCACGTAAGTGTCATCAGGAAGCAGCCCATCGCGGTACAGCCACCTGCATGGGAAATCAGAACAGTCCCAATTCAAACGGGCAGCCACATGGCAGAAGGAAGGCAAAGCCTCAGGGGCAGTTAACTTACCAGACGGTTGGATAGATCTTCTTCTTGGCTAGATCACCCTGCAATTATGAAACAGAGGGGGGGGGGGAGTCATCATTATCACAGAAAGCATAAGATAAAGAATGTGTGCTGAGGCAAAGGCCGAGGGGTGGCATGTATGGGGCTGGAACTCAAGTGACTCAGAACAGAAAAGTCCCTGTTTAAATCCCTGCTTCCAAAAAGCCAGCCTGCTCTTTTGAGCTGGGCTGAGACTGGGCTCCACAGAGAGAGAGGAACAGCCTTCCTTCCAAATCCCCATGCACATGACAACTGGTCTAACTGAAGTATATGGTCATGTAAACACACTGATAATAATCACCAATTAATTCCTGCTGGTATATCTGTGGTCATCAGTCAATAACTGAGGAAAGAAGAGTTAACCAGCCGTAAGATGCAGGTTCCTTCTGCCTTTCCTAAATCACAGGAAGGAGACGACTCCAGTCTTGCACTGCAGTTAGCGCAGGATGCACTGCACCACCACACTGCAATCTCCCATAGTTCCCTGCTCCCAAAGCATTGGCACTGGGGTTGGTAAGGGGAAGGACGAAAGGCAGCCCATCTCTGCCCTCGCATCTTTTCTGAAGACCTGACCACACTTTATAGAACCAGATTTGGGGACATTCAGGAAGTATAGGAGGTTTGCACCAAAAGCTACAGCTTGGCCTTCCACTGCCAAACCCCTCCCTGACACGGCTGCTCACTCCTTCCTCCAGCCTGAGCTCCTCCCTGTGGCTGGCAGTGCCACGCTGCATGAAGCACCCCTGGCAGTCGCCTTTGTCCTTCCATCACATGGCAGGCAGCAAGCTTTGTTACCATTGGCAGAAAGCCCGGCTGCAAACCTGCCTAGTCATGCAGCGTTAGCCCAACGGGTGCCCACGCCTGTGGGCTTTTGGTCCAGCCCCTCATGTTTGAGGAGCACGTTTGAGTCAGCAGCCGATCAGCTATCTGGTTGCTAAGCAGCAGAACACCCTGCGTGCCACCTCAAAGACGCCACATTTAGGCAGGGCGAGTCCTTCAAAAGAGGCCCCGCGGACACAGAGTACACATGTTCCACGGAGCCTCTTTCAAAAGACTCACCCTGTACATCCAGTCAGGTCAGACGTGTCCAATGAGGGGAACTGTAGTCCATCAAGGGCTACGCCAGAGTAAATCTGTCAGTCTTTAAGGGGCCACAAGAGAAACTTGTGGTTTTTTCTGCTACCAGAGATGAACACTTGCTCACATTCATCCACTATGAATCTTGCACCTCCTCCCCTCCCCCTTTTTCTTCATTCTACTGTTAAAATATCACAGATGGTTTATTTGTTTCAGGGATTTTATATGCCACCCTTCAGAATATTTATCCCAAGGTGCTAGGAGGAGGAAGCAATTCTGTTTTCCAGGTCAGAAAATAGTGAAAAGTTCTGTGACATATCCCAGCAACCCCCCCAAAAAAAATCCCCTGGAACAACCCAAAATGCAACTCAGATTACCAGGATCATAATGTTTCCGGGAAAGAGAAAGGCATAAAACCTGGTGTTGAGCGTAAGAGGCTATGGCCTGCATGTGGTCCAAGGAGGAAACACCTGGCTCCTCCTCCACTCTGCCCAGGGGGTTCTCTGAGGTGGGCCACTGTTGAGGCTGTGAAGATTTACGGCATTCTTGGTGGTGGCCTTTAAAGCCTGGCCTTTAAAGATCAAATTTTAAAAACTGGGTTGTATTCAACTAAGTTTTACTCAGAGTTGATCTATTAAAATTAATGACCCTAACTTAGTCAAATTTATTACTTTCAATGGGCCTACTCTGAATAAAACTTACCTGACTGCACTCTTTCTATTCAGGAAGGCTTTTGTCCTCCAAGATGGTTCGAATTTCTGCTGCTGTACTGTTTGATTTTGCTGGTAGCTAACATAAATGCTGGGACGCGGGTGGCGCTGTGGGTTAAACCACAGAGCCTAGGACTTGCCAATCAGAAGGTTGGCAGTTCGAATCCCCGCGACGGGGTGAGCTCCCATTGCTCGGTCCCTGCTCCTGCCCACCTAGCAGTTCGAAAGCACGTCAAAGTGCAAGTAGATAAATAGGTATCACTCCAGCAGGAAGGTAAACAACGTTTCCGTGCGCTGCTCTGGTTTGCCAGAAGTGGCTTAGTCATGCTGGCCACATGACCCGGAAGCTGTACGCCGGCTCCCTTGGCCAGTAAAGCGAGATGAGCGCCGCAACCCCAGAGTCGGCCACGACTGGACCTAATGGTCAGGGGTCCCTTTACCTTTAACATAAATGCCAAGCAATTTTTTAAAAAAAACCCCTAATATTTTATTAATGCTTTTATTGATTTTTTTTATGTGAATCGCTCTGAGAGATTTGTATTAGCCTGATAAGCATTAGGAATAAATATATAAGCAATAAAAACAATTAAATAGGTCTGTTGCCCATTATGCGCCCTCCTAAGAGATTTTCAAGGGTTCTCTAGAGATTGATTTTTATAAATCCAGGTGCCTTCTGACCCAGAAACTCCCCTCCTAAACCCAGATGTCCTTATTCAGAGGGGAGGGGAATGCTGAAATGTTGTTTCAACAAGCTGCATGGCAGGGCCAGCCGCACCCCCAAACTCTTTTTGCTCTATTGTGTGCACAACGTTTTAATCTCTCACTGTACGGGAGTCCAAGCCCGCCCTAATCTTTCAGCAAGAGGACTATGGCTTTCTCCCGCCCTGAGAAGAGGTTTGCCTGTTGCAAAACACAAAACCTTTGTGAGGAGCCCTGGGGCGGCTCCCTGGGCATGTTGGGCATGTCAGCAAAGGACTGGGTGCCCAGCCCTGCCTCCAGGCATCAAACCAGCATTCCTGGCTTCTCTGTTCTTCAGCTCAATAAGCACGAGCAGAAGTATGTGAGAAAAGAAAGGTTCCTCAATGAAATTGCCAGGTGGCACAGAATAAGGCACATCTCTGCCCAACCCAAAAGGTTTTCCAGTCCCAGAGGTGGGGTAGGCATCCTTTGTGTCCCCCAGTCCTCATTTAACATTTTAATGCATTTATTTTCAAGTATTTCTATATACTGCTTTTCATCAGAAAAGATTGCAAAGCAGCTTACAAAGATCTGGCTGTAGAAAGCTCTGCAGCACTGGGCAACGTCTGCCATGCCACCAGGTTTAGAATAAAGAACTGGATGACCTTGTGCCCGCTTGCTTACTTAGTCCGAGGGCACCTCAGCTCCTGGCAACCAGCACCCCCTGGCCAACCCCAGAGGCACCATTTGCCTGAAGAACTTGTAGCCAGGGCTGCTGCAACAAACAGACGCGGTCTTCAAAATTCGCCATTCACCAGGCACGTTCCACACCTGCTCAAACATGAGCAAGCCAAGATTTCTGGCTGCTTGCTTTGTACCTGAGCTAGTCTGTGAGAAGTGGAGAAACCTCTCTCAGTTTTCCTGGCCTGAGCCCCGCAGAGCTTGCATCAGAAAGACTGTGTGGGCTGCTTGGGCGTTGGGTGACAAGCAGAGGAGGTGGATGTGAAACTCTGAGGGAGCCGCCTCCCCGCCCACCCACCAGAGCCGCCCGGTGGGAGCAAAGAGGAGCTGTGCGCTTATGATTATTAGGGCAGGCAAGAGGGAACCCGTGATGGCAAAGGGAACCACTGTGCCTCCCCACAGTGGTGGAGGGTGCGCTGTGGTTCCCCGCAGCAGCAGAGGGCTTTGCCATGCCTCCCTGCAGCGGCAGAGGGTGTGCCACGCTTCCCCACAGCAGCCAGACTAACTGCATATTAGTTCGTGCTTTTTCGAAAAAAAGAAAGAAAGCGCTGCTGCATTGGAGATGGCAATTAGCCATTCTTTGTTTGAGCCTGCAACCCAGGGTCCAGGAGTATTTTGGCTCCTAGTTTTTATACCTCAGTTTGTAACACTGTGGACATGAGAGGGCATCAGAGGTGGGAGGGACAGAGGCCGGTGAAGTCTCCCCTGGGTGCCATGGTGCACTGGTTGGAAACCACTGATGTAGGTTAGCAGTGCTTAGCAGTAACAGATCGCCCCATCAGTAGTACAATACAGACTCCTCTCCCCCCTCCCCCGCCGTGGATCCCCAAACATCTATCCCCAGACCTTTCTTGAGCCACATGGCTTCGTTTCGTTTTGGCCTCAAAGTACAATGCCCCACCGCTGCTGCTACAAGTGCCAGTGACCTACAGAAGCCCTCGCTTTCCCTGTATCCACCCAGGGCTAGAAGCTCCTTATCTAATGCAAACACTACTAAGTCAACTACCTGCTGTGACCTGGGCCAAAAAGGTGTGAAACATCCAGGACACATGAGGTTTGCAACTGGACGGAGTGTGGGCACACAACTTTCTTTCTATGTGTACTTGTTGCCTACACAGGTCAGGTGATCTTTTTATTGCCTTTGCTAAGAACCTCCTGAGCTGGCGCCAGGAGCTTAGCCTGCAAGTCTTCCTGCCTCTCCCTTGTGAGCTAGCTACGAGGGCTGCAAGCTCTAATCAGCTTAATTTCTACTTAAGAGGTGGAGCCGATTCTAATGTGCAGCTCTGCAAATTGAATGCACACTTGCTTATTTCATTATTTATTTGCTATCTGGTTCTCATTTCTTACCAGTGTTGAGAATACAGTGGTACCTTGGGTTAAGAACTTAATTTGTTCTGGAGGTCCGTTCTTAAATTGAAACTGTTCTTAACCTGAAGCACCACCTCCTGCTGCTGCCATGCTGACGGAGCACAATTTCTGTTCTCATCCTGAAGCAAAGTTCTTAACCCGAGGTACTATTTCTGGGTTAGCGGAGTCTGTAACCTGAAGCGTACGTAACCTGAAGCGTATGTAACCCGAGGTACCACTGTACCCTGATATTCTGCCATCAGCTTTGGCTGGTGGCCCAGATGCATACCTTTCTGGACAGGGATAGCCTGGGTTCTGTTGTCTAAGCTCTGGTAAACTCTAGGTTAGATTACTGCAATTTGTAATACATGGGGCTGCCTCAGAAGACAGTTCAGAAACTTCAGCTGGTGCGGAATTAAGTGTCCAGTTTGCTCACTGGGGCAAGGCAGTTCAAGCATATCGCACCAATCCTGGCCCAAATGCACTGGCTGCCCATTAGTTTCTGGGCCTATTTCAAAGTGCTGGTTTTGCCCTTTAAAAGCCCTTCAACAGCTCAGGACCACAATACCTCAAGAACTGCCTCTCCCCCTATGAACTGACCCAGACCCAGCAATTGTCAATTGAGGCCCTTCTTGGTGTGGCTCCTCCATGAAAAGTCTGGAGGGTGGCAACATGAGAACAGGCCTTTTCTGCGGTGGCTCCCCACTTGTGGGGTGCTCTCCCTAAGGAGGCCCACCTGGCGCCTTTGTCACATATCTTTAGGCACAAGGTGAAAACATTCCTCTTCTCCCAGTCCTTTGGCTAATCTATGGCCTCTTAAATGTTTTTTGGGGGAGGGGGGATTATTGGCTTTTTGTTTACTTGTTATTATGTAGTGTGTTCTGTATTTTATGTTGTAAAACAGTCCTGTGATTGCCTCATGAAGGGCAGTATAAAAATTTAATAAAGAAATAATACAAGAAATCAACACAGAAGGATTTCTCCCTCTAACAATAAGTCTTAGTTTTGGATGATTAGATTGTAGGTGCCTGTCTCATACATCGATATTTCTTAACAGGCAGCTATGTTATGCTTTAGGTAATATGCAAATTTAATTATTATTTAATTGACTAAACCAAGAGACACTTGATCAACTAAAATTTTGTTAAAGCTGCTAACAGGCTTAGTGGTTACAAGTTACAGACATCAAATCTGCAATTCTCATCTAATTCCGTTTCCAGGCCTCAGCTTTCTCACCTGAAGCACTTATAAAAACCTTGTTCACCATTCTTTCCCTGTCCTTAACCTTAAAAGCAAAGGGCAGCTACCGTTTGATCCCCCACCCCCGTGTTGCCGGACTGCAATACTCATTTCCTTGGCTTCCAGCGGTGCTGACAGAGACTAGTGGGAGTTGGGGACCCAGAGCTAGAAGCTCCAGGTGAGTCACCTCTGCTTTAAAGTCTAGAGAGGGAAAGAATAAGCACTAATCTTGGTGAGTGTTTAGACAAGCTACTTACTGTAGAGGTTGTGTATGGTGTGGAACCCTCACTTTTGTGCCACAAAGCCTGATCCTGTCACAGGCATTTAGAACTGGCTTGGAATTCCAACCAATACACAGTATAACTTTGGCTGCAATCCTAATCACACTTTCCACAGAGCAACCCCCATTTAATTCAACAGATTTTGCTTTTGAATAGACACAGGAAGTGTAAGCTACCAGAACACAGCAACTCCGGGGAGGAAAGGTAGTAACAAGAAATACTTCCTTGTACATTTTATTCTTCCCTGCAGTTCAGGGCTTCTGCTCTGCATTGGCAGGTCCAGTTCAAGCCCCGGCATCTCCAGGCAAGGCTGGCAGAGGCCCCTACCTTCAACCCTGCAGAGTTGCTGCGAGTTAGTGTAGAGATAGACAAGGATGAGTCAGAAGGAACCAATGATGTGATTCCGTACAGGGCAGCCTCCTATTTGCCCGGTAATCTCCCTTGGTTAATTGCATGGGCACTGCCTTGCACAATGGCCTAAAAGATCTCAGTCATTCACAGTTCTTCTTGAGGTGATATATACCTGTGTCTAAAGTACACCACTTCACGAGGCAAGGTGAAGCAGCAACCCTGCAGGTGCCCCCACCCACGCCCCCTGCTGCCTCCGCTACTGCCATTGGCGCTGAGTTCCAGTGAGATCCTATGAGATCACTGTTATCTTTCATTTCTACAGCACTTTGTGTTTTTAAGGGGGGGATATCTAAGTGGTTTACAACCTACATTAAAGCATCAAATAAAACAATCCAGAATAAAACATCACTGAAGAAAGTCTGGAACACCTTAAAAGCACCACAATTAAGAGAAAACTAAAATATTATTGTAAGATTTCAAAACATTACTAAAGGAAGTCAAATACGAAGTGCACATTTAAAACAGCATAATTATCAAGAGAATAAAATAGTATAATAAGCATAGAACATATCTGTTGCTGTTGCTGCCCATCTTGTCAGCTGTGGAAGCTCAGACTGGATGTCCTGGGTCTGCTCTAAGAGGCAGCCAAGATGGTCTCTGGCCTCTTCAGAATCCTCCGCTTTTGTGGCGAAGTCAGTCTGGGCCACATGGGAAAAGGCCTGCAAGGCAGGGCAGGTCTTCCCAGACTCACAGCCAAGGCGGTCTGGCTGAAATCTCACAAGCCCTTGTCAGAACCCATGGTCATCACCACTGCGCAACCGAGATAAGGCATGCTGCAGCAGGAGGAGCATGGTGGGCAGCACATCCCGCTGTGACTCAAGTAGCGCTTCAGACGGCAGGACACCAGGAAAAACTGAGCTCCACAAACCTGCATTTAGAAAACTATGTCATAGTCTTGTCTTCTCTCGGAAGCACTAATTTTCTCTACATAGGGACTGTATGTGAGTACGTGTGTACAGTTTGTGTAGTATATGCACCCCTCTCAACCAGCTATATGTTTACTACCTCACTGGGAACTAAGGCAAAATCCTTGCTATGAATGGCAGCAGCAGGACAAAAGCCCTTAAAAACATGACGTGCTTTATCACACTGTCATTTTCTGTGACTAAGATTCTGAGCGGCAGTTGCTGTTTAGATGCAATTCTAATCTCCCAATCCTGCTAGTCTTTACAAATTAGTAGTGACCAAAAGGCAAGGCCTCATTTTTCCAAAACACCTGTTGTTTGTTGGCGATCATTCCTTTGAATCAGCTAGCTAGTTGCCCGCAATAGCCTGGGGGAAAGCTGGCATCTGGAACTACCCTAACTAACACTCAGGTGCATCCAGATGGTTCAGTCTTGGGGAGTGAGTGTGCCAAATATGTGCTTTCAGACCAAACACCAGCTTGCTGCTCAACCACATGCCTGACAGGAACAGGCTAGACTGGCCACGTTGTGTCTACGATCCACAAGGCTAACAACAGAGGTGTCCTGGTAGAAACCGTTTCTGTTTTTCCCAAGAACGCTGTCTGTCCTTTCAATTATATATTATGGCTCCAAACTGGTAGCGTTTTCATTCACTGAGAATAAGCAACACTACCAGAAGGCTCACTTCCCTCTTTTACCTACGGAGAGCACCACATCTTGTTCCCCAGTGACTCAGCAAAAGCTGGAGCTTCTCCTTTTGCTAAAGTTGTGCTCCCTGCGCCTTCAGCACTCAGACGGCTCCTTCTCTCTCCTGTGCGATGAACTGCAACCCTGCAGAAGGCGGCCCAAGTGGTCTTAGGCCAACCCACTCCAGAATGGAAAACAGGAAAGAGACACAAAGAACAGAGATCCAAGAAAAAAGCAGAAGGAAATCATTTTGGCAGCACCATGCAATTCACCAAAGTACAGGCATGATTTGTACTTATGGCGGAAGGCTCCAAAATGCCATGAATGTGCCTGAGGCCAGAAAAAGCACAGGCACCGTTATTTTAACCAGAGGAAGAAATATAAAAGAGATACAGTCATGCCTCGGGTTAAAGTAGCTTCAGGTTGAGCGTTTTCAGGTTGTGTTCCACGGCGACCCAGAAGTAATGGAACGGGTTACTTCCGGGTTTCGCCGCTTGTGCATGTGCAGACGCTCAAAATGACGTCACGCGCATGCGCAGATGTGGGTTGCATTCTGCTCAGGATGCTAACGGGGCTCCAGAACGGATCCCGTTCGCATACAGAGGTACCACTGTACCACTGTGGGTCTTACGACGGCATCTTTTATCCTCCAACCATTCCCATTTAGCATCTCATCTTTGGACAGTCCTCTTCATTAAACAGTTATAATGTAACACATTTGTGAATTAAATGCCCTTAAACATGGACAGAGTGTATTTCCTGCTGCTGCACTGCTGAGGAAATGCAGCCTATTGCAATGGAAGTGAAGACTGGGGCTTCATTCCAGGGTAGACAGAGGGCTCCTTTAAACCTCTGTGCCTCTCTTTGTAAATTGAAAGGGTCCACATCTCCCTTGCCACTATTCCCAGAACAAAAAAGACCTTTAATAGCAACTAACAAGTATAGCTTATGAAACACTGTTGACAGTACCCTTATGACAGCACCCCATTATCTTGCTGCACCCACTCATTTTCATATTTATTTATTTATTTCAATACCACTTTATATTTTTAAGAAAATATTCAAAGTGGTTTACAGTCTATTGTGTGTGTGTCATCTTGAACATGAAAGGAAACAAAGATACAAGGTAGGATATGACTCAGGAGTAAGAACGTAAGAACCATCTGTGGAATCAGGCCAATGGCCTGTGCACTCCAGCCTCCTCTTCACTCGGGGCAGCCAGATGCCTGTGGAACCCGCAAGCAGGATCCGAGCACAAGAGCAGGCTCTCCTCCTGTGCCTTCCAGAAGCCGGCATTCGGAAGCTCATTGCCATCAATAGCCTAATTGGTCTAATCTTCTTTCCAAGCCATCTAAGCTGGTGGCTATCACTGCCTCTTATGGGAGTCAAAGTTAAAGTGAAACTACGAAAAGAAGCACTTCATTTTTTTCTGTCCTGGATCTTCCAACATTCAGCTTTGCTGGACGTCCCCAAGTCTAGTGTTATGAGAGAAGGAGGAAAACTTTTCTCCTTTTCCCCTTTCTCCAGGCTACACATTTTATGAACTTCTTACTTCCCTTTTGTCTAAACTAAGAAGCCCCAAATGTTGTAACCTTTCCTCAGAGAAGAGTTGCTCCAGCCCTTTGATCATTTTGATTGCTCTTTTCTGAACCTTTTCCAGCTCCACTATATCCCTTTTTTGCTGAAGCAACCAGAACAATACACAGTATTTCAAATGTGGTCACACGACAAAGTACATTTACAGGGATTATGTTTTGTGAGTGTAATAGGTTTGATACTCACTGAAATTGCTCCCCAGCAAAACAATCCCTTGCATAGGCAGGGAATATTTTGCAATTATAGCAAGGGGACAGAATGGTGAACAAGCCAATGGTGAGGAGCCAAACCACTTTAGGCTGATCTTTCCAAGCACTGGATTACCAACACATTGCTAAATCCATGCAATGCCAGGATTAGCCACCTACCCCTTCAAGCATGCTCACAAACTCCAGAAGGGATGCTGATTACACACCATGCGGTAATTGCTGTGCAGAGTTATACAACAGCTTCCCAGCGCAAGGAGGCACTTATACAAGGGGCAGGAAGAGAAGCCAGTGGCTGCTTCAGGGCAGCGTGACTGAAGCACCTGTTTTTGGTATTTGGGCCACACCAGCATCCTGTCACCAGGCACAAACCTTGTGTGGCTGTGAGTCACAGCTCTGGAAGGGAAGATGCTAGACTGGGTCAAAAGGGGATGGGGGAGCAGAGCAAAGTGGGGTCACAGCAGAGCTACTGCTGTGATGGGAAACAGCCTGTGGCTCAGTGGTGGAGTAATGAAAAATGCAAGAGATGACCCTCTGGAGTTCCAGGCTGATCCAAGAGACTAAGGAAACGTGAATGCTCCTAACACAATCCAGTTCCCTTTTCAACAGAAAGCTTCTACTGAGGCATAGTAACACACGGCATGGGATATGGGATTCCCACCCACTGGAAAAAATCATCTGTGTCAAATTCTGCCCCCATAATATGTGGGTTCAATTAATGAAATGATTTTAGAATGTTGTATCATTTTACTGTTGTTAGCCACTCTGAGCCCGGCTTCAGCTGGGGAGGGCAGGATATAAATAAAATTATTATTATTATTAATTATTATTATTACTGATGTAATTGGGTGGTGCCAGCAAGAAAATGTGCAACATTAGGATGTCAGAACAGAAGACATTTTTAGGTCACACAAAATTTCTCCCCAACCTGAAAGTTTTGAGGAAGAAAAAAGAAGAAGAGGGGATGAAGAAACAGATGCCTGTGTGTATTGTGACGTAAACGCTTGCATCCTGCTTTTAAACACTAGTTAGAATAAAAGTTAAGTTACATTCTGTGGCAACTTTTTCTCAGCGCTGGAGTACCCTCCATCCCTATTGGTTTTACTGGTCTACTGATTTATTTCTATTGTTTTAACCTCAAAGTTCTATTGAGCTACCTCAGACTCCTTTAGAAGGAAGGTGAGATACAAATTTAATGAATGAATGAATGAATAGCTTAGAGTGCTATAAACAAAAAAGCCTCTCAAATACAATTATAACAGTACATTATTTCTTTATCATTATGTTCCTCCAAGAAGCGCAAGGTGGTCACATTGCTCCCCCCTCCCCTTATGAAGACCAGTCACAGGATAGATTTGGGAAACCCACCCCACGCCCTGGGCATATGGCCAACAGAATGGAGGGCCAGCACCACTCACCTGTTCCATACCTGTGTGTACCTTTGCCGTTTCCCATGCCCATTGCACAGCCATATAGCCATCTAGATTCTCCAGCCATGCTGGAAATTTTTTCCCCAGTTTTGGTTTTATTTATTTCATAAAATTTATATACTGCTAGATGACAAGAAAAGACCTCAAAATAGAAAGATCCTAAAATAGAAAGATGCCTACAGTATATATCAGGTCCGCAGTGGTCCAAAGGAAAAAACTCACCGAAGCCCCCAAGATGATGAAGATGTGGGTGTCTGACTTTTGGAAGTCATTCCCTTTGCACAGCTCTTCACGAAGCATCCCACAGATGTCTGTCCGAGACAGCTTCTCCAGTGGCTGATGATGGCTCATGGTGGCAGCCTTGTCTCCTGAGGAGAAAAGGTGTCTGTCAAAGGCGGCTCCTCCCACCTTCTTCCTGACCCGCTCCCCTCCGGCAGGTGTTGCTCAGGTGAGCAGCTCCTCCGCCTCTTTCCTGCCTGCAGCCCGCATGCCGGATGGCTTGCCAAAGCACTAGTCTCAACTTGACCCCAGCCGGGCTGCTTGGCGGGGGTGGCTCTGGGGCGCTTCAGGCATTCTCGTCTTCCCCAGGAAGAATTCCAGTACAAACACTGACAATATACTTCCTGAACATCAACTTGGGTTCTCTCCTGCTGCTCAGCTCCAAGACGATGAGCTGAAGAGCAGAGCAGAAAAACACGCGGGGCCAAAGGGAAGAAGACCCACAAAGGTCTGCCAGGAAAACACGCGCGTCGCATCTCACGGCCTGTCAGCGCCTCGAACCCGGGAATCAGAGGCCGAGCCCATTCACACGGGCGGGGACGAGGCCGGCGGCGGCTGGGCTGCGCGCACGGCTTCCCCGAGAAAGCGGGCGGAGGCGGCGAAGCGGCGGCGAGATCCAGGCTGCCCGGGGAGCCGCGCCGCGGCCGGGCGTCCCCTGGGGGGTCGGGGTTGCCTGCCCTCGCCTCGCTTCTCCGCGCCCCGCGGCCTCCGCCCGGGATGCTGCCGCCCGGCCCTCGCCGCCATCGCGGCCCCCCGCCCGGCCCCCGCTCCTACCTGCGCGCAGTGCCGGCGAAGCCCCGAGGCGCTCCTCGCTCACGCTGGCGCGGCTGCCCATGGCCCGCCCGCCCGCCCGCCCGGCCCGCCCTCGCCCCTCCCGGCCGGCCGGCCCGCCAGCGCCGCCCCCTTTCTCCGGAAGGGAGAATCCGCCGCCGCCGGCCAGAAGGGGGAGAGCCGGGGCGGGACAACCTCCGGCTGATCCTTTGCTTTCTGCCTCCCGTCTCGACATGGGCGGAGCAGATCAGTATTGATTTTTATTGATTTAGGGGAGCAGCTGCCCTCGCCCCCCCCCCGGCTACGCCCATGCATCTCTATACCGGCTGCTTGGCAGCCAGAAATTCCCTAACTCTACAAGTTGTTTGGCAGAAATTCTACAGGTTTTATTTCACCCTTGCAGCAAGAGTTGCACCTTTCCGTCGTACCACGAATCAGTGCTATTTTTGTAGAAAAAGAGGTGCTGGAACTCACCACGAACGCCTCTCCCTTTCTCTTAGAATAGCAATGGACCCACCTGAGAAGGGCCAGAAGTGAGTTCTAGCAAGTTCCCCCTGGAAAAAAGCCCTGCCAGAACTCAAAGCAGAGGAGCTAGTCAGAAGGAAAAGGTTGCAGCCTTATCTTTGGAAAACACCCTGGCCTCCTTCCAGATACAGGCTGGCATTTTGACATACTTCCTGCTGATATGCACCTATGAGTTGAAATGCACATGGCACCCAGAGTCTAGCTGCTTGTTCATTTATTGTTTTCTTTTATATCCCACCTTTTCACTATAGAGCTGAAGGTGGCATACATGGCTTTCCCCCCTCCAACAATCCCGTGAGGTACATTAGGTTGAGAGATCAGGAGTGCCAACTTGGCCTGTGACCGTGGGTGCCCGGGGCTGTGGGTGCCATGCATGGCCCTGGCACCTAAATTCATGGGGAATTTTGTGTTCAGGGGCCCAGGGAGTTGTCACCCATGTGAGAGATGCTAACTGGCCCACGATTAATCAGCAAGCTTCATAGCTGAGCAAGGAGCCCCAGTCTGCCTGGCCTACTAGGCCTGCCAATGGGTTCTGTATCCCTATACTGTATTGTGCTCCAAGTCATACAACTGAATTCATTAACAGAAGATGTGAACCACTAGGGATAAAAAGTTAAAATAACCACAAGATGATAGAACCATAGAATTTTAGAGTCTGAAGGGACCTTGGAAGTCATTGAGACAAAGGCCCTGCTCAGTACAGTCATACCTTGGTTCTTGAACAGAATGCTTTCCGGGAGTCCGTTTGACACCCGGAACTGTTCGAAAACCAAGGCGTGGCTCCCGATTGGCTGCAGGAGTGTCCTGCAGCCAATCGGAAGCTGCGCTGGACATTCAGCTTCCGAAAATTGTTCGAAAACTAGAACACTCACTTCTGGGTTTTGATCGTTCGGGAGCCAAGGCATTTGAGATCCAAGGTACAACTCTAGATTCAGGTAGGTAGCTGTGTTGGTCTGACGCAGTTGAAATAAATATTTTTTTAAAAAAATTCTCTAGTAGCACCTTAGAGACCAACTAAGTTTGTTCTGGGTACAGTGGTACCTCGGGTTACATACGCTTCAGGTTACAGACTCCGCTAACCCAGAAATATTACCTTGGGTTAAGAACTTTGCTTCAGGATGAGAACAGAAATCATGCAGCAGTGGCGCAGTGGCAGCAGGAGGCCCCATTAGCTAAAGTGGTGCTTCAGGTTAAGAACAGTTTCAGATTAAGAACAGACCTCCGGAACAAATTAAGTTCTTAACCCGAGGTACTACTGTATAAGCTTTCGTGGGCATGCACACTTCTTCAGGTATCTGAAGCTTATACCCAGAACAAACTTAGTTGGTCTCTAAGGTGCTACTGGACAATTTTTATTTTTAAGTTTTTAATTTCAGAGTACAACTGTATAAGAATCTTGTAACCACAGCATCCCTGGCAGATGACCATCCCATTTTCGCTGAAATACCTCCAGGAAAAGAGAGCCCACAACTTCTTCAGGTAGTCTGCTCCATGGATAAACAACTTTGACTATTAGGCAATTTCTCTTAATAGCCTAAATCTGCTTCCTTACAATTTTCTTCCATTTGCTCTAATCCTTCTCTCTGGAGCAACAGAGAACAACTCAACTTCGTTTTCTACATAAAAGCTATTCAGATCTTTGAAGATAGCTACCACATCTCTCCTTAACCTACTGTTACAAGCTTTGGGTGTTAGGGTCTGTGGGTGCAAGGCACCCATAATTTTTAGAGTGAGTAAATGCTAGAAATTAATAAATGATTGAAGACTTCCCCTGGGTGCCAGATGAAATTTAGCCGTGTTAAAATGAAAGCTGAATCAGTTTCCTAGCCAGGAATCCAACTATGTTTGCTAAGGATTAAAGCTTTAATGTGCAAACTATTTTATTTAACCTCATAATAATACCCTTTTGAGATCACCGGATGTAATGTTTCTTGGCACTCTATAAGGAGTGGTGGGTGAATTTTGTATTTACTGCAATACAGTATGTAGCATTTTTTAATCCCCATAGGAATGAATATGGGAAGAAGTAAAGGTAACAGAGACGTAATTGGGGTAGGATTTAAATATGTTGCCGGCCTGGAGGCATCCCAAATGTGTGAGGTATGCATGGGATAGGCCTTTTTACTTGGCATGATAATATATGCAGTTGGCTTACCTACCTAGCATTACATGTAGACCAGACATGGCTGTATATATTTTAGTTGTGAGTTTGACCAGCTTGATCACTGTGAATGAAAAATCTGTGCTTTTGGCTCTCCATCTGCTGTTAGACTCCCATAATCCCTTACCACAGGTGCTGGTTCTCCAGGTACCTGGGTTCTTGAGAACCTACAATATTTCCCATGAAGGGTCCAGGCACCCACAGATTGCGGCGCTGGGCACACAATGTCACCATGCTGCATGGTGTGTCATGTGCACGCACCCCTGCGGCATACACAACCCCAGCATGCACGGTTGCAGAGCCAAGCCAGCACGTCTCTGCTGGCTGGGGCTGATGAAAGTTGTAGTTCATCATCATCCCTGGACTCAACACAAGAATGCTCACATTTGTTGGAGTGCCTGTGGGTGGTTCTCTAGGAGGGTAATTCATAGTGGAGTGAAACAACAGTTTTGGTTAAATTCCAAAATCCAGAGCAGAGCAGTTATGTTTATTAGGCCAACAGGAATGTCATAAAACAGTGAGCTAGCTGCTGAGTCTTTTCAGACCTAATAAATTATTTCACTTTCATCATGATGTCATTGTTTGCCATGTGTGGTGTGGAAGCCAGATTTCCTCAGGTGGTGCAGAGGCTGTGAACATATTACAATTTACTCTGGTCTGCTCCCATTGCATGTGCATGAAAAAGGTTGTGTAAAAAAGGTAGTGTAGAAAAGTTTGCATAAAAAAGGTTGTGTAACAAGAAAAATGGAGATAGACATAAACACTTTCACTTTCATTTCTCTCCCGTGAAAACCATTTCCTCCACGCTACCCTTTGCCTCTGTTCTATCACTATCCCCTCATGGGAGGAGGGGCTCCCTATCTCCTGCTGTCAAGCTCAGAGTAACTGCTTTGTTAATCACCTAATACTGTACAGAGCTTTTCAAACTTTTAATGTTGGTGATACACTTTTAAGACATGCATCATTTTGTGGCACAGTGATTCAGTTTTACTAACAAACCGGAGGTTAAATTAACCCGTTTCCAGCCCCAGGAGGAGCACAGGGAGCATTCATGTGACACACCTACACACTGCAGCCGACACACTAATGTGTCACAACACAGTTTGGAAAGCTCTGTTCTATTTACTTTATCCTAAACCTGGGGAAAGGACTGTACAGTAGTTCAGTGGTAGAACATTAAAACCTATTGGGAAGTAAGAACACACAATTGGGATTCAATATGACCTTAACAGACTGGAGAACTAGACCCAAACTAATACAAGGAATTTCAATGTAAGGTTCTGCACTTAGGTAGGAAGAATCAGCTGCACAAATATAAGATGGGGCACACCTGGCTTGCCAGTAGTACATGTGATCTAGGGGTCTTAGTCAACAGTGTAGTGCAGCAACAGGAAAAGTGAATGCTATTCTAGGCTGCATCAACCAAAGTATAGTGTTCAGATCAAGGGAAGTAATAGTACCACTCTATTCTGCCATGGTCAGACCACACCTGGAATTCTGTGTCCAGTTCTGGGCCCCACAATTTAAGAAGGATATTGTCAAGCTGGAACATGTGTAGAGGAGGGCAACCAGGATGAACAAGGGTCTGGAAACCAAGCCTTATGAGGAATGGTTTGGGGGGTTGGAGATATTTAGCCTGGACAAGAGGAGATGGAGATGAGATATAATAGCCATCTTCCAAAGATGGAACAAACTTGTTTTCTCCTGCTCCAGAGGGTAGGACTTGAACCAATGGCTTCAAGTTACAAGAAAGGAGATTCCGAGTAAACATCAGGAAGAGCTTTCAGACAGTAAGAGCTGTTTGACATTGAACGAGACTCCCACAAGAGCTGATGGACTTTGCTTCCTTGGCATTTTTAAAGCAGAGGTTGGGTGGCCACCTGTCATGGATGCTTTAGTTGAGATTCCTGCATTGCAGAGTGTTGGACTAGATGACCCTCGGGGTCCCTTCCAACTCTACAGTTCTGATTCTATGAAATCAACAGGATTTTCCTTTGAGAAAACATAGTTAGGATTGGGCTATAAAGCTGGAATCCTAAACTTGGGGAAAGGACTGTTCAGCAATTCAGTGGCAGAGCACCTTTTTTGCACACACAAAACCCCTGGTTCAATTTACAGCATTTTCAGGTAGGTCTGGGATTGTTCCCCATCTGAAAATCTGGAGAGCTGGAGACAGTAGTGATGGCCCAATGGTCAGACTGGTATGTGGCAACTTCTGATGCTCCTCACATGCTCACTAGGAAGCCATTGCGCAGTGAGACATCTGAATAAAACATGCTTAGGATTGCACTGTAACAGCCCAGAGGTTTCACATGTTTGCTCAGAAAGACATCTGCGTTCACTGGGGCGTCTGAGGCCCGAGTTGAGACTGCAGGCTAAGCGCGCCGGAAGTCCCCGGCAGGGCAGTCTCGCCTCGGAGGGCCTCCGCCCACGTCACTTCCGCCCCGCCTCCTTCTCCCGACATCCCTTTCGAAGAGGCAAAGCAAACGGCGAACCCGGAAGGAGGAAGCGGGCTCCGAAGCTGAGGCGCGGCTCGTCCCCGCGGCCCCCCCGCCGCCGCCCCGCTGCTCAAGCCCCGGAGGGTGAACCCGGCCCCCGAAAGAGGCCCGAGGCCTCCGGTGGCCCCGGAGCGGGCGGCCGGCTTCCTGCGGAGCCCCTGGCGGCGCCGGTCTCTCCTGCCCCCCCCCCGCCCGCCGCCCCGGCTGATCTCCCGGGAAGGACTTCGGGTCCCCCAGCCGGCTTGGGGGCGAGGCGGAGACTTGAAGCCAGGTCTGCTGCGTCCCCAGAACTGGGCTTGAACCATTCGCGCTCCCTCTTTGAAACGCAGGAATCCGATTTTCTCTCCCCCACCTCCCCACCTCTTGGTTAGGCGCTGAAAGGCTGCTTCTCTCTATGGCAGGAGATTTTGCCCTATTTCTAACTATGATAAGCCCAGGCCTGGGCAGCAACATTTTGCGGGTTGGTTTGATTAAATGCTGCTCTATTGCAAAATGAAAATAAAACAAATCTTTCCATATAGAATGCCATGATGTCAAGAAAGAAGTGTTCTAGCATAGCCTTTTCCCTGCCATACTGATTTTCTGCGTGCAGGGAATGCTTTTGTTTGTTTGTTTGTATATATGGAGAAGCATTCAGTTGTATGTGCCTCCACCTACAATGTAAAGTGGTACAGCCCAGGTATAGGCAGCTTATCCCAACAGTTCTTTTATCTCCAGCTGATGACCTGTAGCTCAATAGATTTCTGTATTTGCTTTTTAAAGGTTTCCGTCTTGACCATTCTCTCCACTCCCCAGAACCTATCTGAATGAGTACAGCCCAAGGGGGCTGGAGTTGTGACATGGTACAACCAGGCGGATGCCCGGGTAATGACTGCGGCATGATGGGCGATGATTCCTCTCTGGGCAAAGCTGCCACCATTCACCTTCCAGCTGAGCTGGCCGGTCATGAGGTTGTGCAGCACTTTCTGGCTGAGAACAGAGATCTCAAAGGTGAGGACCTGGTGAACTGAGTTGGGCATGCAGCTCTGCGTAGAAAATAATCAGTTGGATTGTTGAAATGTTCACTTTTTTAATTCCAGCACTCAGTTTGAACTCAGTACATGATTTCCACCATGAGTGTTTCTGTGACTGGGTGCTGTCAGAGTAGGTGGCTCACTACTTGTTGTTTAGTCGTTTAGTCGTGTCCGACTCTTCGTGACCCCCTGGACCAGAGCACGCCAGGCACTCCTGTCTTCCACTGCCTCCCGCAGTTTTGTCAGACTCATGTTTGTAGCTTCGAGAACACTGTCCAACCATCTTGTCCTCTGTCGTCCCCTTCTTCTTGTGCCCTCAATCTTTCCCAACATCAGGGTCTTTTCCAGGGAGTCTTCTCTACTCATGAGGTGACCAAAGTAATTCTAGTGAGGTGGCTCACTAGAATTGTTTAAATCAGAATTCTGCAACTTAGTGTCCTCCTGATACTTTGGACCCAAACGCCCATCATTCTTAACTATTGGCTATGCTGGCAAGGGCTAATGGGAGTTGTAGTCCAGCTTCTCAAGGGTACCATGTTTGAAAACACTAGTTTAGATTGATCAGATTCTATATTCTCACTTTTGTTAACTTCAGTAGCGCCAGATACATTTGTGAAGTAAAACTCTTGAAGTGGACTTAATGGGATTTGACTCCTGGGAGTGATGTGATGGGTTCAAACTGATATAGCTAAAGTTTGTTCAGCTTGTTTATTTCATTTCAATACTGGCCAGTCTCCAAAATTCTCTGGGCTGTTTACAATAAAATATATACCGTATTTTTCGCCCCATAGGATGCACTTTTTCCCCTCCAAAAATGAAGGGGAAATGTGTGTGCATCCTATGGGGCGAATGCAGGCTTTTGCTGAAGCCTGGAGAGCGAGAGGGGTCGGTGCGCACCGATGCCTCTCGCTCTCCAGGCTTCGCGCAGATCTCCGCAAGCCGTGGGAGCCCGCGCCGGGCTCCCGTGGCTTGCGGAGTTGCCTGCATGCCGAAGGCTGGATGCGCTGAGCTGGGGCTGATGGGCGCATACTGGCTGGGGCTGATGGGAGTTAAGAGTCCAACAACACTCAGAGAGGGTACATATTCCCCATCCCTTCTCTGAGTAGTTGCTGTTTTTCCATGCCAGAAAAGGACTTATTCATGCATTTTGTTTTAAGGTCCAGGTTTAATTTCATTAGAGATTCCAAAAGGTCCTCCATCCCTAAAACCATTTTGGGATATGCAGGAATATCTTTGTAGCTCTTACTTTCCTAGCATGGGTGGTAAAATGTGGTAGAGAAGAGGTGTTTCAGCCACCTTTGGTAGAATCAGTGTCTATAGCGCAGGGACAAACGAGTAAAGTGGGTGGGTGTTGTTAAATCACAACTGATTTGCAGCTGGCAGTAGAAGTATATTGATGCTGATTTTGCTGTGGAACTGGCCTATGAAATACTGTTTATAAAAACAGAAAATAAAAAGCAAGCTAAAAGCAGTGGCTTTTGAATCTAAAGTAATTGAAATCTTGCATACCTAAATTACAGCTGTCTGTTCTTTTTTAATAATGTTTTTATTTATTTTCATGGTACAGAAGATAAATTTTGAGAAAACAATTGTTACAACAATAAACAACAAATAACTTGTCCTGACAAAATTACAGACTTTAATCATGCCATGTGCTGAAGTTTCATTTGATTACTCTAAGAGATCACATCACATTTTCGCATGAGTGCTGGGTGGATTCCTGCCACAGTCTGAACAATTTATGTATTTAATAAATTCTAACCCTTCAGTTCAAAAATATCCTGAGCAAATTTACTTGAGACTGACTTCTTAGTTCTTAGAATGACAGAATAGGTTATTATATACTACTAAAACAGAGAACAGAGAATTCTAGGAGTGTAGACTCTTTTTGCAGAATGGAAGTAAGCAATGGCTTGGTTTACATGTAATGCTATGTAAGCCAAATCACAATTTAACACAAGTGAGCAAACTCTTCCACTGCTTTGCTCCTTCGTTATTTTGTTGATGCACTGCACCAAGCCATTGTTTGGCTTACTATATTTTCCAAACTTGGGCTCTTGGTTTCGCTTTCCCAAGCAAACCACAAGCTGTCAGCCAAATATGCAATTCTATAATTCTATGTTTCTAACCATAGGAGAAACCTTAGCTTGGCTCACCTCAGCAGCAAAATGACCGGAGAGGAGCAAAGCAGTCATAGTCTGCGGGCCCTTGGCTTGCTTGCACAAAGCCACGGTGTGGCTCAGCGCTGCATGTGAACAAGGGCTTTGACAGAAGGCACACCCTTCCTTATGCATCTACATTCAGTCCCATAAGCACACGGAATGGAATGATTCCTTTCCTCGTGGAGAAGCAGGCACATTGATCCCACAAACATCCCTTGTCTCTGTTCTGCTGGTAGAAGCTATCCGACAAAGTAACCACATGCTGCGGGAGCGCTACAAGGAGTTCCTGCAATTCCAGGCTTCCCACAAGGAGGAGAAGGAATTCCTCATGCTCAAGTTCCAGGAAGCCCGACTTGTGGTGGAAAAGCTGCACTTAGAACGCACAGGGCTGAAAAAGCAGTTGGAGCAGGCTGTCCAGGAACTGGAGCGACTGAAGGAGCAACTGGTAAGAGGGAGGGCTGAAGTGTTGAGGTGGGGGCGGGCTCCCTTCAATGCCTCTATCCCATGCTTCTGTTTAAGGGCAGCTCCTCTGACAAAGAAGCTGTGTGTGTTGACATCATGGACAGAGGAGAACCAGGAAAAGCAGTGAAACAATTTTAGTTATTTTATGTGTATCAGATTTTTTGCTTTCCTGCTCACAGACAGCATCTCAGCCATTTCCCAAAGAGAAAGAGACCTCTGGAGCACAAGAGGAGCCAGACACTGTAACCCTTACTCAGGGAGAAGCTGTACTTGCTCTGGTAAGGAGAAGCATTGTGTAGCTAGGTGAGTGGGTGTAAAATCTGAGCTTGTCCCGAAGAAATAATACAAGTCACAGCTATCAAAGCTACACACACACACACACACACACACACACACACACACACACACAAACATGTTCTTGTAGATTGTGCTGGGAGGGTTGGACATTGGATCACAATGGTTGATGTGTTGTAAATTTTCAGTCATGGTTATGCACTTTCCTCTCCCTTTTCCAGGTCCCTGAGATGCCACAGCAGAAAAAGGAGAGGCTGGAGGAGGATTTGAAGGAGCTCCAGGAAGCCAACCAGGTCTTGCAGAAAGACAAGCTGGCATTGCAGGCTGAGATCTGTGCACTGCAACAAGCAGTGAAGGGCACCTCGCCCACAGAAAAGCCTGCAGTAAAGATGAAGGTGAGAGTTGGTGGGGGAAACAACAGAACATGTGAAAGGGTCACGGGTAGGCAATGGAGACAAAGCTCCTATGGAGTTTAGAATAGGGGTGTAACTGTTTGCCTGCAATCCTTCCGTTCTCACCTGCAACCCTGGCACCCCCTTCTTAGGGTCTTTCAACATTGAGAATTGGGCCGTTGAGGCTTAACAAAGATAGATTGAAAATAAATTTTATTGTATAAAAAGGAAATTAGCATACTTATTAATGTTGTTGAACAGAATCAATAAACAATATATTGATGGTAGGCTAAGTTTAAAGCCACTACAAATAGTAAGAACTATTTGTCTTCAAAAAGCATGCCTTGGAACACATGAAAAACCAGGATGCAGTGCAACTGGTCAGCCTAATAGTGGAGGGAGAAAGATGTTTGGCTGAATGAAGGGAAGGGGATGATCTGGCTCAAGGGGTGAAGGTGGTAAGAGAAGGGAAAGGGATACTCGTGAGAGCTTTTAGAAAGGGAAGGTTGTCAAGAGGAGGAAATGAGTTTGGACCGTGATTAAGTGAAGCTCTGGGGAAGTTTTTAAAGTATGAATTGAAAGTGGATGGGGGACTTTGGGGCAATGGCTGAGAGTAAAGATTCCATTCTTGCAGTGGGTGGCTATGGGAAGGAGAATATGAGATTCTGAGGAGAAAAAGCAACAGAAGAAGAAAAGAGCAGTGCAAGGGGACGAAGGAAAGTACAGTGGTACCTCAGTTTACAAACTTAATCCGTTCCGGACGTTCTTAAACCAAAACTGTTCTTAAACTGAGGCGCGCTTTCCTTAATGAGACCTGCTGCTGCCAGTGCCCTTCCACCACTCAGCTTCCATTCTTAGACCGAGATAAAGTTATCAAACCAAGACACTATTTCCGGTTTTGCGGAGTTTGTAAACCAAATTGTTCTTAAACTAGACTGTTCTTAAACCGAGGTACCGCTGTAGATCTCTCCAAGAAACAGGGATCTGATTGGGCTCAAAAGCAGGAAATAGGAGAAGAGTAAAGAGTAAAGGTTTGGCCAGCTGATGGGCTTTCTGAGAGGAAGGGGGACAGTATTTGTCCTTAGTTCTGTGAGGTGGCTGCTTGATGTATTGGAGTTGAGGAAGGAGAAGGGCAGAGGAAAGTCTACAGGAGAGTTCCTGGACAGGAAAAAGATGTCCCTTTGGGATCCAAAAGATTCCTTAGCAACAAGGAATCTTTTGGATCCCAAAGGTGAAAAGCATTTCCTTTTAAAACTCGTTGGCCTTAAAAAAAAGAAGAAGAGTGGCAGTGATTGGGAGCGAAGAGTTTTTAAATGGTGATAACCAGGAAGTGGTCTTCCTAAACTTTGGAGAATTGGCTTCCAAAAATGCATTGTTCTTCTGCTGTGCCAAGGGAAGGAGAGATGGGTAGCATAGCTCTTGGGCTCTTCTGGCAGAAGCCTCAGGCTATTGAAACCTCTTGATTTTAAATATTAATTAATTTTCCATATCACCCTTCATCTGACTATCACTGGACAGTTTACAATATAAGAACACAGAAATACCTCCAATAGTAACAAATAAACTACCCCCCCCCCCCCCAGGTTAAAAGGCCTTGGATTTTTAATTTTCCAAAAGGAGAAGGCAAATGTTTTCGCCTGGTGCCAAAAGATATGTAACAAAAGTGTCAGGTGAGCCTCCCTAGGGAGAGCATCCCACAAGCAGGAGCCACCACAGAAAAGGCCCATTTTTGTATTGCTACCCTCAGGACCCCTCATGGAGGAGGCACATGAAGTTCATATGGGGAGAGTCAGTCCTTGAGGTATTGCGGTCCTAAGCCATTTAAGGCTTTATAGGTCAAAAACAGCAGTTTGAATTGGGCCCGGAAACTAATTGGCAGCCAGTGCAGTTGGGGCATGATTGGAGTTACCGTATTGGCCTGAATATAAGCTGCACCCGCAAATAAGCCACACCTTTAAAATTCAAGAAAAAAATTAAAAAGGCAATACCCAAATATAAGCCGCCCTCTTAAAATTCTGGAGGCACTCACATCTGTTCCGTTTTACCATATGTCTCTTTCAGCAGCCATATTAGAATCATAGAATAGAATCCTAGAGTTGGAAGAGACCACAAGGGCCATCGAGTCCAACCCCCTGCCAAGCAGGAAACACCATCAGAGCACTCCTGACATATGGTTGTCAAGCCTCTGCTTAAAGACCTCCAAAGAAGGAGACTCCATCACACTCCTTGGCAGCAAATTCCACTGTCAAACAGCTCTTACTGTCAGGAAGTTCTTCCTAATGTTTAGGTGGAATCTTCTTTCTTGTAGTTTGGATCCATTGCTCCGTGTCCGCTTCTCTGGAGCAGCAGAAAACAACCCTTCTCCCTCCTCTATGTGACATCCTTTTATATATTTGAACATGGCTATCATATCACCCCTTAACCTCCTCTTCTCCAGGCTAAACATGCCCAGCTCCCTTAGCCGTTCCTCATAAGGCATCGTTTCCAGGCCTTTGACCATTTTGGTTGCCCTCCTCTGGACACGTTCCAATTTGTCAGTGTCCTTCTTGAACTGTGGTGCCCAGAACTGGACACAGTACTCCAGGTGAGGTCTGACCAGAGCAGAATACAGTGGCACTATTACTTCCCTTGATCTAGATGCTATACTCCTATTGATGCAGCCCAGAATTGCATTGGCTTTTTAAGCTGCCGCGTCACACTGTTGGCTCATGTCAAGTTTGTGGTCAACAAAGCCAATTTTCATAAGGTCGCAAGTTTAAACCGCACACTAACTTTTCATGGTTGGAAATTGAAAAAAAAAGTGTGGCTTATATTCGGGCCAATATGGTTTATACTTAAACCTTCTTGCCCCAGTGAGCAACCTGGGTGCTGAATTCTACACCACTTGAAGTTTCCAAATTGTCTGCAGATTATTATAAACTCTAATAATCTAGTTTACTAGAGCAAGACAACCAAAGTTAGGATAGTGACCTGAAACACAGGCCCAGATGAGGGTCTGAGTGAGTGATTTGATGCAGGGAAATATACTGGGAAACATCCATGTCCCTGCACTGACGTCTGCATGCAGATCTAGCAATCATAAGAATCAGTGTTTTCTGACAAACGGTAAGTCCAGTTGTGGCAGAAACGTCTGCTGCCCCAGTGGGAATCCACAATTACCAAGCTCAAAGTCAGCGGTCAGCAAACTTTTTCAGCAGGGGGCCGGTCCACCGTCCCTCAGACCTTGTGGGGGGCCGGACTATACTTTGTGGGGAGGGGAGAAATGAACTAATTCCTATGCCCCCGAGATACATTTTAAATAAACGCACACATTCTACTCACGTAAAAGCACCAGGCAGGCCCCACAAATAACCCAGAGATGCATTTTAAATAAAAGGACACATTCTACTCCTGGACCGTCCACGGGCTGGACTTAGAAGGCGATTGGGCCGGATCCAGCCCCCAGGCCTTAGTTTGCCTACCCATGCTCTAAGTCCACGTGACGTCCTGACACAATGGATACAGCAGCAGAGAAGCTCCAGGACCACCCGCAGTATAAGAACTGTGGCTACTTGTCCACTTGTTTAGCAATCAAACAGATGTCAGTTAGGCACATCCTCTCCTTCCACCAGCACTGTCCTGGTAGGAATGCAGGTGGGCCACCAGCTGAAGCTAATGGAAAGCCCTCTGCACCACTAAGCCCACCTGAGCCTCAGGCGACAGCAAAGGATCCAGAAGTACCCCCAAGCTGCATCCCTGCTCCTTCTGAGGAGTGTGACCCCATCAAGAGCAGGCCACCTCCCAGCCATCTGGTCTAGGGAACCACCCTCTAACAGTGCCACAGTCTTATCTGGATTGAGCTTCAGTTTGATTATCTATTGTGGGGTGAGAGAAGGAAGAATTGGTATTTTAGATGATCATTTCTTGGCTTAACACTAACAGGAGTCTGGTGAAAAGTACAACTGATAAGGGAGGAAGGCAAAGATTTACAGTGAAGGGGATGGCGATCAGTGCAGTTAGCAGGACATATTGCAACTCAGCTTGCTTAAATATGCCTTGTGAGAGTTACAGTAAAGGAATCTCTGTTCTTGTCTCTCCCAGCCAAAACAAAAAAATGATACAGGCTATCATTCTTAAAGCAAAATCTGGATTTTGGGGTGTTCCATAACATATTGAATCTGGTAAAGATTAACTTATCTGGTTACCTTTCCAGGAGAATGGAGTTGCAGAAGAACAACCTGTGGAATTGGAATCCTTGCAAGGCTCAGGGGCCAGGTAAGAGCCCCCTAGCATGGAGAAACCAAGAGAATGGTCCTTGGGAAGCCAGACCATATGTGCACCTATTTATTTTATGTTATCAAATTTATAATAACAGACTTATACACTGCCTTTTAGTCAAGTGGCCCAGGTAGTTACAATAAAATATTAAAAACATTACAAAATAACTAATACCGAAAAATAGCCAAAGGAGCACATTTGTAAAATCAGCATAATCTCATATGAACCCGAATAAAACAGATCAACAAACGTTTAAAAGTCTGGGGAAATAAAAAGGTGTTTCTGGCACCAGGCTAAGACAACAAGATAATGCCTGCCAGGCAAGCCTTTCTAGGGACAGCGCCTTCAAAGCAGGCTGCCAGCCCAGGGTCTTTTCCCCAGTAAACATCTGTAATGTCTTAGAATGGTTGGGGGAACCTGGAGAGGGGCACCTGGTGATCTCATGGGATGCTCCGGTTTATATGCCTGGAGTTCATTTCAGGATGCTTCAGGTTGCAGGCTTTTGTCTAGTTGTACACAGTACCCATTACTGACTGTTAGATAAGAAAAAATGAAAGAAGCAAGCCCAGCTTTTTCACCAGGTACAGTGGAACCTCAGTTGTTGAATGTAATCCATCCTGGAGGATCGTTCAACATCCGAAATGTTCAACAACTGAGGCACAATTGCTGGTCAGCAATTTCCTTTTAAAAATGGAGAAACACGTCTTGGAAGCCATTCAACTTCCGAGGCGTGTTTGAAATCAAAGCATTCACTTCCGGGTTGTCAGTGTTCAGGTTCCAAATTGTTCAGCTTCTGAAGCGTTCAGCAACTGACGTTCCACTATAGAATTAAGTCACCTAGGCAGTTCAGACTGAAACCCAGCATAGTTGTACTTTTGTACCAATAACCTATTGCAGAGCTTTCCAGACTTTTCATGCTGGTGACACACTTTTTAGACATGCATCATTTTGTGACACAGTAATTCAGTTTTACTAGCAAACCAGAGGTTAAACTAACCCCTTTCCAGCCCTGGGAGGAGCGTGGGGAACGCTCGTGTGACACACACTGCAGCCGACAGTGATCACAGCCGAATGTGATTGCCAGCCTTAGTCTCAGAAATCTCATTCTGCACAAAATTCTGGAGTTACCAAAGCCCAGCTTGGCATATGACTAAATGTCAAAGCCAAGACTTAGTGGGCTGGTGTTCTGTGGCTAGAGATTTGAGAGTGTTTGCAACTGGCTGAGAGTTGATGCTGCAAATTAGGTTGTGTGGTGTGTTTTTTTGCAAACCCACAGTGTATTACCTTTCTTTCTTTACAGAAATAGTTCTGGTCAGGACCAGGCTGAAGAGCTATGCAAGAGGCTGAAGGAGGTAGAGGATGAGTAAGTTCATGATAATATGCTTATACTTTCTCAGGTATGTCCAGCCAGAATGCCGGCAGAATGTTGGAAGACATCTAGGGAGTGAAACTTACAGATGTTGGCAAGTAGTGTGTTTTGAGGAGGGGAGAGCCCATAAAGGAGATGTCCATGAATCCAGCTGTTAGTTAGTACAATGAGAGGCAGTCACAGCTGGGGCTATGCAAAAGTCATTTGGCAGGATTTGATCCAGGGAAGCCTCCTTCCACTAAATGAGGCCAAGCGCCCGCCATTTATGTGGCCTGGTCCCTGAAGCAGGTGGGAGGAGTAACTCAATATTGGTTAATCCCTGCCATTTAAGGAGAATGGGCAGAATCCATGTGGCCAGGAAATTGAGGATGGGATGGTAAAATGGTTACTTCTGAGCCAGAAGCCACTGCAAAGTTATTAGCAGTTACTGAGGTGGTAAACCTGCATTTGAGCTGCACCAGCTCACACTGCATGTATGGATTTCATATAATGAAATGCTCATTATATGAACCTACCGTCAGGAAGAGGACTTGGCTAGAATTTCTCTTTGTGATACATTATTTTCTCTGTGCTGTTCATTTATGGAGGAGTGTGCATTCTTGAGTCCCCACCTATAGTGTGAGGTGGTGCAACCGAGACCCAGGATTATTACCTCAGTGAGGAAAATATTTTAGAGCAGGGCTGCTGGAATCTCTGGCCTCCCAGGGGTTGTTGGATTACAGTTCCCATCATCCCTGATCATTGGCTTTGCTGGCTGGAGCTGTTGGGAGTCAAACAATACTTTGAGGGATAAAGGTTTCCCATCAGTGCTCCCGAGTGCGTGTGCATTAACAGAATCATCAGGTCATGACAGAATCATACTTTCCCCCTCCTCTCCAACCTTGTGTAAGGACTGTCAGTGGAAGCGTGAAGGACAATAGCAATTTAAGTCTTGGGGGCTGAAGATTGGCAGGTGAAAGGGTATAGTATTTGCAACACCCAAAGCAATGGAAGGTTTTGGAGTATGGAGTGTTGAGGTGGATGCTACTATCCCTCAGAATAATGAGCATTATTGAGTAAATCCTAGGATGAATGTCCTATCCACAAACAACCCCTCCTCCCCCAGTGTAGCTTTGGTAGATCATAACTAGTATATTTTGGACAGGACATCAAGGGTTTGCTACTGAGTGATGGAACCTGTAGTGGCTAGTACTGAAGTAGAGTAGAGGATATGCTATCTTGTGAAGTTCAGCAGCCGCACATTTTATCATTCCAACCCCCAGGAGTTCATCCCTTCGTCAACAGCTGGCATCAGCCAGAGAGGAGCTCGTGCGTCTGGCAGCATGGGAGCATGAGACCCAGCAGCAGCTACAAACACTGAGCAAGCAGTTGGAGGTGAATTTTCACTCTAGTATGAAAATCTTGTTCCCACAAGCTTCAGAGGTTCCTGTCTGTCCCACTTCACAGGTACTGACTGACCTGTGATCTGTCTCCCACTCTCATTACAGCAGGCAGGGGAGGACAAGGCCTCAGTAAAGGCTCAGGTGACTTCCTTGTTGGGGGAGTTGCAGGAGAGCCAAAGTCGCCTGGAAACCTGCACACAGGAAAAGAAAGAGCTGGAGGAGAGGTGAGTCACGCAGGAGACTTGTGTGGTCAGGCTGTGTGGTTGGCAAGTGGCTGGAGGGAGGCCTTTTTGCCTGCAGTGATGCAGACATTATGAAACAATGAGCTGGGCCTGCTCTGTGGGACAGGGAGATTGGCTCCACTGTCTTTCCCCCCCCAAGCATACTGACCTCAAACTGGAAGAGATCATGTGACGTCCTTTGTGCAGCAGGGGTCTGGATGTGTCCTGTACCTGGCACCCTAAATCTGGAACAGCCACATTTGCTTGATTAGCTCATGCCTGTGTGAAAAACACTAGGTGTTTTGAATACCAAAATCAAGACCCAGTCTCAGAAAAATATAGGAGACAGCTTTGATCCATTAGAACTGGCAGTCCATTAGAGTGGAAGCCTTTTTTTTTCTTCCAGTGGTTAGGTGTCAAACCAAAAAGCAAGTTGGGAACTGCTGCTGGCCTTCCATGTGCTTTCTCACAGTGTATGGGATCACAAAAATAATGACAAAAAAATGTTGAAGAGCTGGGGATGCTTCTTTGATATTTTCACCTCTGTCACTTGCCTTGGTGAAGAGGTCGGCAGGTTGCTTCTTCAGGAATGCAAGCAGCTATGATGGAAAGGTCAGAGAGAACCCCACCCTCAGTTACATGCACATCCTCAACAGTGGCCCACTTTCCATGTGAAGCCACAGAAGAGGATGACAGCACCGAGTGTTACGATGAAGAAGATTCAAGGAGTTGCGTAGAAAACCTATTGAATCAAACAATGCTGGATCTAGTGCTGTCATGGTACATATTTTCTGGGGTGAAAAGGCAAGGGTAATTCTGTCTACCCAGGAAATCTTGGCTAGCAGGTAAAGAGCTGTATTTGTCTTTTCTGCTGTGCTACAGGGTCCGTGCAGCTGGCGAAAGACTCCAACATCTTGAAAAGGAGGCTGAAGCCCGCACCAAACAGCACAGTGTGCAAGTCGATCAGTTGCGCCTGCAGGTGCAAAATCTAGAAAGTGCCTTGCGAGTGGAGCGGCAGAGCGCCACAGAGGAAAAGTGAGTGAGAGGATGGGAGAGCAAAGAGCCTGGGGGATTTAGCCCTGTGGCAAGTACCTATAAACTGATCTATTCCCTCTCTCCTCTATAGGAGAAAATTAGCTCAGCTGCAGGTGGCCTATCACCAGCTCTTCCAGGAGTATGACTCTCATATCAAAGCCAGTCTAGAAAATGAGAAGTGGAGCCAGGTGGGAGAAATGATGCTTTGTAATGAAAACCTTAATTCTATAAAGGGTCCCTTTTCCACTTTGTCTGGGTGGGGGCGGGGAGGTAGATTGAGATGTCATGCTTCGTTTTTCCTCTAGCAACATGCAGCACCTGATACTTTTTAGAGCTGCCCCATTCCTTCCAACCCACCAGAGTTCCAGTTTTCTCATTTTTCCTGGCATTTGTAAAGCATTTGCCCCCCATTCCTGTGTTGGGGTGGCTAATACATGATCACAGACCGTATCTAGTCCCTTAAAATAAGTTTAATAATAATGACGGCTCCCATGTGTCCCATGCCAAAAGTTGCTTTAGGGCCCCCAGCCCCTCAAATCTGTCCCTCAAAAAAAAAATAAAAAAAAATACTATACTGATAATTCCTGTTTATCATTTGCAATAAAGAAATTTGTGCCCAAAGTTGGTTTTAATTCTTAAAAAATATTGACAATTCCTATGCTCTGATGCCAAAAGTGCCCCAATTGCTTTTTTAAACTTGAAAAAGAAAACAGGTGGCAAGCCCCATGCCAAAGATCATCGTACTCTTATTAAATTTAGTAATAATGAGTGACAAAAATGGTTTAAAATGGGTGTCATTTGTTGAGGGGTCTTTTGGAAGGCTTACCTTCTTTTGCAACAACTTTACACTTCAGCCTTGGCTCCTAGAGGGTTGGTCATTGTGGCACTGGGCCTGAAAAACTTTAGCCACCCTTGTTCTATATAGTTTAAAAAGGTTTGGAAGGGGCAGTATTTTATTTGATAAAATAGTAATAAGAATAATTTCCTAGTTGTATGGCTTGTGGCGCAGTGGGTTCTCCAGTTACAAAAACAAAAAGGTATGTATGTATATATTGTGTTTATGCATCAGTCACACTAAAGTCAGAAAGAAATTTACAGTATTTCCAAAGTAACTATAGTGGTCTGTTGTACTAAATATAAATGCATACCCTTTGTATACCTTTTTTAAGAGTAATCCCAACAAACTTAATAGACTTTAGTCATGTTAAAAATTAAAACAGGACAGTCTTAGTCTGATTTAATTAATTTAGAACCATTGGCATGCAGTCCCCAGCAGAAAGTTGCCTACAGTGCTGTAGCATTATTGAACTCTGTCCCCTCCTCAGGGTTTGGATGTGCGGGCTGCTGAATTGTCTGAGCAATTACAGCAGGCTGAAGAGGCTCTGGTGGCCAAGCAGGAACTGATTGACAAGCTGAAGGAGGAGGCTGAGCAGCACAAGGCTATCATGGAGACTGTGCCTGTGCTCAAGGCACAGGTGAGTAGGGAATTAAGTTTGCCATGGGGAAGTAGCCATGCTGGAAAAGGGATTGGTGTGTATGTTTGTGGCAACCTGGGGAATGTGAGTAGTGCAGTAAGAGGTAAAGTAGCTGTCACCCTACTTTTTATTCAGGCTGATATCTACAAGACAGACTTCTTGGCAGAGCGTCATGCTCGGGAAAAACTACATGAACAGCGAGAGGCCCTGCTGGAGCAAGTTGCTCAACTGCAGAGAGATTATGAAAAGCTGCAAGCAGAATCTGAGGGAGTCAGACGGTGAGTAGGGGATGGATGAAAACACTGACACACCTAGAATGTAGTAGTTTGTCCACATCAGCTGTGGTGTTGGTATCTGTGTTAAGCTTCTTTTGATTTTGGGCAAGGTATGAAAGTGGTCTGTAGCCAAAGGCAACGAACCTTATACAGTGGTTCCTTGGGTTAAGTACTTAATTCGTTCCGGAGGTCTGTACTTAACCTGCAGCACCACTCTAGCTAATGGGGCCTCCTGCTGCCGCCGTGCCACCAGAGTACGATTTCTGTTCTCATCCTGAAGCAAAGTTCTTAACCCAAGGTACTATTTCTGGGTTAGAGGAGTCTAACCTGAAGCGTCTGTAACCCGAGGTACCACTGTACGTCTTTCACTTTTCCTGGGAAAGGGTTAGTATTACAAATAAACTGAATTGTGGTTATCTCTCCCTAAACAGTTCTCTGATGGAAGAGATGAGGAATCGCCATTCAGAAATGCGGCCACAACCTCAGCCAGGTGTGTTTTAGTGTTGCTTATCCTTAAGAGAAAAAAAATCAGTTCACACACAAGCACATACTGCTTATGTTATTTCTAATCAATTTGGCTTGTTTTAAGAATTCCTTTAAAAAAACCAAAAACTTTATTGCCTGCCTTTATTTATTGCTGGTTAACCATTCTGGCATCTTGAACCTGCTGTAATCTTTCCACAAGTGTGGCATATATTCCTCCTAAGCATCTAGTATTGTGGTTTTTAAATATACTCCAAGCATCCTGAAGAGATTTGTCCCTCTTGATTCCCTCTTCTGCTTTCTTGAAGGAACTTGCAGCTATGAGAACAAATGTGAAGTGTTGTCATCACTGCTAGCATGACGGAGTAAATATACTGGTGCATGCAGATTGACTGTACTTTTCTTGTCCTTCCAGGTTTCCCGAGGGGTCCTGCCCCATTCCACCCCCAGCTTCTAACAGTGAGAAGACAAAGCCTTGCTGAAGAACCAATTGAGTTCTCTTGTCCCAAGTGCCAGTACAGGGCTCCAGACATGGACACTCTACAAATCCACGTCATGGACTGTATCCAGTGACACTGATTGAGGAAGGGAATGAGTGTTCCATTCTGTGGTATCATTTTGTTGCCTTAAGCCAAACCAGCAGTACAGCTAAGAGTTTACCTTGGAGCAAAGATCATTGACTGTTTCCTCCCTACATGTATGTCATTAACTTTTTTCCTTCTATGAAAATGGTAAAGCCTGCTGCTGTCCTCCTTCAGAGCCTGGCTACCATAGCCATGGGGTTTTCACTGTTTTAGGTTTGTGTGAAATAATGTGTTTGATCTACTGTATGTCAGGAGGATTCAGCCACCCCTTTAACATAACAAACAATACATATCTCAGTAGCTCTTTTAAGGGTGCTTCTCCATGAAGACTGCTCATTCTTGCTTTCTCTAAGTGCCTCCCAAGATACAGGAAGAATTCTCCAAGCTACATACCCTAACTGTGCCTTACACATTTCCTTAGCCAAGCTGTGATGAGGAAGCCCATGCAATAGAGAAAGAGAATAGTTTATTTCTTTTGCTTTCCAAGAGGTATGCCCAGTTGAAACTGCTTATTGGGGTTAGTTACCAGTATTTCTACAGTATGAAGAGTCACTATACGACTCCTACTTTCTCTAAAGTCAATTAAAGTAAAGTTCAAGATCAGCAATGACTTTTCTACTTATACCTGGCATATTCCCTCCTCTGTTAACAGTGTGTAAGTACTTCACCCTTCCAAATACCACAATAGTTGTAGAAATCAACTTTATTAACTCAATCACCAATAATTTACAACCCAAGGAACAATCCATGAAGCTGAGCTTGGTGCTGCTCCTCCAGGTTTCCTCTGCTCCTCCAAGCCCATGATTGGGTTTTAACGGAGGTGCTTCATAATGAGAGGAGAGACCTCTGGCCCAACCAAATGGCTTTTTAAGTCACCCACCCTCCTTTTGGACCAGCTGCTCAGTCTGACCAAAAGCTGGGAGAGCTCAATAACAAGCAGAACTATTCCAATAAATAATTCAAGTTACCATCTTCTCCAAAATCAAGAGTGTCCGCAATTTACCTGCTTGCAGGAAATGACTTTAAAATTGATCACATCAGATGGCAGGAAGGAACCAGCCACCAACTGATAGTGTTCTGAGGATCATTTTGCTGTAGAAGGTAACTGCACACTGATCCAAAGGCTCGGGTGCTACCCTTTTCAATCCCAGAACCTACAGTGGATAAAAGAAAACTATTTTGCCACCTCATGATGCAGCTTCAGGGCTGGCACTGGAATTATTATCCTGAGGGGAGGCACTGGCCCCACGGGGTGTCACTTCAATGATACGGGGTTTGTCAATGATGCGAGCGGTCTGGTTGCCCTTCTCCACAATGCCAATGATCCAGGCTTGGTGTCCTTCTCCATATTTGGGAGATTTGATCTCTGCACAGAAGCGAGCAGCCTGCTCTCGGGGTAAACAGATCAGCAGCCCACCTGCCATGTAGGAGAGCAAGTTACAGGTCACTTACAGGTTTAAATTCCCTTCGACCCCACCTTCAGCTCCTATAGCGCAGACTATCGATCTTACCAGATGTCTCGGGGGATGTTCCTTGTAGTAGCCGTGACCGGTTGCCACACGCTTTGCTAATAGCAGCCATTTTGGCAAGGATAGGCAGATTGTGGATGACAAATGACACCTCACTGCGCTGCTGTTTGGCCAAATTCTGTGCATGACCCAGAATACCAAAGCCTGTAATATCTGTAGCAGCATGGGCATTGAAAGTATGCATCAAGCTGGCAGCTGAAAGACCAAGAGCATGAACATTTAAAAGCAGAAGTAATGGCAAAGTAGCAGTCACAATTGCTGCTAGCAATCTCCAAACAACCACTGTCTAGCCTATACCTAATACAGCAAGAACCAATCACTACTTCATCAGGAGGCAGCTTCTGAAGGGTAGTAGCAACATTATGTGTCCAGCAGGGATGCAGTAACCTTTGGCTTTACATATACGATGTAAATTAATTCTTCATTAATACCTGCCCATCAAGGTATGGGGAAATCGGGTCCACTCAGGTCCTAGAGCCTCATGTCTAAGAGGATGGAAATCTTTTCAGCCCAAGGGCTGCACTCCCTTACAAGCCACTTTCCAGGGAAAACACTTTTTTGGAGTAATGCCATAACATTATATATCAGTGGAAAGATAATTTAATGAAGAATGTAATGCAATAACTTTTATGAAGGATTATTTATTACAACAGCAGTCATAAAGAAGAAACGTGAAACATAGAAAAAGTGAGATATACAAAAATTCTCACCACGTCAGTTAATAGTTGGGTAACCTTTAGCTTTAATTATGGCCTTAAACACTTTCCTGTGGAGTGAACCAAGTTTTTTTAGTTCTGCAGCTGTAATAATGTGAAACCAAGATTGAATTATTGCCTCCATTTATTGGGTTTTCTTGCTGGGTTGCTTCTGACTAACAAGTTTCTTTGGTTGGCTCCATAGATTTTCGACTGGGTTAAGGTCTGGGTTATGTAATATTGGGCATTTACATTCCCATTAATAATGCAAATTATGCCCACACCTTTTGCTATCATACAGCCCCAGATCATAACACTTAACTGGGTGTTTCATGGTACTTGCAATGCAAGTAGAATGGAAATCTCTGATTCTTCTCATGTATTTCATGCCATCACTACCAAAAGCAAGGAGATTTGGGTCTTATCCCTCCAAATAGCACTGTCCCATTGTTCTGCTGTCCAGTTAACATGGGTTTTAGCCCAGTTTGATCTTTTCAACCTTTGTTTGAGATAACAATGGCTTTTTCCTTGGAATTCTAGCATTTAGACCGTATTCCTGCAGTCTGTGCCAAACAGTTCTTGCACTCAACTTCACATTACATTGCACCATGTCATCTTGTATACACCCAGATGATTTTATTCTATCTCATATACACAGTCTCTCAATTCTTCCATTGTCACCTGCTGTTGTGCACCTTTTCCTGCGTTTTCCAGTCTGATTTTGTAGTGACTGAGTCTCCTTATACCTCTTCAAAAATCTAGCAATGCCACCTTTGGTTAAGTTTCCACCAATTTTTCTTCTAATTTCTTCATAATTGTAGCCTTGTTCACTTAATAGTACTATTTTACTAAATGAAAGAACAAAAAAACAAAAAACCACAAAACAACACAAAAACAACCAGCTTGATAACATCAATAGCTGAATCCTACTGTGATCTGATTGAATCATTGCCCAAACAAGTTGACACCTGATTGGCTCTCTAAACACTCATGCTCATTTGCTACATTCAAATGAAGGATAGCTACTGCATATCAACCTAAGCAAGCTGTGCTTCCTTTTTCTGGTTATTTGGCTATAACTTTTGACAGATAATTGAACAAACTTTGTTGCATTACATTCTTCATTAAATTATTTTTCCATTGATATATAATTTTATGGTATTACTAAAAAAGAAGAAGTGGTGTTAGGAGCCATCAAACCTCGGAAATACACGTTTTCCAAAACGTTTCCACAATTTGGGCCACTAGTGTACACCCAGTTCTGTCAGCAAATTAAGTTATGGACTCAATTCCCCCTTTGTTTAAAAGTATCAAATTTTGAAGAGCACTAGGGCTGGGCAATATCTGGTTTTCAATATAACGATACAGCTAAACATTGCAATATACCAATACATCACAATTATCTGAAATAAGATGGAGCTACGTAGAGGCGAACATGGTAATGTCCTTGCAACTGCTACTAAGTTACGGGTCTAAATCACCACACACTAAATCATCACTTTCATCAGCAGGCAAGCCAAAATGCATCCAAACAGGATGCTTTTGGGCATGAATATTCAGGCCTAGGACAATCCAAAATACAGTGGTGAATCAGAGTGAATACAAATAATCTGGGAAAATATTGGAACAACAACAAAATAATAATCTAAATTTGATGCATATAATTATATGAAAATTAACTCGATGATAGCATGCTTCAACCAAACCATTAAAGATTTCTGGAGAATATATTAATGTTCTATGCAGTTTTAGGGGCAAATTAAAAATTTACAATATTAAACTTGCATATGATTAACAATTCAATCTGTTTTCTACTAATTTAAGAGTAATTTATGTAATTTACTAGTGCCAAGTTGCATCTCCTTCCCAACTCAGAGGGCCAACTGCAATTCTATGCATGAGTAAGCCCTCCTGAGTTCAGCTAAACTTGCTTCTACTTTCCTGGGAGTAAGCCCCATTGAATTTAGTAGAGCTTACTTCTGAGTAGACACACATTTGCTTGGACTCCTTACCAACAAGCACCCACCCTCCCTATCATTCTTGCCTCACAACACTCAACCTCCCATTTCAGCACGAGGCAGCAACTGTTAAATCTTCCCCCTCTTCATTTCTTCCCATTGTGACACAGAAGGGCCCCCATCACACCATTCTCTCCCTTTTTATCAAAGGGAAGGAGGAAAGCCTTTTTCATACGAGGGAAGCTATTTAGAGTGAACCAACTATGTCTTACACAGCAACTTGTTTTTTTGTTCTTACTTTCATGGGGGCGGGGGAGAAGGGGCTGCATCAAAACCTCAGACAGTAGTAAAGGGAGGGGAGAGAAAGGCATGCGCATGCGCGCGCGCACACACACACACACACACACACACACACAGTGGCAGAAGGGGAGACAGGCAGTAAAGGCATCAGAGGGGAGAGAGCCGCTTCAGGCACACATGCGCAGGGGAGTAAAGAAAGACTTAAATAACAGGGCAACCTTTTTTGTTCTTACTCTGAAGAAAACAACCCTGTTTGTTCTTTCACTGGGTAAGGAGAGGGGAAAGGGGGCTTCCAGCAAGAATCCCCAAGCCAGCTCAGACCAGCATCTCTGCAAACCACACCTACCAGCCTGTCACACTGGGTACTAGCCTACTTTAAGCAAGCAGAACATAGTCTTTTAAGTTGCTGCTGCTGGTGGTGGTTTCCCAGCTACTTTCATAATCGTCACCTGCAGAGGCAGTGGAGCTGAGCTGGGGCTCGCTGCAGAATTGAAACATAGTGATAGCTGCTACGCCTGCTCTTGTGAGTCGCTTGCTGCTTCTGTAGGAGGCACCGGAAGCACTAAGAAGCACACGGGTTTTCTCAAATTCATGATGTTTGCCAGGTAACATTTTATGAAAGTTACCGTGATGTGGACTTCCTAATCGATTTTGAACAATATATTGAAAAATCACCCAGGTCTAATCTGCACACATATCTGCAGATGGAATCTTAAATCACCTGAGCTTTATTACTTTCATCCCAATGGTAACTTTTTGTGATGAGAAATACTAATCAACTGATATGTAAAAAAATAAAAATTATTATTGTACATAAAACAAGGCATTCCACATTTCAACATATTTTCTCCTTTAAAGATGAAGGTTAAAAGATGAAGATTAGAAGAATTCAGAAGGTCCTGGGACTCGAATGCCCCAAGAACTTGAGAAGTACATGGGCAGACTTTCAAGATTTATTTTGAATATTTCTATCCCACCTTCTGCCTCAATGAGGAACTCTAGGTGGACCATGTGTTTTCCAAAACAATCAAAAACCTTTGTGTTCTAGATGACATGTAGGAGGTCTCCAGTACAACTATAGGTATAGTATCCTGGTTTTTTAAAATAATAATAATTGCATTTGCTGCCACAGTGGTGTCAATCCTTTGCCTTATAAATGAAGAACAAGTCAACCCCCCCCCATACCTGTCCTGTTCAACATGGCCATACTGAACATGGCTTCCTGATATGCCAGTTCAACATCTTCTCTGGAGACCACCAGCTTAATTTTATTCCACCGTTCTGGCTGAAATGGAAAAGTAGTATGTTAAGAAATTGTTTTGAGGCTGCATTTCTCGCTAACAAATTCAGGGGTCTCAAGTTAGTCTAATGCAACCTGTCTATAATAGCACCATCTCCTTGATCAGGAAGCCTCTTGACCTTGGGATGTGCTTAGGGAATCTACTCCTTGTATTGGGCCAGAGAGAGGCAGATTGAGGGTCTGATTGCCCTGTTGTCCAGCAGCATCCCTGATCTAGCTGGCAGATGTAGTCTTGGGGATACTAAAATGATAATCTTGAGTGATTTCAAGATCCACGCGGAGGCTGCTATCAGGCCAGCTCGAAACTTTGTGGCCTCCATGACAACCATGGATCCCTCTCAGGTAGTTATCGGTCCAACACACCAGGTGTGGCACACCCCATGTGATCTTTGCCCCCATGTGATATGAGGGATGGACTGAAGATAGAGGGAATACAATGCATTCCCATGTCATAGTCAGACCATTATCAGGTTAAGTTTAGACTCACAGTGGCATTTCTCCCTGTAAGGGTGGTGGGCCAATTCAGGTAGCCTGTGCTCAAAGACTGATGAAATCAGGTTCCTGAATGCTCTGTGATTTTCCATGGACAAAGCTGGTGACCCTGTCAAAGTCCTGGTCTTGCTTTTGAAACAGGTGGTTTTTGTACATCCACACTGGCATTTTGTAGCCCAAGCAGCTCCTTGGTACTCTGAGGAGATCTGGATTATGAAACAAGCTGGACAAAGACTGGAGTGCAAGTGGTGCACGTCTCATTCTGAAGCTGACCAAACACTGGTAAGAACACACGATTGTGCCTACTATGTGGCAGTGTGAGCTGCAAAACAGGCTCTCTTTGCAGCTCGCATTGTCTCCTCTGGTAGCTAGCCAGTGGAGGAGTTATTTCAGATGGTCTGGAGGTTACTGACTCCCAGTGTGGAGAAGCATTTGAAGACCCCTGTGACCAACTGGCTATGCACTTTGAGGATAAAGTCATTCAACTTTGGTGTGATATCGACTCTCCATTTGTTGAAAGTACCCAGTGCCGCTATTGAGGATGTTTTGTGGGATCACTTTCACCTTAAGCAAGGAGCTCATCTGGACAAGGTGCTGGGGCAAGGAATGCATCCAACCACATGCCCCTTGTTCCTCCTAGCTTATTAAAACTATGCATACAAGAGGATCCCCTGCAGATAGATAGATAGAGGAATACAAATGGATGCGCAAGGTTTCCCACAGATGAGCACTTACATTATCTAGCCACTGATGAGCATTTACAGCCACTTGAGTCCCCAGTGGTTTAGTCAGCACAAGAACATCCCCTGGAACAGCACTGTCTGGCCTAAAATCATAAGAAACTCACACTCAGACCTACTTGTTTATGTTTAGCAGTTATAGCCTGTCCATAACAGAGTTCTTAAAGAGTTCTTAGTGTGGTGTCTAAACCTGGGTCCAAAGTTTATCTCCCCAAGTCAGGAACAAGAGACAGCTTTCCAATAGATTGGGAGAGGGGGAACCTTCTTGTCCTAGAAGGCAAAATCTTTAGTTCCCTCTGCCCTACATGCCAACTTTGAATGGTGTATGGTCCAGCCAACCTGTCAAAATTAGCCTGTGGGGATGGGAGGAGACAGTGACTAAGCAGAATTGAACTAAACTGATACTCAGGAGTTCAATTTTATTTTATTTTTTGTCACAGGATCTAGCTGCATCTCTTCCTGCAACACACACAATGACAAATGTGACATCAAATGTGCAGCAAGTGGCCATAGTTTGGGGGGAAATGGCCTGGGAGACCAAATATGACCTCTGGTTCCCCATCCTTGCTGCCGACCATGGCAACCTTCAACCCTGTTAAGTCTGAAAGAGCTGAAAGAGACAACACCACCCAGCAATTCCACCAAGTCTCAGTAATATAATGCCAGGTCAGCTGCTGCCTCAACCATCAAATCATGGCTGAGGAAGCATTAATATGGTCCCAAAATAAACTTGCATACAGGCAGCTTACAAAGCCAGTACTGGTTATCTGAATCACAGACTGGATCATTTGTCTTCAGAGCATTATGTACATTACTATGGTCTCATCTTCCACATAACTTTATGATCACTGTGACAGCCGAAGCAGCAATATTGTTAGTCCTGGAATAGTTAAGAGGATTTGCCAGCCCCCAACCCTACTGTTTTTGCTCTAAAGTGGCATGGGCAATCCCTAGCTCAACTCTACCATTTCATTATTTGATTCAGTGATCCCAATGTCTAGCAAGCATCCTCTAAACCTTTCAACTGTTAAGATTGCAACACAATTACCTCTCTTGTAAATACATCTATGGCATGCATTTTCAAATCGGGTCTCTCCCAATGAGATGCATTTACTCACATGATGAACTCATTGGGCTGACATACAACTGTTGCAACTCCTCCAACAATAATCCAAGGATTCAGGACAGTCTGCCCACCAGTTACTGAGGTGCCACCATCTTCTGCTGCATCCCGAAAGCCTTTGATTATCAGTGGCATTATTTTCTCCCGCTCCTGGGTGAAGGATAAAATAAAGGATTCAGAAAATCAAGACTGAGGTGGAAAGCTGGGTCAGGGATACTAAGGACTGTTTCCTACCTGTATGTTTCACAGAAAGGCGGGGTCTATAAAGCACTTACTCTGTGAAGTGTCATGCAATCACATTTCAAGCACCAAACAAAGCCATTGTTAAGGAAGCTAAACCATAGGTTTTTATGATGCCCAAGTTGACAAGCAAATATTTGCAAATGGCCAGCTATTGTTTGGTGTGATAAATGAGCCAAGTCACCATCTCTGGTGAACATCACACAAACAAGACTGCCAATGGAAAACCTAAATAAAGCATGGTTTGACCTTTTTGTCTGGAAGCCAGAATTATGGTCAACACAAACTACAGTTTGACGTGTCTGAACTAGGTTTCTGATCTTATTCCTTGCAAATAATCATTCACTTAAATCCTACTTTAACTGGCAGTGGCTCTCCTAAGTATCAGGCAGGGATAATACACATCACCTATTACCCAATTATTTAGCTGGTGCTGCCAGGGATTGAACCTTAGACCTCTGACAAGCGAGTCATGTGCTCTATAAATTATTTGCCTTAAAACGTTCAGAGGTATCTATTTCCAGGCCGTAGCCAGGCTGAAACAAACCAAAGCTCTGCAGGTGAAGCCAGACAAAGAAGTTCCTTTTCTGAAATCCACTTGTGCCATAATTACCTACCATAATTATGTCAAAAAAATTGTACATTAAAATATTCATTTTTCCTATTATTTAAGTAAAATGTATTTCTAGAGACAAAATTATCCATTATACTTCTCACCTCCTCAGTCATTTTCTGGCTTACACTCAGAAGCATAAGCATGTTGTCACATTCTGTGATGCCCATGGCGTAGAGGTCACTCAGCACGTTAGCACAGGCAATGCGGCCCTAGACCAGACACATGCAGCAAAAGATATAGAATGAGGAAGATGACACACAAGGCAAGTGTCCTCATGAACTGTCTCACATCACAAATGTACCATGTTCCATTACAAACATGGCTAATTCTTTTTTATCCAGTCAAGCCTGCTCACCATCATATACGGGTCCTCCACTAGTGGATAAAAGAAGTCTGTGGTCTGTACAAGGGAGAGACCCCCATGCCTCAATGGGATCACACAGGAGTCCATTCCGATGCCTGTGGAGAGAAGGGACCCCAAGCACATCAGCACCTTTAGAAGTATTCCCACCCCAAACACCTACTTGTTTTAGGTCAATGACCTCTGTGATCTCTGACCACTGGTCCTGTTAGCTAGGGATGATGGGAGTTGTAGTCCCAAAACAGCTGGAGGGTCAAGTTTGGCCATCACTGTTTTAGGTAGTCAGAACAGCCCTATCTTCAGCCCAGGTCTACAAATGCAGCCAAATGAGGAATAATGTCCTAGAGTCCAAAGATTGAGATAAACAACTACCTGACATTCAGAAGACATCTTAAGGCAGCCCTGTTCAGGGAAGTTTTTAATGTATGACATCTTAGTGTATTTTTGGTCTTTGTGGAAGCCGCCCAGAGTGGCTGGGGAAACCCAGCCAGATGGGTGGGGTACAAATAAATTATTATTATTACTACAGTAGTACCTTGGTTCTTGAACTTAATCTGTTCCGGAAGTCCATTCCAAAACCAAGGCGTGCTCTCCCATAGAAAGTAATGCAAAATGGATTAATCGGTTCCAGGCTGTTGAAAAACTACCCCTAAAACGCTTCTCCCCACTGCCCCAATCAGCATGATCTTTCAAGATCTCTCTCTCTCTCAGGTCAAAGCAACTGGGTTTCAGAGCGCTGCCAGGAGGCTTCTCCCCACTGCCCCAATCAGTGCAATCTCTCTAAAAATGGAAGCGCAACACTAAAATATTTCCAGAACTGGAACGCTCACTTCCGGGTTTGCAACATTCGGGTTCTAAGTTGTTCATGAACTAGGGTGTTTGAGAACCTGTAGAATGGACTTTTGTACGGAAGGAATTATACAGTACTTGTAATTGAATACTTAAGTGGTCTCAAGTGTTTAACGCAGTCTCCACGTTACATAGTTGCAATCTTTGAAATAATTCTGTAAGACGTATCAGCGTTAATTACATGTGATTTTTTTGGAGTGGGGGAGACAAATTCAGCCTAGACCTTCTGGTGAAGGTTAGACTTTAAAACTCCCCTACGTTAAGAAAACGACATATTCGAGTAGAAAAACAGAACGGGGGGAGAGGTCTACGGAGGGCCAGAGCCTTTCTCCCGCATCAGCAAGCTACCCCGCTGCAGGATATGGGGCGTTGATTTAAACGGAGAAAATCCGAAAAAGGCCTCCCCCCCCCCCCCGCCTGGCGGCGGCCCCGCACCGTGGGCCTCCCCCTTCCGCGGCCTTCGGAGCGCCTCCCCACCCCCTCCGCGCCCAGCCTCACCGAGGGTCCGGGGGGCCCCGCCGACGGCAGCCGCCTCCCCTGCGCCCGCCTCTCCCGCGCGGGCCCCGCCGCCGAGTCCCTCCAGGAGCCTGAGCAGCGTCTCCTGAGGGACTTTGCAGCCTCAGCCGCGCAGCTCCCCGTAGCTGGTGAGCCGCCAGCCCGGGCCGAGCCCCAGCGCCTCGGGCTCGAAGGGCCGGTAGCCCGGCGGGCCCACGGGGCTGGGGGCGGCCGCCGCCGCCGCGGCCAGAGAAGGAAGGCCGGCCGAGGGGGAGCCTGCCAGCGCCGCCATGACGCCTTGCCGAGGGAGAGGGCGGCCGTTGGGCGGGCGGAGGAGAAAGGGCGGGAACGCCGGGCGGCTCTCGGAGCTCTCGCGAGGGCCGCACTCCCGCGCAGGCGCTCTGCCCGCTGCTTCCGGCCCCGTGCCAGTCAGGGGCGGGCGGGGCGGGCGGGGAGTTGCCTCCGGGGCTGGAGCTGCTCCGCCTCGCTGGGCCGCCCGGACCCCGCGGCGCCAGATTCGGACAGTCGGCTTCCAGGGCTGCTGCTGCCTCTTCTGGAATGTGTCACTCGGCCAGCTCGCATCTTGTCAAGCCCCCTCTCTCCTCGGGCCTCGGGAGGCGCACCTGCCAGATGGCCCCGAGCGTGAGCCCCGCCCCCCGTATTGGAGCTCCCAAAGGGACGCGTCCAGTGCCCGAAAATTAAGACATGGGTGGGGAGATGGCGGCTGTTCTCATGTCCTGTAACACATTGAGTTGGCTACAATAGGAAACGATGCTGGGTGTGAAAGGCCCTTGGTTTGTTCCAACAGGGCTCTTCTTTGTACATAAATTGCATAGCCACTGAGTAGCACATAAATAAGGGTAAGTTCTACCTCAGTGGCAGAGCATCTGCTTTGCATGAATAGGTGAAAGGTTTGAGGATAATACTGGTTGGTATCTGTCTGTCTCAGGAGACAGTGGAGGAGTGAACCTTTGGGGGCGCAGTCAGACTCTTGTAAGGTTGCAGCTCCTGTATTATTGTTGTTTAGTCTTTAGTCGTGTCCGACTCTTTGTGACCCCCTGGACCAGAGCACGCCAGGCACTCTTGTCTTCCACTGCCTCATGTTCGTAGCTTCAAGAACACCGTCCAACCATCTTTCTCTCTGTCGTCCCCTTCTCCTTGTGCCCTCCATCTTTCCCAACATCAGGGTCTTTTCCAGGGAGTCTTCTCTTCTCATGAGGCTGCCAAAGTATTGGAGCCTCAGCTTCAGGATCTGTCCTTCCAGTGAGCACTCAGGGCTGATTTCCTTCAGAATGGAGAGGTTTGATCTTGCAGTCCATGGGACTCTCAAGAGTCTCCTCCAGCACCAGAATTCAAAAGCATCAATTCTTCGGCGATCAGCCTTTTTTCTGGTCCATCTCTCACTTCCATACATCACTACTGGGAAAACCATAGCTTTAACTATATGGACCTAAGCTAACTAAACTCCATGGACAAAGACAACAGCTCCTGTATAGTTGTAGAGAATGATATGGGAGATACATGTTTTGTTGCAACTGGGACAGATGAAGTCGTCACGTTGTGCTGCTACAGATTCACCATAGCATTTCTCTCTGCACTCCTCTAGGCCTGGCTAATTTATATTGCCACCTCCTGAGCCCCTCTGGTACCAGTGTCCAGCACGCCGAGGGAGAAACAAGCTGCAGTCTAGTGCTGGAGGCAGAGGGACTCAGGAGCGGTATCAGTTTCACCAGTGATAAACCCCTGAGTGAAACCACCATCGGGATCTGCCTCTCATACTGGCAGAGGAAGAAACAAGTTGTATACATTTTGTTCCTCCTTCACTTCCTTAAACTGCTTGGCTGAAGAGCGTGCCACTGCCCTCGCTTCAGCCAAGCAGTTTTACGGAGTCCCCAACCCGCCACTGGTTGCCATCCTGCCCCCCAGCTGAGCCTCGCCAGTCCCCCTCACCTGTCAAGGCAGTGGCATATGCTGTTTTGGTTGCCACCACTGCCTTGGCACAGGCGGGGGGAGGCGTGAGTGGGCCAACTCTTCCTCCCAGGAGGCAGTGGGTGAGTTAGACATGCGAACGCAGCATTCAAGTGCCTGCCTCATATGCCACTGCTTTGACACTGGCTCCTTTCCAACATCGTAATATACCTCCATATTAGGGTGTTTAGCTGGTGGTATATTACAATGTTCAAAAGCAGTTATGGCCCAGCCCTACACTCCTCCCAGCGGTCATTCTTCCTCTGGTCACTGCTATAGATACACAACTTGACCATCTGTCTCCAGGCACTGCGGTCATCTGCAAGGGATTCCCACAAGGTGGGGTTGATGTTGTCAGCATTCATGTCATGTTTGCAGACATTTTTGTAACACAGAGTTGGTCTGCCAATGGGCCTGGTGCCTGAAGCCAGCTTTCCCTGGGGAGCATGTCCTTGGGGGTCCTGCCAGCTGTGCCAATACCCACATAACTGATCACATGACATGGCACACACACACCATTTCCCTCAACTTGGGGAGGGGCAGCCCCCTTAAACATTTTATTGGGGGGAGCAATGGGACCTCGGCCCCTAGGCTCCTATGGGTCCTGCCATCTTCCATTCTGTGGACATGACCAAGTCAGTGTAGATGTTGCTGAGATGGGGGAGTGAACAGGCTGGGAATGTGGATTTGGGAGAGCACATCTTTGTTTGAAAAACTGTCCTGCCATGAGATACCCAAAATCTTCCTGACACAGTGCATGCACAAGGCATTGAGGTGTTACTCCTGATGATTGTAAGTTGCCCATGACTCACTTCTATCACATTCTCCCGTACCCTTTTGGAGAGGTGGGCTATTGCTGTAGCTGCCTTGCCAATACACTGGTCCAGCTCAGCACTGATGAAGAGGTTGCTAATGGAGAGGAACCCAGTTCAACAAAATTATCTACCACCTCAGATGTGGAGTGCTGGTGCTGTCTTGACCTAAGTTACTGTAAGGCTGATGGTGAGACCAAATTCCCTGCAGGCTTTGGCAAAACAGTTGATGGGTCTCTGTAGAGCTGCCTCTGTGTGTGCTGTCAAGGCTGCGTCATCTGTAAACAATATCTCTCAGATAAGAACCTGCCACACTTTAGTCTTGGCATGGAACTGTGCTAGGTTGAACAGAACCCAGTTGTTCCTTGAATGGTGTACACACCATTTTCAGTCAAGCTGAAGGCATAGGACATCAACAGCGACAATAATATGGCACAAAGAGTTGGGGTGAGAACACAGCCCTGTTTCATAGCATTTTTTATAGGGAGGGCATCTGAGGATGAGCTGTCATATTGGACAGTGCTACGCGTGCTCTTGTGGAAGGACACAATCCTCTTGTGAAGCTTAGGTGGGCAACCTATCTTGTTGAGCAGTGTGACAAGTCCTTTTCAGCTGATGAGATCAAAGGCCTTCATCAGATCTATGAAGGCAATATATGAAAGGGTGTCTCTGCTCTTGGCATTTCTCCTGCAGCTGACACAGTGAGAAGATCAGGTCAACTGTTGACCTCTGAGCTCTAAAACCGTATTGTGACACAGGATAGATTCTGTCAGCGAGTGACTGTGATTTGTTGAGAACTACATGGGTTTTACAGCCATGATGGTCACCTTTGTTCTTGCAGAGGGTCATGATGCTTTAGTAGCGCATGTCTTGTGCCATGGGACCTTATTCCCAACACTGTGGCGGTGTGTGATGAGGGAGGATTTAAAAGTAGCATTCTGTTGGGATTCTGTCCTGTCCTGGGACTTTACTGCATGCCTGAGATTTGATGGCATTCTTCAGCTCCTTGAGAGTGGGGGAGCACCTTGCTCTTCCAAGACAGGATACTGTCGACTGCTGTGTCAGAGACCATGTTTCTCTGCAAGGACAGTTATTGGTAGTGCTCTGCCCATTGCTTCATCTGCTTGCTGCAGTCTGTGATGATCTCTCCAGACATGGTTTTCAGCAGTGCAGTTTTTTTTGACAATTGGTCCAAAGGCTTTTTTCACTGTACATTTTGCAAGTGTTGCCGGTGTTAGCAGCAAGTTGAATGCTCAGACACAGCTTTAGCCAGTAGTCAGCACATTGTCTGGCAATCTGCTGGGCATCACTCCTTCCCTTTCTCACTGTAGCAAGTATCTTTTCATAGTGTGCAAACTTGGAGTTCACAAAAGCCTAATGCCTTTGTAGCAATAACAGGCTCCATGTCCTTTATACAGTACTGGCCTTTTGGAGCTATGGAGGTAAGGCTCCGCTTGTGCTGAGGCACACCTCACACCTGGCACACCACAGCGTGCCAAGGAGCCTTGCACCCGCGCTCCATGAACTTGTGGCCTCTTGGCAAGTAGACAGGGTTTCCCCCCTGACCTTTTGTCCTTTCATTTGATCTGTTTACTAGACAGAACGCTTGGCTAAAGCATAACAAGGAACACAGACACAATCCACTGTCACAACGCCTATGGGAAACCCCTGCTAATGCTCAGAATGTGTTTAGATGGAATATATTAAAGTTCAGAGTGGTTTCACTACCTCTTTTTCCAACTGTATTTTATCCAATAAAAAGAGGCTCCGCAAGGCTGGCTTTTCAGCTTGCTCCTGCACAGCTCACTTGCATCCAACCTTTTGTCGCCCTCGTTATTCCTACACCAAGCCCACAGGTAAGGATAGCATCAAAGCAAGCCAATTAGTGTATATCAAAGCAAGTAAATATAAACACATATGAGCTCATTGCTACAACAACTACCAATTAACATTGGAATTATATTGACTACCAAGATGGCATTAGAAAAGCTTCTGGAACAGTTCACCTTTGGTTCAACACACTTGTGATCCTCTAAGACCTTATGGAAGAACTGTTGAGCAAGCCTGCAGTATATCACAATGCAGACATTGCAGAAATCAATACAGACCATTCCAGCCATACTAATCCTGACTCAGACTGGCAGTAAATCTCCACGCTCTAAAGCAAACAAAACAAAAACCGTTATTTGATACTACTAAAGAATTTTAGACAAGCAATCCGATGGCTTGCAACCTGTGTGCAGGAGGAAGGACTCCCATCCCCCAGAAGCTCAGCCATCAAATTATATATACTGTTTTAAATGTTTCATGCAAATGGGGCCCTATTATTTTGTGGAAATTGAAAATTTGTTAAGGGGGAATAATTGAGGGTGTCAAAATACGGACATTATCAGGTTTTGATTTTCATCTTTATTATCTACAGAACAGTGACATTTGAACTGTGTGCTGGAACATGTCAGTGGATAGAGAGAGAGGGATAGGAAGGAAGGAAGGAAGGAAGGAAGGAAGATAAAGTTCCTAAAGGTAAGAGTTGTTAAACCATGGAACAGACTGCCTTGGTAGGTGGTGGGCTCTACTTTACTGGAGGTATTTAAGCAAAGGCATCAGGATGGCCAGCTGTCAGGGATGCTGTAGTTGCATCCTGCACTGCAAAGCCTACATTGAGCAGGGAGGTTTGTCTTGAGGACCTCCATGCTGGAGAACAGCAACAACTGACAAAAGATAGACATAATACAGTGGTACCTTGGTTTTCAAATGCCTTGGTAGTCAAACGCCTTGGTTCCCAAATGCCAAACCCGGAATTGTTCTGGTTTTCGAACGTTTTTCGGAAGCCGAGCATCCGGTGTGGCTGTTAGCTATTGTTTCCAGGGCGCCTGCACCAATCAGAAGCTGTGCCTTGGTATTCAAACATTTCAGAAGTCAAACGGACTTCTGGAACAGATTAAGTTTGGCACTTTTGTTTTTGCTATTTATTTTGCGTTTTTGTTTTTGAGGCTTTTTCCGTTAATTTGTGTTTTGTGTAGAACCCAGTTCAGCTACTAATTGATTGATTGATTGATTGACTGACTGCGGAAATGGATAAAAGCCCCACATCCAAACAATGAATATCACCAGTGTAGGTAAGAAAAAAACCCTAATTTTAAGTTTTATCATCTACAATACTGTCTTATTTAATTTATAGTATATTACATTGATTATTGCTTTCATTTTATGGATCAATGGTCTCGTTAGATAGTAAAATTCATGTTAAATTGCTGTTTTAGGGGTTGTTTTTAAAAGTCTGGAACGGATTAATCCATTTTGCATTACTTTCTATGGGAAAGTGCGCCTTGGTTTTGGAACGCTTTGGTTTTGGAACGGACTTCTGGAATGGATTAAGTCTGAGAATCAAGGTAGAAACAGGAAGAAACACTATGGATGGAATAATTGCCACACACAGAAAGGAGAGTTTGAATGCTTCATCTGTAGGTGCAGAAATCATTCAACGTGTCATTATGAACAGAAGTCATTAAAACTGCAGCTGCCATACAAAGGATTGGTATTTGGACTGGAGCGTAATTGAAATTTATAAGAGTTTGGAACGCAGAAACGTCACCAAACCATTAATTCTAGTATGTGGGGGGCCACCTAATTGTATAATTTGGCATCTCAATTATTAGTATTGTTAATTGTATTATAATTTGGCATTGTAATGAGGCTATTACTGGATTGTTGTAATTGAAAACTAATAAAAATTATTTTCAAAGTTTTAGTAAAATTCTGCCTCTCCAAGGCAGCTAACAATATACAATGCATCATGTACACTATAACAAAATGCAGTGGTACCTCGGGTTAAGTACTTAATTCGTTCCAGAGGTCCGTTCTTAACCTTAACTGTTCTTAACATGTTCTTAACTTTAGCTAATGGGGCCTCCTGCTGCTGCCGCACAATTTCTGTTCTCGCCCTGAAGCAAAGTTCTTAACCTGAGGTACCATTTCTGGGTTAGTGGAGTATGTAACCTGAAGCGTATGTAACCCGAGGTACCACTGTAAGCCAGTTAAAAGGCAAAGTGGGAGATAAAACACCATACTAAATTAACCAAATCAGTTTTTAAATGCTCACTGCAGTCCTAGACACATTTTCATGGGAGTAAGGTCCACGGAAACCAATGTGACTTACTTTTGAGTAGATATGCATGATTCTAATAGGCAATGAAAAATAATTAAATAGAAGGATGACTCAACCTCTTCCTTTTCCTCTGAGTGTGATAAAACTTGGAATTTTGACTGAAGGGCAATTAATATTTTGTTTTGCGTAGGGTGAATTAAAAATAAAATAAAGACCCAGGATGCTATTGTGAACAGCATGTTGTGTTAGGACCAGAGAGACCCAAGTTCAAATTCTGATGGAGCCTTCATGAAACTCAGTGACAGCTATCTCTCGGCCTAGCCTACCTCATAGGGTTGTTCCGGCGATAAATGGGGTCTGGAGGGGAGTCAGAACAAGGTGAGATGTCCGAAGCTCCTTGGCCTAAGAGTGGGTTAACAAATGTAATCAGTGTATTCAAGAAACAATACAGGAATGGATAATCGTATGCGGGGCGGGGGGGGGAGCTGAGGGTGCGAAGCAGAAGAAACGAAACAGCCTAATTGCTCGCAAGTTTCGGCGCAGGAAGAGAGGCGACTTCGCGAGTCGCGCGAAGCACAAACATGCCGACTAGAAAGCCAAAATGCCACAGGTAGCCGACATCCCAGTGCGGAGCTGCGGGGGCCAGAAGGGAAGCTGCACCGGGTGAAGGTTGGGGCGCCGAGGAGAGGAGTTGCAGCCCGCCCTCCGCGGCGAGGGGCAGCGGGGCAGCTGGCCTCCGAGTGCCTCTCTCTCCCTCAAGAAACGCGCTCTCCGGGCGGGCGACGGGGACGCGGGCGGCTCCGGCTGCGGGGCGGGCTCTCGGCGCCGCGCCGAGCGAAAGTGAAAGCGCCGGGCTGGGCTGGGCTGGGCTGGGCTTGGCGCGCTTGGCCCTCCTCGCCGCCCCTCGGACCGTCCCGGGCGGGCAGAGCCCCCGCCGCCTCTCGCCGCGCGATGCACCGGGCAAGGCAGGACGAGGTGGAGGTAGGCGGCCCCCGGCGGAGGGAGGGAGGGAGGGAGGGAGGGAGAAGAAAGACCCCCGAGCTGGGCCAGAGGAGCCGCCGGCTCCGAGGGAGGGCAGACCCAAGGGCCCTCGCCGCCCGCCCGTAGCAGCCCGCAAGGCAGGCGTGGAGAAGCCGCCATCCTCTGGTCGGGTCCAGGAGCGCTGCCTTCGAGGCTGGAGGCTCCCTTTAGCGGCAGGGCCAACAGCTGCGGGCAGAGGACGGCGGACCTCGGTTTCAAACCCGCGGAGAAGCAGCCCAGAACTAGCCTCCTCCTTAATCTGTCATGCTGGCAAGTTCTATACACTGTAATCTAATACGTATTTTAAGGTGCCAGTCTTCTCGTGACGGGACTGCAGCTCTTCTCCATTTTTGTGCTACCACCATGAATGAGAAAATGTGCCAGTAGCTTCCTTACATTTCCAACATAGGTCACTTTTATCATGTGTCATTAAGTATTGGAATTGTTTGGAATAAAAACCTTTTTCGGAGAATATTCATTTTTATCACTGAGATTCTCTCCATTAATAATAATTGCATTCTGCCCCATATATCTAGAATATATATGTTTCAAAAATGAGAGAGAGAGAGAAAACATAAAGTAATATTGAGGAAAATCCTAGTTGTGATCCTGAATCACCATTCAAATAGCGTGCTAGAGAAGACTTGTTTAATTTGACACAGAGCAAACCTCCCAAAAAGGTAGTTTGTGGACAATATGTGGCTAGCTATCTGACCCCCAGTTTTACATGGGCTGGAGATGAAAACATCTCTCAGCCTATGTGTTTGATCTGTGGCGGGAAGCTTTCAGATTCCAATGTTGCCCCAAACAAGATGAAAAGACATCAGTTGTCAAACCATGGAAATCTGGCAAACAATAATGTTCAATATTTTGAAATGCTTTTGGAACAGCAGAAACGCCAAAGTTCATGTTTCTAAACATGGTTAAAAGTATCAGTTAAGATGCAAATCTTGCGAGATGGCGGAATTGAAGGCTCAACAAACAAAATCACACATAATAGTTTCCTCTCTTGCTTCCACTTCTGCTTCTGGGCTTCTTTGTGCCACAGACTCTCCCGGCTCACTAAACCCTGTTGCCCCTTCAGTTTTGGATGCCTCCTCCTCCCAGTCTTCTCCCTCTGACCACTCATTATTTTCCCACCACTACTCCCCAGGCTCTCAGCTGATGCCTCCCACAATTCCTCTGTGTCCAGCCAGTCCATGACATCAAGTAAAAGAAGAGCAAGGTGCTACATATCAAAAGTTTAGTATTTGAGGCCTTGACTAAATACAGCCTCCAAAGCAGAAATTTGCTTGTGCTCCAGGTTATAATTACCGGTATATGTAATTCCTTGGAGGTTGGGGGAATAGCTGTGTTACTGTCACCACAAAAATAGCAAAGGTTGTTGTGGCACCTTAAAGACTAGCAAATATATTGTGATGTAAGTGTTCATGGGACAGAGCTCACTTTATTAAAAGTGTTGTCTTAATCAGAATCTAGAACAGTACAAAACTTTAAGAAATACAGGTCTAAATCACAAATTACAGCTACTTCCCTTCTCCGTCTTGTCAGTACTCAGTTGAAAAGTTTACACCCATCTCCATGGTGCAGCAGCTGCCTCTGCTTATCATTATTGATTGTCAATAGTTAGCATAAGCCATAATTAAAACTCATTTCAAAAGATGATTTCTGGTGTGAAAGCTGAGTCACAAACTTTATGTGCCTGTTCAGACAGCATGCCTAACCATAGTTAAACTTCATTAATCCAGGTGCTCTTGGAGGAAACTGATTTTCTAGATCCATTTCAGTCTGGGTTTAGGCCCAGTTTTCACAGAGAAACTGCTTTGGTCGCCCTGTTGAGAGAGAGACAGGGGAAAATGTGTCCCTGTTAATTCTCCTCTACCTCTCAGCGGCTTTTGATACCATCGACCATGGTATCTTTCTGGAGTGGCTGTCTGAGTTAGGGGTGGGTGGCACGGCTTTGTGGTGGTTCAGGTCCTACTTAGATGGTCATTCCCAGAGGGTGTTGCTTGGGGAATGCTTTTCAGCTCTGCAGAAACTTCAATGTGGGGTTCTGCAGGGCTCAGTCCTATCCCCCATGTTGTTTAAGATCTACATGAAACTGCTGGGTGGGGTTATCCAGAGGTTTGGAGTATGTTGTCAGCAGTATGCGGATGACACTCACCTCTACTTCTCCTTTACATCTGCAGGTGAGGCAGTGGAAGTGCTGGACTAGTAACTTGCCTCGGTAATGAACTGGATGAGAGCCAACAAACTGAAGCTCAATCCAGATCAGACTGTGGCACTGTTAGTGGGTGGTTCCCTAGACTAGATGGCTGGGAGGTTGCCTGCTCTTGATGGGGTTACACTTGCTTGGATCCAAGAATTGAAAGGGACTGAGGCATACAGCCTAACACCACCTTCCAACCTTAAGCTGTCTAAGCCAGAGATTGGCAACCTAAGGCCCATGGGCCGCTTCCAGCCCATGAGCTTCCTGGAACCGGCCCATGGCCGTTCCGTGGATTGGCATGGGGATTCTGTGCTCTCCCCCCCCCCCGCGGAGCCATTTTTTTTCTTGCCGTGGGGACTGACTTCCCGGTTGGTAGAGTGCTGGAAATAGTGTGCGCATGGGTTCTCCTCTGTCCTGGAAGTGTGCCGGAAATAGCTTGAGCGCACGCATGGGTGCGCATGCTATGGCCCACTGAGAGGTCTGCTGGTGAGTGGACTGGCCTGGCCTCAAAAAACGTTGCTGACCCCTGGTCTAAGCTAAGGTTACCAGATTTTTTTCAATGAATCTGGGAACACTTTTCAACTTCCTACTAAATAGATGCATTTTGTCAGGGGACTGATTTGTAAATCCGGGGACTGTCCCCGGCAAATGGGGACGTCTAATAACCTTAGTCTAAGCCAATGTGTGAACACCTTTGCATAAAGACATCCTTGCCCTGTCAGTGTCCCCTGGTCTGTACACATGCGGCAATGAAAGGACGTTGTGCTGATGTGAACAGCACGAGGAAGAGCTCTGAAATGCATAAAACATAACCCCAGCAACTTCACTGCTGTCTAAGGCAGTGCGAGTACACCCTGAGTCAGTCACTGACTGGCAGCAGCTCTCCAGGGTCTCAGGCCCTGGTGATGCCGAAGATGGACCTAGAGACCCTGTGCCTTCAGCCCTCCAAGCAGCCTGGAGGAAGTAATGCATCCCCCCCCCCCCCCGGCTCAGATTATTGTTGTATTGAGGACAGGACTGCGTGTTTCCCAAACACAGATTAGGCAGTTGGTGGTAAAATAAGAGAGAAGGCATTCAGCCCCTTCCCACATCTATCATTTCTCCCCTGCTGCTACCTCTTCCCAGGCACCTGCCTACCCCCTTCCAAATAGTGATTATTTTTGTCTTTGAATAAGGAGATCCTGCTAAGGGAACAATATCTAGGGTGGTGGGAGAGAAGCTGTGAGCAGGAGAGGATTAGCCATCCCCCTCCTTGCTGATTCTGCTCTGTGAGTGCTCCTCCGTTAATATTATAAGGTTAGGAATCACATCTTTGCCTCATAACAAGTAGGCCTGCCCTCAAAAATTTAAAATTGCAATGTATTTGCAACACAAGCACATGATTTCAGGGACAGGAGAGAAATGGCAAAACCTCTGCTTTCACTATGTTATAAGAAAAAATGGCTCTTTTTCCCAAGAGCCCATATAGAGTCCTTAAGTGGGTGCCTTATTGGTAGGAGAAAATAACAAAGGCCAACCAGAGTATATTGAGAAGCAAAGCAGTTAGTAAGCTTGATCTTTATTAAACTGTTGGAACAGGCTCCCCCGCTCACCCCACACAGGAGGGAGGAGGAACCCAGAACGATAATAATAATAATAAATTTTATTTATATCCCGCCCTCCCCAGCCGAAGCCGGGCTCAGGGCGGCTAACAACAATAAAACAGTACAAAAGTACAGCACAAACAACACTCTAAAATCATTCATTATAAAATTGATTAATTCAAGCCACTGGCAACCATTGGGCCAGAGCTCCACAAAGATTGCCGAGGGAGGGAGTCAGGCTGTGCCCTGGCCAAAGGCCTGGTGGAACAGCTCTGTCTTGCAGGCCCTGCGGAAAGATGTCAAGTCCCGCAGGGCCCTGGTCTCTTGTGACAGAGTGTTCCACCAGATCGGAGCCACGGCCGAAAAGCCCTGGCTCTAGTTGAGGCCAGCCTAACTTCTCTGTGGCCTGGGACCTTCAAGATGTTTTTATTTGAAGACCGTAAGTTTCTCTGTGGGGCATACCAGGAGAGGCGGTCCCGTAGGTATGAGGGTCCTAGGCCATATAGGGCTTTAAAGGTTAAAACCAGCACCTTAAACCTGATCCTGTACTCCACCGGGAGCCAGTGCAGCTGGTATAGCACCGGGTGAATGTGAGTTCGCAGCGAAGACCCCGTAAGGAGTCTCGCTGCAGCATTCTGCACCCGCTGGAGTTTCTGGGTCAGTCTCAAGGGCAGCCCCACGTAGAGCGAGTTACAATAATCCAGTCTGGAGGTGACCGTCGCGTGGATCACAGTGGCTAGGTCAGGGCGAGAGAGGTAAGGAGCCAACTGCTTAGCTTGGTGGAGATGAAAAAATGCCGCCTTTGTTATAGCTGCAATCTGCGCCTCCATAGAGAGGGAGGTATCGAAGATTACACCCAAACTCTTAACGGACGGTGCTGGCACTAATTGCGCCCCCGCAAGAGATGGGAGTTGCCCCCCCAATCCCATATCGTCCCGTCCCAGCCACAGGACCTCTGTCTTCGAAGGATTTAGCTTCAACCGCCTCCCACGTAACCATCCAGCCACAGCTTCCAAACATCTGGTCAGTGTGTCTGGGGCCGAGTCAGGATGGCCATCCATCAACAGATAGAGTTGGGTGTCATCAGCATACTGATGGCAACCCAGCCCAAAACTCCGGACAAGCTGGGCAAGGGGGCGCATAAAGATGTTGAAAAGCATCGGGGAGAGTATTGCACCCTGAGGTACTCCACACACCAAGGAGTGGCACGATGACAATTCCCCCCCAAGTACCACCCTCTGTCTCCAACCAGAGAGAAACGAGCGCAGCCATTGAAGGATGGTGTGTAAGTCCTTATATAGACTTTTGAAATTGCCCACTCTGTAGCTCAAGACCACCCCAAAAAACATCATACATACATCACAGAAGGAAGCGGGCTCCTGCAGAAATACATTACAGGAGGCGGTCTACAGCAGAAATCCTGTCTGCCAGGATACCTGACAGTGGTTACCTGGGCAGCCTGGCCATTCTTTTGTGATGATAAATGCTTTTTAATTCCTGTATCCAGGTCACAGGCTCACCCTATTCATACACAAATACACCCTTAAGACAGGTAAGCAAAAGACAATGGAGAGGCTTTCTCATTTCTTCCTCCTTGCAGAGAAATATTTGAGGTCAATTTGGGAGAGTCAAAATGGTTTGGGAGAGTCAAAATGACTTCAGGACTGCTCTCCTGTACTATTTCAGACACGTGGCTTATATACTTATGTATGTGTTTGCCTTGTACATTTATGAATGTTTATTTTATATTTGGGACCTTAGAATTCTTATAAGAACTACCAGCATTACCAACCAGTTTTTGAGCAATAGTGCTGGGAAAACAGTCACCAATAAAAACTTTTCAGTCACTTTAGCTTTTTCTTGCTGTGCAGCTGACTGAGGGGTGCTGATCATATAACTTTGGAAGCTCATGTGTTAGCAACAAGAAATTATGAATGTTTGGAAGCAAAACTACTGTTTGACCATGTTTATTAGCTGTATGGAGTTGTTAACAGAGAAATCTGAGGGCTCCCTTGGACAAAAAACAAGGACACCAGCCAGGAATACCAGAGCAAACAGCAGCCTTTATTGAAGACTGTTGCCACAGGACTCCTACCTGTCACCAGGTGAAGCAAGATGGAAGCCCCAAACAAAAGAGAACCCAAACTTTTATTAGCTGCTAATCCCCATGTTACATCCCCCCCCCAAACTACATCACTAATACATCATGGTTACATCATGAAAGGGGAGGTCTGGTGGCAGTAATCTGAGCATCCTGGACCCTGCCCAATTCCTCCCCTTGCCCTCCACCACACACCCATCAAGTGAAGCAAAAGAGATACTTACATTTCCCTGTTTCCCAACCAAGTTAATCACACCCTTTTATCTTCATCTGGGTTTGTTATTTCTGGAATGGCTACCTGTCTGGCACTCAGGTATCAGGATGCCAGGAATGATCACTCAGGCAGAGGCAGTGGCGGAGCTTCATGCTCCGAGGGCGGGATGTGCCACCTGCGCGGGGGGGGGGGGTGCCCAGCGCAGGCGGGGGGGTAGCCGCAATGGCACCCTGGCGATCGCGCTGCTGGGGGCGGTACGCTCTCTCCGCACTCCTCTTCCTCTGCCAGTGGGCAGAGGGGCTGCTGAATAGCTGAGCTCACATGTCTATATGAATTTCTGAAGTTTTCCCAGTGAGCCAGTACATAGATACATTTGTCAGTGAATTGTTACATTTTGTATTGTGCAGCAGAGGCCCTTCGAATAGATAGGAAGAAACTGTGGTGAAGTGTTTTGTTGGGACAAATCACAAAAGTCACAAAAGTGATTATGCTGATTTTGGCAGTGGGCTGCATGTGCATGATATCTGCTGGAGCCCCCCCCCATAAATTCCTGCCACAGAGTGTTCAGCTGTTCAAATACCTACAAGCAGAAAAGGTCGGCTCACTGGCTTCTTTCACACACAATGCTAAATGGCAGCCATGGAGAATCCATTATTTGGAAGCAAGGCTGTTATAGAAAAATGGGGTTTGGCTTTTACAGTCCAGCTTTCCCTTTAAGGGACCAAGTATCCCCTAAGTTCATCATCAGTCGAGAAGATAGTATGGAGAGAGGAACCAATTGAAAGCAAGGAAGATTTTTCAGAGTCACCCCACCCCGATGGCTTGGAGGTGAGGACCCAGAACAAAGATGTGTAACAGCTTTTAAATTTAAAGATTATTTACAGAAATATTGCAAAATTAAAGAATGTTAGAGTGATGATGGACTGAAATTAAGTGGCTTCTAGCTCTACAGGCTTTAAAGTTATTTACAGATCAAGATTAAGGATTAGGATTAAAAAGGTTAAAAGAATGGAAAATTGGCTTTTAATAGGTAAAAATTTAATGTTATATTATATTAAGATTAAGGATTGGGATTAAAAAGGAGGGAAGGGAATTGCTGGACAAACAAATTGAATTGGAATACAAAAGAGGGAGGTATGAGGAGGTCCAGGAAATAAGTAAATCTAAAAGTAGTGATGAAAAGATGGAATTGTTTTTAACTGTTTTTTCTTTTTGTATTTTGTATTGTGTATTTTTCTTTTTCTTTTTAAATTCTTTTTTTATTGATGTGTCCTTTTTTATGTGAAACTTTAATAAATATTATTAAAAACAAAAAACAAAAAACAAAGATGTGTAACAGCTTTTAAAGGCTTCAGAAATTGCCCAAAGACTACCAAAAAGCATTATACAGGCATCACAGAAAGAGGTGGTCTACAACAGAAATTTGAATGTATGGCTTGTCTCCTGTCTGTCAAGATATCAGAGAAAGTTTACTGATTGCCTTTTCCTGGCCAGTCTGGGCCATTCCTTTGAAACAGTGAATATCTTGACTCCAGAATCCATTTTCACAGATTATGCATAGATATCTGCTCTTTTGACAAGTCTGCTTGGATAGTTATCAATACTCGTGACACATTTCACAGAGGAGAGGCTCAGGATTCCCTGCTTTGTGACTAGAGGAGTCTCAAGGCTGCCTAGGTGTCAGACATGGCTGCTGTATTGCTCTCGGTACTATTTTAGCACAGGTCTTACTAGTGATGTAGAAAAATTGGGGCTTGGCTTTTGCTGCCCTTTTGCTCTAAGTCCATGATCGGTCAGGGAAGAATGGATGGAGGCAGAATCCGGTGAAAGCAAGGCAGATCTTTATTTTTCTCTTGCGACAGAGTCCCCACCCCGCTTTCAAGGAGGTGAGAGACCAAGAACAAGTGCGCAGGAACCTTTAAAGACTTTAGACATTGCCCAGCAAAGATCACCCTAAAAGCATCCTACATACATCACAGAAATCTGAGTGTTTAGCTTCTCTCCTGTTTGCTGGGATATCTGATGTTTTACTGATTGTATTACCTGGGCAGCAGCCTGACCATTCTTCGGAGATGGTAAATACTTTAGTTCTTGAATCCAGGTCACAGGCCCACCCTATTCTTACACAGATATGCCCTTGACAGGATTTGTAAGGGAAAAGAACTACTGGGAAAGGTTTCTCCAATATATTTCCTTCCTCAGAGGAAATATTTGGGGTTATTAAAATTCAAGAAAAGCTTCGTGATTTATGAACATTTATTATATATTTGATACCTTAGTGTTCTTATAACACTGGTGAAAGGTATATTTCATCAAGAAATTGGTTGATTCATAGAGAAATAAGGCTAAGTGAAAATATCCACTGTAAATAGACACATCTGGATACTTTGTTACCATATAACTGAGTTATGTTGCATAGGCCAAGGCCATTTGCAGAAGGGTTCCTGTTGTATTACCTGTAGTTACATGCAGGGAGTTGGCTGTTTTCTGGACATGTATATGTTTAGATGCACCTATTCCTGTGATTTTATAATGGCATGGCATTAATTTCTCTAACAAGGCACAGGTGCCTCAAAATGCAGCCACTTCTCCTTGGTGGCGTGTGAGAGGCTGGAATGTGGCAGCCGGGTGTCCTGCATGCTGTTTAAAGCAATCTAAATCATTCACCAAGGAAAGCTGAATTTCTGCTGCCTTCAGAGTACCAGGACTGGCAGTACTCAGGCTAATCTCTAATCTTGCATGGACAAATTTCTCAAATGCAAATGGCTTGCCCAGGGGTCAGCAACCTTTTTCAGCTGTGGGCCGGTCCACTGTCCCTCAGACCAATTTTGAAAAAAAAATTGAACGAATTCCTATGGCCCACAAATAACCCAGAGATGCATTTTAAATAAAAGCACACATTCCACTCATTGTAAAAACGCGCTGAGTCTTGGACTGTCCGCGGGCTGGATTGAGAAGGCGATTGGGCCACATCCGCCCCCCGGGCCTTAGGTTGCCTACCCCTGGGCTACCAACCCATGGCTTCCACCTCCAGACCTTTGGTTTCATTAGAAACAGAAACCTCTGGCATGAGCAAAAGAGCCATCAGCACAGCAGATGTTTAAGTGCAGTGAGGAATAGCGCCTCAGCATGACATCCCTCCCTACGCAATATAGTCTGGTCTGCCACATGTTCTGTTTCTAAGAGCTTCAGCAAACTGTGAGCAATTTTCCTCTGCTGTTGCATGAGGATGGTGTCATGGAGACTCTTGAGGTCATGTTTATCTTGTGCAAACTGAAGGCATGGGGGCAAAGGTAGGAGGAGTATCCCTTGTGCAATGCTGATGTAATCTCAAACAAAGTTGCCCTCGCTTGCCAGCAGGGCTGCCTGTCTAGTGATAAGGTTCGCCTAGTGCCTTCATTACATATCTTCAGGTGCCAGGCGAAAATATTTATCTTTAACCAGGCATTCATCTTATTAACATTCTAGGGCCTTTTAAATGTGTTTGTGGGTTATTGGCTTGTTTTTGTTTTGTTATTTATTTTGTATTGTCATTTTGTATATTTATTTGTGAACCGCCCTGTGATATTCAGATGAAGGGTGGCAAGCCGTCTGTTAGGGTGTGTGTGAGTGTATCTGTCTACTATCAGGTTTCCAGTACAGCAGTGGAGCCCCAAGGCGGCCAGGGCGTAGAGGGCACCCGCCTGCGTGCCACAGTTCAGGGTAGGAGAGGGGCAGGGAAGCTGCTGCCCACTCCCTCCCTGCTCTCTGCCACTGGGTCAGGCCTGACTGGGCAATGGAGGCAGAGCTGCTGGGGACGGGCGCACCTTGCTGGGGCTGATGTGAGATGCTCTCTGCTGCCAAGTCAAACGTGACCCGGTAGTGGAGCTACTGCAGCCGGGCACAAGGTGCCTCGCAGCCAAGGAGGGTGGGTAACAGCATTGCTGCTGACTCTCCTGCTGTCCATCGCTGGGTCAGACCTGACCCCTCAACAGAGCTACTGTGGCTCAGCGCACCTCGCTGCGGCTGAGGAGGGCGCTCTCTGCAGGTCACCGCAGAGCTGCTGCCACTGGGCGCAAGGTGCCCTGGCTGCCACCCACTCGCCTGCTCTCCTCCCGCCGTCAGGCCTGACCCGGGTGGCGGAGCTTCACCAGGCACAGGCTCTCCAGATGTTGTAGAACTCCAACTCCCATCAGCCCCACCCAGCATGGCTAAATGGTCAGGGTGATGGGAGTTTAAGTTTAGCAACGTCTGGAATTCACCACATTTGCTAAAGATGGATTTAACACACTGATAGCCATCACTTCAGGGTTTAAAATAATAACAGTAATAGAAGGTGCAATTTCTCCCTTTCTGACATTCCAACTTAAATTATATGCACAGAGCTGCTATAGAACCATAGAACTGTAGAGCTGGAAAGGACCCCAAGGGTAATCTAATCTGACCCCCTGCAATGCAGGCGTCTGACTATGGCAGAAGAGAATGGTACTATTACTTCACTTGATCCAGACACTAGACTTCTGTTTATGTAGCGTAGAATAAGGTAAAGGTAAAGGTACCCCTGCCCGTTCGGGCCAGTCTTGCCAGACTCTAGGGTTGTGCGCTCATCTCACTCTATAGGCCGGGAGCCAGCGCTGTCCGCAGACATTTCCGGGTCACGTGGCCAGCGTGACAAGCTGCATCTGGCGATCCAGCGCAGCACACGGAACGCCGTTTACCTTCCCGCTGGTAAGCGGTCCCTATTTATCTACTTGCACCCGGAGGTGCTTTCAAACTGCTAGGTTGGCAGGCGCTGGGACCAAACGACGGGAGCGCACCCCGCCGCAGGGATTCGAACCGCCGACCATGCGATCAGCAAGTCCTAGGCGCTGAGGTTTTACCCTTTAGCGTAGAATAACATTAGCTTATTTTGCTACTGCATCACCCTGTTGACTCATGTTAAGCTTGTGGTCCACCAAGATTCCTAGATCCTTTTCACATGTACTACTTGTAAACCAGGTGTCCCCATCTTATATTTTTGCATCTGGTTCTTCCTGCATAAGTGCAGAACCTTATATTTGTCCCTATGGAAATTCATTTTGTTAGCTTGAGCCCAGTTCTCCAATCTGTTAACGGTCACTTTGAATTCCGATTGTCTTCTGTGGCGTTTGTTACCCCTCCCAGCTTGGCGTCATCTGCAAATTTGATGAGTATCCCTTCAATTCCTTCATCCAAGTCATTTATAAAGACCTTGAACAACAACAGGCCCAGGACAGAACCCTGCGGCACCCCACTTGTCACTTTTCCCCAGGATAACGAGGAACTGGTAACCTTTGTGTTCAGCCAGCCAGCCAGCTACAAATCCACCAAACAGTTCATCCCACATTTTAGCAGCTTCTCTGCATGAATAATCATGGGGGATTTTGTCAAAAGCCTTACTAAAATCAAGATACACTATGTCACTAGCATTCCCCTGATCCACCAAGCTTGTAAGTCCATCAAAAAAAGAAATGAGATTCATATGGCATGACTTATTTTTGAGAAACTCATGCTGGGTCTTAGTAATCACATCATCCTTTTCTAGGTGCTCACAGACTGACTGTTGAATTATCTGTTCTAGGACCTTTCTTGGTATCAGTGTCAAGCTCACTGGTCGGTAGTTACCTGGGTCTTCTCCCCAACCCCCTTTTGAAGATGGGGACAACATTTGCCCTCCTCTAGTCTGCAGGAACCTCACCTGTTCTCCAAAAATTCTCAAATCATAGACAAAGGCTCTGAGATTACATCCGCAAGCTCCTTTAGTACCTTTGGATGCAGCTCACCAGGCCCTGGAGATTCAAATTCATTTAAAGTACCATATTTTTCGCTCTATAAGATGCACTTTTCTCCTCCTAAAAAGTAAGGTGCGTCTTATGGAGTGAATGCAGGCTGCACAGCTATCACTGAAGCCAGGATCAGTGCACACTGATCCCTCTTGCTCTCCTGGCTTCAGGGATAGCCACGCAAAGCCTCTTCAGGGCAATGGGAGGAACACTCCCCCTCCCCTGAAGAGGCTTGGCACGGCTATCCCTGAAGCCGTGGAGAGGCGCTGCGCAGCTCTCTCTCTCTGCGCAGCGTCCCTTCAGTGAAGCGGGAGGAGAAACGGAGCCCCTGCACAGAGAGGGAGAGAATATTGTTCTCCTCTAAAACTAGGTGCGTCTTATGGTCAGGTGCTTCTTATAGAGCGAAAAATACGGTAGCTAGGTGTTCACTTACTACCTCTTTTCCTATCTAGGGCCATAGCCCTTCCCTTACATTATTTATTCTCTTAACACCAGGTTAGGCATCACTTTACTTTTGGGTGAAGGCAGAGGCAAAGTAGGTGTCGAATAGTTAGTTCTGCCTTCGCTTTGTCACCTAATAGCATTACTCCGTCTTCGTTACTCCATGTAGAGGACCTTCCACTTGCTTGTTCTTCCTCTGCTTCGGACATAGCTAAAGAAACCTTTATTATTGTTTAACCTCTCTTTCAAGCCTGAGTTCATCACAGCTTTAGCCAGCCTGACTTTCACCCTGCAACTGTTGGTTACTCATGTATACTTCTCCTTTGTGATTTCCCCTTTCTTCCATTTCCTATACATGGCCTTCTTAACTCTCAGCTCATCTGTCAGCCCTTATGCAGCTACATCAATTTCCTTAGATGCCTCTCAATTTGCTTTTGGGCCTTCATTATTTCTCCACTAAAGATGTGGGAGTGGGGTTTGTAACTGCCACAGCCTGGGATGAAAGTGTTAAATGACGCACACACACACAACTGTTTGTTTGTTTCAAACCTGATGTGATTGTTAAAGTTGGGTTTTGTGTCACGTCTAGCTTAGCCCCAATGAAAGGAGTGGACTTTAGAAACAACCCTGGCTAAGCTATGCAAGCTTTTTCTTTTCCTCCCTTGACCAACTGACTAACTGATCTTACACTTCCGGTGCAGCTGGAGAAAAGTGTTCGTCGACTGCGAGAGAAATTTTATGGGAAGGTGAGCATCAAAACGGCTACGGTGCTGATGAGGCAGTTCTGCAACAATCATGAGCTCGCTTGTAGTCGCATCATTCTCTTCAAAAATGAGCTGGAAGGTGAGTCAGCCATTCGTGCTGGTCAGAAGCACTGCATTGTATGGGAGAAGGGGGTGCCTGCAGGGCCATAAGAGGCATCTCCATATTGCAGCTGGGGAGGCTGAGAGTGCTTAGAACCATAGAACCATAGAGTTGGAAGGGAACCCAAGGGTCATCTAGTCCAGTCCTCTGCAATGCAGGAATTTCAACTAAGGCATCCATAACACATGACCAAACTGTGGGAAATTACAGTCAAATATAACTAGAAAGCATAGGGCTAGTTAATGAATGAAAGGGTTAAGATCATAGAACTGTGTTCCTAGACTCAGGTCACGCCCCTCACCCAGAAGCGTGGAAATTAAGTTTCTTCCTGGGTTCATTCTCTTTCACCATGTGAACTCACCGAGATAGGACATGGCTGAGCTTGCTCACTACAAGGTCAGACTGTGTGCCCAGAGCTATTTCACTATATTTTGTAAACCCAATATTTTCTACCTGTGTACTTCTTGCTGTGGCATGAACCTGACCTTTGGATTTTTGTAAGTAAAGCCTTTAAACTTGCTAATGGTGTGCTCTGTTCATTGCAAGAGGTGAGGGGAAGTGCTGCAAGCAGCTAGAACAGGATATTAAAAAGGTCTAACAGCCTATATTCCTCACACTTCACTGTGCTGCATGATTCAGTGTTTTTAAATTCTGCTGAGGGCTCTGTCCTGCTGGAGAGTGCGTGTAGCCCTGCGCTTTGGATCTAGGGATCCAGTCAAGTCCTTTATTAATAAACACAAATGATCTCTATCTACTTTTGTCCCCATATACCCAATCACACACCCAACCTCTGCTCCCTTCATCCATGACGCCTGGGATTGATGGGAGTTGGAGTCCAACAACATCTGGACGGATCTCCTATACCCTGGGCTGCAGGCTGCAGTGTTAAAGTACTTAGGCAAGGTTTTGTGTAACTACAAAAAGCACAAGTTGATGCCTGCCTGAACAGGTTGCCCAGCCTACTACTACTAGGACATTTCTTCCATGCAAGACCCATATAAAATAGTAGAATTATAGAGCTGGAAGGGACAACAAGGGTCATCTAGTCCCACTCCCTGCAATGCAGGAATCTCAAAGTATTCATGACAGAAGGTTGTCCAACCTCTGCTTAAAAACCTTTAATGAAGGAGAGTCTACCACCTTCCAAAGGAGACAATTCTACTGTCAAAAAGCTCTTACTTACAGAAAGCTCTTCTGTTTAGTCAGAATCTCCTTCCTTATATCTTGAAGCCATTGGTTCAAGTCCTGCTCTCCAGAGCAGGAGAAAATGAGCTTGCTCCATCTTCCATGTGGCAGCCCTATTGGAAGTTCTTCTACTGTTACCCTGCAGAAATGGGGAGCCTCTAGAGAGGGCAGGCACGTGAATGAGGGCAGCCCAGCAGCTGCAGCACTCCAAGAAGTGCCTTCACAGTACATATACAACCGCCATCTTGTAGAGCACAATATATTGATGAAGCTTGCTAATGTCAAAGGAGACTGATGTATGGGTGACCAAAAGAAAAAGTAGAAGGAATGAATGAAGATTGTTCTGCCATTGAACAAGACAATCATTAAAACAGTTTATCATTTAGTTAAACAATGTCTATACCGCTTAACTACAGTTGTCTCTAATTGGTGTATAAGAAATACAATACAGAAAAGGTAGAAGTTCCTCTGGTCTCTCGCTGCACCAGCAAAATCAAGATACCTACCCACATGACACTCCCAGAAGCTCCGTTCATATACTGTGAAAAAGAATGAAAGTTTATTGTTTTCCCCACATGCCTTTTTCCTCCCCTGTGTCTCCCCACTTCTCATTCCCCACCCCAGCCCCATACTGCCCATAACAAAGATGTCTCAAACTGACCGTAACTGACCTTCATGACTTTATGATTTGAAATTCAGAGACACTGAATGTACTTTTTATTCATGAAAATCTTTTAATAAAAGCAAAAAGAAAAGAAAAGGTAAATGTTCAAATAGTAAAATCAGACTTCAGTTACAGTGCCTGCTTGGAATAAAGAAGTCTTCAGTGGGCACCCGACATTCAGCAGGGAGGCAGGGGCTGTCTGGCCTCAACTGGAAAGAAGTTCCATAAAATTGGGTCTACAGTACTAAGGTGGATCTGAGCTATGGGGGACCAGTAACCGTGACTCCCTCAAAAACCTCAGTGGCTGGACAGCAATATAAGGGATTAGGCATCCTGGATCTGAGGTGTTAGTGGCCCTGTAAATTAAGACCAGAACCTTGAACCTCACCTGAGCCACTATAAACTTTTGAGCACCTGAGTTAAGTGCTGGCAATAATCTGTCCCCATCCACCTTTTGCACCAGCTAGAGCAGGGCTTGTTTTACTAGAAAAAGAGGCGCCAGAACTTGTTTTTAGGGGAGCACCCACCCAAAGTTGTTGTTGAGCTTTTTGGTGCTTTCTGCACCATCAACACCACAAAATAAACCCGCCTCTGATGCACAGCTGCGAGCCGCACAACCCCAAGGAAGGGGCGCAACACTAAAGCCCTGAGCTGGAGTCTCCAGGCCAGACCCACACAGAGTGCATTGCAGCAGTCGATTAGAGCAAAGGGTACAAGTCGATGTAAACTGACTTGTGTTTTATACAGCTCCCTCTCCTCTGGTCACAGAATGCTTTCAATTCCTAGCGTCAGCACATTTACATTTCACAGTTTGAGACCTCCTTCCTAACAGCAACTCACATTCAGCCTGCTCTAACTTTGTGGTGTTGCTGTTTTTTAGATACGGACCCAGAAGATGGAGAGAGCCTCGATGATGATCCTGTGGCTTTGGTAATTCTCTGTCTGTTTATCTTAGGCAGGGGTGAAAAGCTGGGAAAAGGTAGATGAAGAGTAAGGAGTCAGAAGCTACTTTAAAGGGGCATTTATAGATACTGAAATGTTAAACAAATGAAGCTCTTATTAACCCAACAGCTGTGCTATCCTAATTTAACAACTCCACTCACCAGCTAAAGCAGCTGAGGGTAGCCAATGGGTCTTCCCATTGGTGAGTTAGGGACGAGACCAACAGTGGGTTCCACAGTTAAGAAGGCAGTTTGCTGTAGAGGAAAGTGAGGGGCAGGTGGGAAACGTCAACCTGGGAATGTAACCCATCTAAGAGAAGCAGAACACTGCTCCTAAGCCTCTGCTGCCTTGTGGTTATACTCATTTGTAAGAAAGCCTTCAGGAGTAAACCCCAAGGAAACATCCATACCCGCTGCCTTGCGGAACATCACTGGGAGAAGAAAAGGCTAAGGAGTAAACCCTAAGACTGTTGGGTGGCATTTTGTACGCCTCCTTCTGGCAACTCATGCAGTCAAGCTGGTGCCATATGTATTGCTCTGTTTTCATTTGAACCACATCAGCAAGGCCGAGAGGGGGTTCTTGTCATCTGGGCAGCCCAGGGCCTCTGTACATACTGCCCTGGCTTGCACCCCAGAGAGGTCAAAAGTGCTCCTAACTCAGCAAAAAATGTAGGAAGCAGCAGTTACGAGTTATCAGTCTCCACAACCACAGCAGGTGTAGTACTTCTCTAGCAGCTTGACTTCACCCTTGGTGGAAAGATGCCTTCTTGAGACAGACAAACGCCAACAAAGTGGGTCCAATTATCCATGGTCCAGTTATGACCTAAATAAATAAGTCTGCGGATAAATATTAATTACGCAAGGTAATAAAACATTTCTAAGTCTTTAAGGTGAGGTTTGACTGAGATTTTGAACACTCACTTAGGAATGCTGATATTAAATTGAATTTCAGACAGTCACTGTGCAGTACTTTGAATAGTTGTCAGCAGCACAAAATTCCAAGAAACTAGGAAGTGCTGGTGCAAAACATTTCAACTACATTTTCCTATTCTGCTGTTTGTATTAAATATTGTCACCTGTCCCAGACACTCAGGATGAGACAGACTATAAATCTTACTAAACAAATAACCCAAATACAGTGATCTCTCATACTCTAAGCATAATTCCCAAAACTCACCTACTGAGTCCCCCCAAGAGAATAATATTAAAGGGGGCAAACTCACCTCACTCAGCATCTTGGGTGCCTTTTTAATGCCATTTCCTTAATTCTGTTTTGGCCTCCAAAACTGGGCCTGGTGATTTCTGCCTGGAGATGCAGAGGGCTATGACTCCTTTAAAAAAAAAATTACTTATCATTTTCATTTTTTAACAAATTTAAACTAAACCATTTTAAGTCCATATACAAAGCTTTATCATCAACTTCCCTTCCCCCCCATCGATGGTTCGTTTTATTATCTCATTTTTCCAATTTGATATCAAAATATTCCTTACTGCTGGATTTATTCTAATACTGCCAATGTTTTAATATGTTTACAATAGTTTTTCAAATATTCAACATATCTTTTCCAATCTTCTTTGTATTTTTTTAATCCTTATCTATGCATCAGATTGGCCATTTCTAGATAGATAATTTATTACGGTCAAAGATCAGCTCACATAACATAACACAATAAAAACAGCGTTCATAAAGATAAAATATACAATCGGAGCAGATTGCAGCTCATGAGTTAAAATTGAGATATATACATACACCCGTACAACTGAGATTTGGGCTACCATAAAAAATTGACCCTGAGGCGCCCCAAAGGGCGACTTCAGCATTTCCCTAGTAAGCTATTTTATTCTAGAGGATGATCTGTGCCTACAAATCTGGGCACAGAATCTGGCTACCAGCCAGGTCGTCTTGTGATCTTTGCCTAAGAGGAGAGAATTAAGTTTAGACTTGTCTGAAAGGTCGGCGAGCCTCTTCAGCAAAGGATCAATGGTGTCTCTACGAATCTCAACATAAAAAGGACATCTAAAAAATATATGTTTGGGGCTTCCTATTTCCCCTAATGGGCAGGCGCAAAGTCTCTGCGTACAGGACTCTTCTATAGGAGCCTTCCAGAACCGGTGAGGGCAAGGCCAAGCTTCTAGCAAGAGTGAAAGCCCTCTTGCATTTCTGGATGTGAGGAAATAGAGATATGTTGCTGGAGCGGCTACATATCTTCCGTTTCCTATGATTTTATTATCGTACAGTCCTGTTGTCTCTCTATGTCCATGATTCTTTTAGCCATTTCTATGTATTCTATCAGTTTTGTCTGCCATTCTTCCTTTGTTGGTATCATGCCCTACTTCCATTTCCCAGAAGTTCTTTGTTATTTTGCAAATCCACCACATATGATAAAAGTGGAGGACCGTGACTCCAAGGAGACCTGGAAGGAACGGAGGGCAGGAAAGGGAGCAGGGGGAAACGCTCCAGTCAGAGGTCCCATTTGCTCCCCCATTTAAAGCTGTATCCTGCTTTAAACAGTCATGGCTTGCCCAAAAGAATCCCGGGAAGTGCCGTTTGTTCCGGGTGCTGAGAGTTGTTCAGAAGCCCCTCTTCCCCTCCCAGAGCTGCAGTCCCAGAGTTCCTGGGAAGAGGGGCTGCCTGTTAAACCAGCCTGGAAATTGTAGCTTGGTGAGGAGAATAAGGGCTGCCTATGTCTATGATTCTGCTTGAAGTGTGTAGTGCAGATGGGGTCACAGAGCACTGGAGTGCTCAGGTCCCCACCAGTAAGGAAGAGCCTCCCATCTGGCTCCTAGGAAACATTGCTGGCTCCTAAGTTTTCACAGAATCATAAATGTGGAGAAAAACTCAAAGGTCATCTAGTCCAACCTGCTAATGCAGGAAAGTCACCGACTGCAGCAACAGATTTGAGGCACCACTAATTATATGTTTGTGTTTATCATTTTTCTCACCATGAAAACCTCCCTCGTTCTCTTAGAATGGCAATGGCGCCCACCTGAGAGGTCCCAGAATGGAGTTTCAGCAAGTTCCAGTTGAAAAAAAGCCCTGCCTGGGAAAATGATGGATCATATAGTTACTGTGACATGAAGAAGGAGCAAAAAGGGTTTTCTTGTGTGTGTGTGTTTCTTTTTGGCTGATTAGCTGCTCTCCCTGTGCAAAGGTCAGAGGGGGCAGGGTTTCTGTTGAGGCAGGTGATTAGCTGTGGGAGAAACTTATCAGAGCTTGTAGGGCAGCGGCGCGCGCCTAGCGGCACGCGCAGTTTGATCCATCTTTTAGATTTAGGGGAGCTAGTCTCAAACGTTTGTTGGGGGAGACCTAGGGTTTTTTTTGGGGGGGGGAGTTATTTGTCCTGTCTTCATGCTTTTTATGATGGAGGACCGCTGTAGCCACCCCCAACGACACGTTCTCAAGATGGAGGGGGAGGGAACAGCTGCAGTCGCCTGCGGTTCCTGCGCAATGTTTGCCATCTTGCCAAAGGTTGCAGGCAGCTTTACCTGCAGCAATTGCATGTTGATTGCCCTCTTAAAAGACAAAGTCCAGCAACTGGAGGAACGTGTAGCTACGCTCCAAAGAATTAGAGAGCTGGAGCTCTTCTTGGAAGCAACAGAGCACACCATCTCCACCAAGGAGGAGACAGAGGACTCCCCTGAGAAGGAGGCTAGTTCACCAACACAGGAGCCAGATATATGGAGAAACGTGACTCAAAGAAGTAGGAGGCCCAGGGTTCGCTCTGATTGTTTAGAAATACACAATCGCTTTGAGGTCCTGTCCCCTAGCATGGAAGACGAAGAGAAGACTCCATTTGAGGATCTCTCCCTCATTACAGTCGATCAGGTATATGAAGACGAGCAGCAAAGTCAGTCCTCAGGGAATGTGCAGGCGACCTTGGAACGGACAGCTCACGGAAGAACCCCGACCAAACCTAAGAGGAGGCGTGTAGTGGTGATAGGGGATTCCCTACTGAGGGGAACAGAAGCAGTGATCTATGGGCCTGACAAGATGTCTCGGGAAGTGTGCTGTCTCCCCAGGACTAAGATCCAAGATGTAACTGAACGACTGCAAGGAATCATAAAACCCACTGACAAATACCCCTTCCTCTTGGTTCATGTGGGAACCAATGACACTGCAAGCAATAGCCTCCAGAAGATCAAAAGAGACTACGAGGCTTCAAAACGACCTTGACAGATTAGAGAACTGGGCAAAAACAAACAAGATGAATTTTAACAGGGAGAAATGTGAAGTATTGCACTTGGGCAAAAAAAATGAGAGGCACAAATACAAGATGGGTGACACCTGGCTTGAGAGCAGTACATGTGAAAAGGATCTAGGAGTCTTGGTTGACCACAAACTTGACATGAGCCAACAGTGTGACGCGGCAGCTAAAAAGCCAATGCAATTCTGGGCTGCATCAATAGGAGTATAGTATCTAGATCAAGGGAAGTAATAGTGCCACTGTATTCTGCTCTGGTCAGACCTCACCTGGAGTACTGTGTCCAGTTCTGGGCACCACAGTTCAAGAAGGACACTGACAAACTGGAACGTGTCCAGAGGAGGGCAACCAAAATGGTCAAAGGCCTGGAAACGATGCCTTATGAGGAACGGCTAAGGGAGCTGGGCATGTTTAGCCTGGAGAAGAGGAGGTTAAGGGGTGATATGATAGCCATGTTCAAATATATAAAAGGATGTCACATAGAGGAGGGAGAAAGGTTGTTTTCTGCTGCTCCAGAGAAGCGGACATGGAGCAATGGATCCAAACTACAAGAAAGAAGATTCCACCTAAACATTAGGAAGAACTTCCTGACAGTAAGAGCTGTTCGACAGTGGAATTTGCTGCCAAGGAGTGTGGTGGAGTCTCCTTCTTTGGAGGTCTTTAAGCAGAGGCTTGACAGCCATATGTCAGGAGTGCTCTGATGGTGTTTCCTGCTTGGCAGGGGGTTGGACTCGATGGCCCTTGTGGTCTCTTCCAACTCTATGATTCTATGATTCTATGAATTCTGAGCTGTTTGTTATTTAAGAATTAACTGCACTTTCAGTCTTCCTGATCAATAGTCTTTTGTCACTTTCAGAAGTGTGTATGTCACCTAGATATGTATTGTGCTTCTTATTTTATGGGTCCAGTTCTTCCTGCTGTCTGGTAGCCACTTTCAACACTTTTCTTCTTGTTGTAGAGAGTGGTGGATAAACTGGAACAAGAAGAGGAGCAGAAGAAACAGGTGATTTGGGAAGGAGGAGTGTATTGTGTAGGGCAGAGCCCCACTGGTAGATCTTAACTGACTTGGCAAACCCTTTTTGAACTGCTTTTTGACAGGTGATGGGAATAGTAAGAATACTCTCAGAATACTTCTGGGTGTGTGCAGTTCAGGTAAATTAGGGTCTCCCACTAGAGAGACCATTAAAACTTTCTTTTTCTGAGCTGCTTGTATAACATGACTAAGACAAGCCAGCCAGGTTAGTTGCCGCTGATGCTAGTAAGAACAAGAAGCAGAAAGATCTAAACGGGTAGGCACAATCCTACCAACGAACCAAATGGGAAATGTGCAGGAGAACTTTCCAGAGGATGGCACCCAAAGAGGGAAAAGACACCATTTGGATTTTTCACAGGCACCAACATATCTTGAGCCATCCTTTTGTGTAACAATGATACCAGCAGCTCAATCTCACATTTGTCTGCCAGACACTAGTCTTGTCCCTGAATTCCTAACTGCATTAATAAAATATCAAAACAGAAAGCAGTGAAGGTCTTATTCCATATTCTATTCACTTCCAATAGCTGGGGCGAGACACACAATTGAGTTGCACCCTGATCTTACGTGGTTAATTCCAATGTCATGTCTTTCTTTTACTTACATCTTCTTTAATTCTTTTAAAAAGAAGAGAACGCCAGGAGAGGACCAGGTGCAAAGCAGGAATAAACTCTTAAAAATTCAGTGGATGTCACTTGCTTAGGTTTGTATGTGTGCATATGCAGAGTATGTTGTCTGTATGCATGTGTGCAAAATATGTTGTGTGCACAAGCGCTGTGTTTTTAAATCTGGTCCTAATTTTGTAGGATGACCAGAGGAAAACCTCAAGAGTTATAAACAGCATGTAGCATTTGAAAAGGATATGCTCAGTGAATGTTTTTGTGTTCAAACAATGTGTACTGGGTTATATTGATTTAATAATGTTGTGCATCATAGTTTATTTCTTTCCTTGCAGAAACGAAATGACAAGAGTGATGAGAAAATAAAGGTGAGAATAGGTCCAGGGCTGGACTGTTGTGGTCACTGGGACAGAACCATTGGAGGTGGAATAAGGAAAATAAGGGAAAGATCGGAGAAAGAAAAAGAGAATCCACCATACTGATGTGCCGTTAAGTCATAATTAAAACTTTATTACATTGGTACGGAGCGTTAAAGCAATCAACAGCTGCCATCATTTCTGACCATTGGTCATGCTGGCTGGGACTCATGAGAATTGGAGTCTGTTACAGAGAATTGGGAAGGTTAATGTTAAATTGTTAGAAAATGCTCAAAATGTTGGCATTCCAAGACTTCAGTCCTTCCTATGTTCCTGCATTAATGAGCAACCAAGGTTGACCTTTGTAGTTGAGCAAACAAGGTCCACATGTGTTGGGCAGGTGACATTTTGGGACATCCCCATGGTCAGCATGGCAGCCATGAAGTCCTGAGCCACCCCAGAGCCAGTCATGTTGGCATGGATGTTGAAGTCCCCAAAACCAGCAGTCTGGGAGTCCTCAACCCTGCCTCCAAAACCAGCTCTGTCAGCTCAGGCAGGGAGACTGCTGGGCAGCGAGGCGGGTGGTAAACCAGCAGAATGGCAGGAAGAGTGGCAGCCAGTTGCCCAGGAAGCACCTGAGATTCAGACTGGTGGGGCAGAGAGGAATCATCAGCAGAGAGTGAAGGCGAAGGGGAGAGGCTTGAGGTGGCCACAGACGCAGAGAGAGAAGGAGCAGGGGCTGTGTCTCCTGCTCTGCAATACAGTATTGATTCGGCTCCTTCCCCTCCCCCATTCTCTGCGCAGGAATGAAGTCGAGAAAAGGCTGGAACAATTAAGAAAAGTTGAGTCACAGTGAAAAAATAAAGGAGGGAGGTATAAATAAAGGGAAGAAAGGGGCAGGAACTTTAGCTTCTGCAACTGACTTGCTTAACTGTTGGATGTACCGTGTGCTGTCTCCTTGGTTAATGAGCAATAAAGTTAATTCCTGTCAAGCCATGCCTGTTTCTGTTACAGTGTTGAACCACAGATGGGAGGGCTACCTGACACAGAATCCCTAATCTATCCTGATTGCCCAGTGCCAGGAACTCTAGAGCCTTCCACAACAGAGACAGAGAGCCTGGAGAGAGAGATGGAGTCTCTACAGACCACAGCAACTCCTCCTCCCCAGCCCTCAGGTCTGCCCTGTTGTTCACTGAGTACCCAGGTGGGCACAGCTGGGTGAGACCAACTCCACCCTGCTCAGCTACCCAGGTGTTCGTGGTACAGACCAGATCAGCCTCCATGTCCATCATCAGATCATGGATGAGGGAGGTCTTTACTCAGAGCCAAACCAAAATTCAACAACAGCAGCTGCAGACCCAAGGGCTGGCTGATAGGACAACCGAAATTCCCTGGACTGAAGCAGGGGCTGGCACACGGCACAGTCACTTGTACCGTGTGCCCCTTACCTGGTCTGCCCCACCTCCCACACCATACGTTCCCCTACCCAGAACCACTGTGGTTGACCCCCTGCTCTCCCCACTTATTTTCCTCCCAAACACATCTCGTCTTCCTCAATAAAAACAGCAACCCCCCCCCAAATCAGAAACAGTTAAAGCAATTAAAACATTTAAACCAATTGTAGCTGTTAGCCCTGCCTCTGCTTTGCAGCTGGTGCTACAGCCAGGAGATGCTAATGGGCTGCAGGTGCAGAGGCCACCAGATTACGGCTGCTCTCAGCTGCTGCAAGGCTAGCCAGGAGGGAAGGGGAAGCTGTTGGTGGTGAGAGCACAGAAGTCTCTCTTCCTCTCCTGTTCACCTTCTTGCCACAACCAGCAGACTCTTGGTTCTTGGACTTTCCTTTTGCCCCAAGCTTTCTAGACACAGGTCCACACTTTAAAGTTCCGTGTTTGTTTTCCTTGCAAAAACCTGCCCTTTAATGCTGATCAGAACAAACGGCAATTCGGGTTTTCTGCAGATTGCAGTTTGCTCAATTCAGTGGTAAATAGCGAGTTTTTGTGGGAAAGTGTTGCCGGGGCGTGGGGTGGGGAATGCACTTGCACACAGTGCTTTACAGCCTGGACATGTGCCTAGAAACATGTCACAAAAGGAAGTCTGGATCAGCCCCTTGTTTCTCCCTCAGTGTTGGTCAACATACACCCAGGTCCATCCACTAGGAACAGGGCCACAGTAGCTTTCTTCTTCGTCGTCGTCTTCTGACCAGTTGCTGAAGTTGGACAGGTGTGAGGGAAGCGGGTTTGCCCTTGGCCATGAAGGAATTTCCTGGCCCTTGGAGGACCACCCAGGAGATCACACTCACACGCTTCATGTTTATTCTTCCCCAGGAGGTCGCTCAGCAGCTGAAGTGCTTGCCTCTGACGCAGAAGAACCTGCGCATGTTTGACAATGCCGAAAAGAACCGCATCCCACCTGAAGACCGCCAGTTTTCCTGCCAGCCCTGTGACAGTATGTGGTGGCGTCGAGTCCCAAAGAGAAAACAGGTGTGTGTGCATGCATGACCATGTGTCGTGGATCATCTGCCTCAAAGGGTCAAACTGATGGCCACGTACAACCACTGAGGTAGCTCATCTAAAAGGGAGATGGGTGTTTTCTCAGGATATTAACCCTTCTTACCCTCGCTTCTCCCATTCCTCCCTCTTTTGCCTCCCCATCTTTGCCTAAATTTAAAAGGAAAAATAAAAGTATGTGTGAAAATTCTTTGGCCCACAGGCCAAATGCATCTCCTAGCTTCCTCTCCTTATTCTGTCCCTGCACAGCAGTTAGGCTTGAAAAAGGGCTTCCAGTGGTGCTAATGAAGGGTTTTTCAGCCTAATTGCTAGGGTGTGTGTGTATGTGTGTCCCCTTCCAATGTGCTGACTTCTGATGACAATCCCCCCACCCAGTAATTGGGGTTGGAAAAATAAAAGAAGTTCCATTGGCTCCTTATTCCTATGCCAGACAGAACCTATTTTCAGAAGTGTTGCAACTTAGATAATCACCTTCCCCCAAAATTGTCCCTTGTGTGGTGAGTAGACTTCAGAAAGGGAGGGAAGACCAAGGAGACATGATGGCAAGAGACCTGGGTTAAAACTGGGTCCTCCACCAAATCCATATACAGCATGGATAGTGTCTCTATGGAGGTGTTTTTTGAGGGAGGGGAGTGAAAGTGGAGCATGGACAAAGAGTGGGGGGCTGAACTCTATATGTGTTTTCTTCTACTTTTCACTCCAAGACCACCACTCCCAGCCACCACCACTCCCCACAACCAGAAATAAAGCAGCTGCAATCAAGGGTGCAACAGTATTGGGGCCACACCTCATATGGGCAGCTTGCTCTATAGGGGACTTCAGAAGACTTGAACTGAGTCTGCGGCCATTTCATTTTGTGGTTCATTGCTGGAGTTTGGGTGCCTTTTTAGCTTCTCATTTGATGCCCTCCACAGGTGTCCCGTTGTCACCGGTGTGGGAACAAGTATGACCCAGTGCCTGAAGACAAAATGTGGGGTACAGCAGAGTTCACTTGCCCCTCATGTGGACGCACCTTCAGGTGAGCAGCGCGGACTGAATGACTCAAGAGTATAGGACAGAGGGGGACTTCAGTATCTACATTGGTTTTCCAGCGTTCCAGAGGGCAGGACTGGAACCAATAGTTTCATGTTAGAATTTAGACTATAAACATTAGGATTATTTTCTTGATTGTACCAGCTGTTGGACATTGAAACATCAGGCTGTCTCAGAAGGTGGTGGGCTCACCTTCACGAGAGGATTTTAAGCAGAGGCTGGATGGCCCCGTTATGAATGGCATAGCAGTGGAATTCCTGCATTAGCAGGGGACTGGACATGGACTGCGTACACACTGTACCTTTAAAGCGCATTCAAAGCCCTTCCTTTCCCTCAAAGAATTCTGGGCACTGTGGTTTCCTAAGGGTTGCTAGAAATCGTAACTGAGGGAGGTAAACTACAGTGGCCAGAATTCTTTGAGGGAAAGGAAGTGCTTTGGGCTTTAAAGGTATAGTTTACACGCAGCCACTGTCTCAGGAGTAAGATCCATTGAACACAGTGTGACTCTTCTGCATGTGTAAGCATAAGACTGGGCTCTAGGATTGGGACCGGCTGGTGAAGGGTGGGTAATAAATTTAATAAGTAAGAATAAATAGCTTTTACCACAGTCAGCAATCTTGTTTGGCATATAACTAAGGATATTGAGACAAGTCATCTTGTTATTCTAATTGACCTCCTTTCTTTAATTGATCTCTCACTTATTGGTCAGAAAAGATTGGCTGATATTTTTTCAGAGGGTAAACCTCATGGTCCCTTCAAAATCTACCATTCTATGATTCTAATATGGGTTTGACGAAAAATATTAGTATGCCTTGAGGGCTGGGTATCTTCAGAGCCTGGAAATACCTCTTTCAACTAAAGGGAGCAAGCAAAACAGTTTGCCAGTTGAAAAGGCTCTGAGTTTCTTTCCTGAGTTAGCCTGAAACAGGCGTAGTCTTTTGTGGCGGGGGGGGGGGTGCAGTTTGTCCTGTGGGATTCTGCTGTCTGTTTTTAGGAGGGTGCTTCTTCCAAATAGTTGGTATTATTTGTTCTGGTGTTGCTTCACCCAAAGGAAATTAAATGTGATAGTGCTCTACCCTAGAATGCTTGTCACTGGGAGAAGTGGGGTTTCTGATGTGCAGTATTGATATTTTGAGCTAGGTTGATTCCTTATTGCTTGGTATAATTTTCTGTGCTGTGTAATGGTCTTCCTGAGAGCTCCACAAAATAAAATGGCAAAAAATTAGTTAAAAAATGAGTTATATCAGAACATGACAGAAAATAAGTAAATGTATCAATAAATAAAGGCACTCCCTCCATCTCTTGACTGCAGTGGTTCGGCCCAGATGGGGAGCCCGTCTCCCTGCTACAGTTGCCACAGCCCTGTTCTCCCGAGTTTTATCATCCCACCTCGCAAGAAGCTGGGACCAAGAAGCAGACAGCAGCATTCGTGTTTTGCAGAGGATTGCTACAACCGAAGAGGTGGGGCTGAATGTGCATTGAATAGGCATTGTGCCATGGGGTGTCCCTTCCCTGCTAGGGGGCCACCATGTGCTGTTGACTTGCCATGCTAAGCGGCATCTGGTCCCAGTTTGCAGAAATGGGACCAGAGTAGAAAGGCGTTGGAGCAAAATTCCAGGCATATTATTTGGCAGAGGGGAAAAAAGTGCCTTCCTGTGTATTGGAACTTTTCCCATACTGCTGCCATGATCAGCACAGAAGGAATGTTGGCTGGGGGAGGGGGGAGGGGTAGAGCTTGACTGCCTTCTAGAAAGTGTGGAAACAAGGGAGTGTAGGAAGGTGAGTTCATGTGTGGCTGGTCCAGCAAAACATTTCACCTCGTGTCCTCCTGTCCCCTTACAGAGCCCCATATACCAGGAACTCACTGTGTGCATCCCCAAAGCCGCATCAAGAACAGCTTGCCCAAAGTCATCTACCCCAGCCAAGAGCATGATAGTACCGGCTCCACGGTGGCCACCTGCTTAAGTCAAGGCAGCTTGGCATTCTGTGACATCAATGAGCTCATCCTGGAAGACCTGAAGGAAGAGGAGGCTGGCGAGAGCAGCAATTAACCCCCGGATGTCTGGAGTGGGAATGGATGGGAGATGAATGCCAGGTTGCAAACTAGTGAGCATGGCTGGGAAGGGAGTCTTTTTTCTTCTTCAAGCTGAACAATTCTAATGATGCACATGAATTCCCCATTCTGGGCTTCTCTTTGGCTCTGCACTTTGTCTTATCTTCTCAGTGTGGCTTTTCTTTGCTTTTGTTGTCAGTCTTATTTCTTTTCTGGAGAGCTCATCTTCTAGATGTATCTTAGCCATAGATTTAAACTGGTTTTAATAGTCATCTTCTCTCCTCAGTTCTCACCACCCTGACCCACTACAATTCCTAGGATCCTTTGTGAAAACTAGTAAAGAAAGCTAGTACTGTGTGGATGTGTTCCATCTCGTAGTCTCGTAATCTGGTGAACCTGGTTTGCGTCTCCGCTCCTCCACATGCAGCTGCTGGGTGACCTTGGGCCAGACACACTTCTTTGAAGTCTCTCAGCCCCACTCACCTCACAGAGTGTTTGTTGTGGGGGAGGAAGGGGAAGGAGAATGTTAGCCGCTTTGAGACTCCTGAAGGGAGTGAAAGGCGGGATATCAAATCCAAACTCCTCCTCCTCCTCTTCTTCTTCTTCTTCTTCTTCTTCTTCTTCTTCTTCTTCTTCTTCTTCTTCTCCTGTCCAATCAGCCCTCCTTGACATCTCCCATTGGAGCTAGTTGTCTGTGGAACTTGACGATGTCCTAGCTTCCAGTTGTTAAACTGACCTTAAAAGAACTAAGAGGCTTTTCAAAGATAACGCTTCTGTTGTGTTCATCATGATCTTTTACCAGCTCTTTGAACTTTCATATGCAGTTGGCATGAGAGGATCATGTTTGTGTGTTCCTGGTGGGAAAACTACTACTGGTCTTGTCAGTAGTTTCCATTAGCTCAGAGGTGGTTAACCTGTAGCACTATTGTCCCGTCAGCTCCAGCAACATTGAAAATAACCATGGCTGATGGGAGTTGTAGTTCAGCAGTATCTCAGAATGAGGTCCCCATTCCTGTATCAGGTGGAGTCATGATTAGAAAGAATGCATGCTGCTTCAAGCTCTAGGAAAACTCTCCAAACCCAGCAAGACATGGAGGAGGCCAAGTTTCTTTTTATTATGTTGCTACAGCTTTAGGAACTAAAGTGTAGGTGGCTGAGATTGAAAATTTCCATACTGTACTAGTAAGGTGTCTTTTCTCAGGGAGGTTGCAGACAGAATGGGAACATTGCAGCTTGACCTTTCAAGCAATGCTCTCTGCCTCCTAGAGCTTGTGTGGCTAGAAATAAAAAGGGTCAGGGATGGAGAAGTTGGAGGAACCTTGTTGGGGTAGCTGTGCTCTGTTAACAGTCCTGTTCAGAGAACCCAGTTCCCTTCCCATTGAGCATGTAGAAAAGGCAGTTTTATGTGAATCTTTCTTAATTGTTATAAAAACTGTATTGTTGTAAACCACTTTGGGAAACCCTTTTAGGGCTGAAAGGCAATATAGCAATGTTTTACCAAATAAGGTAATCTGTGCAGGATTTGTGATATTAGCATTGATCTTGGAAAAACAAATCATTACAGGGGTTCTGTATCTTAATCTCCAGTTTGAAAGGCTTCAGATCTATCTACAACACACTGTCTCATGTTCATGGGCAAATGTTTTCTATCATGTATGTAGATATTATTTCTTGCCCTGGTGCATTTAAAAAGTGGGTGCAATTAAAATTATGTTTCCCCCCCCCATTGAAATGTTGCCTGATTTCTACAGTTCAAAGGGCCAGCAACCTGTATAAAAATGATCAAAAGACTGGTCTGTGAATTGTTTCTGGGATAACTCAGTCAGTAGAACATCAGACTCTTAATCTCAGGCTCGTGGGTTCAAGCCCCACGTTGGCCAAAGGATTCCTGCATTGCAGGAGGTTGGGCTAGATGACCCTCATGGTCCCTTCCAACTCTCTGCAATTCTAAAAAAAAGACTGGTCTGTGCTGGGAAGACCCACATGGGACAGTGCCCAGAAGCACAGTCCTTTAATCAGACTACATAAACACTCACCCATTTGTAGCACAATTTTTCCCCCCAATAACAAAAAGTTTTTCTCAATATTTAACATGTTGCTCTCAATCTATAGCCTGCCATCTACAAGGATGGGTGTAGTTACTTGATATGTGCTTGAAAACTCTGACCCTCTATTAGGTTATCCACACCTTTTCCTTCCTCCATGTGCCCCAGATGAATACTCTGTCCCATTGATTCTAGAATAAAATGTCACGCGTATGCAGCCTTAGAGTTAGTCAGTGGCAGCAGATCATTTTTTAAAACCCCTGTTTCTAAACTTTCTTAGAAGTAGGACAGTAGCTCAGCACTAGAGGACATGCTTTGGATGTCAAAGGTCCCAAATTCAATTTGTGGCATTTCCAGTAAGAAGAGTCAGGTGATGTGCAAGATCCCTACCTTTGACCCATGGGAGCCACTGCTAAACTCTAGTCAACTGAAGAGGTACAAAATGAGAAAGTATAGACAAGGGCCTGGATGCACACAGTTCAGACAGGGACCAAAGAAACTTAAATCCATACCCATTTCCTCCAAACCCCTTTCTGAAAATGTGATTGACATTTTAACCATATTTGACATGCATATGTGTGCTGCAGCTGAGGTTATCTGATGGCAGCAGGGGTATGTATGTGCAGCCCCAGTAACTAGCTCAGGAGGGAGCTGCATCTGTAGCAGCTGCTTGTGCACATCATCCAGTTAGGAATAAGCTGCAGAAGCGAGGAGTCACACACAGATGGCTCATCCCTTGATGGAGTGAAGATCTACAAGTGGTTAAGAGTACAGTGGTACCTTGGTTCTCAAACTTAATCTGTTCCGGAAGTCAGTTCCAACACCAAAGCGTTCCAAAACCAAGGTGCGCTTTCCCATAGAAAGTAATGCAAAATGGATTAATCAATTCCAGACTTTTAAAAACAACCCCTAGAAGAGCAATTTAATGTGAATTTTACTATATAATGAGACCACTGATCCATCAAATGAAAGCAATAAACAATGTACTGCAGTCACACAATCAGTAGCTGAACTGGGTTCCACACAGTCAGAAAAACAAAACAAAAAGCCACAAAAACGCAAAGTAAGTACCAAAAACAGACAGACCTCAGCGTAGCACTCTGTAAGGAGACAATGAGACCACTTCACAGCAATTATGGAATAACTGCATTCAGAAGAACTAAAGTCTCAGGTTGTTTGGAGTCTTAAATTCTTGTTTTTCATGTAGGGATACAACACACCGATAAAGGAAGCAGCATTGCAAAGCGGGGTTGCTGTTGTTGTATTTAAAAAAATACACCACAAGAATCATTCAAACGCCTTGAAAAGGCAGCCTTAGTCTTCTGAAGGATCTATGGTATGCTTTATACTAAACAGCAAGCTCTACATTAAATTTAACATCAACGAAAGGCAAAATATACACGGAAAACAAAGCAACACAAACCCTTAAACCTCCTGCAGAATAAAACGACCCCTTTGTCTGGTAAGAAAAGGCTTTGGTGAAAGAGTCTCATTCTGTGCAAGGGGGAGGGGGAAGCAAAAAAACGAGGGTGAGGAAGAGGAGAAAGTACGCAAACATTTTCAAGAGAGGAGGGAATCCATACATCGATCCACGGTCCCAGGGCCTTGGATGGGCAGGAGGCTGTGAAGATCTGGCTGGGGGTGGAGGGGAATCAGGCTGGGAGATTGGACAAGGAGATCAAGCGTGGGCGGAGACGCCAACAAAGAATCTGCCAGCGTGTTTGGGAGTTTGCAGGATGGATGGATGGATGGATGGATGGATAAAAGCAGGTTACTGAACTCAATTGGAAGTCGTGCCAGACATTCGGCTTCCAAAAATCTTCGAAAACCGGAACATTCACTTCCGGTTTTCAATCGTTCGAGGGCCTGAACGTTCGAGTTTCAAGGCGTTCGGCTTCCAAGGTTCCACTGTGTCCAGGAGGCTGGGTTTGTGTGCCTTGTCAAAGGACATTCACAATCTGGAAGAACTCTGCTAGTAGTCAAAAAAAGTATACTCAACCAATCTGAAAGAACTAATAGACTTGCATACTTTATTTTTAGGGCAGATTGTGGACTTCCTTGCCAGAGAATTTTAAATTTAAGTCAACAAAATAGGTTTATGCAAAATAAATACATTTGGCTTCATTTATGGGATTTGTATAATATGAAAAAGGTAAGGGTAAAGGTACCTCTGCCCGTACGGGCCAGTCGTGTCCGACTCTGGGGTTGCGCGCCCATCTCGCTTAAGAGGCCAGGGGCCAGCACTGTCCGAAGACACTTCCGGGTCACGTGGTCAGCGTGACAAGCTGCATCTGGCGAGCCAGCGCAGCACACGGAAACGCTGTTTACCTTCCCACTAGTAAGCGGTCCCTATTTATCTACTTGCACCTGGGGGTGCTTTCGAACTGCTAGGTTGGCAGGCGCTGGGACCGAGCAGCGGGAGCGCACCCCGTCGCGGGGATTCGAACCGCCGACCTGACGATCGGCAAGTCCTAGGCGCTGAGGTTTTACCCACAGCACCACCCGCGTCTATATTGTATAATATAGTGTGAGTTCTAATTAATGCCTAATTATTGTTATGTTTTGCTGTTTCCTTTACATTGAAATGAATGTAAGTTATGTAGCTTACATAAACAGTTGTCAGTTACACAAGTTATGCACCTTAAGCTGAATAATGGACAGTAAGATAAATAACATAATATTTGGCAGAAACAGAACTGTAGTGGAACAGAAACAGTGCTGGTTGTGTCAAATCCAGATTGGAGTGGAAATCATGGCTTTCTTTCACCGCTAGCTCTACTGTGCCTCAGGTTTCCATCTCTGAAAAAAGGATGCGGAGGCCCTTTCCTTAAGCCTTTTCCAATCAGAATAGATCACCAGGAACTGTGTTAACTCTAGAGTTTATAGCATGAATGGGGAGCCTCTTGCCAGGACTTTACCATCAGGCCCAGCTCCTCACTTTCTCGCTCTGCCACCTTCACATAGCAATTGGGCATATAGTGGTACCTCAGGTTACATACGCTTCAGGTTATAGAGTCCGCTAACCCAGAAATAGTACCTTGGGTTAAGAACTTTGCTTCAGGATGAGAACAGAAATCACGTAGCAGTGGCGCAGCGGCAGCAGGAGGCCCCATTAGTTAAAGTGGTGCTTCAGGTTAAGAACAGTTTCAGGCTAAGAACGGACCTCCAGAACAAATTAAGTTCTTAACCAGAGGTACCACTGTATACAAATGTCCGTTTTTTAACGCTGAATCAGAACAAATGGCAATTTGGGTTTTTTGGTGATTTCCGTTTGCACAGACTCTGCAGCAGAGCGTGGGTTTTTGCAGGGAAAGCATTAGGGCAACCAAAAACGAAAAAGTGCTTGGACACAGAGCTTTAAAGTACACACTTGTGCCAAGAAACACGGCACAGAAGTCTGGATGAGCCCAGAGTCTGCTACAGCAGTGCTAAGGACGCTTCTGTTAGGATTATGAAAGTGGCGATCCTTAAATCGCTGCAGTGTTGTTTTCTGCCACGGGTGTTTCAGCCTCTGCAAGAGTAACCAGTTCCACAATGTGGGGAGGGAGGAGTATACAGCAGCATGTAACAAACCACAGAATCCTGGATAGTTAAGAAACCATAGTTTGAACACACTGTAATTTGCAAAGTTTGCACACAGCAACAAACTCTGCTTCTAATTAGGGGAACTGAAGTTTTTTATTTCCTTTTTTGGCATGTGATGGGGAGAATGCAACCCCCAAGGCTTCACATGTCACAACAAACTGGGTTGTTACACCTGGATTGTAGAGAGTGAAGATGATGCAGTCCTATACACCTCCACTCATTGACTCATGTGTGGCTTACTCCCAGGTACGTAAGTATAAAGCTGCAGATTTAAAACATGTGTCGTCAGTAACCTGTGTTTCTAGACGAGTACTTGCAGGCCATTCAGGTACCAAAGGTTTCTGGCAACAAGCTGTTTTGTTTACAGTATTTGTTTGTTTTTAACTTCACTGGATTTCCTCCAAAATTGACAAATCCAAATTTAATGAGGTGGAAAGTTCAGGCTAGCATTTTGATGCCACTTATGTGGACACTGTGAAAAACTTGTAGGTGTAAGGAGGCCCCACCTAGAAGCACCCACTGAAAAGAACAAACACCTCCTCCCATATGCTAATTCTCTCTTCAATTTTGCTGAACATCCCCTTCATTTTAGGAATTTGATTTCCAAATTTTTTAAAGGTGCTGACTGTTAATTGTTTAAGGTGCTGCGTGTACATTTAAAACATCATTTCGCACCTTCATTAATTATTTTCAGTTATTTTTTAAAGGGAAAAATGTTCTTTTAAAATCTGGACAACTGCTCAGGGAATGCCACAAGCCTCCCCCCCCCCCCGTTAGCATAGTGCACCCACAGTTTCTACAGATCACTGGCACTAGAAGGAGCTTGCTTTGAGAAGGAGGCTGTACGTCTGACTGACTGAGAACATGGCAAGTGAGCTTTCAGAGCTCAGTGACTCCTGTTTTTAAATATCTAGACCTGCCCTTGGTATGCGTCCTTTCTTACTCCCAGGTACAGAAATCATGTGCCTTGTGGAGACCGGATCATCATGACCACCTTGCGGAGCGAGTAGGCACCGCCACGAAACTCTGCCCAGTAGACCCCGTCCTGATAACGGCTTCGGTAGTGCCCTCCTTTGTACCAGACACCATTAAGGTTGGAGTGGGCACACATATTGTACCACCAACCACCTTTCTGGAAGTGGGCACAGTTGCCTGTGGGAAAAGAAGAGGGGTGGGGAATAGATAATTTATCATCAAACCATGGGCATGGCCAGGATTTTTTTGGGGGGGGAGGGCAGAACCTCAGCTATGTATTTCTATTGATTTTTTTTTGGGGGGGCAGCTGTGCCCATGAATCAAATCCTGAAATCAGATGCTGTTAGAATAGAGATGGGGAATTTCCAGCTTCTGTCAGCTCCAGGCAGCATGGCTAGTGGAGAGGGAGGATGAGAGAGGCCACCCAGCAACAGAGGGACGGCCACACGTTCCCCACCCCTGCAGAATTTGGCAACCAGGTTGCTCACTGGGACAAGATGGTTTGAGCATATTACACCAATCCTGTCCTGATTGCACTGTCTGCTAATTAGTTTCCAGGTCGAATTCAAAGTGCTGCTTTTGAACTAGAAAGTCTTAAATGGCTCAGAACCACAATACTTCCAGGACCACATCTCTCCATATGAACTGACTCAAACCATGCAATCATCATCTGAGGCTCTTCTTAGTGTGCCTCCGTGAGAGGTCTGGACTTCATAGATGGATTTCATACAGTGCTATTAAGGGGTCTGCCCTTTGTTAGCCAGGTGTCTGCTTAATACAGGAGCTAGCATAAGCAGACAAAGTTCTCTTGATGGCTGGGAATCTCTCTCCAGCCTTAGAATGCAGCATCCATCAGTCTAGGAAGGTGGCACCCTCCAGCTGGTGGGATCAGAAGAGAAACAGTTTATCAGCAGCATTCTGCTGGTTGAAAGAATGGCTGCTTCTTGAGAACACAGACATTTTGGACTTAGAAGGTTTTAATAATGTTTTTGGGTGGCATGCATATTTGTGGTATGACAAGGTTAAAGCACATAAAGCATTTAAAAACCATATTGTTAGGAAAGCATTGTTAAATGTCTGGATAAGATATAAGGACTTACTTGAAAATAAAACCCCAAGGTGGTTGTCACCGATGGAAGCAAAGGCTCAGAAAAAGCTCAATATGGAGGCCAAATGGCCGAAATATTGGGAAATTTTGGAACAAGAAGGAGACAAATTGAAATTGCAGAGTTTTGAGAAATTAAAAGACAAAGTGCGAGACTGGCTTCACTATTATCAAATAAGGGAGGCTTATAATTTGGACAAAAAAAGAGCCATTCTCATTAGGTTTCATCTAAGTGGAAACAGCTGAGGAATCTATCACTGGTTGATTTACAACTCCACCAGAAGCCTATTTTTTGCTCCTTTTTGGCACTTAAAATGTTCTAGGGATGGCAGTTTTGAAAAGTTAACCACAGGGTCTCCTAGAAAGCTCCCAGTGCTAGTAATATGCCTTTGATTTTCCAGACTTTAAAATTACTGTATTATTGGCAGGGTATTATGAATAACACTGACACACACATCTGCTAATGGGCTGTTTCAGCCTTATTAAAGCATCCTCAGGTGCAGTTGTGAAATAATAACTGTAACAGACATAGGACTAGTAATATGCAAAACATATTTATACAATATTTGAGAAGGGGAGCCTGTGGCCCTCTAAATGTTGCTGGATTCCCAGTTCCCACCAGGCCCAGTCAACACAGCCAATGGTAAGGGATGATGGGAGTTCAAGTCCCCACAACATCTGGAGGGCCACAGGTTGCCTTTCTCTGCTTTGTACTCTTAGATGGTTCACTTCAATAGCCAAGGGTTGCTGGGCTCTGCTCCTGTTTCTGTAACTGCATCCAGTTCCAGAGAAATTTAGCATGTTAATTTTCTCCCACTACTTTTTCAATACTACAAGAAACGTCAGTTCCTAAATTCCTAGCTACCCTAGGTATACCAAGTAGGCACTTGAAGGGGTGGAATCTGGTCTTTAAAATTTCAGCTGCAAGGCCAAAATTCAGTGCCTCCCTGCCTCTCACTCTCCATGGTGCTAATTCACTAAGTCATAGTTGTGGTGCCATGTGGCCCCTCTAGGCTTAGTGCACAGTGTGACAGAACCAGTCGTGCCTCCCTCAGTGGCGAAGCTGAATGCTCCGGCACTGGGGGCAGAGAGCAGGCGTGGGCACGGCTGGCGCATGTCCCGGGGGCATGACACGTGCCCAGGGACATGGCATGTCGCCTGTGGGGCCTGCATGCATTCTGGGGTTGTGGCGCGCTGCCCGCAGGGGCATGGCGCCTGGCGCGGTGGGGGTGCGTGCCGCGTGTCCGGGGGGCGGCAGTGATGGTACCCCCTCCCCAATGGGGCCGGGGGCAGTGCGCTCCCCCCGCCTGCCCCTGCATTCCTCCACCAGTGGCCTCCCTAATTCCACCTCTGCTGTCTGTCTGTCTGTCTATGATTAAAAGCATTGCCACAGGGGGAAAACAAGGCAACCCCACAGGAACCTTGCAATATGTGTCTCCTCCTATTTCTTGTGGAGCATAAACAGTGGAGTACGGCAGGCTTGGGGAACGCTTTGGCCCTGTGTTTCTGGACTACAATTTCCCTCATCCCTGACGATGCCAATTTAGGATGACAGGAGTTGATCATTATCTGGAGGGCCACAGGTTATGGAGACAGCTTTAGAGGGGCAAGAAAAATCAAGGAAATCGTTTTGAGAAACTAAAAAATAAAGTGCGAAATTGGCTTCATTATTATCAGATAATGGAGGCATATAATTCGGACAAGAAAATTGGCTTCCAGGTGGAAAAATCAAAATTAGAAACAGAACTGTTAGAACCCAAAACTAAGACTTTATCAAAGATGTATAACTTGCTGTTGAAATGGAATACTCAGGATGAAACGGTGAAATCTGCTATGATTAAATGGGCACAAGACGTTGGACATAACATAATGATGGCTGACTGGGAACAGTTATGGACCACAGGTATGAAGTTTACGGCATGCAATGCCTTAAGAGAGAATATTATGAAAATGATATACAGGTGGTACATGACACCAGTCAAGCTTACAAAAATCTATCATTTGCCCGATAATAAATGTTGGAAATGTAAAGAAACTGAAGGTACATTCTTTCACCTTTGGTGGACGTGCCCAAGGATTAAGGCTTTCTGGGAGATGATCTATAATGAATTGAAAAAGGTATTTAAATATACCTTCCTGAAGAAACCAGAGGCCTTTCTCCTGGGCATAGTCGGCCAATCGGTGTCAAAGAAGGACAGAACTTTCTTTATGTATGCCACAACAGCAGCAAGAATACTTATTGCAAAGTACTGGAAGACACAAGATCTACCCACCCTGGAAGAATGGCAGATGAAGGTGATGGACTATATGGAATTTGCGGAAATGACTGGCAGAATCCGAGACCAGGGAGAAGAGTCGGTGGAAGAAGATTGGAAAAAGTTTAAAGACTGTTTACAGAAATATTGCAAAATTAATGAATGTTAGAATGACGTTGGATAGAAACTAAGTGGTTTTTAGCTGTAATGTTATAAGGGAATATGAAAAAATGGATTATTAATAGGTAAAAATCTAATGTTACAATATTTTAAGATTAAAGACTAGGATAAACAAAGAGGGGAGGGATTTGCTGAACTAACAAACTGAATTGGAATACAAAAAAGGGAGGTATGAGGAGGTCCGGGAAATAAGCAAATGAAAGATAAGTAATGGAAAGATTGAATTGTTTTTAACTATTTTTATTTTGTATTTTTCTTTTTTCTTTTTTTCTTTTGCAATATTTTGAAAATCTTAATAAATATCTTTTAAAAAAAAAAGAAGAGAAACAGTTTAGAGCCAGTTTTGCAGTTCTGAATACTGTGGGCGAATGAGACAGAGTTTGGAGCTGTGAGCTGTGAGGTAAAGCTCCTTGGAGTGCAGAATATCGTGCTCTCGGAATCTGATACAAGAGAAACAGGTCTAATAGCTACTATAGGAATAATGATTTGCTTCCACAACCGCTTTGCTTGGATACTATATTTTTTGTCTACCTCTTCTCTATACTTTCAGACACAGCGGCTGAGTGCCCAGGCGGGCACATCTGGGAGTCGGGGCACGGAGGGTGACATGAGGAGGTTGCAGCAGGGCAGGCAGGCACCCTTCCAATCAGTCCAGATCGATGATAAAACAGGATAAAAGTGATAAAAAGATAAGGAACAAACAACACCTTCCTCCCCAGCTCTTGGTGTCCTCTTTTAGCCATCTCCCTTCTCCATCCTTACCTGAGTAAGCATCATGGTCACGGTCGAGGGTGCTGAACTGTCGGCCATTATGCCAGGAGAGGGAATCACCAGCGTTGCCTTGATAGCGCCCCAGCTGCAACCGGTAGAAATCATTCTCAGGTTCTAGGGCAAAGGTGCTGTATTCTGCGTATGCCTGTCGCCCACTCCAGTCTTCCATGGTAACCCTCAGCACGTATGAGCCCTGGCGAGTCAGCCAGTGAATGAACTCGAGACCCAGCCAGTGTTCTCCTTCCAAGTTCCCAAAACCATTCTGAAGGTGGAGCAGGGCAGGGGGAAACACAGCAAGTAAGATGTTAGCAGGTGGGCCCTGGCTGTAGGGGAACAGTTGGTGCTAGCCATAGGGTAGAAGAGTGAGCTAATACTCCTACTTCCTTCCCAGGCCACTTTGGGGCCTGTGGAACACTTAGCTCTCTTGCAGAGATATGTGGGATCCTTTTGCAGCAGGAAATCAGCAAAGCACACATACACCATGCTAGCTCAATGCCCAAAGTCAGCTACCATGTGTGGTGATGACCCGAGTCCAGCAGCAAGACATGAGAGTCAGAGGCTGCAGAGTCTCCCGCTAAGGAACGAGATCCCGTGCAGGGCTCTGACTCTGCTACTGGAGACCAGGAGACAACTGAGGCTCCATGTTGGAGCCAGATTCAACCCATACCTCTGGAGTAATGGAAAAAGAGAGAAGGAAACCTGAGAAAAATCTAGGAAGCTTTCATCCCTTAATACAGAGGTCTCCTGATAAGAGCATTCTATGGTCCACTTTGCCAGCAGGTCCCCGAAAGATCACATATTTTTATCTTAAGACTAGACACACACACACTGCAAGAATGGGATTGCCATGTGACTGAACAAACATGGCTGCCCTCATTATCACATCTATTTGGGCCTTAGCTCATGTTTTCAGTCCATTACTTAATGTGTTTTTGCCTCCATCTGACTGAGTGGGCATAGCACAGCAGGTGGCAGAGTAACCCTTGCTTTGTGTCAAGACCAGATTCATAGGTGTGCTGCTGCAAACCTTTTGCATATCAGGAATTCCTATCCCCAAGTATTTCCTACAAATTCAACGGGGCAACTAAACTGAAGGCTGAATACCCATGAAAGAGCAGTACAGTGGTGCCTCGCAAGACGAAATTAATCCGTTCCGCGAGTCTCTTCGTCTTGCGGTTTTTTCGTCTTGCAAAGCACGGCTATTAGCGGCTTAGCGGCTATTAGCGGCTTAGCGGCTATTAACGGCTTAGCGGCTTTAAGAAAAAGGAAACAAACTCGCAAGAACTCGCAAGACGTTTCATCTTGCGAAGCAAGCCCATAGGGAAATTCGTCTTGCGGAACGTTTCATCTTGCGAAACAAGCCCATAGGGAAATTCGTCTTGCGGAACGACTCAAAAAACGCAAAACCCTTTCGTCTAGCAAGTTTTTCGTCTTGCGAGGCATTCGTCTTGCGGGGCACCACTGTATATCTGAACCTGGCCTCTGGTATCACCTATCACCTGTGACTCTGATTTCAGCCTATAAGTCCCAGATCCACCATGAGCCTCCAGATCTCTGACTCTAACCCCAAGTGACCCTCTGCATCCCATAGGTCCACCTTTTCCCCCTGCCCAGCTTTCCTCACAAGCTTGGACCCCTTCATCTCCTTGCTCTCCCTTTCATGTGGCACCTGGAGCCACATCCTCAACACACCTTGTAGTGCTGCCAGGTGATAAAGAAGTTGACCGATCCATCCTGCCGCCGCTGGATGACGGTCCAACCACCCCCATCATACTCCTGGTCACACCAGGTCTGGATGATTCCCCGGGCACCAGTTGGTTGTAGCATGGTGATGCCGCTGGTCTGCCCATTCTGCTGAGCTGCTTGACAGTCACGCCATGGCCCTGTGCCAGGAAGAGAAAAACTAATGAACAGGGGCCGAATAACACTGTGTGATGAACAAGGTAAAGGTAAAGGGACCGCTGACCATTAGGTCCAGTCGCAAATGACTCGGGGGTTGCGGCGCTCATCTCGCTTTATTGGCCAAGGGAGCCGGCGTACAGCTTCCAGGTCATGTGGCCAGCATGACTAAGCTGCTTCTGGCGAACCAGGGCAGTGCACAGAAACGCCATTTACCTTCCCGCCGGAGCGGCACCTATTTATTTACTTGCACTTTGATGTGCTTTTGAACTACTAGGTTGGCAGGAGCAGGGACCGAGCAACGGGAGCTCATCCCATTGCAGGGATTCGAACCGCCGTCCTTCTGATCGGCAAGCCCTAGGCTCAGTGGTTTAGACCACAGCACCACCTGCATGTTCACCCGTGATGAACAAAGTAGGGGCAGCTAATTACAGGGACTAGTTTGGAGGTTATCATTGAGTTGTGTAGCACAGATAGGGTGATGCCCTGTCTCACTTGGATGGCCTTTTTGGGTATTTCCAGATGGGATCTGTGCGTCTCATGCATGCAAGTTTTTTTTCCAGTGTCCACACAACAGTGTTGGCATAAAAATGCCACCCCATATGTAAAAAGGAAAAGGAAAAACCTATTGCCAGAAATCCATTTGTGATATCACAACACTGAGCTCCTATTTAGAAGCACTTTCTGTCAGAGCTAATCTACCTCACATGTTTATTGTAACATAAAACATTTCATAAAGGATAAGAGAAACAAAGCAGGGGAAATGCACATTTTATTGGCCAAATTTGGGTTGGTGAAGGGCTGTGCAAGCTTTTGAGTTTCATAGAATTCTTCATCAGGCAAATGCCTCAGGGGTCTTCCAAACACCAGTGGGAAAATAAAAGCTTTCTTCATGAGCTTACCTGAGGTATATTATTATATATTAGTAGAATATATATTAGTAGAATCTCAGGCGCTTCATTTAGTAAGTGTACATGAGAGCATTGCAGGGCTCCTATGCAGGTCCCAGTTATTTAAAGGCACACCACAAGTCCCAACAGATTTGTGCCTCCAGCATTAGTCAGCCACAGGCCATAGAAAGGTCAGACCTAGGGGCAGGCATACTGTGATATACATACCTTTTGTTTTTGCCCACCAGTAAGAGATACAACTGCCTCTATCTATCTGGCTTGCAGTAGCTAATGGTATGTGTAGGAATAACGGATGATGACAAGAGGCTGGATGCAGGTGACCTGTGCACAGGCAAGCTGCCAGCTAGCTCTGCCGAAGCTCCTTTTATTGGCACAATATGCAAAACCAGACAGATACATTTTGGACTGTGACCTTTACACAACTTCCAGTCCTGAGATAGAAGGGTGGTACAGGTAATTCTGGCACCTGTTTCCACCGCGCCACTTTCCCCTTGCACAATGTTTAATCAAAAGAGACAAAGGTCACAGACAGGGCATGGCAGACTGCTAAGAGAGCAAAAGATTAGATAGAGGGCATGATGTTCAGACAACTGTGGTTTGACTCCGGGCGGAAATGTGCTCCACACCCAGCGATCATTCCTTAAGTATGCAAATTTATGACAATAAATCAGTGGCCCTCCACTAGCAATTGCTCTTTGAAGTTCACTCAAATGTCAGTACTAGGCCAGGGGACTGCAGGATCCAAAATTAAGAAGGCGGTGGTTTTGCTTGTGTATGCCACACCAGTCCTTCTTGGCTCTTGGCTGCGGATGCCTCAGGGAAGGAGCAGGAGGTCCCCATGACATAAATGGGAGGAAAGCGGAGAAATGAGATACCATTCACAGGCTACCCTATCATGGAGTGTATAGCTTGTCACATTTCCCAAAGGAAAATAGGTACTTTGGATTTGTTTCAGATGTTAGACCATCCGAATAACCATCAACTGAGTAATTGTTAGGTTGATGGTTTGCTAAGAGCCCAGGATGATCAGTTAAATGTTTTATCAGGGACAGCAGACAGCAATGGAATAATCACAGTGGTAGCTGGTAGTCACTTGCCTGTTTTAAAAAGGTAATGCCAGCAAAATTTGGGATGCTAACACTCCAAAGATATTTGGGGGTCAGATAAACAGAAGCACTTGCCATTTGAGTTTTGGGGAGACATTAGAGCTATAGCCCCCGCAGGTACAAAAGTAGCATAATAGAAAGAAAGCTGGCAAAAACGTGTCTGCCTGACATGTTGGGTTCTCTGTGCAGGGAGCTCTTATAGAGAGGAACGTTAATCCACTATCCACAGGAGTGGTTTTACCATCTCATTGGTTCTTTGTGTGAACTAGGCTTCATGTTGGCAGAGGCTGGTGCTGTTGGCATTTGCCCTGCACAGCCTCTGCGCTGCTGCTTCCTAATAGACTTGATCTCTCTTTCTGACCTGTGGATTTGGTGGGCACGACAGCAGGTGGCTGAAGAGTGCCGCCCTGTGGCACTGCCGCCTTGTGTGGCCGGTCTCTCTGGATGTCATTGACGGCATCAAAAAGGACCCTGCTCTCATTGGCGATGCTTGCAGGGTTGTGAGGCACCACTGGCACCAGGGGGGGCTGTGGAGAGAAAGGAGAAATAACTCACCCTAAAAACATAGGAGAACTAAAAGAGTATAGTTCGAGTGCAGCATCACTGAGTTCAAGGGCAGCAGGGGATTTAGAGCACGTTCAAGTGGCTCTTAAAGGCACAGGAGCACAACCAGAAAATAAGGTGGCAGTTCTAGATCAAGGGAAGTAATAGTGCCACTGTATTCTGCTCTGGTCAGACCTCACCTGGAGTACTGTGTCCAGTTCTGGGCACCACAGTTCAAGAAGGACACTGACAAACTGGAACGGGTCCAGAGGAGGGCAACCAAAATGGTCAAAGGCCTGGAAACGATGCCTTATGAGGAACGGCTAAGGGAGCTGGGCATGTTTAGCCTGGAGAAGAGGAGGTTAAGGGGTGATATGATAGCCATGTTCAAATATATCAAAAGGATGTCACATAGAGGAGGGAGAAAGGTTGTTTTCTGCTGCTCCAGAGAAGCGGACACGGAGCAATGGATCCAAACTACAAGAAAGAAGATTCCACCTAAACATTAGGAAGAACTTCCTGACAGTAAGAGCTGTTCGACAGTGGAATTTGCTGCCAAGGAGTGTGGTGGAGTCTCCTTCTTTGGAGGTCTTTAAGCAGAGGCTTGACAACCATATGTCAGGAGTGCTCTGATGGTGTTTCCTGCTTGGCAGGGGGTTGGACTCGATGGCCCTTGTGGTCTCTTCCAACTCTATGATTCTATGATTCTAAGTGTGATAAATATGCTTCCAGGAAACCCAAAAGCTAGACTAGGACCGACTGTTTTTGTCCTAACTCCACTGGAGCCATTTTTTAAAATCAACAACATTTATAGACCACTTAATCCTATTTTTAATCAAGAAAATTTTGACAGCTGAGGTTAACTAAAATATTTATCAAAAATGCTGATGAAATCAGCAAACTTTAAAAACAAGTAGATATAACAAAATTATAAAAATACAGACGAAATCTAAAGAATTTTTAAAAACATACACAATAAAAGTACATAATAGAAGTGTTGGTAGGCCTACCAAAAGGAAAGGCATTTCTATCAGGCAATCAGAAGCATTGCAGTGGGGGTGCCTGCTTGTTGTTAACAGGCAGGGAGTTTTGCAGCAGGAGCAATGCTGCCACGTTAAAAGACGGATTCCTTGTAAGGGCAGAATGAAGATTCCATAGACTGAAGTGGTCGTGGGCAAGCGAAGGGGGAGATGGGCAAATAGCAGCGACACAAAAAGGGTTCTCCCAGTGGTCATTGCCCACGTTGGAAAAGATTGTAAAGAGGGAATTAGTAAAAAGGATTAACGTCCTTTTTCTATCCGGGCTCTTGTGCTGTCAACAGTTGCTGGACATGTAGAAATGGAGCAACCATTTGCAGACATAGAAAGAACCATTTGCTGAAAAATCAGGTTGTGTGGGAGGATCACCATAGTGCTTTTCTATGCAGGGTTTAATTTGACCCAGGGCTCAGCTCAGAAACCTTTTTGAACAGGGAGCAGTCATGGGGCAAAAAGAGATTGGCTCTGAGCATCAATCAAATACTTCCATTTTTCAGTAAATTAGGGATGGGAACTTGTAGTACTGCAGGTGTTGGACTATAACTCCCATGACCACTGGCCATTCTGAGGTTCATGGGAGTTGGAGTCCAGCAACAACTGGAGAGTCAAAGGTTGCTTAGCGCTCTTTGCCTTCAGGCTGCAGATGGGGCTCACATGCCGGAATACTCCTCCATTCAAAAACAAACATGGAAAATTAGCATGTATGGGAAGAAGCTATGCTGGAAATCTTTTCCCTAACATGCTTGTTTTGTACATTGATTTGTTATTTATTATTATTATTATTATTATTATTATTATTATGGCTACAGCAGCATTCTGCCATGTGAGTTTGAACATACAATTTGAAGCGGTACACTCAGCAAAAGTACTAGATCATGTACACCTGGGATTAGAGGACACAGCATTCCGGAGGGAGAGTGTAGCTTGGGGCCTAGCTATGGTTTAGAAAACATCAGCTCCTGTCTTCCTGGCATTGCTGTTGTCACATCCCTTCCCTTTTCCCAGGGTCAGCATCAGCACCAGGTATCAGGACTCCACCATCGCTGAAGTCTGCCCTAGCCCTTCCTTATTTATGTTTTCAGGCACAGCAGGCCAAATAGCACTGGATGATTGGCTCTAGCGACCCTTTTAATTTCTCCCATTTCTGTCTCCCAGTTCAGTTTGAGCAGTACCTGTGGGCTCCCCCGGCCACTGGCTCCTTGCTGGCAGTCTCTCTCCAGTTGGCTGATGAGGGCACTCTGGTTGTTGACCAGGGCAGCCAGGGCATGGTACTTCCCTTCCAGCTGGCGATAACTGGCCGCCACGCGCAAGGCCTCGGCAGAGGCGTTGGCCACCCTCCCTTCAAGCTGTGAGGTCTGCACTGGCCGCTCTCGTCGCTGGAGGATCTCATGAAGCAGCTGAGTGTACAGCTGGGTGACGCGAGCATTGATGTTGCGGCTTTCCTTGCGCAGGGCCTTGACTTCACTCACCACTGCCCCGTCCACCTCCACTAGTCGGCGCAGCTCCTCCATCTGGGCCTGCTGATGGTGCAGCTGATCACGCAGCGCGGCCACCTCAGAGCGATTGAGGCCCGGAGGCTCCGGGGGAAGGCGCACGCTGCTCCAGCACACGGCCCCCGTGAACTTCTGCTGCGGCAAGATGAAGGTGTAGGTGCACTTCGGCCCCGTCAGTGGTTCGACACCTGACAGGCCTGGCCTGGCCAGACTCAGCACCACCACCAGCAGGTACTGAGGCTCCATGCTGTTAGAAGAAAGGTGCTTGTAAGAATTCTAAGGTGTCATAAATAAAAGAAATGTTCAGAAGTGCACAAGGCAAACAGACCCATAAGTACATAAACCGCATGACTGAAATAGTACAGGGGAGCAATCCTGATCTTGACTCTTAATGATCCCAAATATTTTCTGTACAGAAGGAAATATTTGGGAAAAACCTACCCCAATACTGTAGTTATTTTCACTTGTGAGTCAAAAGGGCAGAGTTTGTTTATGAATAGGGGAGGTCTGGGACCATGGTTTCAGAAACTAGGGTAGCAACAATATGTTATTTAGCAGCAGCAACAACAACTTGTGCTTTTGGTGGTAGGGCAATATCCATTTCCATTTTTAAAATTATTTTTAATGGTCTTGTGAAAGAGGGATACTTAGCTATATCAATCTGGTCTTTGATTTGATGAGTGTGGGTGACCCTGGAGGTTTCTATAACTGCTGTGACAACCACACATTTCCCTGGCCAAAAAAACCCCACAGCAACAATGAAATACTGAGATTATGATAAAGTGCTCTTGTGCAAGACCTCTACATTGTTGTTTTAAATCAGATGAACATGTACACTCTGATTACAGACCTTGAGGTAATTTGTCTCATTTACTGAAATAATAGCTTCTTCAAATATGGTTATTGAAATTCAGTTATTCCCTCTGAGGTGTAGGTGGGTTCAGGCATGACCCAAGACCAAGATTCAGCTCAAAAAGGATTTATTGGAACATCAGGAACAAGAACAAGAATGACAAAAGGGGCACTTGGCAAAACACAAACACCACCTGTGATAGGTCGCCTTAATGCTGCACACTGGCTCCATCTCAGCAGCAGCCTGCCAGCTACTAACAATGTCATTGGAGGGTTTTAGAATCCTCTCCCTCTTTTGTTATGCAGATGAAGCTCCTGAGCTCCAGGAGGCCGGAAGGCCTAGGCCTGCATTGCATGCATACATAACACCCTCAGCATGTGGAAAGAGGAATCTTTGGTTTGTCATTGGGACCCACCAGAAACAAAATGGTTGTGCTCAGGTGAGGAGAAGATGGTATGTCATGTTGCAAGTTATGGGACTGTCTATTGTAAGGGCATTATGGTGCCATAGTACCACACTTTCCTTTCACAAAAGCACTTTAGCAATAATTAAAATATCAGCATAAATAAAGAGTGTCATAAAGTGGTAGGCATCCAGGAGTGTTCCCTGGGGAGTGAAGTCAAACTGTTGGAGAGTCACAGTGTCTGCTGTGGCTGTAGAGACATGGTTTACTGCAGTGGGTGCAGATGAAGGCATCCGGTTGTGCTGCTGCAGATGCACCTCTGTGTTTCTTTTCTCTGTGCTCCTCCCAGTGTTCATTCCTCCTCTGATTACTGCTATGGATGCATGACCAGACTGTCTCCAGGCACTGCAGTCCAGTCGTCTGCAAGGGATTCGCACACAGCAGGGTTGATGTTGCCAGCTGGGAATGTGGACTTGGAAGAGCACATCTTTGTTCAACACTCTTCTGCCATGTGATGCCTGAAATCCTCCTGACACAGCTCATGTGGGAGGAATTGAGGCATCTCTCCTGGGGAGTGTAAGTTGCCCACAACTCACTTTCATAAGGCAGCGTACTCAACATACAAGCCTGGTAGACCTTTGATATGGATTGGCATAAATGGCACCACATTCCCCCAAACCCTTTTGGATAGGTGAGCCATTGTCATAGCTGCCTTACCAATAGGCTTGTCCAGCTCAGCGTCATTGCTGGCTATGGTTGAACCCAGGCAGAAAAAATTGTCCACCACTTCAAGTGTGTGGGCACCAATGCATGGAGTGCCAGCGATATCCTGACCAAAGATGTTGGTCTTTGTCAGGCTGATGGTAAGCTGAACTCCCTGCAGACTTGAGCAAAAGAGTTGATGAGTTTCTGCAGAGCTTCCTTTGAGTGTACTGTCAAGACTGAGTTATCTGCAAACAGCATTTCTCAGACCCAGCACACTTTTGTCTTGGCATGGAGACATGCCAGGTTGAACAGACCCCAGTTACACACCATCTTCAGATGCACTGAAGGCATAGGACAGCAACAGGGAGAAGGTGTCTGAGAATGAACTGTCATACTGGATATTCTTGTGCAAGAACATGATCAGATTGTGGAGATTATCTAGTTGAGCAGTGTGACCTCCTTTCCAGCTGACAATGTCAAAGGCCTTCATCAGGTCTATTAAGGCAATATACAAGGGTGTCTCATTTCTCCTGCAGCCAGCACAGTGAAAAAATCACGTTGACTGTCGACCTCTAAGCTCTAAAGCCGCATTGTAACTCAAGATGGACCCAGTGAGCAAGTAACTGTAATCTGTTGAGAACTATGTGAGCAAAGACATTTCCCACAGTACTCAGCAACAAGATTCCATGTTGTTACAGTCATGCCGGTCACCTTTGTTCATGTAGAGCAGGGGTCAGCAACCTTTTTCAGCCCTGGGCCGGTCCACCGTCCCTCAGACCATGTGGTGGGCCGGACAATATTTTGAAAAAAATATGAACAAATTCCTATGCCCCACAAATAACCCAGAGATGCATTTTAAATAAAAGGACACATTCTACTCATGTAAAAGCGCACTGATTCCCGGACCATCCACAGGCCGGATTGAGAAGGCAATTGGGCCACATCCGGCCCCCAGGCCTTAGATTGCCTACCCCTGCTGTTGAGTGTCATGATGCATGTTTTGTGGCAGGGAATCTTGTTCCCAACGCTGCAGGAGGAGCCTGTGGAGGTGTGTCATGAGGAGGAATTGAAACCGGCTTCCAGCACTTCTCTTTGGATTCCATCCTGTCCTGGGCCTGAGCATCGATGGCATTTTTCAGCTCATTGGGGGGAGAGACCTCTATTTCTTCCAAGACAGAGTCTGGATACTGTGGACTGCTGTGTCAGTTACCATGTTTCCCTGCAAGTACCATTCTTGATAGTGCTCTGCACATTGCTTCATCTTCTTGCTGAGGTCTGTGATGAAAAGTTTTTCAGCAGTGCAATTTTACCAACTGTTGGTCCAAAGGCTTTCTTCGTGCCTTCATACATTTTGTTTTGCTGGTGTCAGCAGCGAGTTGGGTGCTCTGACACAGCTTTAGTCAGTAGTCATGGGCACATTGTCTGGCAATCCACTGAGCATCACTCTTTGCCTTTCTGAGTGCAGCAAGTGTCTTCTTGCAGGGTGCAAACTTGTAGTTCACAGGAACCCACCACAAATATTACAATTAATGTATGCTAAGCTGTGATAGGTCCACTTTCCCAATATGTCAGGGCCCATTTAAAATGTTGGAAGAGTAATACTAAAAGCATCTATGTCACTGGAGATTAAACTATTCTCCCACTATTAAAAAATAAAAAGCCTTTCTGCATGAGAAAAGACAGAACCAGCATAAGGAAAATACAGGATGCAATGGCTGGATGATACTCCATAAAAGATGAACACCCCATTACTACTATTCCCCATCATTCATCCCTATTTGGTCTATCTGTGTCACCAACTCAATTGCCTATCAGACACCATTCTTTGCCTTATTTGTTCTTTGTGTTTATTTCAATGGAGCCTAGTCATGTCAAATGGTCCTTGCAGCTTCCATTATTTTGGACAGGGACCCTGTTTTTGGATGGTTCCATTGTTTCAAAAGGGAATTTATTGCAGTAGATGACAGCTTCATACACTGAAATGAATATTCCCACTGAAATGAAGAGAATCAGTCTACTTTCCTTCCCCAAAGCAAGTGAATATTGTCACTGTGGGTCTGGATCAGCCTTTCTCAGCCTTGGGTTCCCAGATGGTGCTGGACTACAGTTCCCATTATGTACAGCCATACAGCCAACAAGGGCAGCAATCAGGGATGATGGGAGCGGTAGTCCAACAACATATGGGATCTCAAGGTTGAGAAAGGCTGGTCTAGAGTGAGTAGCTTTTTCAAGTTTTGTTTTATTTCCATAATAGCATTCTTTCTTGGAAAAAGCTTCATCAGCTGACTTATCCCCCCCACTGGCGGAGGATGGCGGGTGCAGGGGGTGCGGTGCTCACTGGGTGTCAGCCATGAGCGCGGGTGACATCGCCGCACAGGTGGTGCCCCCAGATGCTCACGCGGGCAGTGGGCTGCTAGGGATGATGCTGCGGTGGGAGACTAGCACCCCCCCATGCTCACCGTGTGGGCGGCAGATGCCTAGGGAAGCTCACCACGCGGGCGGTTAGCAGCGCCTCCCCCCCATGCTCACCACGTGGGTGGCGGGCGGCTAGGGACTCTTGCTGTGCGGGCGGGTAGCCCCACTTCTGTGGGCTGGCTAACCCCGCCTCTCTGCTGCTCCAGGTGCCATGGCAGGTAGCTCTGCCCCTGATTCCCCCTCAGAGTGGGGCAAGCCAAATAGCAAAATGGGAGATTGAGAAGAACTTTCAGCTGTTGAAGAACCAGGTTTCCTTCCGGTCCTCCCTTTCCCCTCCTTTGTCTACAAACAAAGTAAAGAAAGTAGATAGAGATTTTAATGGGGGGGGGGTGTGCTGCGTTGTTGCTCTGAATTTACAGGACTGGATCTAAAGGCCTTGTGCTTCAATGCCAACAGCTGTTGCCAATATGCACTGGGAAATGGATCCAGTTTGGCTCAGGAAAGGCCATTAAAGTCACCACCACTGAGACAGGCAGTTATATACTTCCTCCTTCTTGGCTGCTGCCTTGCAGTTCCCATTAATGGATCTGGAATTCCACAGTAGGGATGGGATGTAGCACAAGACAGTTCAGTTGGAGGCACATGAAAGTTCTTTTTAAAGAGAGTTGAAAGTGGTTTGGAACAAGTTTTACTTCATACAGGGAACACACACACTCCTTTCCCCCCCATGCATGTTGCAGCCACTAGTCAAACCTGCAAAATCTGTTTATTGGAGATGAAAGTTGGGCATGCAAAGCATCACAAGCAATGATCCCTCCATCAAACTGCCTTCAGCTCAGTGGAAACACTTGTGCCCAACCTTCCAGGAAAATGAGAGAATGGAGAAGAGCCTGCATCCTCAGAAACAGGCAAGTCTTGCCTCAGGAACCAAACTAACCCATCTCTGCTCCATAGGGCATGATTCTGAGAGGCTCCTCATCTTTCTTATAATCCATCCATCACCCAGACTGCTTTTGGTTCAAGTTCACCATCTTCCTTGTTAGGGTAGCTGGCTGAAAATAATCCTGAAAAGGATTATTTAAAAGTAGTATAGAAGGCAATGTCAGCAAATCTTCTATACAACAGCCAAAGGTTCACGAGCCTCCAGCCTCTTCTTTCTCCTGTCCACCCTATATCCTGTATATACCCAAAGCACTTCCACTCAGACCCTCCTCCTCCTTACTCCATAGCCTAGTCTATACTCCATAGGACAGAATTCTCCATCAAGCCTGAATGCCTACGGGTCAAGTCACATTCATCATGGAACATTCAAGAAATCTAGCCAATTAGGTGAAATAAATTATTCAGAGGACAGTTGTTCAGTTCTGGAAGAGAAACAGGGAGTAGCTTGTGTCTTCCTTCACAACTGTCCCCCTTAGAATCATGGGCGTAGCCAGGACTTTTGTGAGGGAGGGCAGGACTTTGGTTTGGGGCAGGGGCAGAACCAACACGGTCAGTTAGTTAAGTATTTCTATTGTTTTACTTGATCTTAGGGAGGCAGCTGCCCCCCCCCCCCCGGCTATGCCCATGCTTGGAATGCACTAGATTCACAGGAAAGGAAGTCTGGATTCTCCACAACAACCAAAGGTGAAGGCCAAGATTGTTACACCTCCTCATGTTGCACCTCCCCATGTGTTTCAGAAAGCTCATCAACCTATTTACCGGTAAATAAATATTAAAGGGGCACATATACATTTTGATGTGTGTATATGTGTGTGTGCGCATGCTCACACATGCATGCACACACTCCTTAATTAAAAAAAACTCCACAAAAAGTATGTTGGGAGATCTTTTGGGGAGTCAGTAAGTGTCTTCTATGGCTGGCTTTCTCCTGGTTCAGAATTAAGCATGCTGATAACCTGACAGAACCAGTTTTTCATCCATTGCATTGAATGCATTCAAGGCTCTTAAACCAGGCCCACAGCTCTTAGACAGATATATCTGTCTCTGAAACTGAGTAGCTGAGCATTCCACAGAGACAATAAAAATACTGCATGTGAAGGTTCATGTTTTTACAAATACCAATGATTAAAAGATGCATTTCCTTGTGCTTTTGCACAATTCCCATGCATGGGTGCTATTAATCTGTAAGAGAATTCAGAAGGAAAATCAAACACATGCTACATGGCTCCGTCAACATTTGTGTTTGTAGCTGACAGCAAAGCTGACATAAACCTCATGTGTGATGATGCTACACTTTGCTAAAATGGTTTGCTGCCTGCCAGTGCTGTGAAATGCTCTGTGAACAAGCAAGGACAAACACAGAGTGGGGCTTCACTCTAACCAACTCCAGGCAGGGTCTAGGGAGGAATCAAGAGCACAGATTTAGTTAGAGCAGTGTCTCCCTGAGGCTTGAGGGGAGGGATGTTGAAGAGAACAAGCGCCTGCCTGCCTGGTTACAGATGGCGCCTCTTTCCTGTGTAAACACAGGGTCCATTCCCAGGCTCCCTGGGCAGCGCCATATGGGGCTTATCACTGCTCTTTAACCTCCTCATCACCCCTGACCCTGTTCTCATGTCAGACGTCAAGAGAAGAAAGGGAGATTCAAATAGTAAAATACAAATGGTACCAATGGATGGTTCTCTGCAGAGGGGAAATTCCATTCTCTAGACGTGGCCTCCTTCAGGCAACTTGACTGAGGGGGATTACTTGCCATCTTGCCTTTGACCACATTTCTATATGCCACCACCTTTCTATGCCAGAAGAGTATCTGGCTGGCATAGAAATGTGATCAAAGGCAAGAAGGCAATCCCCAGCCAAGTTGCCTGAAAGAGGCCGCGTCTACACATAAGGGCTATTTCAGACTTCTGTTTGTGCTGCAATTTCTAGGCACCGGTTTGGGACTTTCAGGCAGGGGTCCAAGTAGTTTCCCTTTGTCCTGCCACTTTCCCTGGGAAACACTGTTTGTTCCGATCCAGCTGTAAAGAACAGGTTTTCCTGGAGAAAACAGAGGACAAAGGGGAAGCTTCTTGTTCCCATGCTGGAAAGTCCCAAACCCTTGCTTAGAAACTGTAGCACAAATGGAAGTCTCGAAGTTACTTCAACATAGGAATGGTGGGAAAATTCCATTTTGGTCACATTTAAGGTGGAACCTTTTAAATTTGTGCATTCTGAAACAACATGAGAACACAAACACAGCCATCCTTCAAAATTCCAATTTTTCTTGATTGTATAATGCAGTTCTCCAGCCATGTAATGTGTACAAAAATGCACACACTGGCTAGTGGGAGTGTGATGCACGGTGGTCACACAACCGAGGAGGAGGAGGAGGAGGAGGTGGCCGACAAGTGCAGGAGGTGGATCCAGCTACCCAGAGTCTGACACCCTGAGGCAACTGCCTCACCTACCCTCGTCTGGTCTGAAGGGGCCCAAAATAGTTAGACTCTAAGAAGAAAGAGAACCCTAAAGTATGACCTTTTATAGTTGCTGCTTTCAGGTTTTCAAACTTAGTCACAAGAAACTTGAAAGCTGATATTCTCAGCCAGGGGTCAGCAACCTTTTTCAGCCGTTTGGTGGGCCGGACTATATTTTTTTGGGGGGGGGGGAAATGAATGAACTCCTATGCCTGACAAATAACCCAGAGATGCATTTTAAATAAAAGCACACATTCTACTCATGTCAAAACACGCTGATTCCTGGACCATCCGCAGGCCGGATTGAGAAGGCGATTGGGCCGCATCTGGCCCCAGGGCCTTAGGTTGCCTACCCCTGTTCTCAGCAATCTGAATTCCAACAGTGACTTCAAAAGAAGAAAAGAGCATCTCCTCCAGCCCATTTACAATTTTAAAATTGTAAATGCAGAAATAAAAACAATTCCATAAAGCATGTGTTTCATGATCATGATTTACATATTAATAGAATTGCCTAGCATGTGATAGAAATCAAGGGATTACTGCTCCAAGGCTTTTCTGATTTGTTAAGCAGAACCTCCCAAGTCACCTTCTCTGCTCCACAAATAGTTCTCTGGACCCTGACCAGAGTGCTCCTGAGCATCTAGATTTTTTAAAATAAATATTTTTAAAGTCATATTATAGTGCAGGCTTCCTCAACCTTGGCCCTCCAGATGTTTTGAGACTACAGTTCCCATTATCCATGACCACTGGTCCTGCTGGCTAGGGATCATGGGAGTTGTAGGCCAAAAACATCTGGAGGGCCGAGGTTGAGGAAGCCTGTTATAGTGCTACTGAACATGCACATTGTGCTTTCCCATGTGAAGTGAATCTGCTTCTTGATTGTTTTTAATGAAAATATGCAAAGTAGGAAAATATGTAATGCAAAGCACAATTCTCCCTTTGATGCAACTGTAACATTAAACTTTCTGGGTGGAAACTGTAGACATAATCCAGGACAGCAGGCTCTCTGAATTTTGGATTACTCATTTAAATATCTCCCATTTCAGTCCCCTTAAATATTTTATCCCCATAACGTGATCTTGGCCTTTGGAGTTGGCTCCTGTGTTCCATTTGTGGCATGAAGGATCTTTCAGATCTACTATATTCCCATTTCTAAACAGAGATTTCACCTTAGACATCAGTATGGCCTGACTCAGGGATGTATAACATAGTTGGGATACTGTCTTCATTATTCACAAGTATCACTCCTCTCCCTGCCTCCCCACACTCCAAAAAAAATTCAAGCCTTATTGAGATTGTGCTTACCAAACTGGGAGGGGTGGCTAACACCCCAGAGGACAGGATCACACTTCAAAATGACCTTGACAGATTAGAGAACTGGGCCAAAACAAACAAGATGAATTTTAACAGGGAGAAATGTAAAGTATTGCACTTGGGCAAAAAAAATGAGAGGCACAAATACAAGATGGGGGACACCTGGCTTGAGAGCAGTACATGTGAAAAGGATCTAGGAGTCTTGGTTGACCACCTTGACATGAGCCAACAGTATGACGCGGCAGCTAAAAAAGCCAATGCAATTCTGGGCCGCATCAATAGGAGTATAGCATCTAGATCAAGGGAAGTAATAGTGCCACTGTATTCTGCTCTGGTCAGACCTCACCTGGAGTACTGTGTCCAGTTCTGGGCACCACAGTTCAAGAAGGACACTGACAAACTGGAACGTGTCCAGAGGAGGGCAACCAAAATGGTCAAAGGCCTGGAAACGATGCCTTATGAGGAACGGCTAAGGGAGCTGGGCTTGTTTAGCCTGGAGAAGAGGAGGTTAAGGGGTGATATGATAGCCATGTTCAAATATATAAAAGGATGTCACATAGAGGAGGGAGAAAGGTTGTTTTCTGCTGCTCCAGAGAAGCGGACACGGAGCAATGGATCCAAACTACAAGAAAGAAGATTCCACCTAAACATTAGGAAGAACTTCCTGACAGTAAGAGCTGTTCGACAGTGGAATTTGCTGCCAAGGAGTGTGGTGGAGTCTCCTTCTTTGGAGGTCTTTAAGCAGAGGCTTGACAACCATATGTCAGGAGTGCTCTGATGGTGTTTCCTGCTTGGCAGGGGGTTGGACTCGATGGCCCTTGTGGTCTCTTCCAACTCTATGATTCTATGATTCTATGAACAGAATCCAGGAATCCTAAAATACACATTTGCTCTCTTGCTCTCAGACACAGAACTGAGCTGAAGGGAAAGAAATAAAAATACATCCATTAATAAGTAACTTTGTTCTAAATATAGATGAGAACTGGAAACTTTTCTGGATTGCTTGGCTTCTGTGTAACTTGGAACTGTGCATTCTCCCAGTCCAATCAAATATATTATTGGCTTTACCTGGCTGCTTATTGCGTCTGGCTGCTTCAGACAGAACTCAAAGAGTCCAGTACCTTCTTTCAAATCAACCCATTTCAACTCACATTCTTTCCAGAGCCGGGAACTCCCAAAGTCCTGGCTCTCTGTCTTCCTTGCTCGCCCAGCCCTCATCCTGCCTTGCAAATCAGACATCATCCCAGTGCCAGAATAAAGTGTTAAATTCTCTGAGCTGCACACTCCAGCCCATCAGAATATGACATCCAACTTCCTCTTTATGGCAGTTTTAGTTGTGTACTACTATTAATAAAGAATTAAATGCACGAGGTGTGATCTCCTCCATCCACCCCTTTGCCCTCTCACGGTACTACAATGATCCAGCAGGATGGCGAAGCAAGTGCGGGGTGCAGCTTGCTGCATGACAGCACATGTGACAGCCTTGATGAGGGTGTGGGGGCTACTTCAAAATGCATGGACAGCTCCTGCAGGGCAGCCACTAGGTTCACACCTTCCTCCTACATGAGACACTATAAATCAGTGGTGTAGTGGGTGGGGCACAGAGGCAGTTGCCCCAGGTGCAAAATTGTTAGGGGTGCAAAATGTCAACACCCGGTACAGCTGCGAGCTTCCATCACTGGGCTCAATTGAAAACAGCTTCTCCACAAAAACCTGAAAGTGACCTCTCCAAACAACGGAAAGACTCTTTTCTTATCTCTGCGGCTCCAATCTCCTAGGTGACAGAGACACTGTTAGGCAGTTGAATGCTGGGCATGGCCCCGGGCGCTGGAAACCCAAGCTACACCATTGCTACAAGCTAGGCACTTATGCACTAGTGGAGGCCTTCTTCTGGAGAAGAATGCTCCTGACCTGGCCTAAAACTGCAGCCTGCAGCCCAGGTATAGGGGACCCCCCTTGATGTTGAGTCCATCAATCCCAGGCACCACAACCACATCGTCAAGGACGATGGAGCAACAACATCTGTAGGGTCTTCAGAAGGTACTGTCCAAAGCATAAAAGGTGTGCAATGCTATCTAAAAAGTGTTAACTGCAGCATCAGGAAACTGAACATGCTGGAATGGGTAACTACTGACACACTTACACCCAGTGAATTGTCTATGTATGTGACTGTCTGCAGTGAGTCTTACTGACTGCAGTTTTGTTCTTTCCACACAATTTGGAAGCATTTCCTGCTAACAGTATCATTGAACTGGCTTCTCCTGAGCTTATTTACTGGGGCAGTGGGAGCTTTCCCATGATCCAAGAAGCTTTTTCTTACTGGCTACTTGATGTTTGTACTGGCTGAGCAGAACAGCTAACACTTCTCCTACCAAAGGGGCCTCAGCAACAGAGGAGCTATCAAAGCTATCTTCATCACAAGTTGGTGGGTATATTAAAGCAAAAAGGAGAGAGCAGTTTAGTTCCCATTGCTTGCACAATAGACCCTCTCTCCTCCCGTTGAAATCTCTAAATAATTGTACTGTGTATAGCCATAATAATGTCAAAGAAGAGAGAATTTTGGTACCCTTTGCATACTAGAATTTGTTCTTCCATGACAAAAGTAAAAGTTCTGTCTTCTCTGCTATCTGGTCACCCTAGCAAATTAAGACAAATTAAAACATGGCAGCAAGCTGTGGGAGCTGTTGTGGGACCTTGAGTGAACCCCAATATTTTTCTTCTGTTAACCACACGCTATAACAGGTTTAAAAACACAACACAACTTTGCTGTTTCTGTTTGTGTGCACCCAAGGGTTGTTTAAATACATCTCCATCAGCAGCAGTGGAGCAAGCCAATCCAGCGCCTGGGGCAGGACACTTCGCGGGGCCTCCGAGGAGTCTGCCTGCCTCCTCCCACTCAGCCACCCTACAGCTAAGGGGGAGGTGGCGGGCGGACCGTTTGGGGCAGCATGGAGCTTGAGGGCGCCTAAGCCACTGTGTCACTCCCAGGAGAGACGTGTGGCTCGGGCACGCTGCAGGCCCCGCAGTGAGTGCTGCTCTGCATTTTGTCACCCCCCTCAGTGTTGACACTCAGGGTAGACCGCCCCCCCGCCCCCTTCCTACGCCCGGTCCATCGTATCAACGCCTCTGTGTGTTCACACCTTGGCTGGAGAGGTGGCTAGAGAAGAATTAGGACTCCAGTTGGAATAAAGCTGCTTTGAGAAACAACACATCTAACAGTAGTTTCCTACAACAAAGTACAAGAAGGCATTCTGGGTAGGGGAACATGTGGATTCCAGCAACAGCTGCAGATTCTACTCCCATCAGTCCCAGCTAGCAGAACAAAGTGGTCAAGGGTTTGTAGTCCAGTATCATGTGGAAGGCCACAGGTTCCCCACTGCTGTGTTAAGGGTATAAAGACTACCAGGAAAGCAAACTGCATCTTGCCCACAGTGAATTGTGAGAACAGTTTCTGTATCTAGACACTTGGTCATCTCATGCATGGTTTCCCCCCACTTCAGATCTTACACCAGAATCACATAAAATGTTTCCCCCCTTTCTGGTGAACACTGAAAGCCACTTTCAAGAGCCAGACTAAACATTAGGGAAAAAATTGAGATTGTGCTTACCTGTAATTCATAGGACTTCAGGTTTCCAAAGTTGAGCTTTTCTGTGAACCTCCTTAAGGGTGTGGAGGGTCTCTGTTAAGCTTGTCAGTTATCTAGCAGCAGATTACAAAAAGGGTGGGAATGCAGATCTCCTTTAAGAAGAAGAAAAGAGCAAATGGGGAAATCCCAGCCGCTCCATCTACTCCAATCAGCACATCCTTCCCACACTAGGCAGTGCCGAGCAAACCAAGTCTTTCCCTCCCCAGGAGGCTAAGCAGCCTCCTGGGATGGGAATATCATTCTTGACCTTATAATCAAGAGCTGTAAATATTTACTTCTTGCTCCTTCCAGATGCTTGTTCAGGCCCTGTCCCTGCTGAGAGGAGCTGCACGCATGCTCTTTCGCTGGCTCTCTGTGTACACATCTGTCTCTCTCTTTCACTCCGCTTCTTCAGTTGAGAAATTGGAGTTTGGCAGCCACAACTTTCCAGGTCTCGTGAGCAGCTTCCTCTCCCAGCTCCTGCCTGCGCAATGGAATAGTCCCTTCAAAAGAGGAGGTGTGGCACATCTTATGGGCAAGAGTTTTATTGGCACTTGGAGCATCTTGGCCTGGCTCCATCAAATTTACCCACAACTTGTCTGCAAAGCAGTTCTCCAAAACAGTTGTTTTAGCTTAAGGATAGGAAGCTGTTTAAAAAAAACAAACTATCCTGGTGCACATAGTTAAGAATGTGTGCTGTGCATCAGGAAGCCCCTGATCCAACAACCCCCAACTCACTAGGAGGCAAAACAGATAGCGTATGATCAGATCTCACTACACTTCATTTATCTTGAAAAATTAAGCTGGGAGGGAATGAATTAGGGGCCTCGGCACTGTCCCCATTCTCTCCCCCACAAGGTTTCCTTGATTTTTCTTTTTTTAAAAAAAAGATATTTATTAAAATTTTCAAGATATTACAAAATGAAAAAAGAAAAAAGAAAAATACAAAATAAAAATAGTTAAAAACAACTCAATCTTTCCATTACTTATTTTTCATTAGCTTGTTTCCCGGACCTCCTCGCGCCTCCCTTTTTTGTATTCCAGTTCAGTTTGTTAGTTCAGCAAATCCTTCCCTCTTTGTTTATCCTAGTCTTTAATCTTAAAATATTGTAACATTAAATTCTTACCTATTCGTAATCCATTTTTCATATTCCCTTATAGTATTACAGCTAAAAACCACTTAATTTCTATCCAACATCATTCTAACATTCATTAATTTTACAATATTTCTGTAAATAGTCTTTAAACTTTTTCCAATCTTCTTCCACCGACTCTTCTCCCTGGTCTCGGATTCTGCCAGGCATTTCCGCCAATTCCATATAGTCCATCACCTTCATCTGCCATTCTTTTTTTTTTTTTATAAATAATTTTTATTAAAGTTTTAAACAACAAATAAAGAAAAGAAAAACATACACAATACATATCTCAAAAAAAAAAGATGACAAAAACACACACAAAAAAACACAATTCATCAATAAAAAACAAAAAACATAACAATTAAAAACAATATCTCTTTTCCATTTCCGTTTTTTTAGTTTACTTATTTTCTGGACTTCCTCATACCTCCCTCTTTTGTATTCCAATCCAAATTGTTTGTCCAGCAATTTCTTTTCCACTTTTTTAATCCCAATCTTTAGCTTTAATAAAATATTGAAATATATAACTTCCACTTCTTTAAACCTGATCTTTAATCTTAGTATCATATAACATTAAAATTTTCCCTCTTAATGTCAAATTTCCATTTCTTTAAACATCTTTAATCCTAATCTTTAATCTTAGTCTATCATTAACATTAACCTGTACAGCTGGAAACTGCTTATTTTCAGTCCAACATCACTCTAACATTCTTTAATTTTGCAATGTTTCTGAAGATAGTCTTTGAATTTCTTCCAATCTTCCTCCATCGACTCTTCTCCCTGGTCACGGATTCTACCAGTCATTTCCGCCAATTCCATATAGTCCATAAGTTTCATCTGCCATTCCTCCAGTGTGGGAAGTTCTTGTGTCTTCCAGTACTTTGCGATAAGTATTCTTGCTGCTGTTGTTGCATACATAAAGAAAGTTCTATCCTTTTTTAACACCATTTGGCCTACTATGCCCAAGAGAAAGGCCTCTGGTTTCTTAGGGAAGGTATACTTAAATACCTTTTTTAATTCATTATATATCATTTCCCAGAAAGCCTTAATCTTTGGGCACGTCCACCAAAGGTGAAAAAATGTACCTTCAGTTTCTTTACATTTCCAGCATTTGTTATCGGGCAAGTGATAAATTTTTGCAAGCTTGACTGGGGTTATGTACCACCTGTATATCATTTTCATAATATTCTCTCTTAAGGCATTACATGCCGTAAATTTCATACCCGTGGTCCACAACTGTTCCCAGTCAGCAAACATAATGTTATGTCCAATGTCCTGTGCCCATTTAATCATAGCCGATTTTACCGTTTCATCCTGAGTATTCCATTTCAGCAGCAAGTTGTACATTCTTGACAAATTCTTAGTTTTGGGTTCTAGCAATTCTGTTTCTAATTTGGATCTTTCCACCTGGAAGCCAATTTTCCTGTCCAATTTAAATGCCTCCATTATCTGATAATAATGAAGCCAGTCTCGCACTTTGTTTTTTAGTTTTTCAAAACTCTGCAATTTCAATCTATCTCCGTCTTGTTCCAAAATTTCCCAATATTTCTCATCTGCCATTCTTCCAGGGTGGGTAGATCTTGTGTCTTCCAGTACTTTGCAATAAGTATTCTTGCTGCTGTTGTGGCATACATAAAGAAAGTTCTGTCCTTCTTTGACACCGATTGGCCGACTATGCCCAGGAGAAAGGCCTCTGGTTTCTTCAGGAAGGTATATTTAAATACCTTTTTCAATTCATTATAGATCATCTCCCAGAAAGCCTTAATCCTTGGGCACGTCCACCAAAGTTGAAAAAATGTACCTTCAGTTTCTTTACATTTCCAACATTTATTATCGGGCAAATGATAGATTTTTGCAAGCTTGACTGGTGTCATGTACCACCTGTATATCATTTTCATAATATTCTCTCTTAAGGCATTGCATGCCGTAAACTTCATACCTGTGGTCCATAACTGTTCCCAGTCAGCCATCATTTTGTTATGTCCAACGCCTTGTGCCCATTTAATCATAGCAGATTTCACCGTTTCATCCTGAGTATTCCATTTCAACAGCAAGTTATACATCTTTGATAAAGTCTTAGTTTTGGGTTCTAACAGTTCTGTATCTAATTTTGATTTTTCCACCTGGAAGCCAATTTTCTTGTCCGAATTATATGCCTCCATTATCTGATAATAATGAAGCCAATTTCGCACTTTATTTTTTAGTTTCTCAAAACGATTTCCTTGATTTTTCTTGCCCCTCTAAAGCTGTCTCCATAACCTGTGGCCCTCCAGATAATGATCAACTCCTGTCATCCTAAATTGGCATCGTCAGGGATGAGGGAAATTGTAGTCCAGAAACACAGGGCCAAAGCGTTCCCCAAGCCTGCCGTACTCCACTGTTTATGCTCCACAAGAAATAGGAGGAGACACATATTGCAAGGTTCCTGTGGGGTTGCCTTGTTTCCCCCTGTGGCAATGCTTTTAATCATAGACAGACAGACAGACAGCAGAGGTGGAATTAGGGAGGCCACTGGTGGAGGAATGCAGGGGCAGGCGGGGGGAGCGCACTGCCCCCGGCCCCATTGAGGAGGGGGTACCATCACTGCCGCCCCCCGGACACGCGGCGCGCACCCCCACCGCGCCAGGCGCCATGCCCCTGCGGGCGGCGCGCCACAACCCCAGAATGCACGCAGGCCCCACAGGCGACATGCCATGTCCCTGGGCACGTGTCATGCCCCCGGGACATGCGCCAGCCGTGCCCACGCCTGCTCTCTGCCCCCGGTGCCGGAGCATTCAGCTTCGCCACTGAGGGAGGCACGACTGGTTCTGTCACACTGTGCACTAAGCCTAGAGGGCCACATGGCACCACAACTATGACTTAGTGAATTAGCACCATGGAGAGTGAGAGGCAGGGAGGCACTGAATTTTGGCCTTGCAGCTGAAATTTTAAAGACCAGATTCCACCCCTTCAAGTGCCTACTTGGTATACCTAGGGTAGCTAGGAATTTAGGAACTGACGTTTCTTGTAGTATTGAAAAAGTAGTGGGAGAAAATTAACATGCTAAATTTCTCTGGAACTGGATGCAGTTACAGAAACAGGAGCAGAGCCCAGCAACCCTTGGCTATTGAAGTGAACCATCTAAGAGTACAAAGCAGAGAAAGGCAACCTGTGGCCCTCCAGATGTTGTGGGGACTTGAACTCCCATCATCCCTTACCATTGGCTGTGTTGACTGGGCCTGGTGGGAACTGGGAATCCAGCAACATTTAGAGGGCCACAGGCTCCCCTTCTCAAATATTGTATAAATATGTTTTGCATATTACTAGTCCTATGTCTGTTACAGTTATTATTTCACAACTGCACCTGAGGATGCTTTAATAAGGCTGAAACAGCCCATTAGCAGATGTGTGTGTCAGTGTTATTCATAATACCCTGCCAATAATACAGTAATTTTAAAGTCTGGAAAATCAAAGGCATATTACTAGCACTGGGAGCTTTCCAGGAGACCCTGTGGTTAACTTTTCAAAACTGCCATCCCTAGAACATTTTAAGTGCCAAAAAGGAGCAAAAAATAGGCTTCTGGTGGAGTTGTAAATCAACCAATGATAGATTCCTCAGCTGTTTCCACTTAGATGAAACCTAATGAGAATGGCTCTACGTTTTATATGACAGTCATATATGCTGCAGGACATTGCTGTTTCTGTTGGGAAATAACCACGGAATACCAACTATTCCTGGAGTCCCACATGTGTGGGAAACTGAAAAAGAAAAATGGCTGACTGCCTGAATTGAAAACGTGTGGGCCTTGGCTCTAGTCAAAAGAGCCCCCCCCCAAACTGGAATATACCATATTGGTCCGAATATAAGCCACCCCCCCATATTTCGACCGTGAAAAGTTAAAGTGCAGCTTAAAATTGTGACCTTACAAAAATTGACTTTTATGATATCGCTACTGAAACAGAATGTTATGGTAAAACAGAACGGGTGTGAGTGCCTGCGGAATTTTAAGGGAGCTGCTTATATTTGGGTATTGCCCTTTTTTCTCTCCTACCCCCCTTTAATTTTAAAGGTGTGGCTTATATTCAGGTGCAACTTATATTTGGGGCAATACGATATTTAGCGTTTGCAAAGCATGGGGGAAAATGGTTCTTAGGCTCCCACTCTCTGAGAAAGGCTCTACCACTCTCAGAGTCATTGGACCACAACCTTAAGCAAGTTTAAATGCTTTACTTAGTAATCAGAGGTCTCACTCGTGCTTTGTTAAATGCTACAGCAGAAACAACACAGGTAATGTAGTGTTGGTTGCAAAATAGCCAAGTGTTCAAGGGTGAGAAAGGAGTCATAATGTTAA